ATTTAAAAATAAGTAATTAAAATTATAACTTATTAATTTAATAATTAAATATTTTTTAATATTTAAATTATAATTAAGTTAAAATTTAAAAGAAAATTAAGCTTTAATAAATAAAGTTTTACTATTAAAAAAAATATTTTAATAAATAAATATTTATTATTAAAAATAACTATAAAGTATATAAAAGGGTTAATAAGAAATTATAAACCTTTAATATATATAAGTTATTAGCTTATAGTATAAAAAGATAATAAATTTAATTATTTTTTAGTATTTATAATTTATTTTTTAAATATTTTAAAATTATTTAAAAGTTAAAAAAAATTAAAAAATATTTATTTTTTAAATATATTATAGCTAAAACAAGCTAATATAAGTTAATAAATAAAGAGTATAAAAAAATATTATTTAAATTATTATTATATTTTATATTTAGTTATTAAAGCTATAGTTTATATAATAAATATATTAATAAAAAAAATTTTATTATTAAAATAACTTTATAAAACTACTAAATAAGTAATAAAAGTTAGAAAATTATTTAATAAAAAATAATTTTATTAAAGCTATATATATTAAAATTTAAATACTAATTAAGCTAAATATATAAAGAACTATAAAAAGAAAAAAAGTAATATTAAAACCTTTATTTTTAAAATAGGTATTTATTTATAAGTTTAATAAAAATAAGAATTTTATAAAATATAAAATATAGATTTATATATAAGGAAATTTTTAAGCGCTTAATTTATTATAAAATATTTATATAATAATACTTATAGTTAAGTTTTTTTTAAATAGCTATTATAATAGCTTTTAAAAATTAAAGAAATATATACTATTAAAATATACTTTATATAAACTTTAAAATTTATTATTATAATAGTATAAAGAATTTAGTTATACTTTTAATTAATTTAGGCTTTTATTATTAATAAAAAGACTATATTTATTTATAAACTAAGTAAAAAGTATTATAATAATTTTTTATATAAATAATATTTTAATATTTTATTATTAAAAATATTAAGTAAAAGCTTTTTAAATTAAAATAAGTATTATATATATATATAATATAATAAATTAAAAGGCTATAAAATAGTTTTTAAATATATAAATAATTAAAAACTATTAAAATAAAATAATTAGTTTAATATATAATATATATTTAAAAAAAATTATACTTAAATTTAATTTAGTAAATAATAAAAAGTTTTTATTAATAACTTTTTTATTAATTAGTAAATTATAAAAATATATTAAAAAAGCTATATATATTAAAATTAAAAAATATTAAAAGTATATAAAATTAATATTATATATTATAATAATACTTTATTTAAATATAATATATATAACTATATAGCTTTTATAATTTCTTATAAATTTAAAATTTATATATTTTAATATAAATAGCTATTTAATATAATATTTTTATTTAATAAAAATTTTAAAAATTAAATATAAAAAACAATTTTAAAGTATTAATATATTTTTAATTATTAAAAATACTTTTTTTATAAATAATAAAGAATTTTAAAAGTTATTTTAAAAGTTTATAATTATATTATTTAATAAGCTAATTTATTAAAAAATAATAAAATAAAATATAATAGTTATTTTAATTATAAAAATTAAACTTATAATTTTAAATTATATAGCTAAAAATATAATAATATTTTAAAATTTTTTTATTAATATTATACTAAATATTAGTAAATTATAAAAAATTTATTATAATAATAAATAAGCTATTTAGCTTATTATATTAATAAAAAATAAACTTATAATTTAGCTAAAATATTTAAATATTTAGTAAATATAGCTAAAAAAATAATATTAAAAAAAAAATTTAAAATTAAATATTTTAAAACTAATAAAATATTAGTTAATAAGCTTATAAAAAACTTTATAAGAAAATAATTTAAATATTTTTAATTATTATTAAACCTTTATAATATAAAAGTATTAATAAATTAAATTAAGTAATATATATTAATATTAATAAATTTTATTTAATTAAGCTTATAAAAGCTTATTAATAATTAAATATTTAAAGTATTAATTATATTATAATTTTAAAAAATAATATTATATTAAATAAAAATAATTTATAAAGCTTTATATAAAAATATTATATATTTTTTAATTATATTTTTTATTATATAAGTAAAAATATACTTTATATAGTATTTAAAGTTAGCTATATAATAAATTTTTTTATTAATATTTTTAATATTATTAAAGTTAATAGTTTAAACTTAATAAATAATTTTTTTATTAAAGCTTTTAATTAAAAAACTATAAAAAGTTTAAAAAGTATATTTTTTAATATTAAAATTAGCTAATATATTTAAAAATAATTTAATATATTTATTAATAATTTTAATAATATTATTATTTATTAATAAACTATTATTTTTAAATATATTTTTTATATTAATATTTTTAATATTATTATTAAGCTTTTTAAAATTATTATTTAAAAATATAAAAAATAAGCTATATTTACTTTTAATATTATTAAATTTATTAATAAAATATTATTTTAAATACTTTTTTTAAATAATATAAATATTTATAAAAACTTTTTTATTAAAATTAATAATTATATTATAAAAAGCTTAAATATTAATATATAAAATAGTAAAAATAAAAATATACTTTTTATTATAAATATATTATAAATAATAATTACTATTATTAAAATAATTAAAATAACTATTATTATTTTTATTATTAATAAATAAATATATATAAATAAAATAAAACTTATTATATTAAATTATAGCTTTAAGTTTAAGCTTATTTTTAAAAAATAATTTATAAAGTATTTTATAATTATAAATAATAATAAATAAAATATAATTAAATATTTAAAATTTTAAATTAGTATAATAAAAAACTTTTAAAGTATATTTTTTAAAAAAAGTTAAATTATTTATATTTAGTTTTTTAATACTTTTTTTTTAAAGCTTTATAATATTTTTATATTTATTTTTAATAATAATATAAGTTTTTTTATTAATTAAAAGCTTAATTATATTTAAATAAATATATTAATAATATTTTAATAAATAAATAATAATAAAAAGTATTTATAAATAAAAAAAAAATAAAGTATTTTAAAATTAATAAAAAAGTTAAAAAATATATTATTTAATAATTTTTAATATATAATAAGCTAGCTATTTATAGTTTTTATTAATATAATTTATAATAAAAAGAAATTAATAAAAAAGTTTTTTAATAAATATATAAGTAATAATTTAAAAAAATTATTTTATAAAAATATAAATTTAAAATATATTAATTATTTATAAAAGTTATAATTTAAATAGCTATATATATAATTTTTATAAATAAAAATAAAAAAGTATTATATATTATAAAATAAAAAAAATAAAAAGTTATTATTAATATAGTTAATAATTATAAATAAAATAAATTAAAAATTAAAATATATATTTTAAAAAATTATTTTTATATTTAAAATAATAGTTAATATATATTATTATTAAGTTTATTAATACTTTAAAATTATTATTATTAAATACTTTATTATAATTATTAAATATTTTTTTTTAAAAAAAATATTATATTTTATTAAATTAATATTATTTTTATTAAAACTCCTTTTAATTAACTATATTTATAATAATTAGTTTTAAATTATTTTTAAATAAATATTTAATAGTATTTAAGGGGTATATTATAAATTTAGTATATATATAAGCTATTAAAAGCTATTATAAGGGAGTATGTATTTACTAAAGCACTTATAAATTATACTTTAAAAGCTTGCCTTTTACTAAAGCAAACTTAGCTAGAACAATAACGCTTTTATCTACGCTCCACTACTCGCTACGTAATCTACGGAGCTTCACATATTGAGCCATGCAAGACCCGTTCCGCCTCCAAATGAGCTGCCGTCATACAATGAAAACCGTTGGCGTGCAACGTGGCACAGCGAGAAGTCACAGGGGCTACACGAAATGTTGTGAGACTGAATATCACACTGCGGCTGACCGGTTGAAGTCGCTCAGGTGATCGGCACCAGCACGTGTGTCGTGTGGGTTGGGTGACTTTCTGCCACCCAAATCCAAGCGGCCCGATAAGGTTATCGACACCATCGGACGATGGGTGGCACGTCCCACGGTCGCATCCTACTACTCCACGGGGCCTCCGCTTTGAGTGGGGACATATTGTTGAAGCAAATCCCAGCGCCTTTGTGGATTCGTCTCCGGACTTTCGGGCAGATTGCAGGCGCGGCGGAAACAACGCAAAAGGGGAACCAGAGGACTTCTGCATCACAGCCAATCTGCATCTAACTTCGGACGAGTCAAGTAGGCGCGGCTGTGCCACAGCGTAGCGCTGTCAGGGGGACGGCATGGCGCCACGACCAGCCATTTCGGGATTGAAGAGGGCGGGCTAACGAATGCAGAGGAATGTGCTTCATTATATACACAATGCTGATTTTTCGCTACGGGCTAACAGACTAAGCAATTCAGTCCACAGACGTTGCTTCTAAAATGATAAGCGCAAATATCCACGCATCAATTCAATCTAACCTACCGTGTGCTTTTCCTTATTCTATCACAAAGCAAGATCCCGGGTATAACTTTTAGACCATCAAGGCAATATGCTTAAGCTCACTGCTACAGTGTTAGCAAACCCAATCTACACATAGTAGGCTATGGTTCAACTTACTTCTGCACCTGCTCACCAACCTTCATGGCAGGGTAGTTCACCTCGTCGCCCTCGTCTCTGCCCAGGTTCAGCTGCTCCAACCTCAAAGCCTTGGCCTTATCAGCCAGTTCCGGGATCGGGTTGAGGTCAAAGTCGCTCGCCAGGTGCCAGAAGAAGGTACTCGAGATCCTAACGAGCGGCCTGTCGGGGAGCTCACTCTTCCTCCTCTCGATCGTCTCCAGCGTCTTCTCGTTGACGACCACCTCGTGGTACCCGGCCTTGACGAGCCCGCCCGTGATGTGCTCGAGTTGCTTCCCGGCCTGCACGAGGAGGTAGTTGCCCGGCGGGATCTTGACGGCGATGCGCTTGCCCGTGTTGCGCGCCCAGATGTGCAGCCCCGGGTAGCGCGAGCGGCCGTGGATGGTGAGGAAATTCAGGTCCGTGTGGAACCCGGCCAGGATGGTGTCCTTCTCGCCGTACTTGACGAGGTCTGATGCCGTGGGCGCAAGGATGTGTGGGCCGTACCGCCCTGCGTCTTTGAAGGTCGCCTCTGGGATGCCCAGCCCCACTGCGGCCATCTCAGCGAGACCTGATACGCTTTTACATGCCATTCAGTCAGCCTCTAGTGTTCGTGACAGTGCAGGGTGAAGCACCTCCACTTACGCGTTCTTCATCGACTTGCCCCACAGGTTCATGGTCGGCGTCCACCGCTCCCTGATCTGCGGCGCCTCAGGCACGACGTTGGGCGCGTTCAGCCCGGGGAACCGGGTCTCGTACGGCGGGTCCTCCCTCATGTTCCAGAAGAAGCGGCACTTGGGGTCGGGCTGGTGGCCCATGATGTCGAGGGGCCTCTGGTCGGGGGCGAGGCGCCTGATGACGTCGATGCACGGCTCGTCGACGGCGCACTTGGGCTTCTCGGTGTTCTCGAGCGTCGCGCCGATCTGGTAGCTCAGCTCCGGGCGCTCGTCCTTGCGCAGCTCCTCCTGCGGCTGCGCGAAGTAGTCCTCCAGCAGGTCCAGGAAGCCCTCGTTGTCGTCCGGCGACACCCGGCTGTCGTGCAGCACCAGCGCGCCGTACGTGATCAGCGCCTCGGCTGCCTTGCGGCATTCTGCTACCGCCGCGGGCGAGTCGTGTGGCTGGTTGAGGAAGACGTCTAGGTCGATGATCGGCAGGTCCATTGAGACTTCATGGGTTGCCATCTTGGCGACTTTATCTCGTGTCTTACAGGTCGCGATTTGAGACTCTTGGTGTTTCTTTTTGACAACGTCTTCGTTTGACCTACTTTACAATGTTTACCGAATGTTAAATCTAAATATTGAGGATGGCAAATGTCGATTGCAAATATCCTTCACATGAGTCGATGAGTCGATGGCCCGCCGGCGCGTGTGCCGTAAGAGGGAGGTGCCTGTGATACTGTCCCATGATCCTTGGCTTCTCTAGCCTCTTTGGGCAGCACCGTTTCTTCGGACGGTCTTGGCCCCTACGGTGCTCGCCGACAGCCGCTTAGGAACGGCTAACAAGACAACAGCGACACGGCTTGTCACGGCACGGTTTTGTTAGCACTCCAACATCGTCAGTTCGTCTGCGGTCTTGCATGATATTGCTGGGTAGGATATCTATACAAGGAAAGTCGTGTTGAATCCGTGACTCCAAACGGACTGTTGGCTAGTCGTAACTCTACAGTCAACTAATATACAGGCGCATTGTCCCTCTTCTTGATTCTTACCGTAGCCTTCATCGGCGGGAGGACGTTCAGCTCAAAGACTGGTCACCCTTTCAGCTCAGCCTTGCAAACACAACGCATGGTTTAATGTCTTACTAGAGGCACGTGCTCGGCTGCCCCAAAGGTATATCAGAATATGAAATAATAGCTCACGTTTCACCACAGTATCCCCGCAAGTGATACATCATTTTACGGAAATCTCCATTGGAAATAATAGCAAGGATTCCAACTAGATCTATCTTACTCATACATGTCACGGATGTGCCTTGTACACAGTATGTATGTTCCACCGACAGATACTATTGCATGACAAAAGCATCTTTCCTCTCTAGTACTCTCCTAAAGTTCATCCACAACCTGCTGGCCGCCGTTGACTCCCGATTGCTCGACGCCGCTTTCATCGGCCTCCTCAACGACGAACCAGTCTTTGACTGTGACTGCGCCCGCATAAACCTTTTTCCAAACATCTAAAACGCACGTTGAAGGGGAAAGGATATAACACTTCGGCTCAGGTGCAACTGGCGGCACCCCCTTGATAAACCATATGTCTTTGGGGCCAATCGTTGCGAACTCATCGTCCGTCCGGATCAGCCCAGTCGGTACATCCAATCCAAATGTGGCGCGCTTGAATATCTCATAAGCTGCCACAGGCTGATACGAAGGAACCTCATGGCCCTGTGAGATCATGGTTTAGCATATGATGAGACTCGTGTCAGTGAACTTGGACTTACTGCTTGGAACACCCTGGTGAAGCTGAAGTTACCGAATTGCCTCGTCATTCCCTGAACTCCTCCAGGTGTGACGAGGGGAGCATATCCCGCACCGGCGAAGTCATCTGCCTTCGAATATGGCACCGCAAGACTGGCAGCTTCTCCTCCGACCCAGTTGCACGGGTAGTCACGGTCGCCATACATCATATGCACCTTCACGCCTGAGTCCAGAAGATATCCGATGGACTGGAGAAAGCCGCCATGAATGATGTCAAAGGTGCCTTGGAAGGTCTGTTGTACAGCTCCTGAAGTTTCTGAAAAGTTGACTGGCACACCCAATGCTGCAAGCACTGACTCTTCTGTGAGGTAGCCAAACATGTAGGGAGGTGGGAACGGGTCGTTCTTGGGATGTGTAACATCATACCAACCAGCACCCGGAATGGACTCCTGGTAGAGGTTGGCAGCTCCGAGGCCTTGGCAACCTGGGTCCATGTCGCTACAGATTTGGCTTAGATTCTTGTCTTCGAGGCTGAGGAAAACAGGCCCGTGTCCTTCCATTGAGTCTTGGCAAGCTTTGACCTGGTCTCTGCAGCCATCGGGCCGTGTCCAGTTGTACAAGAGCTCGTCATGCAGGGACTGGTTGAAGATTTGTACGCCATAGCTCTGCCAGTGAGGTTCAAATTAGTTGCCTTGCAAGCCATACAGCCAATATTGTGTACTCACATTGTTGAAAGGGTACGTAATCAAGGATTCACCTTGGACGGCGACATCGATGAGGCCATTGACAATGCCAAGAGTATCTAAGTGAAGATAGTGAGCGTCTTTCTCGTTGATACTGCCATTGGCAATCTTGTCATTCTGTTGCTGAAAGAAGCCAAAGAAGCCAGGACCATAGTGACTGCAAGAAGTCAGTAGTGCTCCACAAGAGGCAAATTGGAATCTTTACCCTCCATAGCTCTCAGCCCAAAGGCTGATCCGATTGTCGTGGGGCTTGTAGTACGGGAACTCAAAAAACCATGTTTGTGCGAAGTGCCAGAGAGCATGGGCCGCTAGCGCTGTTGTATTGGCAGTGTTGAGGGGTTTCTGGCTCGCAAATGTTCCATGACGTGAGGTGAGATTCGCTTCAGGTGCTTGATCAGTTGAGTTCCACGGGATGGTCTCGAACTGATAATAGGCGTCGGGTCCACCTGCGATGGAAGTGCCATTGGTAGCAATGTCGTACGAGAAGCCCACTTGATTCGGCTGATCAATATACAAGATATTGACTTCATTGTTCCAGCTCGAAGGATTCAAGTACGTGGACTTCGAGTCCGGACCGATAAAACATGGGCCATTCTCTTCGAGCAACCCCATCAATGATGAGCCACCTGGGCCGCCATTGAGCCAAATTGCCAAGGGTGCATTAATGGGGTCTTTACGAGACTCAAAGAACCAGAAAAAGCTGTAGTGGTGGCATCATCAATGGTTGATCACTTCATCTTTCTGACCTGGCTTACGTATTTATTGGGTAGTCTTGCTTCTCGCCGCCGCTACCATCATCCAGAAGCCCCTCCGGCAAATGAACGTATCCTGAATATGATTTGACTCCAGGTGTCGTTTCACAGATTCCAGGCTAGTACAAGTTTTTTGTCAGTCAATTAGAAAGCCTGAGCCAGCTGATGCAGATGACATCACTAACCTCTTTGAAAGAGAGGGTCACATTCTCGTGGAACTTGGATTTCAATCTTGTAACTCCTTCTGGCTTCGGAGGGAACTGCGCCACGCCGAGCCCAATGAGGCTTGCCACAAAAAGAGGTTTCCAGATCATGATGCCTAGCGCCAGCGTCTGAATGCAGGCTAAAACATGGGGAAGAGAAGTAGAATTCAAAAGGTACGAGAATTGAGCTGCGATGCCAAGATATGAGGAGCAACAGGCACCATGACAGACAGAGCGAACGTCCAGATAAGCTCGGATGAACTTTGACCCGTGATGTTTGCAGTCCCGAAACAGCGCCAGAAACATAGACCTTCCAGAAATCGCTTAGTCTACAATTTTCACAGGATTCACAGCATTTCACTCACTCGAAAGCAACGCAAAATTTAGAATTATGTTTCAAAATGCCGGTGACTAGAAATCAAGGCCAGACAGCACAGAATATTGCACTTACTTAGTGCCCTAAAGACTTCCTTCAGGCTCAATGGATAAATGAACAGCGGGAATGAGAGCTAGTGCGTGAATCAGTAGAGCTTGCTTGCTTACTCGGGGGTAAAGAAACAGCCGGATACACCTATTCAGTCTCTGGCTTGGCATCTAACTTACACTCTTCATGAGCCCAATCACTTTCGCCAGCTTTGATTTGATCGGCACTCAGCGAAGTCAGCAGTTTAGTTTTGTAGCACACATAATTAAGTAGCCTCAATACCATGGAAATTTCAAAGCATGTAGTTTTCATGTCAGTACTAGCTGAAGAAGATGGCTGAAAGCCACAGTACCCTTCTGGGAGGAGTGCTGGGGTGCTGACTGAGCACTCCACAGCAGCGCCACACAACGGTGACAGCGCAATTGTAGATGGCTACCTCTCTCTCTCTCTCTCTCTTCTGCAGAACCCCCCAAAACAAATGAAAATCACAATAATTGATTTGATCCCCCAGGCAGCTGCCTCAATCCTGATACAATTCAATTTCTTCGACTGAGATAGAGACTCGTCTGGCGACCCAAGCCCAAGTTCCCTTGCGTGCTCGATGGCTTCTGCGAGGTAAGCAAAAGCATGCATTTATTGAAGGAAGGAAGACGCCCATCTGCAGGTATCCTCTCCACCTCACATGCTCGGCCTGCAGAAGTTTTCTTCACTCTTCACCGGGGGTACTGACGTGGCTGCAGTGACGAGCTTTTCAACCTGCTCATTTCCAACAGAACTGGACATCGTGGCGAAGATCACTCCTAGTCCAAAATGGAAGGTCCAGCCGAACTATATTAAGCCCGAACTGTGCAGGATAAGCCGCAGAAAAACCTAAAAAGGATAGGAAGAGAGGGAGAGCAAGGGCAAGCAAACAAAAAAGGGATTGCGGGAAGAGTGTCGAGGAGGAAAAGACAACAACACAACAAATCCGAATACGCAAATGGATGCGTTGGCGCATGAACGGCTCGAATAACGGTTGTGAACGCGCTGTATAGTCGTTCGCCGGTACCTTGGATGATCGGCTTCGACAACAGCGAATTATGTTGAGGACTAGGAACACGGAAAAGTGTACCGAATGGTACGGTGGCTGCCAGCAAATAAGCAAGGAGCTGAGATCTAACTCTGCAGGCCAAGGCCCAGGGAATCAAGGCGGCTAGAACCCCCCGCATTACAGACCCAATGGGGGATCTGCATGGACGAAGGGAGTTAATCAAACATATGTAGGAGCCGCATGTCAAAATTTCTCACGGAGTCCAGCATGTGGCGTGCATATATCGCGCCCGTGTGGGCCGTCGTATCTGCTCGATGACATACCTGAGGGGACATATCCGGCCATAGGATCACCTTGGCCTCAACGTTTCAGCTTCACTTTGGATAGATCGTGTGGGTCGTTTGCCATCCAATTTCCCGAAACAGATTTCTGCGAAGCCTATCTCAGGGCAAATATGCAGGCCCCAGCACGGAAGCTCCGGAAGCCATGCAAGGCAAGGCCTCAATGGGTCTGCTGATGCCACCTGTTCGAGGTGGAGTACACTGAGTACAGTATGGACTGGGCCAGCCCTTCAATTCTCTGCTGCCTGGCAAGCCCACATACATACAGCGGAAGCTGAGGGGTTACAACCCTGTTGTTCCAATCGTGGTAGAGCAGCCAGGTGCGGTGGGTCCTGCTGTGGGCTGACAAGGAACACGCGGAGAAAATGGCAGGTTCCCTGTCGGGTGATGGAGCGGGCCGCATTTAGGTTTCGGATCAGGTACCAGTGTACCGCAAAATAGTAATCTTTGCTGGGACAATTGGACGACAGCGTCGCTACCAAAAACTATCTGCCCCCAGAGCTTCGGTAGCATGCAAAAGTACTCAGAGCATGTAGGTTCAATCACTCTACCTACATTTCATGCTGTGTAATGAGATCTACCATACTAACCGTAAATGATGGCATACTAGCCGTATATGAACACAACATAGGCAGATTCCAGGAGACGCACACAGTCAAGTAGCTCCGAGCCGAGCATGCCAACTGTTGGAGGAGGCAGGGAGTCGGCTACTACATGAGCCGATGTAACATCACAGAATGAACGGTGCGAGTGGATCGAGGACGGCCTGGAGTAGGCATTGTTCGAAGGCAATGCTTCGAGATGCCGTCTTCACGATGCATTTAATAAAGGAAGTCATGCTCACTGTCGTCAGTGGCTGACGCTCAAGTCAATAGTACTGGCCTTCTGATAGTGTATGCGACTCCTTGACCTCCTCTTATGACGGCTCATCAGGCTACAATCACGAGGACTTCATAGAGCGAAAAGAGACTCATGTAGCCGCCCTTTCCTTCACAAGCTATGGCGTCAGTGACGCGCTTGTACGGAGCGTCCCGTCCGTATACAGGGAGAAAAATTCATTCTTCTGGAATTGTCTGGTCATCTAGCCCTCCGAAGGCTCATTGCCACATGTTGCATGAAAATTGAAGCCCGTGCCATGCCAGGTCATTGGCGCGTTTATGTCTGCAGTCTTCCGTCGCGTAGCACCACCACATGCAACCGTTGGACCATACTTTCATAGGGTACACCGCAACGCATCTGATGCAGCGCGGCAAGGAAACCGGTCAATCACAAATTTCAGCCTGAAATATTGTTATCGCTCTAGGAGGATAGAACGATCTCGCCTCGGCTGATGCCCACCAATGGAAGTGTCCTCGTGCCGTCCGATTGCTTGTCATGAGCGGAATCTTGGAGGCTCTTCCCGCAACAGCACAACCGACGCCTCACTCATGCCGGATTGCTGACGCGGTGGCTGCAGGAAGGCCGAGCTTCGATATATTGAATTTGGAGCTTGCAGGCGTTAAATCCTGTATTGATCTGAACTTTGGAAGTCGTGTACCACTCACTGTGCAACGAGCTATTCCTTTGATACGACACTGTGTTGGAGTGGATACTAAGGAAATTGTCGCTTTGATATACGACTATCATTGCCGCGCCCGAAACAATATGTTTGACCGGTTATGCAGCCCACAATTTTGTGTATCTGGTGGAGAGTCCCAACGCATCTTGCCTTAGGATATCAACAATCACAGTTTGGCCTTGTCGGATGATAGTCAGGCACAGCCCCGGCGGCAACCGGAAGTCGAGACCCACTGTCGATCCCCCGTCTGACATGCTTCGACGCCACCCTTCGGGGATATGCATGGCCAGAGCTGATGGGCTGCAAGGGTCGCGGGGCTTGGGCGGGACGCAGCGGGTAATTTATGCTGCAGCAGGGTATCAAATCACGAGGCTGCGTTTGGGGCGGCTGCTACGCCAAGGTAACAACAATTTTGACAGCTTGGGCATCCAGTCCTGATTAGTCTTCCAACCATATGCAAGTGCTCCTGCAGTCGTCAGCTGTTGGTACCGTGCCAATCTGGGCAGCCCCCCCGAGCGGAAAAGCGGTACTCTTATACATAGAAAACTGCAGAACGGCTCGGATGTCGCTGCGCCGGCGCAGCCAGCACTGAGATTCGCGAAGATGAATCTTGTGAGATGTGAAATTAAGGGCGACGTCACAACTGTAGCATCCGAATACCCGCTCTCTGGAGCCCTGGAGACTGCGTGATGCACCTGTCCTCTCGTCAGATACCGAAGGTTTTACGTAGAGTCCGGCTAGAACTTGAAGACGCATTTTAGATTGTGAGAAACGGCACTGTTGAAAGACTTGATCATGGAGTGGCTGGCCCCCAAGTGACATTGCAGCATGTAGAAAGTCTTCCTGAGTGTGGCTTCCATAGAAACAATTGACTTGGCGGCTGCCTCGATGGCTCACATTCGTTTGTGGCGAACGAATGTGGACTTTGATGGCGTGAATCGCCCCTGCGCCAGGCTATTTCGCCTAGTCCTCGTGGATGGTCGCTCACGCTATCGAGGCATGAGCAGTGGGGGCAGTCCAAAGCTAACCGAGCCCAGCTGTACAACCATGAAAGCTTGAAAACAGTATACCTACCGTGCTTGGCGAATGGAGACGCACTTCATGCGCTGCCGATGCTGTACGGCAGATACGATCCGAAGGCCCACAATGCAAATGCGACGATAGTTCGGACGGCAGACAGCAGGCGGCGCTCAGCCATTCATTTGAATTCACGTCCACGACGATCTTTACCATTTTTCACAACGCTTCATGAATCCTTCGGCTATGAGGCACCATCCGTTGGACCGCGATGCATTCAGCTTCGGCGAGGTCGACTCTAGCCGTGAACTGATCTTGGCCGATGGATAGATGTTCTGGCCCTGGGTCGATGACGATCTTTTTCGTTCTCAGCGATCGCAACTCAAGAGGAAGACTGGAATTCAACTATAAAAGAAGGCTCATCTCCTGGCTCTGTAGCCTCTTCTTTCTTCCCAGCATCATCAGCATCTATCAGCAGCCTCCAGTCTTTCAGTCAAACACTCACTCCAATATCCTTCAATCTTCGGGCTTTTTTCCCAACTTCAAAATGCAGTTGTCCGCACTCATCCTCTCTGTCATGGCCTCGCTCGCCATGGCCGTCCCCACTAACACTGGAGGCGGTGGCGACGGCGGTGGTGGCGACGGCGGCGGCAGCAGTGACTACGACCCTTGCACGGCGACTGCTCTGATCAACGCCCAGGCACAGTGCTGCTCTGCCGATGTTGGCGGTATTGCTGACCTGACTTGCAAGACTGGTAAGACTTTTCCTCGGGTTTGCCTGAAACCCAATATGTCTTCTTATAAATGATATGCTTACTCTGCCTTCACTGTAGTTCCCGAGACCCCGAAGAGCGCAGATGACTTCAAGGACATCTGTGCCTCGAGCGGCCAGACTGCGATGTGCTGCACTCTCAGCGTTGTGAGTCCAGGGCTCAGCCCAGTATTCAGAAATGTTCTTCAACTAACAAACATGGCAGCTCGGAGTCTCCCTCCTCTGCGCCACCCCAATTGGCGTCTAAGATGCCCGTAAGAGACAAACGCTGTTGGAAACATTGGAGTGACCCGGTGCCGGGAAGTTCGTACGACTTGGGCTACTTCCAGGGCAGTGTACAAGGATACAAGGCATGACGATGCCCTGTTTCATCCATTCTTTTGGCTTCTGTGCTGGAGACTAGTTGGCAAAGAAAACTGGTAGTTTGCTAGTGCTATCTTCATTTCTTTTAATACATTTGAGCTCAAACAAATCTTGCATAATCAGCTATATGTGATGACTTTGATTAAGGTTCAATATGCATTTTCCTAGATGATACGTCAGCCCATTCCAGAGTAGATCACTGGCGATAAAGTGTATTCATCTTAGTCGTGCAAAGTCAGAGCACATGGGAGAACAATGTACTTTCTTGAAGGCACCTGGCGCAGTTTCACAAGAATTGTTTTACTCTAAATCATAGCTTTCTCAATTTGGAACAAGACTCTTGCCAACGCGATGATCATGCGGCGATGATCATGTGACGCTGATCATGGCCAGACATAGTTCACGCTGAGTTGGCTTGTCACTATTATGTTCACACTAACTAACCGCTTGTGCGACTCGATATGAATTGTGTAACCGCATGAAACAAACCGTGGAGTGTGTATAAGACAGTGCTAGTAATCTGATAAGTTCTCTCGTTTTCTTATATCGATACCATGCTTCAAAGAATCCGTCCCAGAATTTTCTTTATCTATTTTGTGGAGACTTTAATAATACAAATAGACATGTGATGGTGGACTAGGGCAAAGGACTCTCGAACGATCGGACATGGATATTCAGTCAATTGAGCTTTGGCAGAGACTGATAACATATAGATAATGAGCTCCATTTACCTGCTTGCTCCTTGCGTGGGATGTCCACGGCTATCCAGAGGTCGGCAGGGATAACAATTTATCTACTTCTGCGGTCAGATTTGCATCATGCTGCTGGTTATCTGTCACATGCATTGACACATGCATTGACTGAGATCTTGTGCATGTGTGGATTCTCCCGGGGATGGGGACAATACATGAATCCTGTATTGCTCGGTCTTGGTCTCAGTGCGTGAATCCTACCTCGCCTCTTGGAGTCCACACCCTGCATTGCAGCAGACCCTAACCCGACCTTGATCCGGCGACCAGCTTGGTGACAAAAGGGGAGAGTTTTGCTTGCAAGCGAATAATTTTGATCTTGTTCCCGACCTTACACATCAGATACGCAGGACCTCTGCAGGGCCCCGAGTCAACCTTCCCGACATGTCTTCCAGCCTCGAGGATGGGATGTCGTTGTAGCGCTGACATAAGCCTTTCCGTTGTCTCGGATGCTGTCATGGTCACCCCTGCTTCGACGATCGACGTCATTGCCTGCTCACTGCAAGGCGACCCCTGACCTACCTACCTGGGGAACATTCCGTCAACATGAGCTCTTGATTTTAGTCCAACACCCAACGAGGACGGCGACAACAACAACGTGGAACCCCTGAAGCCCTCGACCCTCTCTGCAGCCTTTACCTACCATCAACTATCAAGCACATAGAGCTCATCTACTGGGTTGCATCTCCTTACCATATCTCCGGGTCCCGCTCCAGCTCCGAAGCCACCTCGGCTCCGGCATCGTCTGCCATGGCGTCACTCACCGAGGTCCTGAGCGTCTTCTGCTGGTGTCTGCCCTGCTTCTCGCTCCCTGAGGACAATGAATATTATGATCCTCTTCTTCCACAGTATCGTGATGACACTGTTCTGCAGAGGGAGCTGCACCAGAAGCTCCACACCTACCAGATGCTCCGAGCCCTGTCACAAGGGTTCATGCCATCCAACGAGCAGGTCATTGTCAACCTCAGGACCATACTTGCCTCTGATGTCCTCAATCCAGACAACAACGACCTCAGTGATTCTGGACGAGCACTGGTGCACTATGTCAAGGTCTGGTTGACGCAGTTCATAGATCTGCTCCTGCACAAGAATGGCCACGACCAGATCGAGGACTTCATCTGGTATCTGACCAAAGCACGAGTCTCAGTTGACATGGAGGATATTGCAAACAGAACAACCAAAGCAGCTTCAAAGGCCCAAACTGCAGCAGGTAAGTGGCCCAAATAGACCAAAGTTGGGCTCTCGGCCACTAACACTTAACAGCATACCAGAGCCTACAAACTGTCGGCACCTTGCTGCTTACAAACTCGGACTTCCGCATTTTCCTCTCCGATTTGAGCACCATCGGACGTGAGGTCTTCCGCGACACAGCTTTCACACTTTCAGAAGTGTCTCAGAAAGCAGCTCGTCGCATTGAGCCATCTCAAGAAGAGGTGGAAGCCCTCAAGAAACCCGGTGCAGATGGGGAAGGCTCCGCACCCACTGACAAGGAGCTTCAAAAAGACGTTTCTGACGTCGCAAACGTGGTGGCCGACAGTGCTGTAGAAGTGGCTCAGGAGGCCGAACACAGCCTTGTCGACAAGATCACGGGCGATGAGAAGAGCACCCTGCTTTACCGGCTGAAGCAGGCGGTCACGAATTTGAGGGGTCGCACAGACTACTCCGACTCAGTCTCCATGTTGGCAAAGATTCTGCAGCGCTATGCCTTGGTTTACTCACATGTCCTTGAGGAGACGGCAGCAACAGCTGAGAGGGATGTCGAGACGAATCGTGAAACTGAGAAGGCTATCCGAAACTTTTGGGCGTTTGTGAAGTCTTTTGGTGACGCGAAAGAGTGGAATGAACTCGAGCAGAGGCTCAAGCAACTCATGGAGCACGGGAAGAGTGACCCTCAATTTGACCAACTTGTTCGACAAGCCGGAAATGCTCTTCAGGAGATGCTGACAGACCCCGGCTTCTTTGAACATGCTGAGGAGAGGTTTCAGGACCTCCGAAAGCAATCACGACAGCTGACCTCGGACTCTTCTATGCGAGAAGACGTCGACGGACTTCTTGCCCAGCTGCAGTCTACATTCCGATCTGTCCTCAAAGACGCCGATATTGCCAGGCTGATCCGAACGTCCACGTACATCGCCAGAATACTGTCGCCTGCGCGTCAATACACCAACACGGAACTGGTGACTGATGCAGTCAATGTGTTTGTTCCGCTGTTTGTCCAGGGCATCCAGTATGTTCCGATACCCAGGCTCGAGGTGTCCACCCCCGAGGTCGATCTTCTGCTCGAGAACCTCATTATCGAGCCTGGAGTCACTGTCAACAACACCTCGTTCCTCCCTTACAGACTTCGAATCGAGACTCGGAATGACCTTGAGATACGCAAAGCTCGTACCAGAACAACCTCAAGTGTCCAATCGCTCATGACCATCAAGATCGATGGGCTATCTATTCGTGCCCAGGAGGTAGGCTTCTGGCTCCGCGCGCACACAGGTCTCTTTCAGGTTGCCGACGAGGGTATCGCATCGTTCGAGTTGGACGAAAAGGGGATCGACATTGAGATCGACGTCGAAATCGCCAAGGAGCGTCTTGAGAGTATACTGTCCCTCCAAGCTGTCCGAGTGCGCATCCACAAGCTGGACTACAGTCTCCGCAAGTCCAAGTTCGCATTTGCCGCGTACGCCTTGAAGCCCGTTATTCTTCCCATCATCCGGAAAGCCATCGAGGTTCAAATGTCGACAGCCATCGGGGATCTCATCCACGCGGCGAATCGGGAGCTGTTGTATGCTCGTGAGAGGCTGCGGGCTACTCGTATCGCTGATCCGGCTGATATGTTGACTTTCATCAAGGCGGTGGCTGCAAGACTGGTTCCAGAGGAGGACCCAGATCTCTACACCAGAGTCGGCGTGGCCGAGCCTGGGACGGGCGTGTTCAAGGGAGTGTATGCGCCTGGAAGTATCGTCAAAGTCTGGAACGAGGAAGCTGCTCAGGCTAAGCAGAGAATCCGGGAGGGTGAAAGCGACCAAGGCTGGAGGAACGGCATCTTTGATGTACTTACTACCCATGTCTGAAGCGAGGGCGACTCGAGGGTTCATTCTTGAAGCAAACGACTGCGGCTCTTGTCTTTTCTTGCGTCGTTGAGGGTTCCTGTCCACCGGAAAATCTGCGAGGTGTTCAGCATAGTCAGCATACGGAGTCCGGAGAACACGAATTCAAATTGCAACACTTTCCAAAGCAGAATTAGCCCTGAAGGTTGGGCAATTGGTGTTGACTGGCCTCCTGGGGCCTCCAGGGGGTAGAACGAGCACCCCGCCTCCACCCTAGCCATGGTTCCAAATGAGGGCAGCAAGCTCCTGAAGTATGCGCTCTATTCAGGTACTCAACAGAAATCTGTGAAAATATGGACTCGTTCATGTGTTCTCCATGATCAAAAGAGTTTGATTCAAGGCTCCAGAAACAGTAAAGAGTCTGGCCAGGTTCCAAGTAGGAGGGGACGGGGAGTGTTCAGGCTCAGGCAGCTTGGACGAAATAGCGCCCACAGATCGAGCTCGAGCTCTTCTAGGAAGCATTGCGTCCGATATCAGTTTGTGTGTCAACCCTACGAGCCTGCAAAGTTTCGTTTGTTTGCAGAGAATTGTTGCAACACACGCGCGAGTCGCTCGTCTACTTTCATGAAATCATTCCTTTCTCGCGGTCTTCTCCAGTCTCCTGCGATATGTCAACCCGTCGAACTCACTCGTTCACATCCTCACAATTGTTATTGGCCTAATCAGCAACTCTTTCTATCGAATGCCACCCCCGACTGGCTCGCTTCAAGCTGTTACAACAGTGCGCCACCAACAAGCGACCATAGCCCTCTACCAGACTTCCCTCATCATGGGGCGACTGAACAAGATGAAGCAGATCAAAGCTGCTGTGTCCAAGATGTCCCCGCACGGCGAAAAGAAGTCGAGCAAAAAGGATGGTCCTTTGGCATCTGGCGAGGACAATGCGCCAATGTGGAACACAGGCCAGGAATTTCAGTTCTATGTTCCCTGGTTGTGGAAAGACAGCCCGGAGCCACCACCAGACAAGCTACACCCCAAAAGACAAGTCGTTCGAATCGCGCGACCCAAGAAAGTGCCTAGATTCACAGAGGAGTTCCACCAAGCTTACATTCGACACTGCGTTTCCATTGCAGTCAAAGACCTCGTCTACGACATGCAATTCCACCTCACCTGTACCGAGGATCAAGTGAAGCAGTGGAACTTACCTCAAATAAAGGCATGGGAGCGTTTCAACATAGTGCAGAACAGCTGTGATCTTCCAGAAGTCACTATTCCAGGATTTGACGGTGTTATTCCAATTGAAATGACCATGGCCATCAAACAGGTGTCCATCCACCGTGAACAAGCTTCCAACCTTTCATGGGTCAAATTGCCGTCTCCCGGACAGTGCATAGAGCGAGTCAAGAACCACGTCCTTATTCACGTCACGCCGGCGTGTAGCATCCACGTGCATATCAAGCCGGAGAATGCACTGCTATTTGATATGCAGGCATTCAAGAAGCTAGCTTCAATCTTGTGGCTTGCTGAGGAGCGCTTAGATAAACTCTATCAGCCTGCACGTAACACTTTGGAGAACCCTTACTACCACTCCATCCGACATTCCTCGAATCTGGCACTAGAGGAAGACCTGCTAGTGACAGGTAGTCTCGGAGATCTTGCAAACTTCTTGGGAATAGTCGACCTATCCGGCGCCGAGATGGAAAAGCTATCAATGATCTGGAAGGCCTCTGACCGGTATGAGTTGCGTGAGCTGCTCCGCGTCCACCCAAGCGTGGGAAAGCATGGCTATCTTGCCTACAACTTTTTCAATCTGTTTCTGACCTCCCAGAAAGCGACAATCGAGTTCCGAAAGATAGAATCGACAACGGATGCTCGAATTATCGATGCCTGGATCGAGTGTTTTCTCCTGCTCGCCGATTTCTCGGCAAATTGCTCAATGAAGACATTCCAGAACATGATCGAGAGGCTGGGAAAACCTCAGATAATTTACAACACCTGGGAATTCCTGAGAGACATCGGGTGCAAGAACGCAGCCATCGGCGTCTTGAGGCAGAAATACATCCAGCAGTCGCCTCCCGAAGAGCCGAGCCCTGCTCCCAGCAACACCAGGCATCGCCGCCGAGATGCCGTTCGTGAGCGAGCGGAGAAGACAGCGGAGAAGATCTTTGGTGGCTATAGCTACGGTCGCTGAGTGGTAGGTTTGTTTCCTGTTGCGGATATTACAAAGTGGCTCAAGCTAACCATGACAGCACTCCAGAGAATTTCACGGCGCCATCCTTGTTTAGTCTGGCCGTTCGCGGCTTCACAAAATGTAATTTCATATTACAATACTTGCTATGAGAGAACTTCCCCACTTTCGCTTCGTATCTTCCGTGCTTCCTCTACATCATTCTCCTCCATGATACTAAACGTCCTGCGCACCATGATCAGCTCCTGATTTGGACCTTCATCGTCAAGTCGGTTCCACTGCCCAGACCTCGTTACGGTCAGCCTAGAGGAGTTCCGCAGTGGTTTTAGCTCATATGCCCCGTGGGACTGGCTCAGGGGAGTCCCGCCGATCGTCTCGAACGCACCGCCACCAGCTGGCGTGCTAGACCCCACCGAGGTGTCGTTGTAGAACTTGAAGAGCTTGTGTATAGGTGGCAGAGACGCTGCTATAATCCCCAGGCCGTTTTCGAAGACTGACCAGATGACTATGTTGGCCATGTGATCTTGAGTTCGCGTCAGTGTGCAGGCTTCCTCTGGTGGCTATCCTCCTTGGTTTTGTAGGTGAATTGAACTTACATAGTTGATCTTCTGGAATTGTGTAATATTTCAGATATGGTAAGCGGGCTATAGCACCAATACTAGCAGTACCACCAAGGCCAAGCACGATTATTAGAGACCTCTTGATTCTCCGGTTTAGTTGAAGCTTGCGGATAAGAAGCCATGGGATAATCGCGCAGCCCCAGTCCAGAATAATAGTCAATGCGGTGAATGGGTAGCTCAGGATTGCCAGCCAGTTGTGCAGAGGACAGGGTCCTAGGTCCAGGTCCCATTGAGCTCCCACAGGCCGGCAAGTGACGATGAGGACAATGACCACAGCTCCAGTGAAGATCGGGGTTGCCACCAGGGAGGCAGTGATAGGCCAGCGATATTTCGGCTGATCGGTCAGACGTAACAGTGTTACCGCAATTGCAGCTTTGATCAGATTTGTCGAGGCCGCATAAAACATTTGCCAGTTCCCCATCATAAGTGCGGCTTGTGCCGTCACCAGCTCATTGAGCTCGGCGTCTGGCGTACCGAGGCCATACCGTGCAGCAATGATGACGAACACGCACTCGGGTAAGAAGGTCAACTGTAGAAGCAATGGTGGTTAGCAGGAGACAAGTCAATCGGAGTAGTGTGAATAGATCACGCACAAAGCTCAACAAGGCGAGTGTGTCATCCCAGCCCCACGACCGTTCCTTGCGCAACAGCCAGGCTCGAACGAAAATTCGCAATATCATGCATAACCCACTAATAATGCAGAGAGTTGCTGATAGTCCTATCACAGCTATTGGAAACCCGCCGATTTTGATTGGATCCTGTTGCGATGCGAGGTCGATGAGCTCTTGACCAGTAAGCTTTTTGGGCGCCATGGGAATACCCATTAATGCCTCCAACCCGGGAGGCTTTGGTCCCCGAATCTGACTGGACTGCAGTCCACTTGCTCAGTATCGGGGGTTTTAGAAAAGAAACAAGAGAACCCAAACGACCGATTTTGGCCATCGGCATGAACATTTACACGATGGAGGTCAGAACCTAAAAGAACTTTCGGCAGTGGGCTTGAGGGAACGCATTCTCAATTTCAAACAGGCAACTAGATATTGGACGCCTATTCCGCTCCCCTCAAGCATCTCTGTATAACGCTCTCCTGAACATTTCACGCAAGGGTCGGGGCCGATCAGGTGCTCGAAACGGATTCCGGTGTGCAGGGTCCAATTGAAGGATCCGGCCCAAAACTCCCGCTACCGCACAGGCACGCCAACAACTCGGGACCGAGGCCTTCTTACGTGCAACGGCCCTATAATCCGGGGTCAAATCTCAGTACGTGGGATTGTAGGAGCGCTGGCCTGCTCAAGTCCACCCTGGAGGCGGTCTAGAGTGTTTTGGCATTGTAAAGCGACAAGGTTTACGACAGGAATACAGCTCGATCCATCACCAACGCGCGGTCTACCCGTCAAATCAGACCATGAGGCACTCACTAGACCCAAACTCTCTTGATCTGTGCTATGCTTGTCACTTAGCATGATGCGTCCCATGGGGGACAGTGCGACATGGCATAATTTGCCAGGCCTGCGCACTAGCGGTATCACAAGTTCGACCTGAAGAAACATAGCAGAGCCACACAAGGATTCGACACCCCCTAAACCCCCACCCGGCTCTCGCCAAAGCAAATGTCCGGCATTCGTTCCATGCCAAGGCAGCACCATATCAAACGTGATTCTTCTTCCCCCGTCCGACGTGGTTGTGTCGCTGCTAAGATGGCAAATAACGGCTTCGCATGGCTTTCTCGCTCAATTTTCGCTCAAAGTAATGGATGCTGTGTAACGATATATCAACTTGATTGCCACCCTACGATTACTGCCTCTGTTCGTCTTCCAATCGAACGCAGACGTGGTTTTAGCCCTGCAGCCGCTACAATTATAACTCCTGCTTAGGTAAAAGCGGGGTTTGCCTGGCTCTCCTGTGCAGGACAGTAGTCGCTGTGTAAGGCTGTCATAGTCTGGGTTTGACAAAACCACGCGATCTCTCTGGGACTGCGTCGACTTTTACCTTGATTCGCGGATCATACTTAATTTTTTGTTCCTCAACATAAGAAACAGTGGCTTCTAGTTTGACCCTTTGTCAACGGCATGGATCTCCTGGTTTGCGCAGTGCTTCCGGCTGTCCAGCTATTCGCCGTCGACAAAATTTGGCCGGAAGGATTGCGACAAAACTCACTCCCTGCTCTGCATATCGCTATTCTCACTTTCTTGGCACAGTACCTGACACTGAAGTTTTATCGTATTTTCCTGTACCATAGATACTTCTCACCCCTGCGTCATGTACCTGGCCCTACAGTGAGTCACCATGGTTACTGAGGAGAAGATTCATTCGTATGGTCTGACTTGAACCAAGAACAACAACCCCTTCTTCGGCCAGGGCCTCAATCTCATTCGCGCCGAGACTCCTTCTTCCCTGTATGTCGAGTGGATGAAGGAACACCCTGATGCCCCATTTATCCGCTATCTTGGCTTTCTCAATACAGAGGTCCTCGTGCCGAACAGTCTTGCCGCGTTCAAGAGTGTGCTTCACGACAATTGCTATGAATTCGTCAAGCCGCAGTGGTTCATCCAGGTAGTGAAAGAAGCTGCGGGTCATGGACTTATTCTCATGGAGGGCAAGGAGCATCGCGCTCATCGAAGAATGCTCACGAACTCTTTCTCCCTGAAGAGCATCCGCAAGCTCGAACCTGTATTCAAGGGAAAAGCTCAGGACATCTGCCGATACTTTGAGCAGCAGATCTCGGATCATGACGGGAAGACTGGGACATTCGACTGCATACATACCTTCATGAAGGCAATTCTAGACGTTATGGGAACAGTCGTTCTGGGCGTTGATCTTGACTACGTCAAATCTGGGGCCGAGGGCGATGATAACCTCAGGACAGGAAAGTCCTTCAAAGGCAAACAAGAGTGCAGCTTCCACGAGGCCTACGACGTCTTCTTCGCGCCGGACACAATGGGAAAGATAATGATGTTAGTGAATGCCCACATACCCGTGCGGTGGCTCCCTATCGAGACAAATCGCACATTCATGTTCGCCATGGACTGGCTGAACGATGTGCTCCGGACACTTATCCAAACGAGATATCGCGAAGTTGCGGACGCCAAAGCCGCTGGAACACACGAAATGAACAGCTCGCGCGACCTGGTCACATTCATCGTGGAGGAGAGCGGCCCTGGCGGCGCGACTGAGGGGATGGGCGAAGACGAGTTCCTCGGCCACCTCTTGGAGATCATGGCTGCAGGGCACGACACGTCTGCGAACATGCTGTCTTGGAGCTGCTACATAATGGCGACCAGGCAGGATATACAAGATCGGCTCCGTGCAGAGCTCGCTACCACCTCGCCCGATGCCTCGTTCGCGGAGCTGGATAAGTTACCCTACCTTGAGAACTTCGTCAAGGAGTCATTGAGAGTCTACTGTCCAGGTATGAGTATCCCGATGAGATATTCCACTCGTGTGATGTTGAGAAGCTAATTGTGGTCACAGCAACCACATATCATCGCGCAGCCAGCGAGGATGTCGTTGCCGAGGGCATAGCAATTCCAAAGGGCACTCTCCTCGACATCTGCCCATCAGTCACCCTCTTCAACCCAACAATTTGGGGAGAAGACGTCGACGAGGTGGACCCAACCCGTTGGGAGCGTCTGAAAGGCGATCAGCAGAACCCTTACGCATTTTCGGCATTCTCCAGCGGCCCCAGAATCTGCATTGGCCGCCTGTTCGCGCTGTTTGAGATCAAGATCATTTTGGCTGAGGTGGTGCGGAATTATCGCCTCCTTAGCGTCGAGAAACCGTTCAAGGTGGAAAATCCCAGCTTCACTTTACGGCCGGCAGGTATGGAGGTTCGACTAGAGAAAGTTTGAAAGTATCGACAGTCGTTTACCAGACATAGACGTACTTGATGATCACTGACGTGCCCTGGCTGGTCAACTTACTATGAGAATGGAAACGTCATCGCCGTAAAATACTATGTAGGATAGGACAACTTTTTTTTATCTATGCGCCAGTCACCAAACCCATTACCTTCCACACCCATTTTCCCAATAAGGGAAGCAATAATACAGATTGAAACATTCCTCAACTAGACCATTTCGAAAGGATTCCCCACCCCCCAAATCTTCCCTCTCCTTCAGATCATGCATCACAAATATTGTCTGACTATGATTTCAGCACATTGGGCACGAAGTGATCTTAGAATTTCACAGTGACTCACCTCATCATCCGTTGCCTTTTTGTGCACGAATGGGCATTTACACCAGATCCACGTCCATGTTGAGATCTATGCAGAACCTAGACGCTTAAACCGTGGCCTTGCGCTTCTTACTCGTCCTCGGACTCATGGCACAGCTGTTACACACGACATTCAGTCTGTCGGGTAGGGGGTAGTTCCTGAAGAATCTTCGTCAGTCTTTGTCGCGCAACTAACAAATCACCAGGGGTCAATGTTGACTTGCTCCCAGGCGCTCGTCGGATCGAGCATTTGTTCCCTTCGCACCCTCTGAAAACTCCCCTTGCCATCTTCAGCAAGATGCCGCTTTATACGATTGGCCACCGTGTCCCCCTTGGGATCGTCGTGACTCCATTGGACTTTCTCCTTCAAGGTTGGGTCGGAAAGCATGCATGCGGCTTGGCCGGCCTGAATGACAGATTCAACCGGAGTGTCAGCTGACTTGGGGCAATTGCAAATTCTTCGTAGGTAGAAAGCACGTACCACTATGGCTGCCGAGAAGGTTGTCCCGCTTTGCAATGTATTGTGCTCGACCGACATATCCGGCAGCAGTAAGTCTTTGCCCCTGAAGTGCAGAGGCTGCTTAGATTTGATTGTTCATGGTACGTTCAGGCCATTGGAATGAAAGTGCTCTGCAACGAAGAGCCAGACTCGGACTCGGGGTACTTACATTGCGTAACATGTGATCGGAACGCTGTTCGATGCCGGCGAGGTAAGCCTTGCAAGCTGTCCTTGACTACCCCACCATCGAGTCAACCATGCGATGTCGCCGTTTGGGGGCTGGCTGGCTCCTTGTGACTTTCTGTCCAGGTGTCTTACCTCGTTACTGCGCCCACGATAACCAGAGGTGAGGCATCGCGCTGGGATAATATGTTTGGCATGAAATCCCCAGTCTCTCCCGGCGGATCTCGCTTCCCTTCGTTTCCAGCCGCCACCGAGACCAGGACTCCTCCAATCCTGTCGATATCCTCGAGAGATCGGTCGACTTGACCACACCATTCTTGGAAGTTTTGCTCCGCTCCAAGGCCGTCCGTTCTCATGTCCTGGATGTCCCAGACTACAAGTTAAGAATGGAACTTGTTAGTAATTAAGACAACCACGACAGGGCCTGAAAGCTGCCACGCAAGGGAGCAATCATGCATTTACTCACGAGTATCTATAACAACCACGGTCTTTCCGGGAGGCAAGCTTTGGTCCTTCAGCTTATCCACAACGTGTTTTAAAGCGACGATAAGTGACAGTGCACAGATGTCTTCTTCGACCACTTCGTCTTCCTCGTTCAGAACCGCTCCGCCCGCCTTGATGAGGTACAATCCCGCGTGGCGTGCGACTCCGGTCCTCATTCCGCCAGCAAGAATGGCAGTCTGAGTGCCGTGACCCTCGGGAACGCCCTCAAATGGCTCGCCGTAGTCAAGTTCGTCGTCCGGCGGCCAGTGCAGGCCGGCCTCGACCTCATCTTCGTCGAGTTCACGATTTCTGACATGCTCCGGGACTTTCCATACCACCAGCGGTCGTGTCTCATTGGGTCTACCGAACTCCTGATGTCGAGCATGTTAGCCTATTCGTGCAGCAAAGTCACACCCCACCCAACGTCTGTCCGATGGCCTGTGTGTTTGGCCAAACCGAGTTACCTTGACTCACTTTTGGGAACTGCTCCCAATTATAGCCTGTATTTATTATGACAATCCATGTACCCTGGCCCAGGGCCCCTTCGCGATACGAGTACACTCCGGTATTGGGGTTGTCGTGATCCTTGGGCGAGGAGAGCAAACTAAGATGCAGGCGATCCAAGGCGTCCTCAGTCAAAATTGTAGTCATTTTCTCAGTAGGCTACTTCACGAATGCATCGCATTTCCAGGTCAAAGCATATTCATTGAGCAGCATAATAAAGAGCCTCACAATGCCCAGAGAATGGAATGTGACGTCATTCTCATTCATACAGTGCAAACCCGCCCGACTTGGCCTGATTGCTTGGCGTCTGGCCCATAGAGTGCGCAGTTTGAGTGCCGTCGTGATTCAGCAATTTGCACGTCAGATTGTCGTTTAAGTTCGAAGCACATCCTTTTCCTGGAACATCTTCCTTGTTTAGGTGTCGCTCAAGCAACCGCCGTGGCCGGGAAGTTACCCCTAATATTCAGTGCTCCGGCCGATGTGATAGGTGAAGAACTCATTCGCCTGAAATCCCGCTGACTCCAGAAGTCTTCTGGGCTCTCACTGGCTGCAACAGGTGCTATTTTGCGGGCTCTGTTCCTGCTCAACAGTCTCATGTCTTTCTCGAGAAGTCCCTTGATAATATTTCACAATCACGAATACAGGCTTGAAGCAAGGGCCCACCAGAGACAGGTCCAGATTGATTGGAAAGGGAAAAGGCACCCCATGCCCAAAATATCATGTGCAGCCGTGTGGACCAATCCTGTTATGCATGGTGCCATCAAGTTCTCATTTTATCATCACAAGTCGTCACTCTGACCCTTATTCAGGATTTATTAAATGAATGAGCTGCTCGTTATGGACATACAGTTTGCCCGTGGTTGAAGGTGGAACGTGAAAAGCTCCCTGCTAAGGTCGTGAAAACATCGCTAGCAAAGCGATGTTGCACTGAGGCAACGCGTGGCATCTTGGAATGGGCCTCACGCTGCGAAGATTCGACTTTCCCGGCTCCCTGAAAAACACCCCCACGCCCACCACCAGAGCCCGCGCCATAATATATTGCGCAGGCGCGTGTTCCGCGAAAATTAATTAGGAAAGTGCAAGTTGACGTCTAACACGGAGAATGGCGCATTTAATCGTCCGGATACTGGTCCCGAATGTTGCTCACGAACTTGTTCTCATGGTCATCCCAACGCTTGAAGTACCGGCCAGCTAGCTGCAGTAGCGCCTCTGTAGGCTGCTGCTTGAGGATTTGTATGTTTTCCTCGGCGACATAGCGGTGACTTTTGTCTTCAGCTATGATGTTGTAAAAGGGTTGATGTCGACCACGAGGCAGATTGTCAACTTGCATCCTCTCAATCCATCCGGAACCCGCCTCGCACTGCGCATCCCAGCCGACGATGAACCCCTTGTAGCTGTAGTGGCGATGTTCAAAATAGTGGCCAATTCGATACTGGACGCCGGCACCCTGTGCACCCCGGAGTTTCTGTTCTTTCGGCTCAGAGTCGTCTTCTATGATGCTATCAATGAACTCGACCATCCGTTGATACTCCGGGGCACCTTGTAGCATCGGCAAAATCAAATTCTGAATAATGGCAAAGTCCTCTGGGAACTGGTTATGGAATTGCTGTAGGAGCACCTGGAGGAACTCCCTTCGTTGCGGAGCCAGGCCGGCGTCGCTGTCGACAAGTAAAGACATAGCCCAGAAGGCGCCGTATTGAGCTGTTGCGGGATCCGGAGCGTAAGGATGCTCATGCGGGGGAGTATCACCTCCTTCATGGTGCAAGCGGGCGTTGTTGACAGACACCAGGATGTTGCGGGAAGCACGGATCAAGGTATCTCGGCCATCAGCAGGCCCAAGCTGCTGGTCATGATTACCTGCAGGTATGCCTGTCTGCAACAGGCGGAGGCGAAGTTGATCCTCGTGGAGCTGATGGGGTTGTTGCCACGTGTCGACGTGCAAGAATTCTGGGCCAGTATCTGTCGACTTGGGTTGCCCGTCGAGTGTCTGATCAGGCGGAGCCTGAACGACTGCATGAACATGTCTTGGGAAGTTGGATGGGGTCGCGATAACACCTAGTCTTCGAGCAACTGCACAGTAGATTGCCACGGATTGCAGGGGCAGAGACGCATGGATGGGCGAAAGCAGAGCTAGAGTAATGAAGTTGTTTCTCAGTGCGTGATAATTGGCCTCGTCAGGTTGCAGCGCAGGCATCCCGACAAGGCCGTCCGACCATAAGAAACCTGCAATCAATAGCGCCTTCTGCCGGACAGTCTTGTCATCGAAATCGGCATCTTGATCTCGAATAGATTGGGCAATGCTGTCAAAACGCCTCTCGACGGTCGAAAAGTCACCCAGACCGTTCCCGAGCACGAACATGTCGAAAGCACACAAAGCCTCCTCGGTAGTGATCTCGTCGCCGAGCTGAAATCTTCTCCACACCTCGACGGCCCTCGATCGATGCATCATCCGAAGAATGGCATCTGCGTGCCACCGTCTGGCCAAGACATCCTCGGCCTCATCAGGTGTCCGATTCCTCAGGTTGAGCACAAGGTCCTGGACGTTGAGGCCTTTCTCGGCGATCTCATGCATCCGGTGTAGCCTCTTCTGTTGTGTCGAGACTAGGTCCTGGAAAAGAAGCGCTGCCGCGAGGTCGTCATTCACGCGTTGGAGAAAGAGCTGTCGCCAATCGGTCTGGAGGGGCGGCTGGGTGAGCTTGGCCGGAAGCTCATACTGAGGATCCCAGTGTCGCCATGTTGTGATGCAGTGCTGGCGCCAGACCGGGCTGGTGCAGACGACCTTGCGAAGACGTCGGCAGGTCAGACCGAATGCTGCGGTGTCGGCTGCAGCGGGAATGTAGCAGACGATGGCGCCCAGGAGCTCGTCTGGGAGCTCAAGCAGTCGCGACAAGTCGTCCATCTCGCCTATCGACGAACGGGATTCAGGACCGTGGCAATTCTGACAGGTGTGACCTGGGAATGCGCCCTACATGCTGTCGTCGCAATGAGATGCGGTGATGGTTGATGACGTTTGGGTTTCAAACCGGCACAGCGAATGGTGTGTCAGTGAGCAAACGCTAGCTTTTTCGGGTAGTGTCTCACCGATAAATTCTTCAGCGCCCTATTCGGGCAACTCCAAATCCACAGCAGAGCTGTTTTTCATGGCATCGCGACATCGACCGTCTGTCTCTTCTTGCGGGACATGAGGCTCTGTCCCTGAGAGTAGACAGATCATAAATCGATAGAATTGCCAAAACTGCCACAGAACACCTTTGTTGAGTGATGAGCCCTAAATCCTTCACATCCTGGTGCCTAAGGCCCTTGATAGCTGCTCCGTGCCTCCTGAGTTCTACAAACAGTACAAATTTTGATCCCATGGACAACAAAGCCATTCTCATAGAAAGAATTAATCACTCCAATACTAACAAGGGAATTTTTTACGTCGTTAATGGCACTGACGAGTGAAACTCACTGACACTGGGTAAAACGAGCATTCTAAGTCTACCCCATTTAATCACATGCTTGGAACTAGACCAATGAGGGTACTGGAGCAAATTGGATGGTGGTTGATCGAGTTGAATAAATACAGTCAGAGAGGAACGAGAAGCACTAGGATGTTTATGTTACACTTCTTTCCTTCTAGTCCTTATCTCTCCTTCTGATCCTTTCCCTCAAAGCACCAACATGAAGCTTGAGCTCATGGCTCCGTGCAAATAACTTAGGAAATCATTGTGGTCTCCTTGTTGGCGCTGTTCATGTTCTTGCTCGGGCTGCAGATGGGCTACGTCCACCACAATCGAGGTTCCTGCAATTGGACGAAGCAGCGATTCCCTTCCCAATGTTTCCAGGGCACCAACAGGGGTACATTCCAAGATCTCTCATTGCCCGTGTGCAACTATTAGAGGTTGGGCCCTTGATATGCTTCAACAGGGTGGATGCTGCAAGCTGTAGGAGCCCCTGAGGCTCGTCTCCAGCTGCATCCCTGAAGATCATGCTGACAACGGACGGGAGGTGCTTCTGTGCGGCGGATTCGGGGCAAAGTCGATGAAGGGTCTGCTCATCAATTGTTCCGCGGATATGCTCCAGATATTGGAAACATATCCTGTGCAACTGAAAATAGTCGAAAGCCATCAGCCGGTTTTCATTATACACAATATTGCTCAAGCCATAGATGAGCTCATGTATCGGCATGTTGTCAGGAGCTGGCTTTGCAGAGGGATCTGCCTGGCCAGGAGCTTCCAATAGAATTTTGCCATCCTCTTTCATTACGAAGCGGCGACCGGTTTCTTCAATCATCTGCTGGAGATCGCAGACCGTCAAGCCCCGAAGAGCAGTCTTCCAGTAGAGATTCATGAACTGCATCGCAAATTCGCCCTTGTGCTTCAGTGTTCCTCTCTCGGTCTTCTTATTCTTGCCCCTCTTTGAGGCCGATTTACGTGTTGTAAATCCTGATTTCAGGCTGAGGTTCTGAAGGTACCCCCGGGGTGTGGTCGGAGTGTCGCCGACAAAAAAGGTGTCAAGGCCTTGCTGCAGGACAAAAAGTCAGCCATCAAAATAGTGGAGGCGGAATTGCATAACAAAGAGTGGCAAAATGGAACAGTGAAAGGTATCGCCTGTTTCAAGATCCGCATGCTGACATTAGGTTTCGACAAGGCCCGACATGGACCTCTGTATAGAAATCTTCTGGCTCGGTGAATGGAAAAAATGACTTTTTGGGGCTACTTACCAAGGTCATAAGAGTCTCAATATCTCTCCATGTTTGATTCGGGCCCAGCACTCCTTCTTGTTTGAGTGCGTGGTAGAGCTGGAACGACTGATGAACGTAGCCAAAGGCACTGGCAAATTTGACACCAATATTTTGGAATTGGGCCCTCATGTAGTACGCCCACAGGCCACAATAGAGTGGATGGCGTCGTAGAAACTGATTGGGCTTGATGGACCACCCCCTCCTTGTTTTGCAAGGAGCAGTTGGGTCCGAGCCCCATCCTGATGACTCCTGGATCAACTGCTTGACCAGACCCTTCACAGCAGGCCAACCCTCGACGAGGTGAACATCACCTGGAGACTCGAGCGCTTTTGCGAGACTGGATCTGATCCTCTCACTCGTAAGCATCAGCTCATGCCAGGGTAGATCCAAGCTTCCCCGCAGCTCCACAAGTGTGTCAAGATATGTCCGGGCCGCGAAACACAGCCAAAGGGGTACTTTATTCGTCTTGTGCATGACTCTGACTCCATGGGCGAACTCGTCATTTAGAACCTCTTTTCCAGAGGCCATGGAAAGAATACTCATGTCTGGAAGAACCTCCGCAAGCGCCGAATAGTCTTGATTGTACCTCTCCCGATTTGTGGCGGATTCCATGTCCATGTCCTCATCGTACCATCCATGAGAACCGTCGTAGACCTTGATGGTGCTGAGTGAGCTGGATCTTCTGTAATCATCCAGCATTCGGCACATAAGGCACAGCTCCATGAGAGGTTTCTCATTATCGTAGGCAACGAATTTGATATCGTCTGTGCACCGTTCACGAGGACTGAGTTCGTCGGCCAGCACCGCGCAGCCTGCTCTAAACATCACTTCCGCAAAGAAAAGCACGCCCCCGAACTTCTCAATCTGTGGTGCAAGCTTTTCTTCCCTCTCCCGGTAGACTGCAATAGCCGCGGTGGTACTGACGGCAATACCGTCAAGAGGAAATTCTCCAAGTTTATAGCTTTGCCAGAAGCACCGAATTGTCTTACGCAGATATTGACCAAGATGCATGAGTGCGACAAAAGCTAGGAAGGCATCGCTCATGCTGTCTTCAAGCTTGATCTCATACTTCTCGTCGGACTGAAGAGGCACGGCTGAGTCAGGTGGGTCAGGAATGTCTTGCTTTGTTTCATAAAAATTGAGCACGTCGAAGAGGTTTCCCGTAGTGTTCCTCTCATCATTCGCTCCCGTCGAGCCTGCGATTGCAGCTTCCGTGGTATCTTGGACGACTGACGGTCGATCGAGTGTGTCCACTTGCATGTTCGGCTTGAGGATATCGCGGACTTTCTCCAGAACGCCAAGGAAATGGCTGTGACTAGCATCGGATATCTCGTCGACTTGCTCGGACTTCTCTCCCAGAATACGGGAGAATGTGGCTCGTACCTTAATGACGCGGTTGAGCGTGATGCTGAGAAACAAGGGAACCTGAATCGCAGGGTCCGCATTTGCAATGAATGTAGCTAGAGAAATGAATTCTCTTATGGCCAGTGCGTGAGTTGGTTTGTTCGCACTTGAAGTTGCATGTTGGCTGGTAGCTTTTGTGACCGTCTTGGCTTCCTTCCTTGCCTTGCCCGTAAGCCGTCCACCAGCATGGGGCACATTCTCTTGGTGGAGGGCAGCTCCATAGCCGTTGGTTTTGGCCGTATTGGCTAGCCATGTTGCAATGGCATTAGTGTCGCGCTTGTACATCTGATAAACATCACTTAATGACTCTGGGACCATGTTGACAGTTGGCTTGTAGAATCGATGGGGTTGGCTGCTGATATTGCGAAGTGGATTGTTATTATGCTGTCCACGACGACTTTGAAAGATGGGGAAGGTTAGAAATGGAGCTGAGTTGCGTGTCGCAGTACCTTCTTATAGAATTGAAGTCTTGCAAGGGTGAATAAAACGAATAATAAGCAGATCAAACGAAAGTGAATACCGTTTCGAGTCACAGCCAGCTAGCCAGAGTGACATGGAGTATCCGCCATGCACGCCATCATCTAGGTAGGCTCTAACTTCACAGGTGAAACCTTTACTATGAGGTGCAATTCGGCCATGTTAATTGCTGGTGCTCGGATTTGGCAGTAACATATAATTGAAAACTGAGAAAGCGGAGGGATCTTGGAAGTATTCATCTGGCAATGGGTAGTCAACAAGATTGAAATGTCTAATACTGAGCACTTACAACTCAATCATGAGACCAGGTTGAGAGGTCTCGGGACTGGGAAACCTTTATATTGTTTTTGAGCCATTTGTTTCAGCAACTTGGGTAATCGATGTGTGACTGTCTCCCATGACACGAAAACTTTATGATGATGACTATCTCCTGGGTTGGTTTCAGTGTTATTGTGTAAAGCTGTGCAGCAAACGCAAATGTAGACACTGGCATGCTCTGAATTTCACCATCACATCTCCTCAAACGCGTTTTCCCATCCATTTGACGACCGGGCCCAAAGCTGAACTTGTCATCTACAGTGAGTTCAGTCTAATTATCCATCAGACCTGACTGCGTTGCTGGGTCAAGTGTCAAACTAAATACGTAGTGCTCGACTCTAATTGTTTGCTGGGGATTGAGTCAAGGGTTTTTGAACAATGCAATGATGATGGCCTGTTCTAAGCAAAAGTGTTTCTGGTTTGGCATTACCACTGCCAGATATTCCCAATGTTCATCGCAGGAGGGGCTAGTGTGAGAATTGTGTTGGTCTTCCATCCTATGTTGACTGCACGGAATAATGACTGGCTGGACAATTCAGTGGCTGCCTATCGTATCCCTAGACACCCCTCACCCCTGCTAGCTGGAACTGCTCCAGCCATCCCCGCTTCACCGTGATCCTATTCTGCAAACAACTTGGAAGAATCAGCCCAGTCGATTAAAGTTCGCATTCTGATTCAGAATAATTTCACCATCGAAATTCCGGACATTTTGATTGAAGATGGCAGACAAAGACCAAGCCGAACATCCACAATCCTCTTCCGATGACCAGCTCCCACCTCCAGAGTCACCACACCCAAGCAGCCTGACCGCAACATGTCACTGCGGTCGCATCAACGTCGAGATGCCCTCTCTGCCCGCCAAGATCAACGAGTGTCGCTGCAGCGTTTGCTACCGCTACGGTGCGCTGTGGGCATACTTTCACCTCGACGACGTCAATGTTATCGTCAACGTCCAGGCATCGCGGCCAGCCCCGAAAGACTCGCCGGCTCGGCGAGAGCCTCTCATTTCGAAGGGGGAGAATGAAGATTCTAACTGTCTGCAATTGTACGTAAGAACTGACGGAGATGGGGACATTGGGTTTCATTTCTGTGGAAATTGCGGCTGCTTGACACACTGGGCGCCAACTGAGCAGGGCCTGGCATTTCTGAAGAAAGAGAAGGAGACGAAGGGAGCTGAAGCGCATGAGCCCAAAGTTGGTGTGAATTGTCGTATGTTGCCGCCAAATGTGCTCGAGGGAGTGGAAAAGAAGACCGGACCGCTGGGCGAGCTTTCTCGATGGGACTGGAAGGAAGCCCAACTGTAATCTTCGAATTGGGCGGACAAGACAGGTTTCGCTGGGCTTCGTGTTTGAACTTTCCATCCACTTCGTTCAATCTGAGTTGCATGACCAAGCAGCCGGTATGCCTACCAGCCTTCGCTACCAAGGCCGAACAAGCGAATTTGATTACCCAGAGAAGAGATTGGCAGAATGATGAAGAGATCTTTCTATTGGTTCCAAGTCTACCAACTGAGAAACTTCTATCCGTGTCTAGGTGATGCATACCCAAGATCTAAGCCATCTGATGCGTCCCGTACCCAGTTATTGCGCCTGTACAAAAGAAATAAGAGTTGTGGGCTTTCGTTGGCAATAATATCTCTCTATGCTCCCTCTTCACATCCCACTGGTTTTAAATACCTGCTCGTAAATGCCGTCTTGGAGCCTCATATCTACAAAATTTGTGCAAGACTACCAGATACAGTTAGCAAGGTCCCGGAAGCAAGAAGCTAATCGTGCAGGTACTTTGGAAGTGACTTACAGTAAGAAAACATCAATCATAAGAATATGGACGGTGTTGTGGCTTCACCGTTAGGACTATAGCTGTGAGTCAGTATGAGATGCTCCGGGATTCGTCCAAGCTGTTGTACTTACGGTGGAAGAGTCAACAGTAGCATCCAGGGTGCCGGCCCAGACGTTGGTGGCATGGATGGCACCAGTGCAGGTGGCAACACTGTCTGAGCCGACAGTGCACTTGGCAGCGAAGGAATCAACGGTGGCCCCGCGGGCCTTGAAGGCCGGAGCCGGGGTCGCGATGGACTGGGCGACGGTGGAGGTCACGGATGCTACCTCGGGAACCGAGAACACGGCAGCAGCCGTGGGTGCAGGCATCGGGGCCGGGGCCGGGGCGGCGACGACAAGGGTGGCAGCGGCGACCAGAGCCAGGACGACGGAAGAAATGCACTGCATCTTGGCTGGTTTGGTTGGTGGTGTGGGATGTGTTTCGGTTGGGTGGTGGCCACGTGGGGGCTGTGCAAGGGTTGCAGATGGCGGATGTCTTGGTGATCGACGTTGGGCTTGAGATCGAACGATGATAGAATGGCTGAAAGGCGGGAAGTGTACTTCGAGGGTAGATGATTGGACGAACTGGTGCTCTCTATGCAGGGTCTTGATGCTTGAGTGTCTGGATGGATGTATTGTCGATCAGGGTCTTGGATCTCGATGATGATGATGGTCCACTGTGGCAAGATGCTTAAGTGGCGATGTCGACCGATCTTATATGTTGAACTTCTGTCTCTTCGTGATACTCTCTGTGAGCGCTTGATATGTTTGGGACCAAATTCGAGTGCTGTTTGACACACGGAAGTTTACCTAGCAGGTCAGCGATTATCCACCTGAGAATCAGCTGCCTGACTGGCAAACACCAATGATATTACGCCTTTACGTGAAGAGAAACCCGTTTGTTGAGACACATGAGAAGTTCAAAATGCCATTCCAGGAAGTGTGGAATTCGTGAATACGCATTGCCTTACGTCGGCTATTTGACGCGCAGTCAGGCCCTGGACAACGTGCACGGCTGGCCGGGTCAGGGACTGGTCGTAATGGGGCGGCCACATGGCATTTTAGCACCCTGCAGATGCCATCAGCGAATCGGAATCACAAATTCATTTTGGAGAGACCTTGGGGTCGGTGCGAACGCCTCGGAGATTTCAAATAGACCCTGCGTCTGCTGCACAGGAGCAGAGGTGTCATCAAGCGCAGAGAGCTAGATCCCACGATGGTCAGCCCGCCAATGATAAGGCAGCGTGCAACCAAAGGATCATGCCAGGTGCTAGTTTGCGCCGGCACGTATGCAAGCAACAGGGCATGTAAGACGGGTTGGAGGGCCAACTTGATGCAAGCTGCACGAAATGGAAGATCGACAGAGGTTCTGCTCTGCTGAGGAAAGTCGCACAAATCAAGCATTCGTCCCTTAGCATCCCGCAATCCCGCCGGCTGGGCAGGCTGGGCAGCTGTGAGATGTCTGATAGAGGGCACTGTCGCGCATGTCTTGGCCAGCTTCCCAGTCACTGATCTATATCACGCTTCTCTCTTGGCTCAGCCCGAAGGCTGAGCGCTAAAGACTCGAGTCGTTCAGCTGGAAATAAGGCGAGTTTAAAGCGATGGGTGTCCTTGTTCTGCACTATCGCAGGATGAGATTGATCCACTTCCCGTACCCAGATAGTCAGCTGGGTACACTAAGCCAGTCAGGCACCAAACTCAAACAGAATCCTCAGCCAAGTCCAGTGCGCCCGAAATGATCAAGCTCGCGGGGGCTAAGGCAGTGTGACCGTCTCAAAGCTTCGCTTTACGCCGAGACAATATTGGTTGTGTCAACAAGCACTTTGCCCGGCTTTGCAACTTTTGCCAGGGATTTGAATGGAGAGAAAGACCTCGCGCTAAACTCAAGCTATTTTTGTAGTTGAATTCTTTCTTTTCTATACTATTCAAGCATCCTCGATACTGGGGAACCTTGCCATGTCTTCCTCCCCGCGAGGTACAGACGTTGGCCCACCTGTCACGGGATCATTCGACACGTAGATATGCTGCTCCACCCAAATACGCCTCTCCTTCAATTTTGGGGTCGACTGTCGAGCCTGCTCATCGGTCACCGATGACTGCCCGGCCGTGACAGGCGGAGCTGAGTCAACAAGCGGGAGTTCTGACTCCCGCCGTTCGAGCTCAGAGGTGTCACTGGGGCCTCCTGCTGCATGTTGCGCAGGATTGAAAACCCCAGGCGACGTGACCGAGACTTGCGTAGAGCATACGCCGGCATACATTGGCATGGGCGGCTGCAGATTGCTCTCCCTCTTCCCGCTGTGACAACTCACCCACGTCGCCGTGGACCCAACCTTCGAGCTCCGCGGCGTCGTCAGGCTAAAGCGAGCCGTGCGCGACGTCTGGTGCCACGCTGCAATCTTACTCGGTAGATAGCGGAGCATGAGGAGTCGTGTGGCTGGAAGGCAGGCAATTATGATACCCACTGTCATCTCGACATTGGACCAAGTAGCTAGCCAGGTCAGGTCCTCTGTAGGGGTGAAAGACGTGTCAGTCCACGTGGCTGCCAGGATTGACAGAGCACTGTCACATAAGGCCCACCTCCGGGTCACTTGGTGAAGGAATGGGAGTGACGTGCTTACTTGTGGGGTTGTGTCCATTGGTCAGAGTAATCATACATTCGAGGCGCAATACGCTGACTATAGTCAAGCTATTCCAGTGCCAAGCTTCTGTCAGCGGGATGTCTGGCAATAAGGAGGGTTAAATAACAAAAGGGTTCGGCAGCCATTTATTATTGCACGATGTGGAACTCACAATATCCCGCATCCAAACATCACGAATGCATCCAATCTCTTTCTGAGCGGGAGGTTTAGCTTCTTGACTTGCCAAAACGGCAATGCCAGCATCCAGAGGTCCAGCGCAATGAAGAGAATTGATTGCGTCCAGGACAGATTGCTGAACTTGAGACATTTCCCTTGGGACTCGCCATGCCACATATTCCAAAAGTAACTTGGTGGTGTACACTGGAAGGCGTAGGCCAAAATGAAAGTGATCATGAGAGCAACGTTGAAGGCCTGTGTTGCCCAGACAATCCGGCGGAATTTCTTGTTCGGGAACAGCCGCAGGTAAATGAAGCATATCGATGCCCTTATCAACGTCATGGTAATGGTGTATATGAAAGCAAAGACATAAAAGATCTTGAGGTGATTTGTAATTTCCTCCGGCGCGAGCGTCCAGATATCACGGCCCATGCCCGCCTGTAATTGCAACTGACGGCCTGTGATGACGCCGATTGTAGCTGCAAAGGCACCAACTATGGTAACGTCATCCCATCCCCAATTGGACAGTTTGAGTACCCGTGTGAGCATCCGCAATATAAAGAATACCGTCTGGATTCCGAAAAGGACGAGGAAAGCGATGGATATGCTGCTCAGATGAGGTGGCGTGGGATGTTCGCAGTTCGTGACAGTGAAATTCTTTACCACTGCGTGAATGTGAGCCGGAGTAAACAGAAATCAGTGACATATTTCGTACTCAATCCTTGCTTTATGCTGCAAGTGCCCGACACGCAGTCCGCAAAGGGACTGGGGCTACTTCGCTCTATTTCCACACATAGACAGGTTGCGTTCGTCGCATCGCAGGATGAGGATCTTATGAGGGAAGTCACGCAATCCATCTGCAGTCAGCATTTGATTAGTAAAATCTGGTTTCTCAAAAGCGTTCTGTGGTTTTGACTTCACATACACCACACGGTGGTAGGCCACCGAAATTCATAGCCATTCGTTTTGCTTCTAGGCCGACGGGCGGTACCTCAACGACGTTGATTGTGAAGAATCCAGACTGCAAATCTCTCTGCACCAAGTAATCGGGTCGTGGATGCGTTTTTGAGCATTCCCTTAGCCCCTACTTGCGAGGGAACCCAGCGGGCGTCTATCGCCGGTGTCTCGGCTGGGCTGAAAGTCCATTTGTCCGTGAGCCTACGCTATCACAAAGCAAGCAAGTACCAGGCAACGTCCAGAGCATCGCGCACCAACGCCAACAGCGCAATGGCATTTGAGCTCATGTGAGGTTGAAGATCTTGAGCGTTGTCGAAGTTCCGCCAAGCCTAAATCAAAGCAGTGCATCGGCGCCGTCGAGGCCCGGACAAAGACAGCAGGGGCCGTGCATCTGTCTGTTATTGGCGTGGAAGCGAGACAGGCGGCTGTTCGACATTGCCAACCAAATCCGGAGAGCGAATATAGCGCATCCGAGACGTTCCGTTCAATGACTCTGCTGTGATGACTGATCATCTCTGGTGAGTTTGTGGTTCCGATTTGCACTGATCACATGTTGTTCCAGTGCTTCGTGACCAAAACATCACTACAGCAGCGTTTCTCTACCGCGTGGGGTCCAGCCTTGTAATTTTCGAATCAGCTCACGCTATGATACAAGATTTGCTTATGCAATGATGAATAAACAAAGTTTTCTGCTGGAAGAAATTTTAGATTGATAGCCCTTCTCCTCCAAACGGTGCCGGAATGGGTATGTCTCAAAGGCAGCGCACCAGCCATCAGAGTCAAGTCACCAGTTTCTACGTACGGGCTTATCTTTCCACTTTTAGAAGGTTTTAGGATTCTAATAATCCATTGATTTCCAACTTACAAATGTCTTTGTCAGCGGGTTCATGACCACGTCTCAGGGGCACCTTTGTCGAGTGCACCGTTGGAGTCGCCGCATTCACTCAAGCGCCCTACAGCAGCCAACCCGGGAATTTGGATGATTCAGAATAGTCTCGCATGGCAAATTCCATGTGTACTACACGCAGAAGCCGTGCCTGGATTGGCTTGTCCAGCTGAGTTGGCCGTTGACAATCCACGGACTCGAGGCTTTCATAATGGCCGTGGTACAGATGGATTAAAAAGTCCCGTACTTAGAATTTGAAGGTTCACGACATACGTTATGATGGCATTTCTTTTCTTCCATTCATCGTGCCTTCGACACGTCCATGCCCTTCTAGAACAGTCTTGATGTCTCACTGCTCTTCATGTAAATGACTTGGGTGCTTCGTTGTGGCTTTCTAGATCTTTTGGAATTACACTAGCAGACATGCTGGTCTCGGGAACTGTATTCTTTCGAACGCCTATACACAGGATTATGTTGCTCATGTACCTATATACGAATGGGCTGCGACTTTAAGAAGTGGCATCAACTCTTTATGCCAAGTCAAGCCTCAGCTCTCGGGAATCCTCGAAATGGGGTCACTGTGTGACGACAAGGGTCCAACCCTGGAACGGCAACACACGATGCTAGCCAATGGCAGAACACGACGGGCTCGGTGGAGATGCCATGACCGTTTTGCCCACAGTGCTGCGGGGCACGTTTTAACGGTTGCAGTCAGCAGATCATCCGTCTGGTCATTCAAAGTCATCGACCTGAGAAGAAAGGACGGGACAAGGACCAGACCTCACGACAAAGAAGGCACTTCATGCACAATTAAAGTAATGGCCGAGCAGGACTCGCAATCGTGCAAGGAATCAGGCCTGTCTCGTGAGTATCGCCCCAATCAAGGCCGTGGTGACACAAAACGCCGCCTCTCTAGTTCCGCTCACATGCATGCAATGGCAGGCCTTCCCCTCGAGCTGCGGCTCAGAATCTGGGAGGAGACGTGGCCCTCTGCACGCCTCATCGAGGTCTCGCTGCCGCCCGGGGGCTCCGGCGGCGGCGCACCTCGGCGCATCAAGCCCAGCCGGCAGGTCGGCGCCGAGAAGGTGACGGCGTGGGACTCGCAGGCCAAGCGGCTGGAGGACGTGTCATGCCGGCCGTACTCGCACCCCGTGGCGCTGCAGGTGTGCCGCGAGTCCCGCGACCACACGCTGGCGACATACCGGCGGCTGCAGCACTCGACGGTGGCCGACTGCGCCTTCTACTTCGACCCGGGCCGCGACGTGCTGTGGCTGCACCGCGACCTGAGCCAGTTCGACACGGCCAGCCTGAGCCACGTGGAGCGGGTGCTGTTCAAGGATGTCGAGCGGTTCGACGACAGCGGCGCCGACAAGAAGCAGCGGCGCCGTGAACTGCTTGAGATGGTCGAGTCGATGGGCCATGTCCGCGAGGTCATGGTGCTCGTGCACTGGACCAGCATCGCCGACCTCGACGGCGATCCCGGCAAGAACAGCGAGACGCTGTACGACTGGATGCAGTACTATATGTTCATGCTGGACGAGAGCTGGGAGCTGCTGGACCACCAGCCCTGGGTGCTGCAATTCCTGAGCACCTGGGACGAGTGCGGCGTGTGCTTCGAGGCGCGGGGCGAGGCGAAACTCTGGGGCGATGCCAGGGAGGGCCCGCTGTATGGCTGTCCTAGTCACGATGTGGTCTACCGAAAGCGCCTGGTCGAGCGCTTCCCCAAAAGATTCGTCGATGTCCACAGGATTTGACTTCCGCGGTGATGATGATGTGAGGGTGCACTCTGATGATTGAGGCCTTCAGGCGCAGCAGTCTTCCCCCGCAGCACGTGGGCAGCCGGCCGTCGTCAACTTCTTACCGATGCATTGGTGATGCTACATCCTATAGCTGCACGATGTCATTACCTGTTCACGCCCTCACGAACACTCATTTTCCCACATATGGGGAAAACAAATAACCCCGGATAAGCCGGGTTCCATTCCCATGAATTCAAGTGCAATTTATCAACCCCATCATTTCCCCGCGATGACACTAACCAGCCCCACTTGGCTGATCGCGGTGTTGCATCCCGGGAGTTCAAGAGCACTCGTGCGAGTCAATGCCCACTCAAGCCCTCGTTATGCCTGGCCAGACAGCTGGAGTGACGTTGATATAAATGTGAAAACAACGCCAGCCCGCCCCAACTCGAACCTGCCTAAGGGATTCGCATTTGAGCCCGCCCCTCTATTCTTGAGCAAAGCTGAAGTTCGCGGACGTGAACCAAGTCAATACTCTTTTGGTCAAGATGCTGAAATCCGTCTTCGCATCGTCCCTGTTTCTTTTGGCCACAGCCGTGAGCGGCTTGACCACGCCTGCGCCACCAGGCCTAGAGTTCCTTTACTCGCTCAACTGTACTCTCGGGGAGCGCTTTAGCACGGGGGTCGGGCCGTACGGTGATGTCCGCGTGATTCCCATCACCGGCGGAACCTTCGAGGGCCCCAAGATTAAGGGTACGTGCTGCCATGTTTTACCCCACACCTTTGAACATATTTCCCTCTCTCTCTCTCCGTACATGGCGTACACGGGAACTTGTCGCTGACGATGTGCTGCATAGGCGAGGTGCTCAACTTGGGCGCGGACTGGAACTACCTCGACAATCAGGGCGTCTCGCACCCTGACACTAGGTACTCGCTTAGAACTGACGACGGCGAGAATATCTACATCAAGACGGCTGGGTCCAACCAGGACAACGGTCTTACTTACCTTCGGGGTATATATGAGACCGGCTCGGAGAAGTACTTTTGGCTGAACTATGTTACTGCTGTCGGTGTTCTGCGCAGTGGTGGAGGCGACTGGGTTTGGATCGATATGTGGTATCTCACTGCGCCTCCGAACGGGACTGTTGGTAGTACATAGTCTCTGGTGAAGAGGAGCATCATTTGAGGGGTTCTGTGATCCTGCGATGTCGTCTCCTTGGTGCTCGGAAATGTGTACAGGTATGGCGGTGAGACAGGCCATGGACTGACAACGAATGTAAATACATGCCGGCTATTTATCGTTAATACCATGTATCCAAGAAGGTCACAGACTACGTGGTGGTTGAGATGGGTGAAAAGTGTTGGGCATCCAGCTCAGTGCAGCTGTACCTATCTACCCCTCGCCTGGCGCCATCTGGACCCAGAATGACCCCACACATGCCCACACCACCGGGACTTTGCCAGCCTCAGGGACGTCCCTGTCAGCGGCGCCTCCCGAGGGCCTGGAGGAACTTGACCATAAACAGTCGACTTCTGTTTTGACTTCGACAACAAAGCTACAAACCACACTCACTTTCCTTCACATTTGTTCTTGCAGCCACTATGACGACCAGACCACCTCCAGCCCCGACAGCTTCCGATGACGGATCATACTATGATCTCGGCACTTATCATCGAGAGGTGAGCACCAGCAACAAGGAGGCACAGACATGGTTTGACAGAGGCCTGATATGGTCCTACGCCTTCAACCATGAGGAATCCGCGGCTTGTTTTCAGCAAGCCATCGACCTGGACCCAGACTTTCCCATGGCTTACTGGGGCTTAGCCTATGCTCTAGGGCCAAACTATAACAAGCCCTGGGAATTCTTCGAGGGACGCGAGATGGAGACCACAGTCGAGAGGTCGTACCGAGCAGTGAAGCATGCGCTCAAGATCTCGGACAAGGCGACGCCCGTCGAGAGGGCCCTTATCGAAGCTCTCAAGCACCGCTATCCTCAAGAGCATCAGATCTCGGCAGACAGCAAGGATCCAGCCCACAGTGCGATTTGGAACAAAGCCTATGCTGAGGCAATGCGTGGCGTGTATGCAGCTCATTCTCACGACCTCGACGTGGCCGCGCTGTTCGTCGATTCGCTCATGAACCTCACGCCCTGGAAGCTCTGGGATATTCGGACCGGCGAGCCAGCGCCCGGTGCCTTCACTCTGGAAGCAAAAGAGGCCCTGGACAAGGCAATTGAACAGCCTGGCGGCGACAGCCACCCAGGTCTGTTACACCTGTGGATCCATCTCATGGAAATGAGTAGCCATCCCGAGGCTGCCTTGCCTCGCGCAAACAAACTCCGCTTGCTTGTGCCAGACGGAGGACACCTCAATCACATGCCCTCGCACCTCGATGTTCTCTCCGGGCATTATGCAGACGCCGTCGACGCCAACTCAGCCGCCATCCGTGCCGACGAGAAGTTCCTGGCACGAGCAGGACCAATGAACTTTTACACCCTCTACCGCTCCCACGATTACCACTTCCGAATTTACGCCGCCATGTTCTCTGCCCAGTCGAAAGTCGCACTGGAGACCGTGAAGCAGCTGGAAGCGTCACTGCCAGAGGGGCTCCTCCGTATCGATTCCCCACCAATGGCTAACTGGCTGGAGGCATTCGTGGCCGTCCGCGTTCACGTCTACGTTCGGTTCGGCCGATGGGAGGACCTTGTGGCTCTCCCGTTGCCCGCAGACCCGAAACTGTACAGCTTCACAACCGCAGTGTACCTCTACGGCAAAGGTCTTGCTCTAGCCGCACTCGGTCGCGTGGACGAAGCCGAGCAGGAGCGCGAGAAATTCGAAGCTCAACGGGCAACCGTCCCGAAATCCCGCACGCTCTTCAACAACACCTGCGTCGATATCCTCTCCATCGCTAGCGCCATGCTCGCCGGCGAGATAGAGTACCGGCGCGGCAACGTGGAGCCGGCCTTCGAGCACCTTCGCGAGGCCATCCGGCGCGACGACGGGCTCGACTATGACGAGCCGTGGGGCTGGATGCAGCCGACGCGACACGCGCTCTCGGCGCTGCTGCTCGAGCAGGCCCGCCCCGAGGAGGCGGCCGCGATTTACCGGGCCGACCTCGGACTTGACGACACGCTGCCGCGGACGTTCCAGCACAGGAATAATGTCTGGTCGCTGCATGGGTACCACGAGAGCTTGCTGAAGCTTGGACGGGAGGACGAGGCACGCGAGATTGAGCCGCAGCTTAAGGCTGCTCTGGAGGTTGCTGATGTGCCGATCAAGGCGTCTTGCTTCTGCCGGTTGAAGCTGTGATTGTGTGGCTTTGCAAACGGCTTGCGTGCTTCGCTGCATGTTGCACTGGCCATGTTCACCATCATACGACAGGCTACTTGGCCTCACATACAATCAGTCCAGATTGCCATCACCGAATGAATGAGACGAAGAAGAGTCGGGACGATCTCTGCACTGGCTTCGACAGATGGTGAGATTTCGCCGCAAAAAGGACTACTGAACCGCGGCTGACCAATTCATGCTCTACATTGCACTTAAATGCTGTCGGACATGAGAAGGCTGTCGAAGCTCAATTAGATAGGTATCGCACAAAGGTTCTAGATGCAAGACTGAGAGAAATCATAGAGACACAGCGATAGTCTAGATGTCAACATTCGCAGAGATTCATCAAGCAGAAAACAATATCGTGAGCATCTACAGCTTGGAATCCCTCTTCTTCTTCTCGTACACCACGACCTCAATCCCGCCCTTGACTCCTCCGTCCTTGATCACTCTCCTCAGGATCTTGCCGCTGGGCGACTTGGGGATCGCGTCCGTGAAGACAATGCCACCGATGAGCCACTTGTATTTCGCAGTCCTCTTCTCCACCAGCGCCTTGAGCTCCTGAGCAAGCTTTTCTAACCCCTTCCTGTCTCCCTTCTGGATCAGCTCGGCGTTCCGCGGGACAACGTATGCCCGCGGCCACTCGGTTGCCTGGCTGTTGTCGTAGATACCAATCACACCAGCATCCGCCACGGCCTCACTGCTACAAAGCACCGCCTCGAGCTCGGCCGGCGCCACCTGGTACGCGCGCACCTTGATCAACTCCTTGAGCCGGTCGGTGATGTGGATCGCGCCGCGCTCGTCCAGAAACCCGACGTCGCCCGTGCGGAACCAGCCGTCGGGCGTCAGCGCGTCGGCCGTGATGGCCATGTCGGGCGCGTGGCGCGCGTCGCCCAGGCCACCGATCGGCAGGTACGCGCTCATCACTCCCGGCGAGCGGATGAGGATCTCGCCGGGAGCGCCCAGCTTGCCGGGCTTCGTGGCGCCGCCCTTGAAGTCCTGGCCGTCGGCGGCGATCAGCAGCTCGACGCCGTAGTGCGGGCGGCCGCTGTCGCCGGCGCCGGCGTGCATGTCTGCCTCGGAGGTGCCGCGCTGCAGCGACGTGTTGCACGTCTCGCTCAGGCCGTAGCCCATCTTGACGCGGAAGCCGAGGCGCTTGTGCACCTCGACGACGACCTCGTGCCCCAGGGGCGCGCCGCCCGTGACGCCCGCGACGATGGTGCTGAAGCCGCCGCCCCGCGCGTACTTGTCGACGATGGCGGCCTTGGCCAGCATGACGGCGACGGGCGGGGCCATGTGCAGGTAGGTGACCTTGCGGCGGGCCACGCCGGCGAGCATGGCCTCGAGGTTGAAGGCGCTCATGACGTGGCAGGTGGCGCCGATGCAGGGCGCCAGCAGGAAGATGTTGCACAGCCCGAACACGTGGTAGAAGGGCACGTAGCCCAGCCAGCTCTGCTGCAGGCCGGGCCGGTGCCAGTCGGCGTCGTACCAGATCGACGCCGTGGCGAAGACGAGCGCGTTGTGCGAGATCAGCACGCCCTTGGACCGCCCTGATGTTCCCGACGACCACAGGATCACGGCGGTGCGGTTCGGCGCGGTCTCTGCCGACAGCTGGTACGATCGGGCAGGGGATAATGGGATCTTGAGCAGGGCCGACCAGTCCTGTTCTAGCGGCGATGTTGATGATGCGGGCCTGGCAGCCGGGGTAGGCGTGAGATAAGAATCGTTGGCCACGTCGACGGTGAAGACGGGGACTTTGGCGAAGAAAGCGGTGTCCTTCTGCGACTTGAGTGCCTCATGCATCGCGCCCAAGCACGCCTTGGCGGTGATGATGGCGCGCGGCCGCGCATTCTGGAGGATCCAACTGAGCTCAGTGGCCGTCAGGGCGGGCGATGCCAGGGATGCCGTCAGGCCCGATGCGAAGGTGCCGAACAGAATCGATGCAAAGGCGAGGCAGTTTGGCAGCTGGATCAGCACCACAGGCGCCAGTTCAGGGCGTGCACATGTCGGCGTTTTGGGCAGGCTGTGGATTTGATCTGGGTCTAGCCCCAGATCCCGCAGGTTTGCAGCTACTTTGAGGGCATCCTCCCTGACCTTGCCGAAGGTGAGTGTGCGATCTGCGGTACACTGTCAGCTTGAGGCACATGAGCGGGGGGTTTGGGCATTTGATGATATCTCTCACCATTGTTGTTGTCCACGAAGATGGGCCGCGAGTCTTCTATGCGGGCCAACTTCTGAGATGCAGGTACAGTGTCGGACTGTTGTGAAAATGGATTTCCAAAGACGAAGTCGAAGATGTTAGAGTGTGGGTACTGGCCAGGAGCACTGCCGCTAAGCGCCACAGTGTCGCTGGATTGAGACATGGCAGCTCCGGTATCCTTCTTTGAGCGCTCACAACAGTCGTTTGTGAATCACCGACTTGAGAATGTCAATTCAGTGAGGCTGGCCTGTCCCTTGTGGTTTCGACTGCAAATGGAGATGAAGTGTTGTCACAACAAAGTGAGATACGTGAGTGCTGCTGTCTCGACGTTGAACAGAAGTAACCCGTCTTGAGGTTCGGACATGCTGAGGCCCACGTCCCGCGGATCCGACTACCTTGGCCCGCCGGCTCAAGTCGGTATGTTGCATCCCAGGGGCGGCTGTATGTTGGAGCTCGGCTCGAAACAGGGGGCTCAGATTGCCATACAGTGGCCTAGTACGCATACAGTGCCTAATCGGCACTCGACTGGCTTCGTTTTCCCCGCGACCCCACGATGGATCTCACTTGTGTGGCCCCCAGATTCCGAGGCGGAAGGTTATCCCTAGGGCTATCCACTGAACTGACTCTAGCAGCGCACACAACACGAGCTGCTCTGACGCCAATTATTGACGCAGCAATTCTTGGCGGAAGTTAAACCGGCTTTCAAATGTAATATCCGGCATACACTTTCAAGATAAATGACAATTAGCAGCCAATTTTGTCTCTGATCCAATAATCATCATCGACCTGCATCTCAAGCACTTTAGCTAGACAAGATAGCGACGCGTCTTGTCATTTCTTGTCGCTCATTCACAAGGTTACGGACGAGCATCTGAGATCTTACCTCAGGACCCACAGCGATAACTTGGACCTTAAGTGCCGGCATGATCACACCAATGAACCCACTTGTGTGGACCAACACGGAGTGCGAGACAAAAAAATGGGTGAAACGTCGCTGAATTCGTCACCCAGTGGGTATGTGCAAATGCGCGTCTATATATCTATATACAAGAAAAGCCACATCTAGGGCTGCACCACATCTCTCTCACGCCAACTCCATCCTCCACGACTTAGAATCCCCAGAAGGGGCTCGGGGTCCAGTCGACATAGCTGGAGTTGATGGACTTCAAGTCGCCAAGGCCCAGGTTGGCAGCATCGTTCATGAGGCCGTTCCTCATCAGGGAAATAACCTTCTTGACACCCTCCTCGCCGAACACGTTCGAGAACATGAAGGGACGGCCCATGCCGACGGCCTTGACGCCGAGTGCCAGCAGACGGAGGGCGTCGGTGCCGTAGCGGATGCCACCGTCGGCAAGCACCTCGATCTCGTTGAAGATCTCCGGGTCGTTGTTGAAGATCTCCAGGGCAACCTCGAGAGACGAAGGGGAGCCGTCCAGGTTACGGCCGCCGTGGTTGGAGAGGATGATGGCCTTGACTCCGTGGTCGACGGCGGCGCGGGCGTCGGCGACGTTCTGGATGCCCTTCAGGACGATGGGCAGGGTGGTCCAGTTGCGGTACTGCTGGTAGACCTCCCAGGTGTTCTTGACGAACTGTGTGTTGGCCGAGCCGACATCGTAACGGGCAGCGCGCTGGCGGTCGGGCGAGCCAGGGGAGTCAATCGCCCACACGACGGCCTTGGCACCAGATTTCTCAGAGCGTTGGAGGAGAGCACGGTTCTGGGTGTCGTTCAGGGTGAAGTAGACCTGGCTGAAGAAGGTCTGGTTGGGGAGGGCCACGGCAGCGATGTCTTCGAGAGCCAGAGAGGAATAGCTGGAGACCTGTTTGTCCGTTGTCAGCAAGATGACTCCATCGAGGCTGCGGAGCCGCAGTCGCGGTCACACACGCGGGAGAAGAGGCTTACAATGTAAGGGATGTTACCAGCTCCGGCGCCCTTCATCAGGTTGAGCTCGGCATCAGGATGAGCGTACTGCGCCTTGGCGGCAGGGGAGATGAAGAAGGGGTTGGCGAAAGGATAGCCGAGGATGGTCGTGTTCAAGCTGGCCTCGATGTTGGTAACATCTACCATGGCCCGGGGCCTAAGGCGGTAGCGGTTGAAGACCTTGAAAGAAGGTCAGCGGTTGTTGCCGTTGCATGCCTGGGCAGCGTTAGGTTGCGACATTTCATGGACATACCTCGAGGTTGTTTCGATACGACCACTCGCCAGCAGCGCCATTTCGGTAGTAAGTGTACTGCGAACTCAATCAGCCCATGCACCCTCACCAAACTTTATTCTCAATAGAGCAACACTAACGTTCTTCGCAGGGAGATAGTTGCGAGCGGCCCCTGTGATAAAACGAGTCAGCAATCATTGTTGGGGATAGCGTCAAACACAAGGACTGAACAAGGTTTGCGTACAGTCAAAGTCTGGCAGGCCGACCATCTGGTCCAGAGAAGGGAGCTGGCCGGTAGTGATGTTGCTCACTACTGCCTCCAGGCCAGTGTCAGGCTCGTTGAGCCATGGCCGGGCAGCTGAGACACCGGCGACTGCGATGGCAGCAGTTGTGAAGATTGAGGACAGCATCGTGGGATTTGTTTTTTTCGTTTCGACAGAACCTTGGTATGACTCGGATCAACGAGGGACAGCAAGGTAGATATGAGCCCGGCGTTTAAGTGAGAACAGACGATCTCGGGTTAAAGAAAGACAAAGGGTGAGGAAGTGAAGCCGACTTCAAGTTGGGATGAACTCTACAAACGTTTCCCTGGACCGGGCCGCTTGAAACTGGGCAGGTCTACTTATAAGCCATCGTGACAATTCATTGGCACCTTCTGGACCGTTTCTTCTTTACCACCCGCCTCATCAGGGCATTGTAGCAGCCCCTATAATTCTCGTCATAATGGTCTCTTAGACAGGAAACCAAGCTTTTCCCAAACCACGCGACGGGGTTGCAATCAATTGGAGAATCCACCGCCGTCGGTGACATTCCGGAGCACGAAACAAACTCGGAGGAGACGTCATACCAAGAATCATGTCCAGCTGAGAGTATGTGGCCATCTATCTGCTGGGGATAAAAATGTGAAAAAAAGTTGCACCTTCCCGTCAGGGATTGCTATCTCCGCTAGTGGGCTTGGGGCCGACTCGCATTGAGACTATCAAGGGGAGGATCCTGCGACGTCGGCACTGCAGGCAAATCGCCTTGGCCACCCAATGGCTTCTGAGCTGCTGTTTCTAGAAACAATGCTACATTCACTCTACAGGGGAATGGGATAAGAATCAACTACGAGCCAGGGTTTCTGACATGAACAAGGAATACGCCATGGGTCACCTGAATTCGTGATGAAATGTGGGAAAGAAGGCACTGAGCCTCAGTTCGCTGAACGGGCCACTTGGTTGCTACCGTCGCAGCAGGTCTCGGCTCAGGTACCTAAATATATTGCATATTATGCATAGGCGAAGAAACCCAAAGCGGGCACAGTAGGGCTGACCATGCAAGTGCCTGAAGGCCAGGCAGTTCCTCGCTTCAAGGCTTTTCCACCTTGGGTGAAGCATCCAGATTGCGCATGTGGGGCCTGACAGGGGCTTGGCGTTTACTGTTAAAATAAAGTCACTCTCCGTGAAACGCTGTCATTCACATGGGCGGGTGCCAAGGACTCGCTAGAATCTGCTCTGCCGGCCCTCCGGCCCTCTCGACGGCCGAATCCAGACATTCCGTAAAATTTGCGCACGCCCACCCCACTTCCGATGGCATCGTGGACTTGGCCCAGGACAATCTAGACAGCGCCGATCGGATTACATAGCATCAGATAAGATCTTTTGGGCGCGTACTCCACCACTTAGGTGCGTGGGGGGACATTTCTAAGCCCTTCTCAGCTTGCTTAACGTCGTTCAGGGACTGCGCCCGATAGAGGTGGGCGCAGAAGGCGCGCGGGTGGATACCTCGCCGTCGCGAATGCTGAGGGCGAGGGCGCTGCTGTGAGAAATGTTTTCAAGTCCAAGGTTGAGGACCGCTAATGGGGCTCCCGTGATCATCGGCAAAGGGCCCTCAGCCCCTTTCTTCCGCGCAGGAATCGGAGGTAATTGACTCAGGGCACGCGCGTATCATCTCATGTTTCTGCGTACACCCTTGTTTTTTCTTTGTCTTTAGTCTTTTTGGCAGCTGGGCACTGCATAATTTCTAAGTCGGTCTAAGCCGATGACAAAGCGACCCGGCTGCTCGGTTTCGCTCCCTCCACTCCACTCTAGAGTCTCTTACTAAACACGTGGGCATGTCAATAGCAACTGGTAGTCTCACTCCGGAAGGGCCAAGATATCATCGCACTTCACGACCTGACCCGTCGCGATGGATATGTTCGCCGCAATGCCTGTCGGGTGTCGGGGTTAGCTTCCGAGAAAATTTGTGCAAATGTTTTCTCTCCGGATACCTCCGTGTCGGAAGGGGTAAACATACCGGTAAGGATCGAAGCTGCACCGTCGATATGACTGGCGGCACGTCTGTATTCGTCTGAAACGGGCTCACCAAACAAATCTTGGAGCAGGACCGAGTCACCTCCACCGTGAGCTCCTTTACTCTCTCCAATTTCAATCTCCCGAGGCTTCTCGAAAAGCGGCCTGAGTAGGATCGTGCGCCTCTCGAGGGACCCTTCGAGCGACTGGTCACCGCCCGAGTTTACGTAGCTGTTCTCAACGACCTCGACCTCGAGGCGCCCTCCCGTGCCATTGAAGCTTACCCGGAAGCCCTCCCAGGGGGCATATGCTGTAAGCGAGTATGTCATGACTGCACCGTTCTTGTACTTGACCAGCACATTCATAGTGTCCTCAATAGAAATTCCATCGCTAAAGACGCTCTGGTCACGGTAGTAGTTGTCCTCGTGTTCCGCATCGAGGTAAAGCGCCTTGAGGCCTTCATTTTTCTCCATGTGCAGTGCAAATGGGTCATCCTTGGCGACCTCGCTCCCATGGCTGCGCGTGTAGAACTTGGTGACGCCCCTTTGCTCGGCGTTCTCGCGCCCGTAGAACTTTAGGTCCCCTTGCGCGTACACCGTCTCTGGCCGCGTCTGCAGCCAGAAGTTGACCAGGTCGAAGTGGTGCGTGCTCTTGTGCACAAGCAGGCCCCCGCTGTTGCGCTTGTCGCGGTGCCATCGCCGGAAATAATCGGCTCCGTGTGACGTGTTGAGCATCCACTCGAAATGCACGCTGGTTACCTTGCCGATTGCGCCGCTCTGCAAGATCTCAAACACTCGCGTGTTGTGGGGTGCATACCGGTAGTTGAATGTCACGCGGACCTTTTGGCCTGTTCGGTCGACGGCTTGCAGGATTTCTTTGCAGCGTGGCGTGTCGATGGTCACTGTTCAATATGTGGTGTCAGCGTCGATGCAGTGTGCGTATTCATAAATGAACGAGTCAATGAACATTCGATCCACCAGATTGGAAGGGTTGGGGGACCACACTCGGTGAGCGAACTCACTGGGCTTCTCTGTGACAACATTGCAGCCCAACTCCATCGCTCGGACGATGTAGATATTGTGCAATCTATCCGGGCCCGCCGTCACGATCACTTCGTCAGGCTTGAGCGTCGTAATCATCTTGTCGAAGTCGACTGCCAGGAAAGTAGGCACTTTGCCATGCCCGAGTGTCTCAAGTTTTTCGTTTGCGACGTCCATGCGAGTTTGGTTCGTATCACAGAGGCCGACTATCTCCGAGGTCGACTTGTAGTCTGATGCGATCGCTGTATAGTAGAAGCTGGACCGTCCACCGGTGCCCACGAGGGCGTACCGTTTCCTCTGGGATTCCTTTTCTCCCATTGTAGCTGCTCGTAAACTTAGGATGCTTGAATGTTCAGTATGATACGCAAAATCATTTGAACTCGATGAGTTTCAATCGCGTCCACGCGTGAAATAAGTATGTCGTTTGGAGAGGGGTTGATAAGAAATTCATGAACGTCACTCAATGCCAATCACGAACTAACACTGGATGCCTAGAAGCATCTCGGGGTCCAATGATCCAGAAGCCGAGATGCTCCAAAGTCAATCACGGTCTAGGTCTTAGTGGAGGCTGTCAGACACGCCCCAGGTCCGGGGTAAAATCCGGGGTACCAGCTGAATTTAGCCGGCTTGTGGGGAAACAGCAGGGAGCCTCGGTCATAGTGCCCTCAACACATTATCTGAATCGGCGTGTTCGCGTAAGACGGTCGATGGCATATCTGCGGAGAAACAGGCCACAACTCACTATCCTTGTCTTGAATTCCTCATGTCCCCCTGCTTGGCGCGGGTTACTACCCAATCAAGCTTCTCGTGGTTGGTCATGCCGCAAGAACTTCCCGTCGGGCTGTTATGCTGTTGGTGGCCCAATGGCCGTTGAACGTTCCATCTGAACGAGGGGATGACTGTGTTACGAGGGATAGAAAAGGGATATTATGCCCCCGCCTGGTTACCTCCAATCGTTGGGGATGACCCAGCACCTCGGATCGATGTGACCAAACACCACACGCGCTTGCTACTTCAACCAACGAACTGCAGATACGGGCATCTTGCGAGGCACCAGAATTCAGGAAAATGGCCGCTGAGGACTCCAAAACCTCCGCCGACGTGATCACTCCCGCTCCTGAGATACAGAGGGAACATGACAAGGCAGCTGAGTTCCTGGCCAGTCATGGAGACACTTCCTTCACCGTCGAAGAGGAGAAAGCCGTGTTGCGCAAGATCGACATGCGTGTGCTAGTCCTGCTCTTGTGGGCTTATTTCTTTCAGCAGCTTGACAAGAGCACCCTCAGGTAACTATATATCTACTGCCTAGTCAAATCAATTTTACGGGCTGCTGACGATATTGACAACAGCTGTATGTGATTAATTACATCGAGATTTGTTTACTGTCTGCGGTCTTTGTCCCTCAATGCACCATTCGAGAAAGTCCCTTCATAATTTTCAGTGATCCAAAGACAGACCTTCAGACGCGTCCCGAACTTTTTGGCTAATTAAAAAAACCATTTAGTCACGAGCGTCTTCGGCATTGTTGATGATGCACACCTCGTCGGGAAGCAATACTCATGGCTCGGCTCTATTTTGTACCTCGCACAGCTCATCATGCAGCCAGTCGCCGCTGTGCTTCTGGTCAAACTTCCCAATGGAAAGGTCATCGCGTCTGCTGTCTTTCTCTGGGGCTCAGCACTTTGCATCATGTCTGCCTGTACAAATTTCGCCTCCTTACTGGGCATGCGATTTGTCCTCGTGAGTGGACCCATCCAGTTTCGGCTTTCTCGTGGCATATCGTTTGCTAATGCTGATTAAACCTCACAGGGAACATTTGAAGCCATGATTGCGCCGTGCTGTGTCGCTATCACCCAGATGTGGTGGCGACGAGGCGAGCAGACACTAAGGACGAGTTCCTGGAATGCCATGAATGGCGTGACAAGCATTATCGGCAGCTTATTCACCTACGGCCTAGGGCATATCGAAAGCAAGACCATGTTCAAGTATCAGATCATCTTCTTGTTTTGTGGGTTGCTCACCGTCGCCTACTCCATCGTCGTGTTTGCCCTGATGCCAGACTCGCCAATGGAGGCGAAGTTTATTTCAGAGAGGGAGAAAGTCATCGCCACGGAAAGACTGAGAGCCAATCAGATGGGAGTCGCTTCACGGACTTGGCGATGGGATCATGTCTGGGAGACCGCTTACGATCTCAAAACGTGGTGCTGGTTTATCGCTATCCTTGCAATTTCCATCTCGAGCGGCGGCATAACGACGTTTGGCAGTCTAATTGTCAAATCTTTCGGATACTCGAGCTTTCAGACCATCCTGTTCAACATTCCCTTCGGAGCGATCCAGGTGATTTCGATTATAGGCTCTGGATGGATAGCTCAAAGAATTCAGAGGAAGGGGCTGGTTATCGCAGGAACATCTGTCCTACCCACCATTGGAACAGTTCTCCTACTCACGGTTCCAAGACATCAAAAGGGTGTTTTGTTGTTTGGTTACTATCTTGTAAGTTTGATACCTCTAATTGATCTTCGATGATGTATGCTCACAGTCATCTCAGGTCTCCTGCCTCGCTGCTATCACTCCTATGCTATTCAACTGGCAAGCCGTCAACTCCGGTGGAGACACGAAAAAGAAATGCACTTCTGCCGTGGTGTTCATCGGGATGTGTGCAGGAAATGTCATCGGTCCTCTCCTATACTCCACTGACCAGGCCCCATTGTATCGCACGGGGCTAATCTCCAACCTCATCATGTTCGTCTTGGTTGGTGTTATTTCAGCCGTCATCCCATTCTACCTCATGTTATTGAATAAGAGGCATGCCAAGCGCCGCGAGGAGCTGGGAAAGAGCGCCACCATCATCGACGAATCGATGATCAGCAAAAACAAGATGCAGGAAAGCAAAGCGGTCGAAGTTGAGGACGCGCAGATTCCACAGCATAGGACCTTGGCTGAGGACAGGGGATTGCTCGACTTGACGGACCTCAACAATGAGGATTTCGTATACGTCTACTGAGCGGGAAAGCATGGTAATTGTTTGGCATTGATTCAACTTGGTAACCAAACTTGCGGCGGAGCAGAGGTAGTAAGATCAATAGCAGCGGGGAAATCAGATACCTGCCTTCAGACTCGAATCCGATTCCTGCGACGCACATCATCGTTGCATGAGTGACTTCCCTCCGGCCATGGTCCATCCGTCTGCTCACACCCAGCTTTTGATGGTTTTCTCAACACTTCTGATACCTTTCCCACCTTCGCCCCACACTGCGGCGCCCTTGGAAGAGTCACCACCAGTTGAGGCAATGGGCCCGTTGGGGTGAATCAGGACCTTAGTGTAACTGATAAGTCGTACTATTAGTAAATACTCCAGGACGCATGTCGAATCATGTGTTCGTAGTAGTTTACTCACCCTTCAATCCGTTTGTCGAATTTCTCGTAAGCGGTTGGGGCCTCGTCTATATCGATCTTGAAATCAAAACCAGTCAGTTCCGTGCATTGCAAATCATACAAGTGAATGATTAGACGTCGTCTTACTTCGTGAGACACGACAAAACTGGGTTTCGCCTTCCCAGCGATGATGAGGTCTCGCAGATAGCGGTTGTACGCCTTCACATTGCATTGACCAGTTGCGAGCGACAGCCCCTGTGGTCATTTGTTAGTCTCTAAATTTCCAAGTGCAGTATGATAGTTAGATCGTCTCACCTTCTCGAAAAGCTTTCCGAAACTCAATGAGATCATTCCTTCTCCCGCAGCCTTGTCGGGTGCGCCAGGATCCGTAGGCACGTAAAGTCCCGGAATACCTAAACCACCACAGGGGCGAGTGACCTTAATCATGTTCTCCAGGACAATATTCGGAACTTCACTCGATCCACCCTTGCTAACAGCCTGATAACCCTATTTCAAAGGGTTGTTAGCCATGATCCATATATGACTTCTCGAGTTCAGAGTCGTACTACTGCATCCACAGATCGGTCGACCATGCCCCCATTTAGCTCAATTATTCTCTCCACGGGATCAAATTCCTCAAAGCTGACAGCCTCGGCCCCAATCTTAGAAGCTGCGTCCAGTCGCTCCTTGACGCGGTCAACGAGGCTGTAAGTTTTATCGTATTAGTTCAGCTTTTTCAACCATGGGGAAGAGATTGTAGTTCGACGTAGATCAGTTGTTACTTACAAAACACGGCTAGCACCACGCAAGACAGCGGAATAAGCAGCCATCAATCCCACTGGTCCGCCGCCAAAAACGGCAACGCTCTCACCAGGCTGGAACCCTGAGAGGGTGACCCCGTGCCAACCGGTTGGAAAAATATCGGCGAGGAGGATGAAGTCCGCCTCATGTTCAGTTCCCGGCGGAAGTTTGAGCGCATTGAAATCCGCGTACGGGACTCGAAGGTATTGGCTGGACCACAATGTCAGTGAAACGTGTTCTAGAGGGGCAACTTAGGGCCACGAGGACCTACGCTTGGCCACCTCGATAAGGTCCCATAGCCTGATTGTCCACGAAGTCAGCGAGTGATTTGCACGGTATAAAACAGCGTCATCTGTGCTCTCTGGAAAATTCAGCCTCAACAGCCACTCTGAGCTGGTACTCACCACGTATCCGTAGGCACCGCCCGCGAAGCCAGGGTTCACTCCGGTGCAAAACGCCGTCTTCCCCTCCTCACAGTTCCGGCACCGACCATCTGCAACATTAAAGGGCATGACTACACGGTCGCCTTTTTCCAAAAGAGTCACTCCGGATCCGACTTCCTCAACGATACCCATGTTCTCATGCCTATGGGCCAATTAGCTATCTGCACCGTGAATATTAGAAGGCGGCAGTGACGTACCCGAAGGTGATTCCTGGCTGGGCTCCAGTCCGGCCTTCATACATGTGCAAATCCGATCCGCAGATTGCTAGTCAGGAATGTCAGTATCTTTGTAGTGATTTGATGTTCAGATCGCGCTCACCTGAAGTCGTGACTTTGACGATTACATCATCCGGGTGCTCGATGCGCGGCGCCTCCACATCCTGGACCGTCACTTTGAACGGTCCCGAATAATTGACTGCTTTCATTGTTGCAGACATGGCGAGAGTTATCTGTTGAGTTGAAATTGAAGGTACTTGATGTCACCATTTGAATGTCAATTCCAAGTCCACAGACTGTAGAAATTAGGTAGACTCCTCTTCTTTGTTGAGGGGCCTGGCGTCGTTTCCACGATATTTGACTGTTCGCATGAACCAGCCAAGGTGCGGAGACCTCGGGGAACTGCATTCTCCAGTAGATCCGGTGCGCCGTACTGCATCATTGCCGAGTTCGAGATGCTATGCGGAGTACGCTAGCGGAGCTCTGGTTTGGTTCACCTCTGAGTGATCCACCTAACGAAAGAGCGGCCCATCCCCGATTTAGACCGACAAGATATCTCGTGCGCGATCTCAAACACTTTCGGGAGGGGTTCGGGATTCATAATTGATGTATACTATAACTGTCTCGTGCCAACAGGTTCAACTGTTATTCCCATTATAGACTCGCTCGAGATCCTTTACGGGCGGGCGTTTTGTATAGCTGTTACGTGTTCAGGCTCTGCGAGAGGATGATGATAGTGTAGACGGAACTGTTTGACTATCAAATTCTCCAGTCAAGTCTAACTCTTGAAAATAAGCCACCGCAGAATCAGAGACGTGCCAACTCAGCTTCTCAAGGCACACTATGAAATATTTACCTGAAGATTAGGACCACGATATGCTCTGCGAAAGAGGCTGTGCCTGAAAGGTGGCAGAGAAATTTCAGTATTTGGGTGAATTGCTGGCGACTCAAAATCATGAAAATTTGCTATGAACGTCCATATTGCGCATTCAACACTCTCAATACAGCTCTGATTACCTCCACTATTCTGAAAGAGCACAAAACTAGGGTGTCAGGTGAAATGGCCTGGAGTCTCCACAAGAGCCATCGGTCATCGGGACCGAAGTACCCACATTTTCTTGGGCAAGTGCTCCGATCCGCTTCAAACATCTCGGGCACATGGTCCGTCGATTTCTTAGCTCGAATTTCATTTCCTTGTAGCTTTTGCCGGGTACGTATTGATGTTCTTGCTCCGGTCAGGAGCTCCGTGGCGTCCGCCAAAGAAGACCGAGACTTCATCATTCTGCTGGTGTGCCAAGCCATGAACTCCGGCTGGTGGGAAAGTGGGGGTTTCCCACATGTGGGTGGTCTCATTGCTCGTCTATCGGTCCTTTTTCCAGGTAGCAACTTGGCCATTCATGTACGTGGAGTGAAGTGCAACAATAACAATGAACACAGCTGTGCCCATTTTCACCAATGTGTTCATGTGTACCATGGTCCACCCTTGACGCATGGGGGGATGCGTTAAATGATCGATACTACCATTATGGGGCCGCTCATGGTTCACGAGAAATCCGGGGAATTGGCTGGGCGCCCGGGGAGTGGCCTCTCATGTGGGAAAGTGTGGGGAGCCAAGCCAAGCCGTAGTGGGAAACGCTTCATGTACAACCTCACTGCACACACTCGCTGCATCAAGCCTTAGCCGCGGCCCGCATCAACAGCCAAGGGCTTCGGAAGACGTTCCTGGCGCCATTCAATTGGGGGTAAGTGTCGGAGGTAGGAAATCTGGGGTCGGTCGAAGGCCTGCACTATCATCCCGAATAAAGGGTGGTCCCCTGGTCATGCTTCTCATCAATTTGCAAGAACAGCATGTATAAAAGCTTAATTATTGGATCTATTTCCTTTTTCTTCTTCCTCATATGTCCAATGTGCTCTATTGCAGCCTTTTGTCGCACTCCAGGTGGAACTTTCTATTCAGTCCATAATATAACCCAAATAAGTCGTAATGTATTCCCACATGACCCGAGAAAATTGCGGACACTGAAACCTCTGAAACCTCAACGATTCCTGTCCTGTTCAACGTGTAAAAGCTTCTTGTCTTTGTTATAGCTAATTTGGAGAACTCGAAGAGTTCCCTTAATCGACGGGTTTGCCGTCCGCTGAATGCAAGTTTTTGCCCAAACAGAGTCCCAGGGAGAGCACATCAATTTGAGGCCATTTGATAGAGCTTAGAGGAAGCTTTACAAAGCCCCTCTTTACTTTTCTTCCGAACTTTTGCACGGCCTTGTAATAGATATCTGCCATCTCAAGTCAGCGCGTGGTCATGGTATATGCTGTGGTTGTGTTTCTGGAGTGGGTTACTCACCTCCAAGGCACTTGCAGACTTCCTGAACCGGAAATTTGCACACATCGGTCCTGTGCTTGCAGTCTATGTCCTTTCGGTGTGGGTCTTCTGCACATGCTTGGCAGACATCGATTTGCAGACCAGGAGTAGCGCATTGGTGGTAGAGACTCGGAAAGAGTTAGTTGAATGCCATCATGTGAAGCTCGGGATGATTGGTTGTTGATAGGAATGGCACTTACTCTGATCTGAAGTTACGATCAATTTTTATTTTGGTTTCAGTCGTGAATCTGTCTTGCTGTAGCGCACAAAGTCAGCATCGATTCAAGAAAAATGGTATGATACGCAGGGGCGATGGTGTCGAACAGAGGTGTTGGTAGTCGGGAAGGGGCATGGACAAATTTAGATAGTGAAAGAGTAATTCCTGGTACCCTTTTATATTGATCATAACCAAAGTCATGGCGGTAACAAGCTGGAAGAAAGGGGAACCCGAAGGGAGCATCAGGGGATTGAGAACAGCCGTCGCTCTCCCATAAGAAATAGGATGGGTATCGTTCATCTCGGAGGGATATAAATGACTCCAGGGTCATGTTGAAGAGGTAATTATCTGTCTGATCTTCCACCGCATCTTGATGGGGTACTCTCTCTTCCAAGTTGACATGTCCACTTTCCGTCGGTTCGAGTTGCGCCACAGTTGTGATTAGCGTGGCAGACAATGGGATGGTAGGCATTGCGGAAGCTGCCTTAGACAGGATGAGCAGCCAGGCACCGCCAGTCAGAAGATTGTGGAGCTTCATGTTTTGCACCTAGGCGAGGATAATGAATTCTTTAGGGTGCTGAAGGGGGGCTTATACACAGGTAGAAAGTCTTGTTTGAAGTTGTGTGTTCGAGAGCGAGAAGTGTTGCAATATTGCGGAACTTAGAGCTGAGAGAATTTCAGCTGCAATTTGGAAGGGGTAGGTGCCACTCTTTTATATCGCAGCGTTCTAGTGGTCGTAGTTTGAAGGTAAGTCGGCGTCTTTAATGGGCACCTAATAATTTCCAGAATTAAATAGGAGGCTATTCAGGCCGTGCGAAACAAGATATTGGAAGAAATGCCTGGTGAGCATGCCATAGAGGTGTCTGGCACATACACTGCCAGCCTAATCACCCTCTAGCCTGCCAATATTGGAATAATTATCTAAGTGAGGAACTAGGGGGTAAAATTGTAGACATTATCATTCAATCCGATAAGAACTATTCCAAACGTCCGTTGGTGCAGCAGATATCATCTAGAGCGAATGTAAGACCAAACTCACGGGCCTCATTTCCTGAAGATTACGCTTCAGAAATTAATTGCCGTCATTCAAAATATGATGCGATCTTTCACAATGTCACAATTTCAGATATCCCGCAGGCAGTGACATACAATGCGTAAACCTGCCTGGCGTCCGAAGACGTAACTGGTACAGCACTTGTGAAGCCACGTGCCATGCCATCACATGCATTTTTATCCGCTACATGTAATTTGAGAATATGCATGACCACAACCAGCAACCGTGGTGTAAATTGAAATACTGGCAGTGGGCCCCTTTGCTTCGTTTTCAAGTTGGCAGGCTGGCCAAGAGCCAATTTGACATCCTCCTTCAGAGAGAGTTTATCCTCCATAATGCAAGTCATCTCTAACACAAGCTTCAAGAACGGAAATGGAATCTTTGAAAAGGGGATGGATTAACAAGATGGTTCTAAAAGCAGTGTGAACTCGAACAACCTCTTCTAAAGCACCCCCACAGGAACTTCAAACATAAACGACTGTTCCGAGGTCAGCGAGCTCGTGGCTCTCTACCGGCGCTACTGCTTGACCGCGCCTGACAGGTAAGTGGATATTCAAATGCCGCCAGATCGTCCTTCTAGGACGGGACGGTGCTGCGTCCATCCGGCTGCTTCTCCCATCTACACCGGTACTCGTGGCCCTTGTTTCGCTTGTTTGGTCTTCTCTATACTCTGATTTGGTCTCAGCCACGGACGGACCCTGGAATGCGCTGTCCAAACTTTTAAGAGTATAACAAATAAGAACCACCAAAGCATCCCACTGTGACAGAATCACCCAGACCATGCAGACAAGTAAGGCAAGGACAAAGAAAGATGTGACGAAGGCGATGAAGGTCATTTGGAATGGCAAAACACCTGGCTGGGTAGAGAACAAAGCAATATTCAGAGCCATTGGCATCATCAGCTACGGAAAGCGATTTGTTAGACTTCGGCATTCATTAAATCAATGGTTTGTTTATTTAGTAGGGCTCGGGGTAATTGACCTACAAAACAAATCACATTGAGAACCCTAACAAATTTGGCCGTCCCGGTGTTCTCAACTGCCAGGTGAGCACTGAGCTGCTGGTTGTCAATAATCTGATGCATCCTCTCTGGGCGCTCTGGTCATGGAGACCTACTGTGCTTTGATCGTTGCAGATCTCTTTGCTCAGGCTATCGAGCTTATCTTTCAGGATCCTGATCTTGGAGAATGTGTGACCAATACTGGTCTCCAAGAGCGAGCGAGCTTTTTCGGGAAAGTATTTTGGACATCGCTTTTCGAATTCGTCCCAGGCGGTGAGTGTTTTTGAAAGCTGGCCGGACTGGTCAGAAATGATAGCAATCATATCGCTGATCCAATTGGAGTAGCGCTGTTGTAGTAGTATCCGTTCGTCGCGATTGCTATATATGCGATTGATGGGGCTAGACGATGAGTTAAAGATGCGGCTAGGTCTATGTCTAATATACTCACAATATTAAGTTGGTCAATCATCAAGAAAGCATGACTGAAACCAGTCTTAGGAAATAAGGGCAGAAGACTTACCTTTTCACTACCTCTTCAACATTATCTACCACACCCTGCCACTCTCGATACGCCTGATCGATCCTGACTTGTAATACCCTGAGGAAGTACTCCCTTGGTTCGAGGGAGCAGGTCGAGTCGAGATTTCCTGCAGTAAATGCATCAGGGAAATATAAACCTGGTTTTGAGCAGAAGATGTCAAGCTCCCGTAAAGACTCGCGGGTCTTGTAATAAGTATCCTCAAACGCATAGGCAGTCCAGCCGTCTGCGTCAATTACGGACACAAGAACGGACACTTGCGACTCACAAATCCACCCCCACGACTTGGATGATTTTCGAGACATTCCAGGCAGCTGCATACATGGAAGCTCAAAAGACTTCCGTAGCGGGTTGCCTTCGTGATCTTGTCGGCTATCTGTGTACTGACGCGCTCTAAACGTGTAGAACGGGAGCTGAAAACATAACGTCATGCGTGAGAGGTACGGCTGGAATACGTCAGAGGTATGCATGGACTTCAATATTTCCAAGGGGAAAATTAATCAGACCGACATTAGGGTCAACAGAGATCGATGTTTCGAACTTGAGGTACTGGTCGATGAAATCGAACAAGACAGGGGCTTGTGTTGGGCTTGCGGTTGCTGCCAGCACCAAAGCGCTCCATTCATTCAGGTTCGATACATGGCTGTGTGCTGCCTTAGACAATCCATACATCACACATGGATGGAGTTTGAAGACTTACAGTTTGCGCGTCTCGACCTGACAATCTTCCGATTTTGTCCACGATTTTGGCGCGGCAGTCGCAGGCTTCGATGAGCTCGTGGCTGGGTATCTCTGTGTGTTGCAATTAGCCGAGAAGCAAATTGATTAGTGTTTGTTCTTACCTGTTTTCGCAGAGCACTGTAAAGCTTCTTTGGAGTCATTGATCTAGGGTATCGTCGAAAGCTCTTCGTAGAGTAGTTCCTGTCTTCCAGCAGTATCCGGCTTTCTTTTGTTTCTCCTGCGCCGCCCTCCAACTCCCCCATTGTGGCTGTCTTGAAGAACTGTCTCAATCTATTGATTGAGTCGCGATACATATCATGGTCTTCCATGACTCCCAAAAACCGTTTGACACTAATGTCTTCTAGTCCTGCGGAGCCACAATGCACCGTTTCTGGGCGTCCGATTCGTGACTCTTGATGTACTGAGGCAGGTAGCTGACAAGCAGAAACGTGATCGGTTCCCAGCACGTCTTCATCCGGTAGCCCGGGACAGTCGAGGCTGTTACATGCGGCATTGTGTTTTCCAGCGGTATCATCCTCTTCTTCGCAATCCTCACCTTCGCTCTCATTGTCACTTTCCTCGGCATCGGATAATTCATCAGAGCTATCGGTCTGCCCCTCTTCATCGTCAGAGGCATCGTCATCCTCATCGTCGAGCGATACATTGTCGAATTGAGTATAGTCGACGAACGCCTGGTTCTCAGTGTTTTGCCATTCAGTGTTCGGTCTGGGCCGTATCCATATGTCGTATTTAGGCGTGGGCGTGGATCCATTGGGTTGAAGCAGACCGCAACTACATGGTGTACGTGTCAGTAGGGACGCTGATAGTCGTTCTATGTTGGAGTGTGACTTTTGCGAGTTTGTGTCTGCCATGTTTGCAACATGGTAACTGATGTCCAGGTCTCATGGTTACATGTAACCAACGATGTGATTTATGATGGATTCTTGGGAAAGGGGGTGAAGTTGATATGCAAAGAATCGCTCGCTCAGACACCAGAGACATATCCATCCCATCTGACCGATACTCTTCCACAGACGCGGTGTGGTAATACATACCACATGCCATAGATGGAAATGGCACCGCCGCACTGCCACAGACTAATCTGAAAGAGGGTGTGGAAGTGAACAAGGCAACAGCTCTGGAGTATTTCTCCGGGCCATTTCCGACAAGGCTGGCAGCGCCAGAATGTTTTGTGTTTTAATTCGTTGTGGAGGACTGAGATCCTCTTCTTCAGGAAGTCTACTTGTGACGTCAACGGCCAGCATCTCGTGATATCAAAGTCTAGATGCTATTTGGCTCTAAATTTAACCTTCTTGTATTGGACACGGACTTAGAATCCCTCAATGACCATTGAATACATCATGACTTGCTTCAGATTGTCCGTCGGCTTGTACTGCTGCGATACTCATGCCGAACAGCGGTGTTGAAACACATGCAGTGGGAAGAAAGTCTTCATCATCTTTCCCATCCTTCCTCGCCCGAGTCCTATGCCTTCCCAATCAGAGACACTCCAAATTGAAAAGCTCATACCATTGAATTCTTGCGACGTGGTCGCCTCTACGTGCTTCAATTTCGACCTTGCAGCAACAGCCCTGGATTGACGGACATTTCGGCCTGAAGTGCTGTTTGTTCAGCGAACCTCACACACACATCGCTAGGTAGTTGGGCTCTCGCCCACCGTTAAGAAAGAATGCCCAAATTTTGAGCATTCTCGAGCCAATTGGTTCATGACAAATAGACCTGGATGCAGTCGCGGGTGGCGTCCAATCCCGTTGTGCAACGTGGTTGTCAGCATGCTCATATTTCGGGAGGACGACCAGCAGTGATGCCCAAGAGCGGTGCGCGGTTCACAGTCATTCACTATACAAGACCACCTGACCGAAATCGCAGCTGGGTATGCAGGATAGGTTGAAAGCTGACTGCATTTATTATTGTCCTCAACCGGGCGATACCGGGGATATGGCAGATCAGACGTCATTGAGCTATGCAACCGACTGAGGCTATGGCGTATAGACAGTGGCAGCTCCAACTAGACTGGACGGGGTTTTCGAAGCAGGTGAACCGCCCTGAGATAAGAGCTTGGTCTGTCCTCTGACCGGAGTTCCATCGCGTGTGGGCAATGGGCCAATGAGGTATTATCGGAGTGATGCAGGGGTAAGCTGCGAGGATCTGGAATCGCTTCCTTTTTCTCTGTTTCGAGGAAGGAAAGAAGAGCAAGAAAGGCAATTTGAAAGCGGCCCAAGCCTGGGACAAAGCTAATATAACCGGTCAAGGCAAACAGGTAATACTAGTTGATTGCTCATGCGTCGGCACAAGCCACCTTTGGAACTTTTTGTAAATTACATGTCAGGGCAACACGAAAAGTTATCGGATTCAAGTCTCCCTGCTTCAGATAATGAAGCTGATCAGGCCCCATCACGTGTCTCTCTTGCTCTATTTGCATATGGCTGAAACACACCAATACATTGATCGACTTGATCAACGCCAATCCCAGTTCATTCAACTGCAATGGTATCTCTCTCATGTCGCTAATGTGCCGCTCACCGCCAGACTCTCTCACCGATGTGCCTAGTGTGATAGCTAGATTGTCAATATATTGGGCGTTCTGACCTCCTTCGAGGTGGGTCCAAGACGCAGAACCTTGCCATTCTACAACGCACGCCACTGAGTCAGCCAAATCACACGCCATAGGCTTTCCCCAAGTTGTCTACGGCCCGTCCCTGACATAGGAACCGAACCTTTCTTATCTGCGGTAGTCCCTTAGGCTTGACACCGTCACGTCATGGTTCGTTGAGAATCTGACAGCTCGAATATGCAGAAACTTACGTATGCCCACAGCAAAAATCATCAGCCAAGCCCAAGAAAGGGAAATCTGTCAGACTCGTGCCACGATTCTATTGGTATTGCGTCAGTGCAGCCTGTTCCCCTCTCACACAGAAGCCATTCAGTGCTAACTAGAAGACAGTGCTCTTGTGAGACTAGCCCCCAATTGATACAGCAAGAGACTTGTAAAGAGTGCTCAACCGCTCGCTGTGCCAACTGTAGGGTTCGTAAACAAGTAATGAGGAAAAGGACGGACGGCAAAGACGTAAGGTTATTCTTCTGTATAACATCCGGTAGCGCAGTCATGAGCACAGCAAAGACGCTAACACGGCACGTAGCCAGGAGTCAACAATCTGCAGGTGCAGTCTGAAACCCGATGAGTGTCGCCCTGTGCCCAGGTTCGTGTGCACAGTAGCAGCACGGCAGTCACGATGTAATATTTTGGAAACTTGTAGCATCGATATGATTATTTACCGGCCATCTTCATTCAGATCCCGATATGGTGCGTCGGTGCACATGTTCGCATTCGCCGCTGACAGGGCAGACGGGTTTGCCTGCAGGTGGCTCATTTGTCGTTCCCGGGGCCGTTGGGGAACCCCGGGTGTATTGTTTTCAGTTGTAACCACGTATGACGAAAACCCCGCCCCCGAATTGAGTTCAAAGTGATTCACAGGCAATATGGAACAAGGCAACCCATGTCGTCTGCCCATGTGGTAGCGTAGGGTTGGGGGGGGGGGGGTGCGAGGGCGGGTGCGCACAGATCCCTTGGGTGCAATATAAAAAGAAAGAAGGCCCTCCTGTGCAGAAGCAGATAGATCTCTCTACCATCACGCCCACTTCGAATTCAAACATCACCAGTTTTGCAGACCCCAATCGTGCCTCCACGGCCCATTAGTGGGAACCTCCGAGTCCAAGACTTGTTTAGGGTACAAAGATGGTTGAATGTGACCCGAAGAGCAGACCGCCGGGCATCTATTCGGAGGTATGTGCGACTATTGCTGCACAGTGTTGACGTGGAATGTTACGATGCACGAGGTATCCCGAAGTCCCCGTATCACACGATGTATAATTGGCTCATTCTGTTCTCAAATCTTCTTTCCCTGACAATGATTATCGTTTTGGAAGACCATGGTAAGGGCTGGCGGGGTCTCTCTCTCTCGCGAAGTATGAAGACATGTACATTTCGCAGCTAATTTGTATGAGAGTTACTTCCTCCCAGAAAGGTAAGGACAGTATGCATCTACAGGGGAAAATTTTGGAACCTTGAGCGCTGTATTGGTCCGGGGGATCAAGAAAGTGTTCACCGAGTCTGGAAGTGCGGAGGCGGTCAGCCACTCCATGCACTCCTAAATTTCAATCGATCCCCGTTCTCGTTCCCACGCCGAGTGTCATGCCCACGTCGATATCATTTCCAAGTCGAAAGTCAACCCCCCGTCGAGTGCGTCGACTGTCTTCCCCAAGGTCTACCTGGTAGGTTTATAACTTGCCGAAATTGGTCACAAAAGGGGTCAACAAGACGCAAAGCATCATCGGCTGTGCAGCACAGGGAAGACAACCTTGGAAGGTCGCATCGCCTAGGATCCGAGTCATTTGGAGTGAAACCTTTGTTGGGAAACATCATTTACTTTTGGTGGTACTGGTAAAGACATCGTGTCTCTTCAGTACGCGACTCGCATGCCACATTCTTGTCGGGAAGGGGAAATTTGTCTGTCTCAACACAGGCTTAAGCCAGATATCTGAGACCGACGAGCCCAATTTCGTTCAGGCAATAAAAAGCGAGGAATCCAACACCACGGCCTGGTCAGGCGGGCCCCTCACTTCTGAACTCTAGGTCAATTGATCGTTTTTGTGCATTGCTTTCACGCTTGGCCGATGGTTCGCGCCCCTTCAACACTGGGTGACGATCAGAGAACGACGCGTATGGAGGAGGTGTTCTACACATCTCTGTTGAAAGAACTGTCCTACTGGCTTACTCCACGACCAATCGAATAGCTCCACGACTTATTAAATCGTGACATAGTCACGTCTAGTGGTTGGTAGATTGGGGCCCCGGGAACAGATGCAAGATGGTGAGTTGCGTGGTCGTCACGAACGCCTTTATATGGCGTGATTCCGTTTGACAGCAACTGACGGAGACGCAGCCTTCCTCTTCTTCGACCTCAAAATCAAAATCGAAGAAAAGTAAGAGCGTCAAATCCGTAGCCAGGTACTATTGGTACTGTGTGAGTATTGTTATCTACGCCCGAATCAGTGGCCACCAATATCCTGCCTCTGCTGACCTCAAGGCAGTGCATTTGTAACTGTGGGCCCCAATCTATCAACCAAACGGCTTGCTCAGCCTGTTTTCACGAACGCTGCGCTACCTGCATGACACGGAGGCTAAAGATGTGAGCCTTCTTGTCACGCAGGTAGCGCAGCGTTCATGGGATCAGGCCGAGCAAGCCATCTGGAGGCCAATCGGCATCAGTACCGCAAGTCACGGGGTTTGTCTCCCAGTCATCACCATTGGGTGGCTAAGGACGACTCACGACTTCGTGAGTGGTCGGCACATACGACGGGCGTATCAGGATCAACTCCCACCAACCAACATCGTTGATGCTCGTTGGAGGAGGTCGTGATCAGAAACTCGCAGCCAGTGCCTCCATTTGAAGAAAATGCGCCAATTTCTTACCAGACCACCGACACATAACTCAATTTGGAGGCACCCGGAGTGGCGAAAAGGGCCCAGTGAGGAATCAGAGACTACCGAGACTGCCGTCATGCCAGAAACGTTTGGCGCCACATAAATAGGTCTTGTGACCCTCCGAGATGATCAGGAGGAGAGAGGCTCCATGATCCGGTCTCAAGAAAGCGGGAGGAAGGGGGAGAAGAGGAAGAAGAAAGAGGGCAGACAAGAGAGAACAAAATCGTGGGAGGAAAGGAGAAGAAGGCGAAGAGGGAGAGAAAGAGCAAAATCGTGCTTTGCTTACGCTAACTTCTAGTCTTCACCGAGCTCTCATGATCCGCTCCCAACCGATTTGTCTTCGTCTAGGAGTATCAGGCGGGCGCAGCTACAAGGGCATATTGCGCCTCCTGAATCTCGAGGCGGGAGCTTCGGCGAACCAGATTGAAGTTCTCGAAGAGCACCTCGGAGCATCAGCGTCTGGCATTTCCAGGAGTTTAGAAGCCCAGGGGCAACCCAGTCATGTAATTAAAAGTGCGGTTTTGCATTTTGTTGATTGGATCTTCGGAAAGGGCGAGTACTGCGCCAGGGTTTTCATTGCTTCCTAGAGAATATACCGTAAAACACAGCCGCCGATGCTATGGTAAAGTGCAAGTTGCGACGCCTTAGCCGACCGGGGCCGAGCTTGGTCGACCACGTGGATAAGTGGTCCGACATCCCGTGAAAGTGCACTTTACCTTTGCCCTCGCGACGCCCCCAAGGCTGATAAAGACCTTCTGGAAGCCTAATGTCGTACAGGAGGATTTATATGGCGGTGAAGAACCTGATTGCTGCCCTATGAGGACTGCTCCAATGTGTCGGTTGAAGACGCATTCCGCCATTGGTCGCCTCACAGTCCAGGTGTGACGGGCCCTACTCCATGTCCGTCATTTGCGCGAGGCAGTGTTGCGCTAGCGATGTGAAGCACACTGGACAATTCGATGCAAGTTGTGATTGAAGATGGATTTGCGGCAGGTGAGTCTAGCCATGCAGCCTCATGTCGAACAACGACCCCTGGCCCAATACAACCGCCCCGTCAACGATCGCCAGGTCCCGGCCGCCTCATGACCTCTTTTTTCCTCCGTGAAAAGTCATCTGATGACAGTCTTCAAGTATGGACATCGGGCGTCTAGAGGGTGACACCGCAGGGACAGTAAAGTGCGAAAGGAGGAGGGAGGGCCACGAATTTCGAAATGCGATGTCCAAGAAGTCCCGGAGGAACCAATCGCCAGTCTATATACACAGCCCAGACGCCGAAATATGCATGAGAGTTCCCGTACATTTATGTTACATCCTCTCATCCGCGTCATGCGGTGTGAGGGCGAATTCGCCCGACGGTCGAGGCCAATCCAGCTTCCCATCACGATGCCTTCTGTTGGGATGTTGGGATCATGTAGAGCGAGTTGTCAACTCATTACCACCATCCCTTTTTTTGAGGCTGCTCCGCCCCTTTCGTTTGTGTTTGTTGTGCTGATGACTCTTCGATGCCGAGGCGGTCCAGCGGTCCTCCACTCCGCTGCGTCTCCTTCTCCTTCTCGAACGCCTCGCGCGCCTTCCTGAGCATATCCTGCTTGTCCTCGAGCGTGCGCGGCGCACCACTGCTGCCTGTCGTGTCCTGAGTTGCCTTCTTTGAAGAGAACCACCCAAACAGCCCGGACGACTTGCTCTCGCTCGATGCTGCCTCCGTCGCCCCTGACGCTTGCTGGCTTTGTGCCAGCGATTCCTCGTCTCTCTGGATCGGCTTCGGCGCGCTCAATATGCTAGGCAGCTTGAACTCTCCTCCCGCGCCTCCCGCGCGAGCGTTGGCCTCCTCCACCAGCGAGACCTGCTCGTCCGTTGCGTCGCCCCTCATGTATGCCAGGCGTGCCGCCTCCAGACTGTCGGCCGACATCCTCCGTTGGGCTTCGATGAACTCGGCCTTGCGCTTGCGGTTGTACCGGAGCATGTCGTATGCTGTGTATGCTGTGAGGAGACCGGCGACGGCTGTCGAGATGGCAGGCAGTTAGCATTGTGAACGTCCGTAGGCAGGGGAGCTGTTGGCGGTGCGGTGCTTACCCGTCAGCCCCACCAGGCTCATCACCGTGATCCTGTGCGCCGAGTCGAAGAAGGGCCTCGACTTCGCGATCAGCTGGTCGAACCGGGATATCTTGGCAGTCTTTGCTCTCTCGTGCGCCGCCCGTAATCGTGCCACTCGCTGCTCGGGGGTCTCTGAGTTTGGTGTTGACGCTCTCGCAGCTGTGACTGGTTTCCTGGGTCCTACTGCTCCTGGTGGAGCTGGTGCTCGGACTTTCGAGGATGCATGAGGCGTCGTCGCTGTGAACCGAGTCGCCGAGGAGGCGCTCCGCTCTCCGTCCTTGGCTGCCATTGCGTGGTCGATGTTTGCTCTCGGTAAGTAGTTTACTACATGGGCGTGGAATTGGAGGTAGCAGAACAAATCGTGGAGCAAGCTCGAGGGTGTGGAGCTGTTTGCTTGGGAGACAAAGCTGGAGCTCTGGCAGAATTCTATGATGCGATGCAGTGGTGAGATTTTCCTTCGGGGTACCTTGCACGCCGCCTGGGGAGCTCCAACACGCGGGGTGGCCGGCAGGCAAGCGGCCAAACTGACTCCCCACCCAAACAGGCGAAAGCGGTCAGAATTCAGACGCGCTCTCGGCAGAATCTCGTGCCTAGGAGTATATAAACCCAGGGTCCCTCGCTCCCCTTCCTTTGACTTCTCCCTCCCTGCTTTATACTTACCTTGTCTGGATTATGGTGGATCAAGAATCACTGTAATTAGGTTGGAAAGCCTGCATCGCACATCGTGGCGCTGACCAGTCTGGTTTGTCCTGCGGGGCCAACCTAGGCGGAATTTTTGATGCCAACAAATCGTTCTTTTCATTGAGCTCGTTGCCTTGCGCGGCGACTTGAAGAAGAAAACATGGTGGACAACGTAGAAGTAGCAAAGTTGACTGTCAAATTCCTTAGCAGGCCGTTGCTGTCCACTCCAATCAATTCATCGTCGGACTGTCTCCTACGTGAATTATTTGAGTGTTCACCACACCTCGACGTGCCTTCTCATCACCGCTTCAGTAACCAAAAATCTCGTTCCTACGGTGTACACCTATGATCACTTCGCCGACGCAGTGTACCGCTTTCTGAGTTGGCTTAAATTTGTCCCATCCGGTCGACTGCCCATGTATCTCTGAGTACCGTTCTCCTCTATTTTTAACTCCCCCGCAATGATTCGTGTCGTCTGGCTCTCGACAACTGCACACCTGATATCCGCCTTGAAACCCGACTCACCACACGCCAGCTAAGGAAAGAGAGAGCAGAGAAGGCTGGCGCCTTTACAAGCTTGTCCATGTTGGCCTGCGTTTTCCACATTCTGCGCGTTTCGCAATGACGTCCCCTTGCTGTTGCTCCAGCTGGAAGAGATGCCATCACAGACTCTTCATGAATCATGAATACAAGGCACAATTTCTACATGAATGCTACCAAACACGACTCTCAGCTTGAGTGTGAATTACCGCAATGAGACAACTCTGGATCGGTCTGGCTCGAGGATGAAAGCGAAAATGGCAGCATGGTGCAAATTACTCAGGGATGAGCAGTACAAAAGTCTTAATGTAATTCCTAGGGTTTCGGGTCGAAACCGCCAACTGGCATTTCGTTTTCAAGTCTTCAGTCATCTGTAGCCTGGATCTAGGTAATTGCTTTTGCTTTGTTGATGGATCATTGCATGACAGGAGTTGTATCCCCATACAACAACATTATATGCCAATTCACAAACGTGCCTCAATCTTACCAAACCGCCAACGCAGCCACCGTGAACCTGTTGCTAGCAGTGAGCCGACGCTGTACAGTTTCGCCTAGCCCAGAAGGGGCGTCGAGGCAAGAAGGCAACATTGAGAAGCCCCTAGTGAAACAATCAATCACGTCTGTTCGATGCTGCGGTGATAAATGCGGAAAGATTTCAAAAGAGGAGAAGAACAAAATCTTGCAATGAATGACATCGACGACCCAGAGACTCCCAAATCAATTCTATTAGATGTCGTGAGCTTGTCTTGACACCGAAAGTAGTAGTCAATCTCGTGATCACCAGCCGCTGTTTTGAAACGAATCTCGACACACTGCCATACCACACTTAAGTAGTTCCCACAAGGCAGCACATTGACCCTCAGTCTGCTACAAGCTGGCTGGAGGAATATGTAAGGGAAGCACAGTAAGATCAGGTTCGCAATTCTACTTCTCACAATTTAGAAAAGTTCAAGACTGGTCCGGTATCGATGTGAGGTGTACTAACGTCAAACTCAAAGCTTAGTACGCTGAGATAGAAACACCTAATAGCAACTCGACGGGGACGTCGTTTAGGTAAATAGCACGTCTTCAAACTCGACATTACATTATAAATACTATAAGATGTGAATGTCTCCCTTGAGCGTCATCCAAACTAGAGCACACATCATCGATACATATCCTGATCTGCAACACGGCTCCTAGTTCTCGTCCTCGTCCTCTGCGTTGGACTCGTTCTGGCTGCCCGCGTTCTTGGCGCCAGCAGCATCCTCAGCAGCAGCCTCGTCCTCTGCAGCCGCTCCATCCTGAGCGTTCTCGTCCTCCGCACTGGCCTCATCGTCAGCAGCTGCTTCATCTTGCGCATTCTCATCCTCGGCGTTGGCCTCGTTTCCGGCAGCTGCCTCTTCATCAGCAGCTGCTCCATTCTGTGCGTTCTTGCCACCGGCGGCGGCTTCATCATCCGCAGCGGCCTCATCGTCGGCAGCGGCCTCGTCATCGGCAGCAGCCTCGTCGTCGGCAGCCGCTCCATCCTGGGCATTGTTATTCTGAGCGTCTTCGGCTTGGGCATCTTCAGCCTGCGCATCTTCAGCTTGGGCATCTTCGTTCTGGGCATCTTCATTTTGAGCGTTGTTCTGGGCGTCTTCGGCCTGGGCATCTTCAGCCTGGGCATCTTCGTTCTGGGCATCTTCGTTCTGGGCGTTGTTCTGGGCGTCTTCGTTCTGGGCGTCTTCAGCCTGGGCATTTTCGGCTTGCGCGTCTCCAGCTTCAGCATCGCCAGCCTGGGCGTCAGCAGCCTCAGCATCGCCGCCATCAGCAGCAGCAGCTCCAGCATCAGCGCCTCCGGCGGCCTCCTTGGACTGGTCAAGCACGGCAGATGCCTGGTCGGCGAGAGCGTCGTCCTTGGCGACTTCAGAAGCATCAGGGTTGTCGGTGGAGGCGTCGAACTGGACGTCGGTGGACGCGGCGCCGGCCTCAGCAGCATCGTCGGCGATGTTCTTGTCCAGCTTGGCCTGCTCCTCGGCCATCTCGGCGGCGACGTCCTGGCCCTGGGCGTCCTCGATGGCCAGCTTCATCGTGGTGGCCGTCAGCTTGAGGACCTTGTTCTTGATCTTGCCTCGGCCGAGGGCGAGCGCGTCCTCGCCCGGCGCCGAGGCGGCAATCTCGGTGTTGAAGCCGGCGATCTCGGCATCGTTGGCGATGGAGTTGACGGCGCTCAGGAATTCGACGTCCTCCGGGGCGACGGTGGACAGGTCGGCGGGGAGGCCAGCGAGGGCCTGCTGAGCTTCTGCCGCCGCGTCGCCAGCCGTGCCACCAGCAATAGATAGATCAGCAAAAGTCTTGGCTGTGAATACTGGGGCGGCAGTAGCTTGTCGCTTCTTGCTTGGGGCCGCAGAAGCGAGGGAGGCCACGAAGCCGGTCACGAAAAGAGAGAACCTCATGTTGGCTGATTACGTTCAAAGAAGGTGTGTTTGTGTGACTGATTACACTATATTATTGAGCTCAACCGGGAGCAAACAGCACTGCTGCGTGGAATGAACGTATGAATCGGAGAGAACTATCCTGAAAGAGAGGATGAGAAGGTATAATGGAGAGTAGAGACTGTTTCCATCTCATCATGGCTTCAACTTCTGAAGCCGTCTTATATTTCATCTCTATAGTCGAGAATCCATCATCCCACCTGCGTGATAGAAACGACATGTCCCAAAATAGGATTTGTTGACCGAAAACTGGACAGAGTCAAGCGGGAGGTGGACTTGACACGGCTTGGCTGGAGGAGGAGAGTTCGTCCAAGACCCGGATCCGAGTCTCAGACGAGAAGGTCAGACCAAGCTTGGCGGTCTCCCATGAGCCAAGCCAGAATGACCGGCACACATCTTTTATGCAGTCCCCGGACTGTGATGACCAGATTCGAGGGAGGCGAGTGAATCGATCTTCTGATCAGCCGGCTCGTCGTCGTCCGTGAAGTTTGCCCTGTCAGTTCCGTTTCATGGCCTGGAGAGCAGGTGGTCATTCGCGTTGTTTGAGGGCTTGCATCGTCACTACACTCCCTGCCGACGAAGGAGGACGAGCTTTGAATCAGGAGATGCACTCGACACGTCATCCCCAGGAGTCATTGCGACAAGTCACGAAGATCTCAGATCTGGAGTGGATGTGGAGGTAGTAACGGCAGATGTGTGCTTGATCGTGTCACCATCGAAGGCGAAGCTTGATGTGCGATGCTTGAGAGTTGCAGTCTGAGGATCCCAAGGACGGGAGTTGCGCGCGGACCTTGGTTCAGCGCTGTAGATCAACCAGACTGACAGCTACAGGTGCTGACTGGCCCTTAGGAAGCTCCACCAACCCGCTCTGACTGTCCTGCCACAGTGTAACAGCAGCCACAGGCATCATCTGCCGTCACCCGTCAGCAACAACCTGATAATTGTTATACGCATCGTCTTCTGTCTGCCTGGCAGTCTGTGTCTTCATCATTGGACTGTGTCGACGCTTCAGTCCAGCTCAAATGAGTAAGAGGAACGTTTTATTGTCATCAATCCTCGTCCCGCAGCCACGCCCAACTTCCAGCCAATCTGTCAAGTTCAAAATATCGCAAGACAAGGTCTAGCACACCCGTTCGTTTGGTTTGGTTTTGACCCAGACCTCAGTGACTTTGGTTTACAAGCAAGGGAGATTGTCATCGGTTCCAGTCTTATTCGCAGGATTGACCGATCTTGGTGCGGTCAGAGCAAAAACAAACCCCACAAAATCCACAAATAGCCTGGATACCCACACACCACCTCCTGCGTCCCAAACCCCTGGGTCTTGGCCCTGGGACTTTCCTCTCCCGTCCTCACTGACGGTTTGATCGCAGGGTTGCCACTTGTGTTTGATAGACGCTTCCCTCCTCAGCCACAGTCGAGAAAAAACAGCACCTGGGCGTTGAATAGGATTGGACAGGATGACCCCAGAGGAAATCGAGGAGCTGTTCAAGCGCACCGACGGCGTGGTCGTGGTGCAGGATGCCGGCGGCGACGAGGACGACGATGAGCCCACCCTGACTGAGGACGAGACGAGCTACAGGGTTGCCCGCCTCAAGGACGTGCTGCTTGAGGCTCAGAGTGCCTGGGACGGCGGATCTGAAGTTCTCGACCGCATTGCCGAGAAGCTCGGTGATGGAAGCCGGCGCTGTGAGTGGCATGGAGCGGCTTTTCTGTTGGCACCGTGTCTTCCACCATGCTGCAGCACCACTGAAACGAAACACTGCTGTGATCTTTCCAGAATAGTTGCATTTGCTAATACATTTATTTACTTTCAGCTTTGTGGCGACTGCCAATTGGCGAATCAGGTCTCCTGAATTTCTTTCTGAACATCCTTCCCACGCCTGATTTAAGGCCTCGCCTCAGATCTCATGCCCTTCGCTTGATAGGCAACTCATGTGCAGACACAGGTGTGCATCCCCGCCAATCTCTTTCGCAAAAGGGTAAACCAAGATGCTCACCAGCACATGCCAGATGAGAATAGAGCCCGCGTCGTCGAGGACGGCCACATCAACGCCATCATAGACCTCCTTCAGCATGATTCCTTGCTGCCATATGTGGTCACCGTTTTATATAATGTCTTGGTGGACTATGGTAAGGGGCGATCTCTTATCATCGTCTAAATACAAAGACACCAATACTGACATACCTCCCAGAACCAGTCCAGCTGCAGGCCTGTGAGGCCGGCCTCAGCCAACGGCTAACAGATCTCCTCAGCGGGCCTCGTCTCGAGACGTCCCGTCCCTTGATCGGCCTGATATGCAAGATCCTCGCCCTCCTCATCGCCCAGGAGCCCGAGGTCCGCACGGGATCCCCAACAACACCTCAGGTCCTCCTCAACATCGCCACCAGCCAGGAGCACCCCGTCGACCTCGAGGACTTCAGCGCCCTCACGTCCGTGGCGCTCGCGTACTTGACCCACGAGACATTTCAGACGAGCAACCTGGCCAGCGTCCCGCTCCTCCTGGAGGCGTTCTCCATGTCCCACACATCCTTCGACCCATCCGACGCCGCCGACCCCGATGCCGCCGCGCAGCTGAAGCAGGTCCGCAGCGCCTTCGTCCCCGTGCTCGCCGACATCTCAGCACTGCCGGGCTTCATCCCGGTGCCGACCCCGGACAACGCTCAAGCACCACCACTCCTCCAGCACCCCGTCTTCCAGACCCTCCAAGGCTGGCTGCGCAGCTCAGCCGAGCACGCCACCCTGCAGTCGGCAGCGTGCCTGGCGCTGGGCAACGTGGCGCGCAGCGACGCAACGTGCGAGACCCTCGTCGGCAGCGGCGCCATCCACGAGCCGCTCATCGACCTCCTGACTCGGTGCACGGGCAGCGGCACAACAACAACAACAACAGCATCCCCGCCCAACGCGCAGCTCACGCACGCGGTGCTCAGCTTCCTCAAGAACCTCGCCATCCCCGCCGCCAACAAGCCCGCGCTGGGCCGCCTGCTGGAGCCGGGGCTCCTGCCGAAGCTGTGGTCGACGTGGGGCGACGCGCAGCCGCAGTCGCAGTTCGCGGCCGTGTCGCTGGGGCGGCTGCTGCTGGTGGGCTGCGCGGCGAACGCGGCGAGGCTGGTCGCGCCGCTGGGCCGGGACGCGGAGCCATCCGGTCCTGTCCAGACGAATCTGCATGTCCTGTTGTCGCTGTTCCAGCGCAGCGACGCGGAGCCGACCAAGACGGAGGTCGCGCGCGCCGTGGCGAACGTGTGCCGGACGCTGCACTCCGCACCGGTCGAGTCGGTCCTGTCGGAGGAGTGGGAAGAACCACCACCATCCTCTGCCGACGACCAAGGCGGCAACACGCCCGCTACCACGACCACAAGCACACAAGACCCCACAACCTCGGAAACGCGCCGCGCACACTTCTACGCCGCCCACCCCGCCGTCCCAACCACGCTCTCCCTCCTCCTCACGCAGACGCGCTTCCCCGCGCTGCGGTCCGAGGCCTGGTTCGTGCTCGCGCTGACGAGCCGCTCCGTGTCGGGCGCGCGCGTGGCCCGCGCCGTGCTGGAGCCGGCGGGGGCGTGCCGCGCGCTCGTGGAGGCCGTCACGGGGCGGCGGGACGTGTCGGACGGGGACGACCTGCTGCTGGCCGCGGGGTCGCCGGCATCTGGCCGCGACGACGCGGTGGAGGATGTGCTGAGCAACAGCACCGGCGGCGCCGCTGGAGCGGAACCGAACCAGGCGGGCGGCGCGGTCGGAGGGGTCAGCCTTGGGATGGAGGGTCTTGGACTTGGAGACCTGCAGCCGCAGCAGGTGGACCCTGCGGCGCGGGCGGGCATGACGCGGATCGATCGTGAGAATGGGCTGTGTCTTGTTGCCGAGCTGGTGCGGAACTGTGCGGGCGAGCTAGATCCGGCCAGGAGGGCTATCTACGAACGGCTGCTGGTGACGGGAGGGGAGCTGGTTTTAAACTCTAGGGGTGAGGTTGCCAGCGGGTAAGTCTCAGCGTCGATGTGAGATCAGAGACAAATGAGAAAGGTCTGCCCGACAACCTAGCCATTCACATCCAAGATTCGTGTGTAGTCGCATCGTACATGAATGTCGCGGTTTCCGGACCTATGGACCGTACTACGCATCTCGTTGTCTCTCAGATCATGTATTCACAAGCTTCCATCTTGCGTGTCTCGAATGTGTCTTTACGTTGAACTACTGTTTGGGCTCTGGTATCTGGGGGGCTTCTCTCGAAGCCGAGGATCACTTCTTTTATTTTCCGGGTCCCATTTCCATCATGGATCCAGTTATGAGCTTTTGTATCATGACCAATCCTCTCCCGTAGCAGCAATGCAACCTTGACGCATAGACCCATACCAACCGAAAGACCAGAGACAGAGTACCAGTTGTGTAAAAACCTGTTCAAACCGCCTGAACACCATCCAAGACAAAAAGCGAGGGTTTGTTCGCTTATTTCTTCTTGTCGGCCTCGGCCTCGGCAGCCTCCCTGGCGCGCTTCTCGCGGGCACCAGCGTTGCGCTTGTTGGCACGCTCGTCGCGCAGCTTGCGGTAAGCACCACCCTCGATGGGGGCGGGGAAGTCGGACTTCTTGATCGCCTTGATGGAGGTGTCGGCGTGAATGATAGGGAAGGCGGCGGAGGTGACGGGGACGGCGGAAGAGACAGCCTTGAGCTCCTCCTTGGAAGAGTCGCCCTTCTTGGGCTTGTTGCTCTTCTTGGGGAAGAGGATCAGGCGCTCAGTGTAAGCCTTGAGGCGCTGGACGTTGGTGGCCAGGGACTCCTCGGAGACGTTCTGGCGACGAGCATCGACAGAGATACCGATGGTAGGGGCATACTGTCGGGAGATGCCAGCGGCCTAAAGAGCCTTGTTAGAACCTTTGACCGATCAAGCAACCCGCCACGGCTTGCGCATATCGTAGACTAATCGCTAAGGATACGGCTCGCAGGGCTTTCGGTCGTGCTTCCAGAATATGGGAACAAAATATTTACCTTCAGCTCAGCCAGGGTGAAACCACGGCCGGCACGGACACGGCGGTTGTACTTGATGGTAGGGCATCGGACAACGGGTCGCAGCTTGTCGATGGGACGGGGAGCGACGGCGGCAGCCTTGGCCTGACGGGCATTCCTGCGGGAGACCTTCTTGCCGGGCTATATTTGGTTCATTTGTCAGATCGAGTTCGAACATGGTCGCGATGCGATCGGGTAGTGGAGCAGGTCGTATTTTGTACGCCTGTCGTCCATCGCTGGGTGCTGGAATCTGTGTTCATGGGGAGCGTACCTGGTCGAAGTGGGTTCGGACCCGACGTTGCCAATCCTTGCGGAAGTCTAGATAGAGGCAGTCAGCATTGATGGCGTCCAGAGGACGTAGCCTTGACTGCTTTTGCAATCGAAGAATGATCAAGGACAGAAAAGATGAAGGCGAAAACTAACGGTTCTTGACAATGGTCTGGTTGTGCTTGATCGCCTGTATGAGAAATCAAAGGGTCAGTGACAATGTCCTGACTCAATTGACGTCGACAGGATAGATCCCCATGAAGGGGAGATCACTGCTACACACCATTTTGATGGATTGCACACAACAGCTGGGCTTGTTGGTTGTCGGATTGTGGTTGTCGTCGTCAAGAGAGCTTACCTGCTGCGATCAAGACGGAGAAATTTCATCAAGGCAAATTCGAGATTTGTGGTTTCGGTGGGAACCGAGCTGATTGGCTGAGGGACCCACTACTTCATGCCTTGTTTTCACGGCAGAAAGGTGTTACTGTGGGGTTCGCCAAGGAAGGGTGAAGCTCTGAACCAATGGCAGCTGCCACCAGCTGGCACCCAAGACTTGCACTCAGGACTGCAAGAGTCAACAACCTCCTAACTACTGTCTGAACATGCATCAGGTAGGGAATCCATTCCGAACTAAGAACTACAGGTCGGTGATGAGAATTGTACAGAATGTTTCATGGATGAACTTATTACATATAACCTCATTGCTGTTCCTTCTCTGAAATGATGCTAGTCTCATGCCTTGCAGATGTTTCCTCTCATTGTCCCCATCGTCGTATGACACGGCTTTGGTTCCCTTCCATATTGTAGTGTTCATACAGTTCCATATACGCGCAAAACGTTGTTGATGGACTGGCATAAACTCCCAATGCTTCAATTGATAATTTACAGAAGAGACAGATCCCAGCGAGTGTAAGTAGAAAGGCGTAGTGACAGAAGGGCGTACAGACGCCACCAGCATCATCGCATATAAAGACAGCTGCCTTCACTTACACGCAGCTTGAATATCAACAATCCTGATACTGAAATAAGAATTAAAACAAATCCACATCCATAATCACAGCAAAAATGCCAATCAAAGCAATCCTCTTCGACTTCATGGGCACCTGCCTAGACTGGCACACCCCCATAACCGCCTCGCTCCCCCCATCCCTCCCGGAACCCACCCGCTCCCAACTCGCCCTCGCCTGGCGGCAAGCCTACTTCGACCACAATGCGGCCCGCCTGGCCGCTGGCCTCCCAACAGAGGACATCGACGTCTCGCACCGCACGACCCTCTCCGCCCTGCTCGCCAAGTCCCCGCCCGACGTCCAGGCCGCCTTCACGCCGGAAGCAGTCGACGCCGCCATCGCCGCGTGGCACGCCCAGCCCGCGTGGCCGGACGTCGCGGGCGCGCTGGAGGGGCTGCGGGCCTGGGGAGCGCGGGGCGGGAAAGGGGTGGATGTCATCGTACACGCCAACGGCACCGCGCGCCTGCAGCTGGACCTGTGCCGCTCGTCTGGGCTGCGCTTCGACATCTTGCTGTCCAGCGAGTTGCTGGGCGTGTACAAGCCCGCGGCGGAGAGCTACCGCCGCGCGTTGGAGCTGTTGCGGTGCGAGGCGGGGGAGTGCGTTATGGTTGCTGCTCACGCGTGAGTTTTTTTTTAAACTTTTTATTTTATTTCATTTTTATTTTCATTTTGATAGTTGCTTCTGCTGCTGCTTCTGCTGCTGCTGCTCATAGAATGTGTGTGTGAACTGCACTGCTGCATCTCCCCCCCCCCCCCATCCGAGTGTGGTTACAGAGAGGAGTTGAGAGCAGGGTGAGATCGAGTGCTCAGCTGACGATTTATATAGATATGATACCCGCGGCGCCAAGGCGGTGGGCATGAAGACCGTGTATGTGTACCGCTGGACGGACGACATCAACGAGGACCAGGAGGTCGTGAGGCGCGAGAACGACGCATACTTGGAGAGCATGGACGGGCTTGTCGAGACCGTGGCGCGGCTGAGTTAAAGCTTTTTGCGTTGCCATTATCCCCCAGAGCGTTGCCGTGAATCGGGTGGCCGAATAGAAGGGTCAAGAGCGTTATCTTGTATGTACGGGTGGCCAAGCGAGAGACGGAGGACTCAGTGCAGCTGGCCTGGTTCGTCTGCGCTGGGTATAAAGTAGGCACGGGTTTGGCACAAGTCAGTGACCAGCAACTCGGGAACAGCACGCCAAGAAGTAGAGACCAGGATGAGTTCATGTTTGGGTATTATCATTATTAGGTCAGTAGGTTCTCCAAACAAGACATCCGCTCGCATCCTTTTCTCGAGCGAGGAGGACCACCCATGAGAAGCAAGGGCTGCCATTCACCCCCAACACAGGCAATACGTTCTGCCCTTCATACCCCTTTCGTGATGAGCAGCAAGAAAGAGCCGTAGCAAAGCCCTTCTGCTTGTCGTATCCCAAGATCGTGATCCAATTTCATATATACATCATGCATTTAGTGTGGCGGCTGTCGCCGCTCAGCAGGTATCGAGAAAGAAATTTCAGCGCGCGCACCTCTCTCAAAAACGCCCCGACTCCACTGCCGATGAAGGGTTTTCCAACTGGTATCCATGCTTTATGCCTCTGCACCAAAGGAGGGGAAATAGAAGAAGAAAGAAGAAGCAACAAATAGAACGTTAAAGGTCAAATCTCCCCAGTACGCCAGGAACCATCTCGCTCTCTCGCTTAGTGGTTCCTATCTCCAATCAGGTCATCCACCCAGCCCAGCCGATCTCGATTCTCATCGCAGACCCGGGCAAATTCGAGCAACAGCCTCCACACATACAGCAGCATGTCGTCCCTCCTCAGCACCATCTCGCTCCAGCTCTTGCCCGTCTCGGCAATCATCCTCGCGGCGGCGTCGCCCTTCTCGTCGCGCGTGAAGTAGTCGATAATGCCGTACAGGTCCTGCAGCGTATTGTCCATGGGCACAAAGTGCAGCCACGGCTGGAGGCGGTCGTCATGCCACTCGGCGTAGACAGTGCTCTTGATGGGCAGGGAGCTGCTGAGCAGCAGGCCGCGGTAGCGAGCGCTGAAAGAGTTGCCGTCGACATCGGGCATGAACTTGTTGACGTACTGCTCGGCCATGGGTTTGGACTCGACCTCGTGGAAGTAGGGCGCTAGGTACGTGCAGTTAGAGTCCCGCGGGAAGCAGATGAGGTGGTTGAATCCCGCATCTGCGTGCTCCGACAGCCACTGGCCCATCGTTCCCTCGCGCCGGCGGGGGAAGTCGTACTGGTGAAGCGGGGGCATGTCGAACGTCATGGCTCTTGCCCCGTTTCGCTCGAGGTTGGACACGGTGGTGCCGTTGAGCATCTCGATGAGTCGCAGGCGCTGGAAGTGCATCCAGTTGCTCTCCTTGTGCCGGCCTCCGCTTGCGACACCACGCCAAGAAATGCTCGTTGTTTTCTGGTCCCAGGTCGGGCCATGGGATGCGCCGCCGGAGTAGAAGGGGTCTTCTGTGAGGTACATGGCGCCTGGGATGAGGATCTCATTGTTCATAGGCAGTTTGCTTCCGCCGAAGAGGGGGATGAGTTCCTTGGTCGTGGAGAGGCTGAGCGGCTCGATGAATGTGCCGTGCAGTGCGCGTAGGTGAGGCTGAAGGCAGGGATCGGAGGCGGCAGTGAAGTTCTTGACGTAGCCATTCTCGCTGTACTCCGGGTCCCAGTCCTCGGGGAACGCAGGCGGCCACGAGAAGTCGGTCAGTGCGCTGACATTGCGACTTGGGGAGTCTGGCGAGCAGGTGACTCTGGCCAGGTCCCAATACCTTGGCGAGTCTTTGGTGATCCACTGCGGCTGGTAAGCATGGAGCTCTTTGTCGATGTGCATCCACGAGAGTCCCTTGTAGTCCTTGACTACGTCCTCGACTGGTATGACCTTCCTCCAGATCCTTGCCTTCTCGACCAGGTCGTTGATCTCCTCCCAGGGCACCAATATCCGACTCTCGTCCTTGTAGTTGATGGGCATGTCGACCTCGGGCAAGAACATCTCGACTTCCTTGACCAAATCCGTCCAGAGCTGCAACCAGGGCACCCTGCCTTCCGTACTGCCGACGGGTATGGCTTTCCCGTCCCTCACACGTACGACATGCTCCGCGGTGGCAGCCCTGCGCGCAGTTTCCTTGGCGTCGAGGCCCCAGAATGGCTGGAGGTCATGGTAGATGCGATCAAAGAACTTCTCCACAATGACGGCATCATGCTTGAGGGCGTACTCGGCCCATTTGTCGAACCCAGGCGGCGGGTGCCTGCCCCTTCGAACACGGTAGCGAGCGGCAGCACTCCTCAGGTCGGTAGACCGTTGCTTCAGCAGGTCCTCCTGGGCCCGGCGGGCATCTGCAATGATGTCGTCAACCGGATGTGGCCCTGCACTGGCGGCGTCGGAGAGGATGTCGAGCAGCTCGGAGTCGGTGGCAGGTTTCCGCCATGGCGGGGTTATGTCTGACAGTGAAGGAGGGATAAGGCGTGTGGCGGTCTCGGAGGAGCGAAAGAGGAGGAGAGAGGAAAAGAGCAGTGTGAGGCAGCAAGCAACGAAGCAGTAGCGGCCCAGTGAGGGATACGAGAAAATGCGGCGTCGGTTGACGTTGGCCCAACCGCCAGGGCTTATGGGCGACTGGAGTGCTGGGTACATTTGGACTCTGTGTTGCACACTAGACGGGAGGAGCAAAGACTCGAGAGCAGGCGGCAGTCAGTGCCACTCGCGCGCGATCTGTGCGAGTGGCTGGCTTTGTGAGGTGCACGCGATTTTCAGAGCTCGGCCACTTCCGACGAGGCTGGTCTTGTTGTTGTTGGTGGTAGTGATAAGGTGAAGTAGGGTAGGCAAACGAGCGTAGTGGGCACAAATGCACCGCTTTGAGGAAGAGATCTTTGAGCAAGGCTCAGGGCGAACAGAAACCCCCGAGTTGAGAAAAAAAAGAGAACGATCAGCAGCGGGCAGTCACCGAAGGGGGTGAGAGGGTGGCTGGACTGGTCGAAGGCGTTGAATGGGATTGCCACAAGAATGAGCGGGCGTGGGAAGGTGGAGTCGGTCGTGCCTGATGTAGTAGGATATTCATTGGCGATTCATTGAGGTGAGGGTGAGGTGAGGGTGAGAGGGAGCATGGCAAAAGTGAAGCTTCAATTCGATTCAATTCAAGAAGAGGTGTCGGAAGGCCGCAAGCAAACAATCAGAACAATGTGACAATCCGTCAGACGGACAAGACAGACAGACAGAAAAAAGGGAGCAGGGAAATTGAGGAACGTTCCCGAGGTGGGAAAGGCTGGCTGGCTGGCTGGCTGGCTGGCTGGTTGGTTGGTGGGATGCAAGCAAAGGCAGCAAGCAAGCAGGTGCAGCAAGCAGATCGTGTTTGTTGCGTGCGGGCAGGTGTGCGAGCAGGATTGGGAGAGGAAATTGGTGCTAGTCCCAAGTCAGGATGACGGGCGAGAGATGTCAGTGTTCTAGATGCAAGACAATAGGACGGACATGGGCTGGTGGGCTATGGGACTGATGGCAGATCCTTCGGTCGAGCGCTTATTACGAGCCATATACTGTAGTTTCCCCCCCAGTCCACCCAAAATGATGCGCCGCTTGGCGTTTAGCCTGGACCTCCCTTTTGGTAGGCTGGCACGGCTAGTAGGCTGCATAGGCCAGATAGGGACCCCTCGGGGGCACTAAGAGGGGTCGAGACAGAGAGGCCTCTTGGAAATTATGACGGGATCAGGGAGCTGGCGATCGAAATGCGGGTTGATCTCTTGCTCGCCGTTGGCTTTTGCGCGTCAGCCCGTCAGCCCTGGACGTTTCCAGTCGGACTGTCAGACTGTGTGCGACTGTCTGTCTGGTCCGATCGGATCTGCGCCTCCTTTCTGATCAATGAGCTCTGCAGCTTTGCAACTATGCAGCTCTCCTCACGGTCGCAGCAGGTTGTGGCGTGTGGCTGCGTGTGTGGGACGCAAGCAAAAAGCGCAGAAGGATTCCGACAATGTTCCAAGATGAGCCAATCGACTGCAAGCCGTCAGGCTGGTATGCCCGTCAGCTTGTCTGCTTGTCTGCCTGGCGTGCGAAGACTGTCAGATTGTAACAGTAACAGTACGGATGTCCCAGACCAGACTGCCAGGCCAAGCAAGGGTTGCGTGTGGCTAATCAAGGGCGTCCTGGCTTCAATGGCGTCGTGCATCATCCTGCATGCGAGTGTGGCACCCTGCCCCGACCCGAGATTGCGTCGCGATTGAGCGGGACAAGAGCTCAAAAAAGGCTGAATACTAAATCCCTCCCCTTTCCCGTCTAGATGAGACGACGTGCAGTTGGACGTTGATGGACGTCGGTCTGTCGCTAAGTCAGTCGGTGTCAGGGTCCAGGTTCAAGAAGGTCAATTTGTTAGCCTGGGTTCATTAAATCATTAAACTTCGGATGGATCTGAGCTTCCTGGCCTTCATGGTCTCCAAGAGCGTGAGCACTGACTCTTTTCTTGTCAGATCCCTCCTAGGTTTGCCCCAAGGTTCCCCCAAAAGGTTCCTCCCACAGACGCGACCGTTGCCTTGTCACCACCTGCCAAACCCCAAATCTTGAGATTGAAAATCCTACCTAACCCGTTCGTCCAACCTCTTGGGTCCGGCCCAGTCCTTCTCGCTAAGAGCTGGCCGTGCTAAGGTTTTGACTTGGGAGTCTTGGGAATGCTTGTTGTCACTCCGTCTCCCAGGTTTTTGGGTCACCGCCAACATCATCATTCAGGCTGACGCGACATCACAGCATCGTCACAGCATCTCTCTCGATAACGTGCTGACAAAGAGTCTTGGTACATGCACCTTGGATTTTGCGTTCTGGATGCATCGTCCACACTTGTCATGTGTAGAGTGGCACGCGAGTCAATTTTCGCCGGGCAGACGTCGATCCTCCATCAATCTGCCTTTTTTTTCTCTCCTTTGCCGATTGCATCCCGATCACCGGCCCACATCGCCGCCCCCCACCTCCCCTCCCACTCCGGTAGCCGGCAACCCTCCCACATAATCGATCACTTGGACACCGACTCCCTCCCAACACCATCTGCCGCCAGCTACTGTCTTCTGATCGCACCATCTTCATCGCCGGCATCCAATTGGCCTCCCTGTCGACACCATGCCGGCTATGTCTGCCATCTTGCCTACGGGCTGCCCTATCAATCGCACCCCACTCCGCATCCTCGAGTTGCCTATCGCCGGATAGTACTAGGAGCATGTGGCCGGTGGTATCATCGCTTTGAGACATCCGGCATAGCTACAGAGACATATGGCGAGGTAGGCGGTATTTTCTGCTAGCTATCGTCTTCTTCGAGTGAAGAAGCTACGTCGTCGTTGGTTTTTCCTTTCTAGCCGTTCAATCGCAGTCGATTGATCCTGCAAGATGCATTTCTCTTTGCTAGCTTTAACTGCGCCTCTGGCCCTGGCATCTTCCATTCCTAGGCACAGGGGCAATGGCCAGGAGCTCGATAACAGTGCTGCAGACTTCGAGTGCGACCTTCCCAGCCCTCTCGAACCCTCTGGCGATGGCCTTCAATCGGCCCAGAAGCTCTTCGGCTCCAAGGCAGCCTTGACGAAGCAGGTCGAGAGGCATTCAGCGCTCGTCAAAGTGCCTTCGATCTGCTACGACGACCTTGGACCCTTCGACGAGGATCCACGATGGAAGCCTTTCTACGAGTTTCATGATGTGCTGGCCGACACCTTCCCTCTGGTGTAAGTCTCCCTCTAGAACGAACAGAAATCGAAGAAAAAAGCCCCTGACATCCAATCTCTACAGGCATCAGCACTTTACTCGCGAGAAAATCAACACATTCGGCCTGCTTTACACCCTGCACGGCTCAGACCCGTCTCTCAAGCCGCTCATGCTCACTGCGCACCAGGATGTGGTCCCGGTAGCAGACGCTTCGACATGGACACACCCACCCTTCGATGCATACTTCGACGGGACCTGGCTCTGGGGCCGCGGGTCCTCTGATGACAAGAACAGCATGACATCGCTGCTTTCCGCTATTGAAACTCTCCTGGCCCAGGGTTGGTCCCCTAAGCGGACAGTCCTGCTGGCCTTTGGCTTTGATGAGGAGTGTTCCGGACTCAAGGGCGCGGGCTCCATCGCTGCACACCTGAAAAGCGTCTGGGGCGAGGACTCGCTCGCCATCGTCCTTGACGAAGGCGGAATGGGGCTTCAACAAATCGACGACGTGCTGTACGCGCTCCCCGCTGTCACCGAGAAGGGCCATGTGGATATCTGGCTTGAGCTGCACGTCCAAGGCGGACACAGCTCCATTCCATTCCCGCACACGGGCATCGGTATCATCAGCGAGGCCGTGGTTGCGCTGGAGTCCCATCCATACGAGCCTCTGCTTATCAAGGACTCGCCGATCTACAACCACTACGTCTGTCAGGCTCGCTACAGCCCCAAGGCCGAGCCCGAGGTCACGAGGCTGCTGGAGAAGGGCGATCTCAAGACCCTGGCCAAGGAACTGGCGTCCCAGGACAGGCCTACAAACTTCAGACTACAAACCAGCCAGGCCGTGGACTACATCAGCGGAGGGCAGAAGATCAACGCCATGCCCGAGGTCATCAAGGCGGGCGTCAACTACCGCGTGGCGCCACAAAACTCAATCGGCGAGATCATGCACAACATCGTCGAGCATATAAGCCCCATCGTGAAGAAGTACAACCTAGCCGTCAAGGCATTCGAGAAGGACGACGAGTACGCAAGCTACGCGCTCGAGCGAGGCTTGGAGACTGTGAAGCCGGCGTACGACGTCGACTACAACGGCACGCTGATCCTGACGTCGAGCCAAAAGACCCTCTTGGCGCCAATCTCGCCCACCGCGGGCGACGCCGTGTGGGACGTCTTCTCGGGCACGATCCAGCACGCCTTCGCCTTCCCCAGTGGCACCGTCGTCCCTGTTGGCGAGCTCATGACCGGCAACACCGACACCCGCCACTACCTGAGCCTCACGCCCAACGTCTACCGCTGGACGCCCGTGCGCCAGGGCGGCAATACGGGCGCGCACACCATCGACGAGGGCGTCGACATGAATGTGCACATGGAGCTCGTGCGGTTCTATTATGACTTTGTGAGGAACTTTGATGCTTCCGGGGTGGCGAAGAAGGAGGCTGTGTCTGGCGAGGTTGAGTTGTAGGTTGCTGGGAGAGTAGGTGAGTTTGTGCCGGTATGGCTCCACTCACGATAGGGGCGCCGAGCGAGATTGTCGTGACCGCGGGCCTCATAGGTTCTCTTGGGGGGTGTACGTGTGTTTTCCTGGCGGCCCGAGATGTTGGCAAGCAGATGTCATGTGATCTAGTCAACTGAAAAATGAAACGTATGGTCATTTAACATTTGAACATTGCACATTGTCCGTTCCCAAGGGTCCCATCTCAACACATCGATAGTCAATGACGATACGGGCAGTGACCATGCCAATGACTCCGGACAGAGACCACCTAACACAACAATGACAATCTATATATGATTCTGTTTCCTAGGCCCGCACAATACCTAATACCCAGGTATCTTGTGCCTCTTACTTTCTTCGACTTTGTATCTGAGGCATAGGCTAGCAGGTAGTAGAATCACATGCTTCCTCGAATTGCGAGCCCCGACTCAGCGCCAGGATCCAGAGAGCCAGATGTACGCAGAGTTGTCTTATCTAATGGGACGGAACGGGTACAGTCAAGAAGGGAGAATTGAGGCGCTGATTGGAAAATGGAAAGAACCTACAAATCTGGGGGCCATGTTCTGTGGGAATGGGTAAGTTATATGTCTTTCTACAACGCTTTCTCACCTTGATATTGGAAAGCCTTGGGGATAATTACATGGCGCTCGGAGGTTTGGTTCGACGAGCAAAGCTTGGTGTATAAGCATTTGCTTGTGAATTGAGAAAGCTGAAATAATCTGCGCGTTACTCGTGTTAATCATCCGCAAACGTTGATGAGTTTGACCAAGAGCGAAGAAAGTATATGAATCCGTTGCACCTGAATGAATCGGAATACGGCGCTGCTCAACTGTTCAACCATGGATCCCGAAGAAGTTGCTCTGCTGTTTTCCTGTCTTCTGGACGCCACTGAAGCAGTCCCCTCATGAACATCAGGAAGTCCTCCTTTTCTACTCCTTCCAGAAATCTTTCTCTCCTTTCAAATCCGGCTGCTTGAGGGAGGGGAACGTCACCATCGCGTACCCATTGACCTGTATGGGTAGTGCTATTAGTAAATTACTCACTGGGATGCCGAATTCCGAGGTTATGACTACCGTCTTCAGAAAAGAACTCGCGGCTCCTGATACCGCGGACAAGCAAGTCGGGGGGTGGCGGTCCCAGCAAGCTTACCACCTCTGCAAGGTGCGCGCAGGTGGAGTATCCATTTCCATCAGGATCGTCGCCACAGAAGAGATGCTCTCCCTCAAAAAGATCCCAAATCATGCAGCCAACGTTCCATATATCCGCAGGGTAGCTCCAATCCGCCTCGAGCATTACCTCCGGTGATCTGTATACGTTCGGTTGCACATCGTGGTTGTGTGTTTCAGTTCCGCTCTCAGCCGCACCCAAGTCGCTGAGTACTGCTGCACCGAACTTGCGAGGTAGGTCGAAGCGCCGCGACTTGTACACGGGATGTCCATTGACGAGTTTCCGAGGGGAAGGGGCTCGAAGCTCCTCTCGGGTGAAACTATGCAGTATTTCGTCGTCGGCGATCTCTTGCAGGATATTGTCGGCTTTGATGTCTGTGTGGACGAGCTTGCACTCCCTGTGTAAGTAGTCAAGGCCGAGTAAGATATGCTGCAGCCCGGCTTTCAGCAAGTCTACCGTGAAGCGATGGCTGGGGTTGCGTTGCAGTAAGTCCTTCCAGCTTTCCCACATGGGCTTCTGCACGATGCAGTGATGTTCTACATGGGAATTAAGGGCTGCCTCCGGGGGGTTCGGAAGGGTAAAGATGTCCAAGGCCGTTCGTATGTGTCTTCTCCCGGGATGCGAGATACTAGCTCCGTTGATTTGTTGGTAAATTGTGAACTCATTCTGTGCGGATATTCCGCTGATATAGACCTTCAACGTTACATGACCGTGGTTTCTACTCACCATCAGCATTTTACCTCTAGACCTGTCTTTGCTCCCTCTTCCTGAAGAGCAGTGCCTTTGTTGACCAGGGTCGACCTACTGAAGGTTTCGGGCCAGCCACACTGTTGAAGTTGTTCCAAAGCCCAGCTTTCCGAGAACTTGGTATTTGGCATGGTAAACGTCGCCGATTCGCACCGGGTAGAATCTTCCTGAGCCGAATGTGTCAAAATGCTCCTCCTCGACCAATTGAGACTCCGGAATCAACTTGTAACCCGATGATGGGAAGTTCACTGGCGCCAGAGGTTTTCGTCGGATAAGGGCCTTCGCCCATTTCACAATAGATGTCATGACTATGGTCAGGGTGGATCAGAAAAATTTTGCAAGGTTAGTCACGAAGCTGTTGGCTCAGATTCAGCTCGTGTACTGGCTGAATCATCTCTGTGGTAAGGCAGCCACCCATTCGAGGGCTAGGGTGGCCAATACAACCTGCCGGCGCAGACAAAGTTACACATCTGCGACAAAGTAAATTGAAGGGAAATTGTCCATGGAGCTGCAGTGCAGCTAATGAAGCTAATCGGGAGAGGGGGACCAGTGTTCCATTACTGGTTTGCATTTTCATTACATCCCAGTGTTCCGGGCAGAACAATGGCCGTTTGCATGACAAGTACATCATAGAACTTTCCTTCGAATCGAATCTGCAGCTCCTTCTTACCACCAAACAATCCACATCATCACACATCACCACCTCATCGAGGACTGCCGCCTTTGCTTGGTGCCCAAAATCCTAGCTGCTCAAATGCCATCAGTACCACCGTTCTGGCACGATGTATCGCTGCTCATAAAACATTATGCTGCGGCCGTAGAAGAGTCTGCTGGCAGATGAAATGACTTCGACGTAAATTTTCAGATATGTTTATCCATCCAGCTAAAAAGCCTCTGTGTTCATTATGTACTGTGGATGTATGGCTGCCATTACCGTAGACGGGGTAGCCAGGGCGCCCTAATGCTCAGCTTCGGACAGGCTATGGGATTCATAGCCCGAGAGCGAGAGCTTCCTGGCATGGATAACTACAAATCACCGAAGAAGTTTGGATTTCAATACTAATTTTATGCGAATCGCTCGTTGTTAAAACAATACGGCTATGGCTACTGTGCAAGCCGGCTCATAAGACGGCTGCGCTCTCGTTTCGTCCTTTCTGGCTGAAGACTTATGAATCGTATGCTTCCGCCTCGGAAAAATTCTTATGGGTGGCCGGTGATCAAGGACTTTGAGGGTTCGCTTTCGCTTATCAATGAGAAATGTGATATGAACGGGGACCTGTCCAAGGGGGAGTTTTGCTCGAAGTGTCCAACTGTACCTAAGTACATTGAAGATGTATGATTGCCAATAGAAAAAGATGTACTCGAAATATTGTCTGGGACGCCTGCCGAGGTATACAGAGGAGGTGACTTGGTCAAATTTGGCAGAGACGAGCAGAGACAGCTTGTCTCTTGTCATCGTTGAGAGCGTTGATCATGCAGAATGTCAATACTCAGCAGGCCGCCTTGCCCTCGCTAAGTTGGAGGCGCGTCCACCCTCGTGGGAAACAGTAGCAAAACAGGAGGCATGCCACGATCGTCTTGTTCTTCTCGGCCGTCTCTCGGATCGTCTTTAGCATCTCCACCCTCAAGGGGGTTTCTAGTTTCTTGCCTTGATTATCTGTCGCGTCAAAGGGACTTTCTACAAGTCAACGAACCTGTTGTTCCACGACTCATCATCCACCATTCTCGTCTGAGTCCTAAGTCGGCTAGAGAAGCTTACGAATGCATCCATATCTTCCGATCAAGCACACTGACGCCGTTCCCGCATGTGAAATAATGTCTATGAATAACTTCCTCGTAACGTACACGTCAACACACGTACGTGGCCATATAGTCTATGTTCTGTCGTTGTTGAGATACAGCACCATCAGAGTGCCGACTCAAGCGTAGTTTGTGCTCCGCCACACGGCATCGTTTCACGTTACTGTCCACGATGCTGATCGCGCTCCCGTGCCCAACGTATCTGTCAGAATGCAAAACCCCCGACCGCAACCCTAAATCCCCTCTAAGACTACTAGACCCCTCCATATCGGAGTCCATATTGTTCGACAACATTATCGTATGAGCTTGATTTATTTATATCTTTGTGCTCAGAATAAGTGTGTGATTGCAAATATATCAAAATCATAATTGGAATCCAAGGTTGTGGTGGGTAAGAACTTGCAAGAACTGCGGTGTACTGATCCAATACTAAGCTACGGTTCGGTAGTTTTTGAATTCTGACAGGGCATTCGAAAGTGTCAACCTCTTGGCGCCGAGCTGTCAGCATCCTCTGTCCCGTCACAGGCCCAGGGTGCGGGTATCGGCAACTAATTGCGCTTCGCGCCATTCAACACTCGATTACGAGCCGCATTGAAGCCCGGCCCGGACTGCAACCCTCCCTGCCTACTACGACGTCGATGAAACCTGGCGCATTACAACCGCTGAATAGACTTATTTTCGTCCCAAATACGATCAGACGATTGAAACGCCAAGCCTCAAACAATCACGCCAAGCCTCAAACGATCACGCCAAGCTTTCAAACATCCATCGATGCGAGATGCCACTGCCTGAAACCACTCGCGAGGCTCCTCGACGGCTCGACGCACAGGCAGGCGCGAAGTACCTGGAGAGCCTGGCCAGACACCACTGCCGCACGGGCGGTAGCCTGCCCCCAGGTTCTCGAGTTGGGATGGAGGTGCATGTGGTTGTGCCTCACTCCCCATGGGCTGCTCGTCCGCGCATATTCTCACCAACATTGAGCAGTTTTAGTCGAGGGGGTTTCATCCAGAGGCGGATCTCTCCTGATGACGAACTTTGCCGATGTCTCACTCGTGCAGAAGTGGTTACAACGAACCTGCTTTCCGTGATTCCCAAACCTTGCCAGGACCTGCGTATAAAGGACTGACAGGTCGGACGTCTTGGCATCAGTCTTGGCCTTTCTCATTGTGCACTCTTTTCTATCCTTTCTATCCTGATTCGATTTGTCTTTCACTTATCTGAGTCTTGCCGCTTTTGTATTTTTTGACAGATTCAACCCCCTGGTGGGCCATTATACATCAACACAATGCAGACCCCGTCCCTCGTTCAGGTCATTGCTGCGGCTTTGGCAGCCTCGACGGCTGTCTCGGGCTTCCAGGCCCCAAGCACTAACTCGGTGTCTCGACGGGCTGTGGTAAGACTCAACAAACTCTCTCTCGTGGTCCCATGCTGACTTTATAACCTCAGGCTGCGGTTGCCGCTCTTGCTGTTCCTGCCCTGGCGGCACCTCTTGAGGAGGAACCAAAGATCGTGAGTCCTTATATCACTGACAGCGGCGTGGTCTTACAATACTAATCCCTTTTCTCTACAGGTCGAAATCGCGGCTCGCGTTAGTTCAAGCCGATCTCGTGCTTTTGAGAAACGGACTTGAAGAAGACTAACCACTGGCAACAGAACCCGGCCAAGGGAAAGAAAGGCAAGAAGGGAAAGAAGGCCAAGGCCGCTGCCCGTGCTATCGATGAGGAAGACGATGAGGACGACGACGATGATGTGACCGATCTCCAAAGCCGCCAGTAAGCCTCGGACAACAATATTCAAGTGACGGGTGACCTCACGGGTCTATCAATCTTGGAACTGACACTATGTAAAGGCCGGCCAAGAAGAAGAAGAAGGGCAAGAAGGCTAAGGCTGCCGCCGCTACCGCTGCCCGTGACGTCGTCGACGATGAAGATGAGGACGATGAGGACGTCGACCTCGAGAAGCGTCTGTGAGTCTGAACACTATTTATTTCATGATGGAGGGCCTTTATTCCTGATTGAGTAACTGACTATCTACTCACAAGGCCCGCCAAAAAGAAGAAGAAGGGCAAGAAGGCCAAGGCTGCTGCTGCAGCCCGCGCTGTCGCCGAGGACGACGACGACGATGATGAGGAGGACGCTGATCTCGAGAAGCGCCAGTGAGTTCGAACACCACCTCATGACGAGGGGACCTGTTGTCAAAGTCGTAGCTGACCATCTATTCACAAGGCCTGCTAAGAAGAAGAAGAAGGGCAAGAAAGCTAAGGCTGCTGCTGCTGCCCGTGACGTCGCTGAGGAGGACGACGAGGATGATGATGATCTCGAGAAGCGCCAGTGAGTTTCGACAACGATTTGTGTGTGAGATGAGCCCATCGCGTCCTAGAAGCTGACCCACTGCTCTCTAAGGCCCGCCAAGAAGAAGAAGAAGGGCAAGAAGGCCAAGGCTGCCGCCGCCGCTCGCGATGTCGCCGAGGCTCGCGATGCCGCCGAGGACCTTGACGAAGACGACGATGACCTCGAGAAGCGCCAGTAAGTCTCATCATTTCTTTTATTTCAAATCGTACAAGGAACATAACTGAATCGCGCTCTACACAGGCCTGCTAAGAAGAAGGGCAAGAAGGGCAAGAAGGCGAAGGCTGCTAACTGAGGCCAAGAAGCGGGCCCGGAGAGGACTGCTTGACTGACCGAAATGTAGAGGACTTGCTTGCTGAAACCTCAATAATAAGTCGTGTAGTCCTGGATCGATATTTGCTTGGATGATTTATCTGCCCGATCAGTTCGGTTCTTGCTTCAGTAGCTCTGTTTATTGGTGGAGGACGAGCAAGTCGAGTCTCTGTGAAGACTGCCATTGACGAACGACATTCGCAGTGCTAGGGAGACCTTCTTTGGGAAGACACGAGAGAATTTCAGTTTCCTGGCATAAGTTCTAGGTTGAAAAAGTGCATATGGTGATCAAAAAAACGAATGAAGATCCCGATACACGAAAGCGGGATTTTGAAACTCGCAAGTGTGAGAGACGAGCCAAAATGGGGCGATGCAGCCCTTTTTCGGAACTCGTCCCAATTCAAAGGATGAGAGAGGATTGGGGGAGAAGAGGGCCGCGAAGAGCCGCACAGCATGCACCTGAGCAGCGGAAGCGGCACGAGCCGAGGAGACTCAGCGGTCACTATGTCGACGAAGCAACCGTACTGGACCTTAACATACCTACCAACTGCAACGGAGCGTGTCAAGCACGCTACTACTACCAAGCAGTCCGACACTGTGTTGGAAGGAAAAGATGACATTAGCACAATCACGAAGAATAGCAGCCAGAGTAGTAGCACTAACAAACGAACACGATGACAACAACGACACCCAGTGCTCACAACGGAGTCAGAGCAGCACCACCGTAAGCACAGCGGCCCAGGTAACTTGAACCAAATGACTTAGGAAAAAGTGATGCATATTCATTAGTGCAGTTAAGCTGGATCGAGACTCATGTATAAGGTTCAAACTATTTAGAAAATTGCCACCAGTCAACATTGAACAGTGGATCAGCGCCATCGCCCCGGAAAACAAGGAACAAATCATGAACTCCGACGGCATCGGTCACGGGGCACGAAATAGTGACCCACGATTGCCAGCTTCCGGTGTTAGACGCCAAGCAAGTGCCTATGAGTGTGCCCGATACACTATCAAGGCGCAACTCAATCTCACCCCCCGCCAGTGCAGAGGCGACAGATGCAGTATAGAGTGTAGCGCCAGTCCCAAAGTCAACTCCTTCTACCTTGATGTAGTCGCCCTCATTAACCCAGCACACATTTAGACCACCTTCGCTGCAAACTTCTGTCTCTATACCAGAGGACCAAGCCATTGTCTCAGCCTCTTGACGTATGTAAGGGTCGAGGGATCCAACCTGAGATGGACCATCCGTAGTCATTGGAATAAGAGGGAACGAGCCGTTCGAGCTGTAGGTGAAGCTCTCCACAGCGACGGATCGTGTAAAACCACCACCACCAGGTAAGGCACCATTGTGATAGAAAAAATATGAAGTGCCGCCAAAGTCAATGACCCCCGGATGATTGGTGAAACTAGCGCCTTGCGCTTCCATGATCAAGCCACCATAGGTCCAAGGCCCAGTGGCACTAGGACCTGTTGAATAGCGAATGTCTTCCGGACAGCAGTTTGCTGCATAAACAAGATAGTATGTTCCATCGCGCTTGTAAATCCAGGGACCTTCCTCGAAAGTCGTGTTGCGATTCGGATTGCCTTCTCGCGTTCCGAAGCCAGCAGTCGTGAGTTCCACTTGCGTGACCTCGCCACTGTATGATACCATGTCTTCGTTTAGCTTCACGTACCAGAGGTTTGGATTACCCCAGTACATGTAAGCTTGGCCATCATCGTCGATAAAGACTGTCGGGTCGATTTCCCCGTTCTCCACAAACGGACTTCCTATAGCATCTCGAAAGGGTCCCGTAATGCTATCACTGACACCGACACCGATAGCCATACTACCCCCGGTGCGCGTAACTGGAACGTAGTAATAGAACTTGTTGTTCCGCTCGATGACCTGGCCCGCCCATGCATTAGCAGCGGCCCAGGCGAAGGTTTGTACGTTCATAGGTGACTCGTGGTGTTGCCAATTGACCATATCCTCGGATGAGAACAAACGCCAATCGCGCATGTCGTAGGTTGTCGCGCCATCCTCATCGTGTCCAGTGAATACATAAACGCGGCCGTCGTGGACGAGCGGTGCTGGATCTGCCGTATAGATAGTTTGCACAATTGGGTTGTCTGCTTGAACGCCGCTCAGGGACGCGATGATACCCAGCAATGCTTGGGCAATGATGACAACGGCACTTCCTGCCGGCCAAGACTTGGACATCGTCATGTTGGTAATATCTAGCGGGACTGGTATTTGTAAATAACAGTGATGCTCTGGTGTCCAGATGAGAAGAGCAATTATAACCTAAGCGTTGCCTCTGTCACAACGAACAATCTGAGCACTTATCAGCAGACGCTCTTATATATTCAGTTTTATATACATCATCTTGGCACCAGAAGGACGGGGCTTCACGGGCGCGCCGTCGCCGTCGCTGTTCAGGTGCATAGCTTGCCTTGAGGTCGGGTACTAAGATCAGCCAAGGTGCGGAAACAAGGTATAGCGCCCAGAACTGTGATGTGAGCCTCTTCGTTCTTGCTTCCAACCGCACCAGTCGGCTAAAGCGACCACAAGTGTGATATCTGTCAGCATACTACGCACATATTTTGCGTTACATGAAAGTGGAGGTACGTAACATCACGATCGACAGTTCGCGCTAAAGACATGATGCGCTGTGATAAACCTGTCACAAAGCATCTGTCGGGCGGGATTGGTCTGATGTTTCTAGACCTCCAAAGTCTTTCCCCACGGGGTCCCCACATTCTCGCTATAACATTCGTGAGTCGCGACGAAGGACCGCACAGTTAATCGAATTTAAGCCGCCAATACAGTAATCCCAGTCCAGCTGATTCTTCCAATCCAATTGGCAGTCATCTCCTACGAGGTTTCTTTCACGATTAAGCGCTTAAATAGAATTAGTCAGTCGAAACAGGTAACTCACGCTGTGAAGCGGCCCTGCGATGAAGAGAATTAGACTCGATTCACTACTTGAGAAGGCCTCTGCTCTGGTCGGATTCGTCACTGCCCAGGTCCACTGACTGCAGCCTCATCAATAATTTCATTCCATATATCCGCTGCAATGAACATGAAGCATCGAACAGCAAAATAGTCCCGGAGTGCTAGATCTGCCCAGTTGTGCTCGCAAGTCATAGCGCAAGTTCCGTCTCCGCATAATGTTGGCCTGTTGCCGTTCAGTTCCAGCTCCACCCGTAAGCCTCGCCGCCTGATGGACAGTAAAGTCCCGAACCTATAGCCTTTGCACGCCACGTAAACCAAAACAGAGTTTTACATCGTATCTTCAATGCCTACCTTCTGCCGGTCTTGTTGGGATGCGACTGGTAGATGCCAAAAAGCCGTAGTGTGTCGCTTTCAAAGTGTGGATCTCAAAACTCATTGCACTACAACCCCATTCATTAGGCACAGACACGATGTTTTCGTGATGAGTCTGATCGCCCGTATCCTCAGTCACACGAAGTCGAACCTTCAGAGTATTGTAGAGAAAGCACTCCAAAATCCACGTGGTTGTTATGAGTGAGAGAAAGCGCAGCGAAGCCTCTAAGTCTGCCACGTTAGATGGGCTGCTCATGTCTACTTTGAAGTCAAACAGAGAATGGATTTGTCGTCTTCCAATAAAAGAAAGTCCAGTATGACCGTTCAGAGTCCTGGCAGTGCGTCACCATCATCGGTGAGATTGCCTTAGGATGGAACCACTTCCAAATCTCCCAACGACACGACTGAGAATGAGCCGTCCCGCGGAGCTCGCCGTTATACAAGACTGCCGGTGGTTCGAATGACCGAGACAGAAGCGTCAAGGTCGGGATCTAAGTTGAAAGGAAGGTCGCCTGGTATTGTTGGTCAATCTGCGGCGGTCGATATCCTCCATTCATCTTGCCTCTGCCCAGTGCCAGTGTAGGCCACTGATGTCCGCCACACACGACTGGAAAGAGAACACTTCCTCGGCCCATCGGGTGAATATTATAAATCTGGATCCGGCCGAGTTGCAAGTGCTATTCCCCACCAACTACTATTTGAGTGTTCACAGAGATCGGTGTGACCCACGGTCCATGTAAAGCTGGTCAGCCGTACTTCTGTCTGAACGAGGGGCCTTGACAAGACAAGCTAAGTCATTATTAGGTGGGTAGGACGAATTACAATCTACGTCTCTTACACAGAATCAGTTATCCACATCTGATGCTCTAGTTACTAAATTGTCAGAACTCATTATGCAATTCGTCAGCCTCCCATGCGCGACCTGTTGATCACCGGCTAAATTGGATCAATTTACCCGGTTCCATTGTGGGTGGAAAGTCAACCGCTCCAGGATTCGCAGGCATCTTCCGGGTGCCCCGCAAACCGGCTTGGAAATTAAGGATATTCCTATGTTGAGCCACCGAATATGTGGCGTTGAGTATGGGACTGAAACTGGATTATCATGCGCACCAACCAGAGGTAAAATGTTCTGTCTTTTCGCTGGCAGAGAGAGGGAAGGCAAGGTACGGGCGGCTATCCTCGCAGCCTTTGATTGGTACGCATGCCATGCTCAAGAACTCTATACTTATCATGTAGTGATCTACGGCGAAACATTGATCTTTACAGACAGTTTCTACAGTATATAATTCACAAAGAAATGCGTTCATTTGATTGACACTGGACTCCGAGTCCTACGAGCACTACTTTACAAGCGGAACAATCATGTATTCTATCAAAGCTTTCCAGGCCGTAGCGGGCTTTGCTTCACTCCTTCTTGAGCTGATCAATGCCTCGCCGATGGCCCAGATGGTGGACCAACGTCAGAGCTCGACATTTACCAATCCAATTCGATGGGAGGACATGCCAGATGCTGACGTTTTCCGCATCGGCGACGTTTTCTACTACTCAAGTTCTACCTTCGCTTATTCACCCGGTGCGCCACTTTACAAATCTTATGATCTTGCCAACTGGACTCCAGTCACCCACAGCGTGCCAACGCTTGACTTTGGGGACAAATATAACCTTGGCACTTCAAACCGCGCTTACGTACAGGGTATCTGGGCCAGCACGGTGCGCTACCGCGAGTCTACTGATACTTTCTACTGGATTGGATGCATCGAGTTTTCCAAAACCTACATCTACACTTCTTCTGGAAGCGGTGCAGGGGCTAATAATGGCGAAGCTGCTTCTTGGAATTGGCAGAAAGCCGGCGTCATCGACAGGTGTTATTACGACTGCGGGCTCCTGATCGATGATGACGATTCCATGTACGTTGCTTACGGCAACACCAACATCTCAGTCGCACAATTATCAAGCGACGGCTTGAGCGAAGTCAGCACTCAGGAAGTCTTGTCAGGTGGAGACGTCTATATCGAGGGCAGTCACATGTACAAGATCAACGGCTATTACTGGATCATTCCCACCAAGGTCGCAAGCGGGGAATGGGCATACCGTGCTACAAGCCCTTGGGGTCCATACGAGCAACATGTATTCTTTGACAACCTCCCCGCTCCGCTTTCTCAAGCTGGATGGCCGCATCAGGGAGGCATCGTGGATACTCAGGCTGGGAACTGGTACTATGTCGCATTCATAGACGCTTTTCCCGGAGGTCGTATCCCTGTTATGGCTCCGGTCGGCTGGGACTCGGAGGGGTGGCCATACATTGTGACAAACAGCTCAGGTGGCTGGGCGACAGAATATGATATGCCGGTCTCGACTAGCCGGGAAGTTGAGCCACCGGGTGGATTGGACACATTCACAACGCTGAGTGACGAATGGGAATGGAACCACAACCCCGACACATCTAGTTGGAATCTGGTCGAGGGAGGCGGGATAACTCTCAAAACCGCAACCGTCACAGATGACCTCTACTCCGCGCGCAACACGCTCACGCACCGGTCGCTTGGCCCAAAGTCAGAAGCAATATTTGAGCTCGACGTTAGCCAGATGGCCGATGGTGACCGTGCTGGCGCAGCTTTATTTCGGGATCGCTCTGCCTACATTGGAATTCACAAAAGCGGAGACGCAGCCACCCTGGTTTACGTCAACGGCATGGACTTGATTGACGGGAACTGGGCCACCGCGTCTAACGGTACCATCGCAGCAACGGGTCCTACAATCACAGATTCCGTTATCTATCTGAAGATCACAGCAGATGTCACCCCTGCACTGGATGCTGACCCTGTGCGCCCGGCTATTTTCAGCTATAGTACAGATGGGACAACTTGGACACAGTTGGGCGATCCTTATCTCTTGGTCAATACTTGGTCGTACTTCATTGGCTATCGCTACGCAGCCTTCAACTTCGCTACAAAGTCTTTGGGTGGCTCAGTGACGCTGAAGAGCTTCTCGATGGAACTCGTCGACTGAGAGACAAAGTGTGCAAATCGTTGCAAACTTCTCAGTCAAAAAAAGGTCTCGTGTCAGGCATAAGCGTAGCAAGAGCACTGGAGTAGCTACCGTTTGACAGCTCATCTTTGGAATCTCCAGCAGTCGACATTCAGTATATAAAAGAATGACTAAGATGAACTTGAGCCCACAGGCTCCGCCTGTGCGGCATTCCTCGATTCATTGTGATATTATTTTACCCTACTTCGATTCATCGCAAGCGCTTCGAGTTTGCTTGAAGATTGTGCCATTAGACTTTCGTTGTCCTAGGGTTGAAAATGCTGCAAATAATTCGCTGGTTAATGGACCGAATACGACTTTGCGACACCTTAGAAGCTCCTTTGCTTTCTGCAGCAGCATGATGTTACGAAACCGCTATGAAAGTAAGGTCTCATAGCCTCATATTTGATCAATATTAGTCGGTGCTTAGCAACCCAATGGGAAGAAAGAAGGGCGCTTTCGAAGGAAGCTGTATGTCAAAGGAATTCATATGTGTACATCTAGAGCCCCCATAATACTATGGCCCCCTGACACTTGGCCCACCCATTCAGAGACCCTGGAGCTCTTTCATTTTGGCCAGCGCCTCTTCTTTATAAGTATCGAAATCGATACCGCCGATAAAGCCCCATCTCGGCGCCAGGAGGCCCATGATCTTGTCAGGTTCCAAGCCAGCCTCTGGGTCTTGTCCACAGAAGATCAACCCCGTTCCCCGGCTAGAATCAATAACCCTCTGGCACCTATCCTTCCTGATAGCACTGTAGGCCTGGAAAGCATGAGAAATCTCAGCCGGGCGCTTGACCTCGCCAAGTAGCGTGCCGAGAATCAACGCGTCCTCGAAAGCCTGACCAGCACCGGCGCCCTGCCAAGGAGTCGTGGCATGGGCAGCATCGCCGGCGATACATACTTGGCCGTTGGCGAAGGTGCTGGTAGCTTTGTGTTCCCACTGAGAATACGCCTGAGGATCAGATTGGTCGAGCATAAGCTGTCCGACACGCCATTTCTGTCAGCATTCAAAAACCGACGAGACTACGTAAGCTGGACAAAGAAAGCATCTCACCTCTATCATACCCTTGCCAACAGGCCCGTCCAGCCAGTCACGCAAGGTTTCCTCTAGGAACTCGCGCGTCAACGGCCTCTTGCGGTCCTTTGGGTGATCCTTCTCGATAGCGGACACAACACATTGCACCTTCGTTCTATTCTCCAGGACATCATGCATGATGAACGCTCCGTTCCCGGCCCATCCATACTGTCGGTCCTGCTCAAAGTACTCAGCACCAAGGATTTCTCGTGCCTTCTCAAACGGTACGAGGTTTCTGCAGTCCCAGAAGCCAGCAGGGGAAGGCCCTTCGGTATCAGCAGTCTCCTGCAACACATGTCGTCTCACTGCTCCAAAGATGCCGTCTGCGCCGATGACGGCGTGGAAGGCCTCATCATGTCCGTCACGGAAAGTGACCTTGACACCATTCTCAGCAGCAGGAGTGATATCGGAGAGTGCCTTGTTTGCGTGAAGCCGGCTGGTGGGAAGAGGAGCGAGGAGTTCACGAAGAAGGGAAGCACGGTGCACAACCCTCCCAGCGTCCTTCGGGTCACCGCCGCCGAGATCCATCATGACGGTTCCCGCGTGTTTGCCTGATCCCTGGAAAACATCGTTAGAGTCGGCAAACGCCCATCTAGCTCGGGTTTTTGGGTTCTTACAATGCACAGCCGCGTGGAGGCTTGAACTACCGCACCTGCTTTCTCAAGCAGCGCGCTGGCCTCTGTCTCTCCGACCACTTGCTTCAGAGCCCGTTGTGCGTCGCTGGCGAGCCCGACAGCTGCACCACGCTCGGAGAACTCAGCCGCTGACTCGTAGACATGAACATCGAGGTGAGCATGTCGAAGGAGGGCGTTTGCAATAGTTGCGCCAGCCAGGCCCCCGCCGATAACGGCAATCTTGATCGAAGATGTTTTCGTCATGTTGTGTCAGCCGATGCGGCGAGATAGGGAGGGCTGTACTCTCAGGCAGCTCTGGCAGAGGACTGCTTCGCATTTATGTTTCGAAATATCTGAACAGCTGCGTATTTGGCAGCCAATGGGAGGTTACAATGTTGCGCACACATCATAGGTCGTGATAAAAGACGCGGGGAATGATTGGTGCAAACAGGAGGACAATGCGACTGTTGGTCCGTAGCCTGCTGGGGGGACACTAGGAGCCACTTCGGAATGAGGTTGTGTAGTGTCTATAGTGGGACCCTAGTGGAACACAGGACCACAGCAGAAGTGTACACGGTAACTAGGTGGCACAGCGATAGGGTTTAGCTCATGCCCCTTCTTCCAAGTCCCAACTCGGTGACCTTACTTGGTGGCTGGACAGGAGTATTCACGATGGCTTCCCAAACCCTCTTTGAAGCAACACCGCCCTGATTTCACAGATGAGAGGTGAAGTCAGCATTTCAATAGAAAGTCCGCCGAAATCTCTTGAGACGAGGCCAGGTCGAATACCGAGCAAGAATTCTGAACTTGCGCAGTGCGTGTTTAGCGCTGTACAATGACTTGTTGTCTGTCTGTTTGGCTTCTGTTCTGATTCTTGGTCCGACCATCAAGGTAGTTGCAAGTCCTCGGGATGAACTACAACGGTACGTCATCTTGTAAGCTTTGTAAAATATCGTTGATCATAATTATCTTAGCTTCTGTTTCCTTTGTATATGACGTGAGAAGTGAGCGCCGGGACCACAACAAGAACAGAAACATTTCTGGGCCACCATCGACAGAAAAGCTTAACGCTTGGGAACATCTTATCAAATGTAAAGATTGGATGCTACGATGAAGTGATCAAAAGACGAGACAAATAATCCCATGTCCGGAGCTGATTCTTCAGACCAGTCGAATAGGCTTCCCATAACCGCGCTTGAGAATGAATCTCCCTGCGCAGATTTTGTGATGATACTACAGCGAATCAAGTTAGCTACCAAAATACTGCCAAAAAGCCTCCGGAATCGCGTTCCATCTGCCTTTGGCCAGTCCTCCAAGCTGGGGTCCCACGGGAGAATTCCATGCAGACAGTGTGACCACCAGTTAATTTACGCGACAGACGTATCGAAATACTCAGTGGACGAAAAAGTGAGAGGAACCTGCTTACCGCTTCGCCGACAAGACGATACCCTTTTGACAAGTCCTCCACATCTACCGACCTGACGACAAATGGTACTCGATGGCCCTCAAACGCACAAACAAAGTCTCCAACCTGGGCTCCTTCAGTTGCCAAGCCAAAATGACCCTCGGACGAGACGAAGAACCTGCGTCCTGTTACCGCCAGGAAGAAAAGACCTGTAAAGTCGTCCTCTTCCTCGCTCGGCATTCCTACAGCACGCCGCTCGCGATGCCAGCGATTGATCCGTTCGATGAATGCATCGAATCCCGCTTCGGTCGCCTTCGCCGTCTTCAGTGTTCCTTTGTCGTCAATCACCTTTGCCCAGTATTTCCAGAAATCCATCCAGGGTGCTCCGCTAGCACTCAGCGTCTCCAGGAGTGGTTTCTTCCAGGGGTTCTCGTTGAGTGTCACCAATTGACCCTTGGTCTGCGAAGTTTGAATCAGCTCCATGACGGCTTCCACATACGCTGTTGCTAACGTCAAACAGAATGTCTCCCCTAGTGAATAGTAGTACGGGAAAGGATCACGGATAATGAGTCTGATGGAGTCTACGACATCGCCGTAGAGGTTCAAGACAAGTGGAGATGCTGGATCAAAGCTGAAGCGCGTTTGCGAGTCCTTGATACCCCATATCTGAGCCGGTGGCCCTAACAAGTCTCCATGGTGAATCTTGTGTGCCGGCACTGAGGTCCAGTCAGGAACCCATGATGGCAAGCTGAGTGAGGGCCGGTACACGATTCCGGCTGAATGCAAGAAATTGATGTTGCCGTCTTGAACGAGGATCTCACGTGCTAAATTCGTGTATAAATCCTCAACAGCGATCCCGTAGTCCGGCCGTAAGGCGTTTCTATATGCTTTTGCCGAGTTGAGGCCCAGTAATGCGTATATTCGGTCCCGCGGGTCGCTGGCCTCGAAGGTAGCACTCAATGTAGCCAGACTGTGCAAAAAGGGCAGTTGAAATTCATTGCCCTTCTGGCCTTGACGCGCGACATGTATTCCGGCTGTGCTGCCCAATGATAAAATAGCTGTTATGAAATCATGGGAATACATCTGGTCGAGGTCGCACATTGCAGAATATCTGAAAACCAAAATGATGGACTTGAGTAATGTCGACAGAGCACACAGAGACAAGGCATGTTTCCCGCAGATGAGGACAGGATCATTTCCGAGGGCGACCTCTTGCACCACCCAGCAGCGGTGAAACCAAGGTCTGGAAATCAGCCCTTTGATGGAAACCGTGTCCTCAACTCGGGAGCCAATCTCAGAGACCAACCTTCCTATCCCGGAAATGGTAAAAGAGTGATCTGGAGATCGGTGGGCCCAGATGCTGTTGGCCGCTAGTAGCATGAAGTCCATAGCCGTGGTTGACATGTCATCAGCCTGGCCGAGGAAGGCGACAACTTGCCGCGCCTGGGAGAATATCTTTCCCATCATCGCAACCTGGCTTTCCCTCTCGCTCAAGTCCTCTTGATTGATACACAAAGCATCTATCCATAGATATAGTGTCATATCCCAGGCTAGGATTGTATTGATAATGTCAAATACGCCTCTGCTGTATGCAATTTGCCTCTTCTTGTCTTTGTGATGGCTTGCAAAGTGCCCGACGATAGAAGGGTCACCCCATGCGTATGATATAGCCAGATAAGCGGGGTCGTCATCTAGTGAAACGCGCACCAGGTCTGCTTTGAAGATCTCCGATTCGTCTCCGCCGTCTTTGAAATGGCGCGAGACCTTCAGTACTCGTATTTCGCTGCTCGACTCGTCTAGTGGTGCTTCGAATGGTCCGATATCCACCAATTGGCCGTGGTTGAGGACATCCCAATAGCGAGACTTGTTGCCCGCAAGATATGCCCATAGCTGCTGTTCTAGAGCGAAGGCAGTGCTGGAGTTCTGGTGCGAGAGGTGAGGCTGAAGTGCCGGTATGGATAATGCTATACCAGCCAGGTGTGAAGACTCCGTCAGTGAATTTGCAACCCGGTCGAGTTCATCTTCGCTCGGGGTCCTCTGTTCTTCATGAATAATAGTCGCCCGCAATATCACACGTAAGGACACCCGCGGAGCCGCCAGTCGTGTCTCCGGTGAGGCCACTCGTGAATCCATCTGCTTCCCGCCTTTTGACATTTCTTGTTCGTCAGATACATCAGAAAGAGCCTTTTGACGGTGACAGTCGTCGTTTGCTTCGGCGCCCTGCTCCAAGAGCCCCGAGAAACAATTGAACAGGAATCTGAGACGGCGAAATATCATTTCGTCTCAAGGCCATCACATGCCAACGTGATGAAAGAAATTGTTCATCATCATTTCTCTTCACAATTTCAGCGACCTCGGAATATTAAGAGGCAGCATTCATCCCAACTTTCTTCCTGGCACCTAGGCACGCATGAACACAAGAGTTGATGGCTGCATCACAAAAAAGTAGAGAAAAGCTGCCTTGGAGGAAGCCATCCACATGCGATGGCCTCGATGGGCCAGATGCCTTCCTCGCCCAGCTGGGCGGCCACCCTCCCGACCACCCTCCCGGCCACTCCCACGGCCGGATTCAGGATCTATGTACCCCAGTCGTGCGCTCGCTTTGGTGCTGAGCCACTCGGTCAGACAGCCACAGCCAGCAGACGAGAGCGAGCTCTCGGAAGCCTGTGTTCGGGAGCCTTGCTTACCCATTTAAGTACCTTTACAATCTCTGCTTGGTGCAGCACGCATTTTGCCCCATAAGTCGAAGCCTAATTGGAAATTTTGTTCTTTTGCTACTCGGCTGTCTCCTCGACCTACTGTACATATGCAAGGCTCATGGCTCAGTCCGACCACAACAGGGCACCACAGCAACCACCAGTAACATTTCCGCTGGCCGGCCCAACTTGGACCACTTCAGCAGCAGTCTGATATCGTGTTAAGCCATCGGACGAGTTTGTCGTCGGCTGTGCCATCTTCCAGATCGTGACGACATGCGATTGATAGTATGTCGCCGCCATATACTCGTCTGACCACGGAGCCGGCGCGACAACGTTCCCCTCGGCGCCGTTGGTAGACGTGGGCACCTGGAACATCTGCTCGATAATGGCCCCGTCGTCGGCCAGGATGTATGCCGAGATATAACCTGGGTATTCCGTCGACTTGGAGCGCGCAGATGCCCAGAGGTACCGCCCGCTGGCGGAGACTGCTAGGTCAGCTGCCCACCAGGTTGACGAGTTGGACTCGGGGATTAGTGACGATCGGAACACCTCCTCCCCAACCAAGCCCGTGTCCTCGTCCAGCTTGTACGACACCAGCAGGCTCGGTGTTTGCATTGTCGCGTAGAGGTATCTGGACGAAGGGTGCACGGCGATATGCCTTGGCGCCCAACCCGACTCGACGCTCATGTTGCCCAGTACCGTAATGCCGCCCGCACCGCTGTCCACCGCGTTAGTCCAGATCATGTCGCCCGTCAGATCAGCTAGGTACAAGAGCTGCGTCCCGTCGGTCGCGTTCCCCCATGCCAAGCCGTGCACCCCGGACGCGGCGGTCAAGTTCCAGCTCTGGAAGGCCGGTGGTTCAAGGAAGCCCGTACTCTCGTTCACAGCGTGCACCACGCCGCAAGCTCCGTCGTCGCCTGGCCACGTTCCGTGGTAGACGAAGTACGGGGCCTGACGGCTGGCGAGGACAAAGGCGTTGGAACCCGTGCCGTAGAGGCAGCTGCCAGAGTTGTCCAGTACCTGGGCCATGCTGAGGCTACCATTGGACAGGACACTGTAGCTGGATATGTTCGAGCTTTCAAGTGAGACGCCGTACAAAAGGGTTCTCGTGTGCTGTACTCCCGTTTAGATTCTAGTTCTTTTTCCCATCCTCATTTCAGCAAGGCGCGCCAAATGCTTACGTCGAAATCCAACCAGACCATGGGGCCATCGGCTAGGGTGGAATCAACCACATTGAATCCCAGCGTCTCATCATCAAATTGCAGTGTATACAGCTCGGAGACGTTGTGGAAGTTGGATGCGTAGAGCGCGTGTACGGTCGAGAGGACGGGAGTGCACAAATAGGTAATCAACAAGGCGACAAATGCCCATGACAAAGCAGAACTGCCCATGTTTTCGAGGATTGTTGGGTCAAACAGCTTAATGCAGTCTGTGTAGCGGCAAGAAATCTCCTGGCAATATTTGTGCCTTCGTTCTAGAAGGTTTCCCTGAATGCGATTTCTATGAGTATTGAGTATCAGACCCGGGTCTTATAAATACCATCAGTTATCACTTTCGAGTACATACTTGCGGAGTGTTGGGCCAAAGAGCCCCTGAGAAGAAGAAAGGGGCAAAGGCCGCTTGCCATGACTTTTTAGAGTTCGAAACTCAAAAATATTGTTGCTCACGTCTCGGATGGAGCCGAAATTGAAGAACACGCATTCGAGCTTGGCATTCAATCATCGACCTCATGGCTGCAGTGAATTCACATCAGAGGCGCCAGGATACCATGTCGCCTTGTTTTCGTAAACTTCTCGCGAGAAAGTGCGACCTCCATCTACTAGTATCTTATACTTCTTCACGCACATCCTTAGTAGAGTCCTATCTTGACATAGATTCTGAGAACCATCCATGTCTCCGGAGCATCAGCTAGCCTAAACAAGAATTTAAGGATACACGAAAATTATCTGTTGTAAGTGCCGTCTTCTTTTTATTTCCCTCCTGTTGCGTCAATTGGGGCTCCTTTGGGCACAAGAAAGTCCATGATACCAACCACTAACTGGATCAACAGGCGCAAGAATGATATCTCCATGACTCGAGCCATAGTGTCTCCATCAATCTTCTGCGGTAGTGAGGTTACCGACCGCGGCGTCCCAGACGAGCTGGCCACGAGTGTGGTGGCTGAAGGGTGAGCTGAAGCCTCGGATGAGTCACTTCGGATGGCCTCCTGTCTGATTGGCGCCGTGAAGTACTCTCCGACTCGAGCGAGGTTCTCCAGTGTCGGTTCAGTGCGGTCCTGCAATCCTGACACTTGTATATCATCCACCATATTCAGCATATGACCATCCAAGTTCAACGCAGGCTGAGAAGTTCTTCCATTTAAAAACTCCTGGTTTGAGGTTCCGAGACAAGGATACTGCGCAGCAGGATTCGTTGACGGCGTCTCATCAAACGTCACCTGTTGGAAGGATGCCGTCTGGGTATCAGGCATCACAAGCGGCGGCGCCAGGTAGTTCTGGACTTCCATTGCGCTAGCTAAGCCCTTAGCAAGCTCATCCAGGGGTCTTCTGTGGCCGAGATACGCGCCGACCAAAGTGGTAGAAATTTCCTCTTGCCTACGGGCTCTCGGTCCAAACTTCTTCAAATTCCTGGCCAGGTTGGCTTTCAGTCGATCACTCCGCTGCCTCAGTTTGCCTGAGACCTCAACCTTCATCAAAAAGGGCTGTCCACTGTGCTCGTATGCGAATGCGGTAAAGACCTTGTTGCTGTGGACGGGATACTTCTCGATGTTGTTTTCTGTCATCTCCCATCTCAAAATTCTATGGCCCCATTTTTGCCCACGAGTTTTATAGTCACGAACCCTGTGACTGCGAAACATCCATCGACTCTCATGCTCGAATTTCTTTTCTTTTTCGGTGCCTCCCAAGGAACCTCCGTTACCGCCTACATTGATGTATGGTTCGAACTTCAGCACCTCGTTGACCAAAACCCTCTTTGAAGTGCCGACGATGTGTCCAGGCCCATAGTAGTCGGTAATAAGAACTGGGCACTCTGAAGCCGGCAAGCTGTCCACACGATACGGGTCCAGCCCCTGGTCGTCCTCATCCAAAGTCACCTGAATTGTTGCAGACTCCAGTGTACAGTCTGGTGGTTGGTCAAAATTGAGCTCCATATAGATAATGCCGGCGGCATTCTCAGCAGGTCCCAATGTTCCCCACTGTGACTTTCTGAAGAGGAATCGACAATCGACACCAACTTTCCCGATTGATTGGTCTGAGCTGTCCGTCAGCAGCCGTGTCGGCTACGCAGGAATGCGACAAACTGGAAGATCAACTCACATCCCACTGAAGCACTGGTTGATGCGATGTGATCGAATCGATTATAATCGTATCGGCCAGCTTTGCGGTTCCACACACCTTCGGCCAGTAATGCAGCCATCTGGTTCAAATTCCTTACTGCGCAGTGATTGCACAGAGTTGTTGTTTGCAATCATATGTCCACCGGACGGGGAAAGGTCCGGAGGACTAAGGTTAATGATTGAAAAAACGAACTCCGGGAAAAATTGTTGTAGTTGTGAAGACACAGCTGCTGGTCGGTCATCGTTGGACGAAGACGGACATATCATATATGCAGCTTACTCCATTGCTGCAGGATCCTAGTCTACTGATTAAGGATTCCCAATCAAAAAGGGAGTCTGATTCCCGCTGAAGATGTTGTACCACCATCCTCGACTAGTTTTGGACTAGTTTTTGGGATGATTTTGGATAGCCACCGCCACTCATCGGCAGGCTGGACTCGGCGCTTTGAGGCTCCAGGAATAGACTCGGCATCTACGTGCGCTGAGTTTTAGCAGCGATCTGGCAAGACGGCATTTCCTGCATCACTCTATTCTGAGTTGATACATTCACGAAAAATAACATATCACATGCAGCTCTAAATTGGTCACGCAGAGAGTTTGCTCTTCCAACACAACACGACACGATGGACAGATATTCTAGAGTTTCTAGAGCTTCGCAAGCAACGGTTGATACAGGTCATGGCAATCAGAATGAGTCTGGAAATCGTCAATTTATCAGACCTACTCGACACTCATCCACCTTCGATGACCGTAATATCCAAAGCAGACATGTTCAATATGCGACGGACGATGAACACAGGCCTTGGTACGAGAAGAAAGAAGCCTACAGGCGACCGCGCAGGCAAGTAAGACACAGAAACAATGATTCTTACTCCCACGCCTACCTGCCGTTCGAGAGGTACGAGATTGAGCGCAAGCTCGAAGACAAGCGCCGGCAGCTAGAGCGTTCTCGTGCTGCCGCCACGCTCAACGAAACCGACAAGCACGATGAACCGGCGCGTGAACAGCTCATCCCAGTGAGCGAAACAATCAAGACGCTGGAGCTGGCGCGCAAAGAAGTCGACCGGACGTCCGAAGAATTCCAGTCGTTGCGCGAAGACCTCGGGCGTCGGTGCGAAGCCTTGTACCGCAAACTCCGCGACCTCGAGATTGAGCTCGAGGAGTGCATGTGGGAGTCCGACCGAGATTATGCAGATGCCCCGAAGGTGCTACATGAACCGCAGTACATTCCTGGCGTCTATCAGACTGTATTTGATGTTAACCATCCCCAAGACGCAAGCGTTCACCTTGAGCTTTCGATCACAGATGACTGGGAGACGGAAATGGAAGCGTTCTCAAGACTGCAGAGGCTGGGCAATTTCAGTGCGGCGCAAGAATACTTCGATAACAAGTTGGAGCCGTACTTGAGCAATCCCTATGTGTTCATTCAATTTGGCCAAATGCTGTTGGATCAAGGCAATTATCTCGCCTTCGAAAGACTGAACCCCAATACTGTTCTCAGCAATGAGACCCGACTGGCGTCGCGTTTACATGAGTACACTACGGTGATGGACAAAGATTGGCATCGAGAACGAGAACGAGAGACTAGAGCTTGGTCCGCATCTCAAATCCCAGGGAAAGAAGGCCATCAAGACCTTCGTGCAAGATTTGATCCCGAAGCACGCCTTGTCAGAAATGACGCACCGAGGCCGGGATCGATCCGTCAGGGATATAGCCAAGATGACGAGAGTGACCGCAGCCGTTCCACAGGTATAAGCCTAATGGTGCACGATACAGAACCCATGTTTGATCACGATGGGCTCGAACTGCTCCGGCAAAATTGGAGGCTGATGGAGGCCACCTCTGACGTGCGCAGAGAGGGAACTATGAAAATGCATTCACTGAGACTTGGTACGCGATCGAGAATTTTCGCTTCGGGACTGGAATTGGCTCAACTGAGGCAAGCATTCGGAGCGCGCCCGTCTTCCTGAACCAGATCATGGAATACTGATTGTTGCTTTAGATACAGGTAGTGGTGCTAGCCCTGCATTTGTGCGCACAACTGGATCATGCAGCCCCCGAACGATTATATGGCAATCTTCAAGAAGCTGCGGAGGATTGGATCGACTGGCCAGCTCTCTTCAAAGACCTACTTATACAGGGCCGCATATGGGACTTCAAAGATCTTTATGTTGCAGCAGTAGCAGCGTTCTCCGATTCAGCAGACGAGATGTTCTTTGGGACCGCTGACATTGAACACTTACTGATTGACGACTGGGTCTTGAAGAAAGAGGATGAATCAATGAATCTCGCCCAGCTCGAACTGCTTCTGCAACCGGCCCAACCTCGGTCCCTTTTCTTAGACAAGGCGACATCTCGCGCCGAAGCCATCATGGCCTATTCCCCACCGGCAATGAAGAGTCGGCCTTTCATTCGCTGGATCATAGCGAAGGCCGCTGACACCTTGTCTGGCGAGAATGGAAGCGCGGGTGATCCGTGGCTGGCCTACAAGACTCACCTCCAGGATTTTCCAGGGATGGTTTGGCCCAGCCCAGGATGGTTGGTGCCCTGTCTCTATGTGCCACGGAACAATGAGAATCCAGGATGGGTTCAATCAGAAGTTTCCCAGATAATGAAAGAACCGCTCCATTTGGCGCTGAATTTGGCGAAGGAGCTCAAAGACTACAAGTCACAAGCTGCATGCTACAAACTTCTCATTTGTCATTCTAAAGATCCGACTCAGCTGTTTGAGGAACTTGCGCACTTGCAAAAGTCTAGGCAGGGCGAGCAAAATGTGCATCTCGAGACTCTATTAACAAGTTATCTGATCTGCAAAGACCGGCCGGCGAAAGAAAGACTGCTTCAGGAGTTCGAACAGACTGACGACTGGGGCGAGGCCACGATGTTATACTGGGCTCGGGATTTCATCCAGAGAGCGGTGAAGCGAAGCCTTGGAGGTCCCAAAAGCACGGCCAGGTTGCGAAAGCCAGCAAGTTTCTACATAGCCAAGGGGCTTCCATGGGGAGCTGAGCGATTTACAAGGCAAAACGCCGACCTCGATGGGCTCTCACCCATCACTCAGTATCCGTCACAGCTCCACATCCGCCAGAGCCCAGTTTCGCCGCCTCGAGATCAGACCGAAATCCAAGAACAGCAAGATATCCTGCCATTACCATATCCCCCCCCGTATGAACCCTCCAGAGGACATGCCAATTCTCGACAGGCAGACCTGAAGGACAAGTCGCGCGAGCACAGAAGATTTGAAAGAGACTGGAGGACTGTTGAACGGACGGAAAACCGAGCCGCCATGCAGCTCGAGCGGGGAAATAAGGAACAAGAAAGCGCCCGGGCTGAGGTGAGTAGAGCCAGCATCGAGGAGGACATTGAACATATGAAGGAGGAGATACGTGTCCTCCAAGCTGTTTCGGAGAAAGTAAAGCTTCAATGGCAACATCATCAGGAACACTCTCGTCGTATAGCGGAGAAAATAACTGCTGAACAAGTGAGTAAAAAGCTGGCGATCCAAAAGGAATGAAAGCGTCTCGCCGAAAAAGAAGAAGCAGAAGCTAATGCAAGGAAGGCAAGGGAAGCAAAGGATATGCAACGCCAAAAAATCAGAGAGCCTTTACGGATTGAAAAGAAGAGGCCGAGTCTACCAGAGGGCTATTATCACCAGGATGAGCTCGCTGGCCAGCAGTCAAGACACCAAGACGGGGCTCATGAGAGGTCGATGCGAGTTGGAGATGCCAGCGACGTATCGGAGTCAGATGCTGCTTCAGATTCCGACTGCAGCGATAGCGCATTATCACGAGATGACGACGACTTGGTTGGCGATACTCCTAACACAAACACAAAACCAAAGGACAAATTAACGAGGAATCTCCATGGAGAGGAGACGAATCAAAAGCACTGTTCCGAGAGAACATGGCTGAGAGGAAACACGGAACGAGAGAGCGAGACTGAAAGGAACGAGGCCGACCAACAAGATGAACTCAAGCACCAGCACTCTAAACACAGTCATTGCACTGATCTCGTCCTATACGACCGAGCTCTGACTGCACGATCCCCTGATGTGTATACAACTGGATCACCTCTTCTACGGTCGCCTTCCTCGCCTGTCCCGCCGCCCAAAGCTGCCCGAAGCAATAGCAACAGAGAGACTGCGCGAGTGCTGATACATCACTCTTCCAATGACTCCTCCAGATCTAGTATGGATATTATGCCAGAACATGAACCCACGCTCGACCAAGCTCACCGCTCGTCCCAAGAGGGGACCGATGATTTACCTGCTGAACCACAGAGAGCTGCAGACCAGCCTGGATCTGAATCCAAAAGGGACACTGGGGAGGCTGGCGACCGCAGTAAGGCCGAGAGGATGGATGTCGAAGAGCGGATTCCACGCTGGATGAGCTCAATAATTCCACCTGCTCCTAATTTGTCGCCGTTGCCCGACATTGATGTCGATTCGGAGCACAGCTCGCCAAGGAGACGCTTGAGACGCGATAGGAGCTCGAGCCCTCTCAATTTACGCGAATTTGTATCTCGAGACCGCGATGATTCGCGGTCAAGGGCGCAGAACATCAAAATTGCGAGCCGTGCCCCGATAGTGGTTCCAGACAGTCCTGCAACACAAAGGGACAAAACCGATTGGGACAGAATCATTGCCAAGGAGCACGAGAAGCTAGAGGCGCTGAGTAGGCTGGCAACAACTGCCCCGATCGGTCAAGATGTCAGCCAAAGACCATCAAATTATGAGGCGCCAGATGTCTTGGACGGACTGGAGGAGGGAATCGTGGAGAAAACAGACAAGAAGGTCGTCACAGATCCAAGTCCCAGTGCGTATTCCGCGCCGACAAGACCTAGCTCATATTCACAACAACATGACGATATCCAGCCTCTTCAGAGACGTTGGCGCGATAAGCATCCTGCCCCCTCCCATGGCGATCAGTCTGAATCCCCGAAAAGAAGGTGGTCTCTAATCGTCGATGCTGATGGGCGACCTCAACCGGTCCGGACAAATGAGCACCGACTTGGCTACGTTACGGACGCGGCCAGCGGCACGCACACAGGTGTCAAGCGTAGCGAGGGCATCGAACGAGGTCGTTCCAGCCCAAAAATATCAACTATCGCTGCTGGGAAGAGACCACAGCGACCTGTTGGGTCGCGATCTCAGTCTACAGAAGACGTAGGCACCGGGATTCGCGGTACTGACACATCGTTGAGCGCCCCTAGAAGGCTGTCATCCGAAGATTGGGAGAAAGGAAAAGACGGATCGTTAAGGAGGAAGAAGGCTATGTCGATACTACGCGAGGAACAGGAGGAGGGGGCAGAACGGTCACCATCACCGCCGCAAGCGCGATCAAAGGCGGGAGAGCAGGACTCTGCGGGAGAGAGCTCCAAGCTCCAAGCCTCGTTGGAACCTGAGGCAGGAATCTCAAGGAGTGAGTACAGAAGAACAATTCCCAACCTTGTCATCAGGCCGACTTGAAGCTAATTTCACTGGTGCCGTAGAGTCAACTGTCGCTGATCCGGAAGCAGGTGAGGAGTAAAACCACTTAATAGGAATCATTGATATCATTTACAGAGCCGGCGAAGAGTGAGAATGGGGTAGAGCCGCGACGGCCATAGCTCATGTGAAGTCAAAAAGCGCTCTTGCCATTGCCGCCTTGTGCCCTTTAAGTTCGACGTTCAACGATAATCTAAGAGTCTTTGTTCCAAGCCATCTAGCCCTCACATCACCAATTACATTGCCTCAGATGCAAACGCACCTGTTGTTTTTCTGGTTCAACTCACGGCCCGAAACATGTTAGATTCCAGTAAGACTTATATTCGGTGTAGCCATACGAAAGCATGCAGGTCTTGTTTTGCGGTTCAACAGAACGAGTGAACATGGGCTTGCTATGACTGAAGTACCACACTTTGCTAGCCCACGGTGGAAGACGCAGCAAAGTCAAGGACCAGCTGTGGAGTGATTGACATCTTGATTATTAAGCTGCTCTTGCTTTTTTACCAATTATCATCCATCAAAAAAAGACCAGAAAAACTCCGCTGGGTTTTATTTTGCCAAACAGCGTGTATCAAAGCCGTGAAACGCCGACCGACCGACCGACCAACCGTCCGTCCGCCCGTCTGTCCCTGCCAACGCCCCGGGTATGTGCCCATACCGATGTACATTGTAAACGAATGCCGCTGTAGTTGGGAGAGGAGGAAAATACAATAGACATAGACCCCTGGAAACGCCGGAGACAAAACAATATTCCTCCCGCCCCAACCCTGTGTATCGGGTTACGTGTGCTCCCTGACGCCACCTTCTAGTGGTGCTCCGACCACGCCGCCGCTCACGCTGTTTCCTCGCGTGGCGTGAGATGCATGAAAGCAGAAAAGGAAAGAGAGAAGAGCCAACGATCAAGATGTCCAGGCCCTGGCGCTAATAGTCATAGCATCAGCGCATTAGGCGTCCATTGGCCCCAGTCCTCGACAGCAGGGCCATATCATTACACCCCCGACGAGTATTTCGGACTCAGCCTGGGCCGCATGGCTGCTAGCATCTGAAAAAGTTCTTCAACGCCGCCTCCCCGAGAGACGAGCTCACGGAAGACATTGACTTCCGATGGCCCACACGGAATTTGGTTTTCTTCACCCGTTGCAGTGCACCCAAGTCCAGAGACCGTGGTCGAAATGGTCTGTAAAGGTCGTCGTCAGAAATGTCGCTGGATGTGGTCCCTTTGCGGCGCCCGCTGTTTCCGAGACGCCGTTTCAAGGTTTCCAAGCTACTGAAGCAGTGCGTTAGGTCCTTTTCCATGGCGGCAAGACCGTCTTCTGCTTGCTGAATGTAGGTGGCATCCTCTGGCTCAGGCGGCGCGACGCGCATCTCTTCAAAGAGTCTGGTGATTTCGTCGATCGATTTGTCCAGATCATCGAACCATTCGTCGGACAGAGGCTCGATCCTTCGCTCAGACGGTTGGGGGATCGCGACAACAACCTGACTGTCGGCATGTCCATCGACGTGTCCCTGATTATTCATGACGTGCTCTTTGCAGCCTACATTTCGCAAAGAGGCCCATTCCTTGGCGAGCTGTTCCTTCTTGGCCCTCCAGAAAGCCTTGCCCTCGTCGATCTCGAATCCAAAAAGCTGTCTCCAGATGGGGTGCTCTATAGTATGCGAATATTCCTTCTAGGAGACGATGATGTGGTTGAAGTGGCCTGGCACCTTCTGCCGGCATTTCTCGCAGTCCGTTCGGAACCCTATGCTGAACGACTTTTTCATGCCTGGCACCTGTGTCCAGCTGTTAAGCGTGTGGCGACTGCGCGTGTGTCCCTTCTTGGGCGACGGTGCGACGGGCGCCTCGACATCCATGGCATGGTCGCCGTTGGACTCGGTGCTGTGAATATGCTCCGAACAGGTCGAGCCTGGCCCTCCAGTGTTGTCACTAACAATACTGAGGGCACTCATGGTGCGTGCAGGTGCGGAAAACTCCATGGCAGATGCCGCTCTAGGGGGCATGCCTGGGTGAACCTGGCCATCAAGCAGCATCCTGGGAGAACCAAGCTCCTCGCCTCCGCTCTCACTAATAGGGGACGGCAGTCGTCGGTTCTGCACCATGTTCCAGTCGGCCAAGGCTGTTCGATCTAGCGACCGAGGGACGGAACGGTCGGTAGGAGGTTGGGCAAGACTCGGGGCCGGTACCGAGTTGCCTGCCGCTCCACTCCAGTTGTTGCCCCTAACTTGAGCAGCGAAGGAGCAGTGGATGGGTGTGGGCATCCTACTGGTGATGCCGCCCGGCTGCATGGGGTCTGGTTGGCTGTGCCCTGGACTTAATTGAGCAGAATCCTGCACATTGTCGTCGGTGTCCATTTCCATATCCATATCAACATCATGTGTGCGGTATCCGTCAACCATCTCGGGAGCATGGACAAAGGCGGCGCCGTTCGAGCCATGGGACATGGTCACCGCTGGTGTGGTGGATGACCAAGTGCTGAAGGTGGACTTTTGTTGCATGCCCGCATTCTTCGCATCCTCCGAGTCGGAATCGCTGGGAGTCAAGGTGCGTGGTGGTTGGTGGGCGTTAAATGGGTTCGGCGCTGTATATCCGTTGTTGAAACTGGGCTGGAAGGACAGCTTTTTGGACGTGGGAGAGGTGCGGAAGGGAAGCGATTGCAGCCGTTTCTGTGGTGGTTATTAGCAACGAGAGCGAGTCGCAAGAGAACATTGACACGGAAGGCGCGGCAAGCCTACATTGCGATGCTCTGTGAAGCCCTCTGTGCCTCCTATGGCGACATCGCCGTCGTCGTCCCGACCACGCTTCTTAGACTGCTGTCCCCACTGTTGGAAAGCCATGGCGACGGAGCGACTGGGGCAAGGAAATAAGGGGCCAGGTGGTGATATGTTGGCAACTAGTCTATGCTGGTGTAAGACGTCGAGGTGAACGACAGACTAGGCCGGTATCTCGAAAGTGATCCCGAAAGCGAGTGTTGATGTTTGTGGTATGCGAAGCTGGGTATGTATAAGCCTTAAACATCAGAGACACAAGGCAGATTTAGAGCCCTCTGCGCAGTTTCTGTTGACTTTGGGGGTTTGTTGCAGGAGAAGGAGGCGCAAGCAAGGCGGAGGTCTCTTCTTGGCCAGTGCAGTGGCGATCGAGTCAGCTCGGAGGGGAGCTGGTGCCCAAAAACTCGTGTCCAGAAGGAAGAACAAGCGACTGGACTTGGTGGACCTCGATGGACTCGACTGCAGGATCAGTTGAGTGCCGAGGTCGGTATGGTGAAGGAAGCGGGATGCACAAGCAGCAAGAGCATGCAGCTGCAGACGCAGTTGCGGTTGCAGTCAGAGTTGCAGCCAGTATGGAGGCAGAGGGAGGGGTTTGGGTTTGGTTGGATTTCCCCAAGTGAGGAGGAGGAGTAGTTGTGATCCACTTGCAAAGTCCGGGGGACGACTGTCGCTTATCGCCGGTAGTCAATGTCGCCTGTCACTAAGCAGGCCGTTTAATGGGGGGCCAGACACGGTGAGGATCTAAAACTGCAACGAAGAAGAGGAAAGGGGGGGGGGGGATAAGACAGGAAGTGGTGAGAAGGCAAGAGTGGGTAAAGAAGGCACGAAAACAACAAGTGCAAGAAGTGGCAGATGTTGGCAGGTGGAGGTTGGTTACTAAAAGTGAAGGCAGGCGCGAGTTGAGGTTGGATGATGGATGATGGAAGGTGGGTTGGGTGGTGGATGGTGGATGGTGGGGGGCTAGCGTCGCCTGCCTGGGCCTTGTCAGCATGTGTTGCTTGTGTTGCTTGTGTTGCGTGTGGCCTGTCTTCCGCGCCTCCGCGCAGGCTAAAGTCGAGATCCCGCTGCCAGGGAGTTACACCCCAGCTGAAAAAGGGCAAGCCAGGTACGTCACTGCTGGCGATCAGGTTGGCAAGGGCGCAGGAACGGTCGTGACGGTCTACCGTTATGGGTCCAGAGACTGCAAAGGGCTGGGCCAGGAATGCTTATGTGATATATGGCTTCTTCTTCTACAGACAACAATAACACAAATACAGGAGAACAGAGGCCACGGAACACACACGACCCAGAAAATAGAACTTTGTCCAAACCGCTGGCCAGCAGCATCAGATTCAGAATCGCCATGTCCACATGCTGCCCATTGGCCTGGCAGGGGTCTTCTACCTTGCTGTGCAGGCTTGGCAGCACCCTAGCACCTGAGTGCTCGTGCTTCGTCCTCGCTCTCACCTCGCAGCCTAGCAGCCCCAGCCGTCAGGGCTGAGTGCCCAGGTGAGCCCTCCCAGGCCTGGAACCTGGGGCCTGGGGGAGCCAAGGGAAGCAGGGGTCCTGCCAAAGACAGGGACGACTTCCTAGTCCCTAGGACCTGGGTCAGGGTCTCGGAGATCTTTTTCGGCTGTGGGGGCTGGCGATACCCTCACATGCACTTTCATTGGCACAGCCTTTTCTCGCCGTACGAAAACATGAGAATTTCCTATTAACATCTGCCTCCTCAGTACGCCTGGATGGATTTTGTCCTACCAGCCAGACTTGGTGTTCTCGTATCCTATTTCACTGCCCACCACTGACCACAAACCCGGCCCCCCTACGAGTTAAATGTGTGACCAGACAGAGGCGCCATCTTCATCAACCAACCCGCTCGAGGCTTTCCGCCCAAGATGTTTCTAGATATGCAAAATTCACTTAGTCCTCGAAACATGGGTCGTTCTGTAGCCGGACTCGTCTCCAACTCGCCTCCTCATCCCAACCTTTCCGAGATGCCCATCGGTTGGTTTCAGATTTGCTTCAGGTGCGGTCAGGACGGGCCCCGACGTGCAGCAAGCACCTTGATGGCCCTTTTTTTTGTCTTCTGCTGTACCTACCGGTTCCGTGCTGGCGACGCGTCCACTATTTATGAATCCACTGGCTCACATCACATTCCACACTGATCCATCGTGTTTCCACAAAGGGGAATGTTTCCTGCCCTCATTGGCGGTCGAAGTCACGGGGTGAGATGCAAGGACGGGCTTTGGGGTTTTCTTTGCTACCCGCCGCCTCTCAACTCACCTCACCGTCTGTCTGTCTGTCTGTCTGTCCGTGACCTGCAGCTGCAGCTGCACCCGACATGACTCTGACAAAGGCTTGTCGTGCGAGGTTGAAATAAACTCTGTGTGTTAACTCACGGTCGGCCTCCCCATTCTTCTGATCCCCCTTTCTGTAGAGCAAAGCTTGACTTGGACCCAAGGGTCCTTCAGCCGCGATGGAACCCACCTCTCCTGTTACAATGGCTGGCCGGCTCCTTCGGCCATTCCCCTGGCGACTACGACCTTGTGTTACAACAGGTCTGAGCTCCTTTCTTTTTGTGGTGAAAGTGTGGAAATTATCTTCAAAAGTCCCTGTGAGAAAATAAAATCATCTCGACTCTGCGTGTTCGAGGTTGGTTCATTCGGTTGTAATGTCGCCAGGGGGTTTTGGGGCCATCTGGAGTTGGGACGGGACGAAACCAATACAGATGGGCCCGTCTCGGCGGTGTGTAAGAGGGAGAGAGAGGAAAGACAACCTCTTCTTCTCACACAGAAGCGCCTGGACAATGCATACCACTTGACGCGTCTCCTGGAAGCCGAGGTATTTATAGTCTGGAGCAGGCCGAAGAAACTTTGACCAAGGTGTGCTCCTGAGGAAAATTGCCATTCTCAGGAGGTCGTGCCAGGATAGGGTCCGTCATATTGAGTGACATGACCTGGATGGGTAAGTTGGACTCACATATGAGACAGATGGCCACTCACGTACAACACGATAGATCTGGGTTGAATGAGAGGTATCCCCTTAAGTATATGATATCTCGTGTGTGTCACACACCTTCTCAGCCAGTGTGAGCCAAATTTGATGCTCTAAACTCAACCTACCAGACTCACATACCTAGACTTACTCGCTCATCACATCCTTACTCGCCTATCTTTTGAACATTACTCGTCTGTATCTTTGATACCGTCTCTCCAACCTCTCTTCAGAGTCTAAGTTATGTGACTCAATAGTTGAGGGCTAATAAGCTTTTGTGCTGACAATGAAGACATATAGAGACTGGTAGTAGAGGCAATTATGACTCGGGTCACAGAAACTTTCCTATAAGCATCTACGTTCGAACCGGAGCGGCCTGTTTACCACTTCCTGGTTACCTAATATTCAGGTTGCAATCGTCAATTGATCTGCAAGGGTGCATTCACCGTTGGTGAATGCAGTTATCGTACGTAATCTTTGTGCATAGTCGGTTGGAATGTTCTTAAGTATTGGATGCACCGACCTAGTGTTGCACGCAGTCGAGTGATGATGTACAAGGTGCGTCTAGGTATCGCCAGTTCGAGAACATTAGACTCCACAATACACATTGTAATCTGCGAACCCGTCGATATGTTTGACCAGGAGCACAGGCGTCGCGGGCGTCGTTGGACGAACACATGTGCGTCTTGCATAGTCGAATGTTGCGGATCGAGAATCCGATCTCATCTCAGACTGTAAGCAAGATAACCTACGGAAGAACAATCTCCTGGTCGCTGCTCTCATATTCTCAAGCGCGATTTGCTTCTGCTGGCAATTGAACGACTCGATATCTTCCATGCCTTTCAATGGGATCTGCACCATGATGAGTCGCCTCGATGTTGTGATATCAAGCCTCCGAAGTTGTGCCGGAATATCTCAGACTTCCTATTCGCTCATATTGTTCATTTCTGTCGCATTGTCGTAGTTCATGTCGAATTGCCAGATATGCCAGGCCACAGACACGCTGTGCCCTGAGTTCTTGATCAGAGTATTGAATCGGTTAAGTTTGGTCAAAATCAAGATATGGCCAAGACAAGTGCATCAGATCTACATCTCTTGTCGTGCTCCCGACGTTGGTTTATCTCGAACGAGTCGAGAGGGGCATATTAAGCTTCCGAGTCCCAGGAGACTGGGTACTGGTCGATTGTTGTATTGTTGTATAACGAGGACAGTGCTATTGGCAGAAAGCACACCGCAAACTGCAGGTTTGCAGACCATCCAAGCGGCAGTTTGGTCGGGCTGATGCAACTCTCCCCGTTGTGCCCCACCCCCACCTGCCGCTTTGAGAGCTTCGGGGATAGGTTCCGCTCACTCTCCTCCCGCCTCAAATGATGTCTTTCCACCATCGTGGGGTGACTCTTTTTTTTGCCAAATCCAGCACGCAGAGCAAGCTGGGCGGCAATTTCGCCCAGCACCACAAGGATGTACAACACCATCGAAGGCTTTGTGCAATTGAACGTGACAATTGTCTGAACAGAGGTCATAGAATCGTCAATTGGTGCTGCCGTAGGAATAATGACTCCGCCTAACTTTGGAGATGCCCCTCCATTGCAGCGGTTCTCGTGTCAAGGACAGGAAATTAGAATTACATCAAGGCCCCCTTGCAAAGCCTCCTGGGTCGTCTTCTGAGTCACCACCACCAACATCATCGAGAGCTGGTATCCATTTTGCGTTCTTTAAATCCTCGACAAGAACCTCAGGTCTTCTGTCAGCATCTGCTCTCCATCAATAAATACCCCGACACTTCCGGGTAGTACAAGGCTCGACTCTGTGGCTTAACAAACGCCGGCTTCCCGCACCCAAGCTCCAAATTTTTCCCTTCCCTTCTCAGCAACCAACTTTCACCCGGGCACCACAACCACGACCTCCCCAGCTTTACACAAACAATTTTCTCTCGTTGCACCCGTGCTTGTCAAACACGGCTTCGTTTTTCCTGTCTGGAGATCTCCACGACTCTTGACCGCAACACACAGATCCTGCTTTCCCCAGAACCAGGAAAACACCCCTCACAATGCCTGGTGTAGAATTCACGCCGCAACTGGCAGACGATGTCAGAGGTAGGCAAACTCTCCCTGCGCATCCTATACCATGCTCTCTGTGCAAGAAAGACGATATAGTGGTCATGGCCTTGCAATGCCCAAGTCCCCAGGGCGCAAGCCCTCAGCCCTTGCCGGTAGCCCAGGAACCCCAGGTATGCACTGCAGCTGGCTAACATGCTTCTCCTCCTTCGCAGTCGAGGGCCAGGATCCTCTGATCCCGCCTGCGCTGCTCATCTCCGAGATCCCTGCCACCGAAAGCGCCCTCGAGACCATCGTCAAGGGCCGCCGCGAGGCCGAGAGCATCATCATGGGCCGTAACGACCGCCTGCTCGTTGTCGTCGGCCCCTGCTCCATCCACGACCCAGCCACCGCCCTCGAGTACGCCGACAGGCTCAAGCAGCTGTCCGACAAGCTGTCCGGCGACCTGTGCGTCATCATGCGCGCCTACCTCGAGAAGCCCCGCACCACCGTCGGCTGGAAGGGCCTGATCAACGACCCGGACGTCGACAACAGCTTCAAGATCAACAAGGGTCTGCGCGTCTCCCGCCAGATGTACAGGGATCTCACCAGCAAGGGCATGCCCATCGCTTCCGAGATGCTCGACACCATCTCCCCACAGTTCCTGGCCGATTTCATCTCCGTGGGTGCCGTTGGCGCGCGGACCACCGAGTCCCAGTTGCACAGAGAGCTCGCCTCCGGTCTGTCCTTCCCCGTGGGCTTCAAGAACGGCACGGACGGCAACCTCGGCGTCGCCATCGACGCCATTGGCGCCGCCGCGGCGAAGCACCACTTCCTGGGTGTTACGAAGCAGGGCCTGGCGGCTATCACCCGGACCAAGGGCAACGAGCATGGCTTCGTGATCCTGCGCGGAGGCAGCTACGGCCCCAACTTCGACAAGGAGAACGTGCAGAAGGCCAAGGAGGTGTTGACGAAGAAGGGACAGAAGCAGGCTATCATGATTGACTGCTCTCACGGTAAGTTCGCCCACCAAGAGAAATGAACCAGAATGGACGCAGGACACAGGAGCTGATTGAAACACAGGCAACTCCAACAAGGACCACCGCAACCAGCCCAAGGTGGCCAAGGTGATCGGTGACCAGCTGCGCGAGGGTGAGAAGTCCATCATCGGCGTCATGATCGAGTCCAACATCAACGAGGGCAACCAGAAGGTGCCCGCCGAGGGCCCCGCCGCCCTGAAGAAGGGCGTCAGCATCACGGACGCCTGCATCGACTGGGACGCCACCGTCACCGTGCTCGAGGACCTTGCCGATGCGGTGCGCCAGCGCAGGGAGAAGAACAAGGGCCATGCCAATGGAAACGGCAATGGCCACGCCAAGGCCACACCCCTCGAGGAGGACTAGAGAGCCGGCTTTGCGGGTGAGAAGGGGCCTGGACTTGGAGCTGGGCTAAAGTTGTGCCTGCCACTGTGTCAGCGCGTGGGCAAGGAGAATAGTTTGGGATCTACTGGGAGTGGAGGAGTCATGGGGTAATGATTTGAGAATGTTGAATGCTCTGTTGTTGATGGGCTGCTGTGACAACGCGGAACCAAAATGATGTTCGAAAAGAAGCAGCGCAGTAAAAGATTCCCTTTCTCCCTACGCGTGACGTGGGATTCAAAAATTCGAGAAATCGGGTTTAAAAAGGCGGCGTTCTTGATAATTAGTATCTTTTGGACCTTTATGTTCTCCACCTCTGGGCTTTGCCATGTGTGTTTTACTGTGCCTTAATTGGCTTGGATGCAGTGATGGAAAAACATTTTGGATAAACGTTCTGGCGGGCGGTCATGCCTGGCAAAGTTTGCCCAACATTCTGTCCACCCAGTGATGGGGGGCCTGGTGTGTGTGTGTGTACAGACATATCTGCCTCCCAATTTATCATCACACCGGCGAGATACTTCTGCGCCATCAGCTTTGAATCGCTACCAGTATGCAGGGCGCTTTTCAATTAGGATCACCGTGTAGTCAATTCAATGGTTGATGACAGTTGGAAACCATATTGCCTCTTCCAAAGCTTGGATGATCTGACACGCCAGACTGCGGGCGAAGACCACCCAGATGTCAAGGGGATATGTTTGTCGTCATATTTGACTTCTCTTGCGAGATAGCCAGCAGTGGGCACGACTAGTCTTAAGGAAATCTTATTGAATCCTGGCGATCGAATGTCATGTGGAAGCAGCAGCCTTGCACTCGTCACGGTCATTGGACTGAATAAACCAGTTGGTCTTGGAATTTTGGTCTTCTGCGCGATGAAGGCCGCTTCGTGTGGTTTACACGATCGGGCGAGTTTACTTGACATATTCCTCTGGACCAGGACGCATCTTTATGTCCAAAGTCCACTAGTTGCACATGTCTAGCAGTCTTTCGTTCGAATCCTTGGCAGGATGATGGGGGCATTTCGGTGGCTTCAGGCTCAGGGAAAGCCACGACTTGTAGCGTTTTAATCTACACCATTTCACGTCCATGACAAAGCATTTCGCCTAAGTCGTCTGGAGACTGCTCTCTCGACTATGACCAGCAACAGCCGCATACGCGCCCCTCCCGCCATCCGTCCCAGTAGAGCCCACAGCACCCCGAGAAATAGGCAACACACCACCAACCCTCCTCCCCCTAGGCGGGCCAGCAGGAGCACCAGAACCACCACCACTCCCTCCTCCAATCCCGGGAATCCCGCCAAGGCCGCCCGTCTGCCGCAGGTCGACGGCCTTCTGCACGGCAGCCCAGCCCAGCAGGCCCGCGGTGCCGAGGATGAACCCCCAAACGATGACCTGGTCCTTGCGGCTGTCGCGCTGGAAGCACATGGTGACGACGTCCTTGTCGGCCGCGCCCTTGCAGATCGGCAGCGACTGCGACAGGCAGAAGCTGCGGTTGCACTGGCTGCACGACGGCGACGAGTTGCTGCCCTGTGCGCGCCGGTTCGGCAGGCCCCTCTTCCCATTTGCTGCTGCCGCTGCCGCCTCCATCTCCATGTCGTCGCTGACCGCCGCCATCATGCCTAGGGAGTCTGGGTCCGTGGTGCCTTCGGAGGGGGGCTGGTGCGGGGGGCTCGAGGATGATCCGCCTGTTGAGGACTTGGGCTTGATCTCTATGATTGTGCTGTTGGTGAAGCAGGTGCATTTGCAGAACGTCGGCGCCGCTGAATGGGTTGGATGTCAGGTCAGTCCGATGGGTTGGTTGTTGTAAGGGGAAGTGCTCCAGTGTAGATGGATTGACTTACACGCTGCGACCGCCAGGGAGGCGAAGGCGCCAAGCAGGAGAATAAGAACGCTGAGCCGATTCATGGTACTCGTAGTAGGCCAGACTACATTGCAATCTATGGTGTTGCAGGAGCTGAGCCGTACGCGATCGAGAGACAAGTTATCAGGGTCAAGTAGCCGTGTCCGGGCGACGTCGTGGCCTTGCCTGCCGCGGAACCCAGATCCCTGCCGGTCGATTTGGAGAGCTACAACGCCTGCGAAATTTCGAACTCCAGCGCCACGACTTTATTCGAGGTTGCGCCAGGAGTCAATTCGAACTTCCCAACGCCCTCGATCCAACATCTACACAATGCGGAGGATAGCAAGGATACAACGGCCATCTGCGGCCCTGGCGCAGTGTCTGCAGGCACCGGCCTCAGCACCCCAACACACGGCCGCCTGCCGAGCAGCAGCGACAGCATCGACCTGCCTCCAGCGACCTCGCGACTTCTCGACGACACCACAGAGATCATTCCACGGCTCAAGTCGACGAGCAGACAAGCTTAGCACCGACAGCAAGAAAGCCTCCACAGCAGAGGAGCCGCAAGCTGCCACAGCCACATCCACAACCGACGCCCAGCAACAACAAGAAGCCGCGGAGCAGCTCCTCGAAGCCTACGACCCAGACGCCGCCGCCGACCTCGACGCCCTCGAGGTCGACACGGACCTGGTCCTCCCGCCCGAGGAGATCTCCGTCGCGCAGCGCGCGGACGAGCTCGAGGCAGGCGGGGCGCGGTACGAGCCGGCCGACACGGCGCACGGCCTCGAGGTCGTGGGCGGGCTGGGCGGCTGGTTCGAGCGCGACGACCACTGGGGCCCGTCGAAGCGGTACACGGGGTTCGCGCCGACGCACCGCGTGGCCGACCCGGCGCTGCTGGAGCTCAATGTGCGGCGGGCCGTCGCCGAGGCGCTGGCGGTCGCGGCGGCGGCGGGCGGCGGCGACGACGCGGCCCTGCTGACGGGGCTGTGGGAGCGCGGCGGGAAGGACGAGGCCGCGCGCGCGCTGGGCTTGCGCCTTGAGGTCCGTGAGGACGGCGCCGTTGGGTTGGTCGCTGCGGACGTCGAGGGCGTGGTCCGCGGCCTGCGGTGGGATCCCGATGCGCCTGGGTCGTCGGTTGCGGCTCCAGGAGAGGAGGTCGGTAGGCAGCAGTTCTCGCCTGAGGAGGCGAAGGAGATTGTGCAGACGTGGGACCAGAGGTGGAAGTCGATCTCGCTACATGATGCTCAGCTCAAGTTTGCTGTGAGTCCACCTGGGTCACGACTAGATATGTGTCTTTCTTGTCTGGCAAGGGCTGATTGCTAACACAATTGTTCTTCGTTTCTATACAGGTCACAAAGCGTATCCTTCAACTAACAGGCCACCCCATTCCCGACGCCAAGCTTCCGTCCATCCACACGGCCGGCCATCTCGTCGCAATCCTGGTGAAGCCGCCGCCGCCGACCAAGGTCGCCGAGGCCCTCGAGCAGCAGGGGGAGCTGGCCAATCTGCCCAACGTCCGAGTGCACGCGACGCGCCGCACGCCGGTGCACGAGCACCAGGAGGTGGGCCGATGGAAGGTGATTGTTCAGGAGCTAGAGAAGAGGAAGATACCGGCGACGGGCGATGGCGGGATCGGCAAGCTCGTGGAGGACAAGTGGCTGAGGGGCCCGAGGCTGCCCAAGAATGAGAGGAAGAAGAGAAGATGAAATTATGGAGCAACTTTGGGTGTAGACAAATAAATATGGTAGGGCATTAGATGCGCTACATACGCCAGGAGGTATGAGATGGCTGTAAACTACAATGTAAATGGAAATACCACCACAGCTGGTACATCTAAATCAGCGTTACCTTGACTTCACACGTTGGGATTCATGGCTGTAGTCTCATGTATGCTGAGCGTTGGTAGTTGGGAGAGCATAGCAGGTACCTTGCCCATGTAGGTTGGTTCGACTGTACAACATATGTGAGATGCTCAGGGGTACGCGGAGCTATGAAAGTGCACAGTTCGGGTATCGGTAAAGTCACTCGATCCCAGCGTTGATTAGTCTCGGCGATGATCAACGCGTAGGACAGAGACGAGGATTCATTTGGTTGTCGTAGCGTAGTGTAGTCTACTTTTCAAGTCACGAGCACATGATAGTCAGGGTTTGAGAAGTGGGTGTAGAATGTTCGATTGTCAAAGAGAACAGTGATTATCTATCCATTCGTATTCGCAACGCAAGTCGCAACCCAATTTGTCTTTCCTATTCCTCCGCCAGTCTGATTGCCATGGTGGTCGAAGTCAAGGTCGTAAAGACGTATAATTTACTTGCAAGTGCCTGAAGAAGACATATTAGTATTGGCTGTTTGGGCGGACGACGACATCGACAGGTGTTGGTCACTCACAGTTGGAGCCGCAGTTGCAGCTAGAGCCAGAGGAGGCACCGGAGCATTCGCAGCCAGCCATGATGATTGTTTTGGTGATGGTTTGTTAAGAAGATATGTGATTGTAAGTGGGATGGTGGATGAGGTTAAGACACAAAAGGTTCGGGTGAAGAAGTGGAAGAGAACGTGGTCTTATATATCCGAGCCTGCGTCAATTGTGCGGGATTCCAGAAGCAGCACAAGCACCGCCTGAGGAGGGGTCCTCTTCGCCTGGATGCTGATCCCTGCGAACAATGATGCCGATTCGCAAGCGTCAGCCCAGCAGCCCCACCATCTGTCTCCTACGTCCTACGTGAGCCTACCTCGCCTACGCAACAGCCAACGTTAAGCCAACGTTACTCGCTACACATACATGTGCCACTTCTTCCTCGCTGGCCACCCCCCCACAGTCTTCGATCTGGCGATCTGGACCAGTAAGAAGCAGGACATCAGGATCACCGTCCAGGGTCCATGCCCGCCCAGCCTGCTGCCAGGCTGCTGGGCCTCGAGCTCGATCCTCGCAGACCCTTGACGCCGCGGCCATGCTTTTGCCCCCCGATGCCTCTTTCGTCCTGCCAGCCCTGCCTTGGTTCAGCGCCGGCCAGCTTCGGGAGTGTGGTCAAACGGGAGTGTGGTCAAAGCGGTGCGATAATTGTGCGCGATTCTGGGCCAGTCCTTCTTTGAAGGCATAGCCGTCCCAAGCAGCACACTACCATGCACGACAAAGGGCAATCCTGCGTCCGTCCGAACATCACATGGGGTTTAACGTCATCCTACGACACACGTACAGTACACACACTCCTGCATACAGCACGTACAAAGGGGGGCTTCTGCTACAGACCAGTGCGTGGTTTCTGCGGGATCCTCCCCTCTCTCGATACAACCTGCCGAGGCGTCACCCGTCGGTGGCGTGGGGCGGCCCCCGATCTCTGTGCCTCGTCTCCTTGAAAGCCCGCTTTTGGCGGTTAGCGGGTTGCAAGATGACTGGATGGTTGAGCACTTTCAAAGCACCGGGCTGTTTCAACTGCACTGGTTAGCAAGCGGTTATCCCACGCCCGTTTTACGTTATCCGACCTTGTTATCGCGGGCACCTAGGGACACACATCATTCCCAATAGGACCAACACTGATCTCACTGACTCGGGGTGGTCAGCAGCAGGGACAGAAGCAGCAGGTGTGATGTCTGGCCTCCCAGTCTGCCCGGCTGTCCCCAGCCAAGCAGCTTCAAGCAGCTTGCTCGCTTGCTTGCCTTCGTTGGCCACATGTGCCTGTCCGCCCGGCCGACCATCACCATTATGCTGCGGCCAGGCATGGCTTTCTCCGTGGATCGAAAGTCACCCCGAGGGAGGCATCGTATCGCTATCTGGATGATCTTATCGGGCATTACACAGCGCTGTAACATGCTCCAGGCCACTCGGGTTTGGCTCGGGGCAGCACCACACGAGCATGCAGTTGTGCCCTGTTAGTTTGAGCTTGCGCCCTGCTACACAACCCGGCTGTCTTGTACGGCTACACACCGGCTCCACGGTGACACCCCGGAGACATTCAGTGATGGCATATTACTGTAGTGTTACTACCGTAGTGTACAGAACCAAGTGCCGCCAAGCCGAGTTACAGTGACAGCGACAGCCGAGTGACCCACGCCGTCTTCCACGAGTTGCATCGGGACAGCCTCAACGTCGTTGCTCCAGGATCGCCGTTAACCTTGTTAAGTGGGGCCCTGGTCAAGTGCTCGTGATACAGTTACCATACCGAGTTGAGGCCGTGAAGAAGCAATGAGGCTTCCCTTTGTCTCACACTTTATCTGGATAAAGTCATGCCCATTGCCCTGGGTTTCAATTCTGGGGCCGTCTCCGCGGGTGGCGAATCTTGCCATGCCCTCAGGCCTATGAGCAAGTCATGGGCTTGCCATGCATGGCCGAGGAGTTCCGGCGGGAGTCGGTCGAGTTACCAGAACAAAGTCATCAGGCCCATGCGATGCCACTCCACTGCCCACTATGCTGGCGTTATCGAGAAATTGTGACAGTAGTAGCCGCCTCCCGTGTAGTCGGAGACTTTTCTCAAGGCTAGTGATGGTTGATTATTTACGTTTTATCTGCTAGCCAAGTCAGATAAATCGACGTATCTCGTGAATTGACAGGCGTCACCAAGCTACATACCCGCCCTTATCTCTCTGTGAGAAGGGAGAACATAACGGCTAGCTTCTCAAGCCCCAGAGAGCTGTCATTGGCCTCTAGGGACCAACCTGGCAAAGCCCCCAGATAATGGCTGCCACCCGAAAGCTCGTAGCTTTCTACGGAAGCGTCATGTCCCCGACGGCACTGGGCTCTGCAACGTGGAATCAACTTGGATGAGCGCATAATCCTTCGCAACAGACGTACAGTCACCGGCGCAAGAAGACCAAGAATGAAATGATATCGAATGCCGTAATCCGTTCGGAAGCCGAAGGCGGCAAGGGGCCCACACATGAGGCAGGCACAATCAACCGGAGAAAGCCGGATGTCACCACCACAAGCAACTCCATCTCACGACTCTCAACTATTGCGGACATTGAGGCACATCTTCCGTCTCTCCGAGCCCTGCTGCAATCATGCGTCAACCCCGACCCGCCGACGTCTTCCATCGGTTTTATTGCTCCGCTATCTGATGCAGAAGCGGACCAATACTGGAGGTCCCTCGGCACCAGCTTGGGCATCACAAACCACCTGTTCATCCTGACCGGCCCTGGCGACCGCGATGGCGGGCCCGAGGTGACGGCGACCGTCCAGCTCCTCAGGATCCCCAAGGCCACGCACGCCCACCGTGGCGAGGTGGCCAAGCTGCTGGTGTTGCCAACCCACCAACGATCAGGGCTGGGCAGGACGATGATGGAGCACGTCGAGGGCTACGCGCGGGACACCCTGGGGCTGCGGGTGCTCACGCTCGACACGGAGACGGACACACCGGCGCGCCGGTTCTACAGCCGCACCGGCTGGACGGAATGGGGCACCTGCCCGGACTACGCGGCGTACGCGGACGGGCGCCCGGGGAGTGCTACGTTCTTCGTCAAGTCTCTAGTGTGACCGAGTAATGGCTTAGTGACCGAGTGACCGGCTCAAATTATTCTTACTCGTTATCATTATGTGAAAGTTGTGTTTGGGCTCTACAGCATCAACACCCGCGGCTCCCCGAGACACACATCCACCGCGAACGCCAGCCCGGCGAGCTCGACCCGCTGCGCGCCGACGTCCTCGCGCAGGAACCCCTCCGCCGACGCGGGCCACCGCCCCAGCGTCGGGCTCTCGAGCATCTCCGCCTCCTCGGCCGGTGCCGCCTGCAGCACCGCCTCCAGCTCCCCGAGCCGCCGCAGCGTCTCCGCCTTGAGCGACGCGCCCCTGGCCTTCTTCAGTTCGGCGAGCCGCTTTGGGTTGTTGTTTTCAGTTCCAGACGCGAAGAAGCCCTCCATCTCGAGCCGCATCCGCGCCCGCAGATGTGCTTGCTTCTTAGGCACCCACCGCACGCACCGGTCCAGCAGCCCGTGCCCGCAGTACTCCTCATCCACGCATTCCCACGCGCTACTGCCCACTGTGCACGTGTGCCGGATGCCATGCTCGATATTCCGGGCCCTCAGCTCCTGGCCCTTGGCGTGGATGGCCCTGCCCAGGCGTGTTTGGAAGTGCTCGAGGCTGGCCTGCGGACTCGGCGCCTCGTCTTCTAGCTCAGGTGGTTGCTCGCCTTCGTCTCCATCTTTGTCATCGGGTGGCGTGAGAAGACATATCTCGTACGCTTTAGTTTCGGGCTCATTCTTGCTCGCGGATGATGCGAGCAATGAGTTCACTTCGTGTACAGGAAGGATGTAGTCGCCGGCCTCGAAGTTCCCTTTTGCTGCCCGGGACGGCTGGCGCCGCTGGCCTACGCCCGCAGCCTCCCTGCTGAGCTGCGTGAGCTGCCGGCGTGCCTCTTCCTTGTACCACTGTTCTGCCCTCCCCGCGAAGCTTGACAGGCAATACACTTCCCCCTTGCGGAGGGGTGGCGAGGGTGCTGATACTGGCGGTTTGGTGAAGACCTTGAGGAGCCTGTCGAGGTCTTCTTTCTTTGGCGGCGTCATTGGTCGGCGCTTCTTGTCATTTCCCCCTCCGATCTGGTTTTTGATTAAGAGCTGGCCTTCTTCCTCGGCTGTGAAATTCGTATAAATGCAAGCAATACTCTCGAAATGTGTCGTGGTGGGATAACGAGTATGGTCTCCTTTGTTGTAATGCTGTGATCCGGTGCCGAATCTGGTTTGGTATTGGTAGACATCCAAAACGCAGTCAAAGACACCGCGGTTGGCCTTTCCTTTCAACAATGCCCTAACTTCGAACATGTTCAAGGATTCTGGTACCGGCGCTGCCGGGCTGGGGTTTTCCGGTGCAAGAGCATGCCAGGTAAAGATGTACTATCATATAGAGGTCATGACTCCAAGGGCGTGTAAGCAAGTTTGAGTTCGCAATCACAAACAATTCTTGTGTTTCTGACGGCAGAGCAGCATTGCTGTCACCCGAGAGTGACGGATTCAAGGCGGTGCGTGGCATCAACCCATGAGTAGCTTTACAAGTATCTATATTGTATATACTGCCTGACAAGAAATGCGCTGCTTTGAAAGAAATAACCTCTGCTCTATTTCCGCATACCCGGATTTCCAGCCAACAACTCCTTCTCCTGCTCCTCAGTGATGGGCAATACCTTCTTAATAACCTCATTCGCATGGAGAATCGCTTCTGTTGCCCCTTCCCACGTCTTTCTCTTACCTGTCTCGAAGTACTTGTACATATGAGCCGTCTCAACGCCGTCATTCATCAAATTATACATCTTTCGGTCGTTCCACCAGAACTTCCAGCCCTTCCAGGTCAGCGGGCTCAAGTTCTCCATGCCCGTCCCGGCGGCGCGGTGAAGCCAGCCCTGGAACTCCCATTGCTTCACCATGCTCGTGTCGATGCTGTGATCCATCTTCCACCGTGACGCCACCCATTTCTGATGGTTGTCGATCCAGCCGTTCATCTGTTCGAGTGAAGGGAGGGGCTCGACACCGCGGAAGACGTTCGAGATAGCCATGGACGTCACGTCGGCGAAGGAGAAGCCGTTGGACTTGCCGAACGCCGAGTAACACAGGAACGCGCACGAGTCGGCGTACTTTGGCGGAAACAGGTTCATCCACAGCCGGTAGATGGAGCCCCCACCGCCGGGCACCCTGTCGAATCCGTGGACCTTCGGCGTGCTGGTCTCCATAAAGGACTGCCCGACCGTCCAGTCGGCCCTGTATCCCGTGCAGAGCAGCACGGCGTCAATGTCGTCCAGCACCGTGCCATCCAGGAGCTCCACCTTCTTCGGGCCCAAGAAGCGCTTTAGCCCATGCACTGACTGCAAGCCGCCGTCCTCGAGGTGCGGCATGATGTTCTCGAAGCTGCCGGGGAGCCGGAGCAGGATGCTGGGGATGGGCAGGAGCCGCCACTCAGGCTTCAGGTTCGGGAACATGAGCTTGGCACCCAGCGTCATGAAGCAGTCGGCGAGGAGCTTCGCCACCGATGGGCAGTACCGCTGTAGGAACTGCGACATCTGGCGCCGCCGCCAGGTCACCTGCGTGTCGTTGGGCACGCCCTTGCGGAACCGCCGGAAAGGCAGCGCGCCGCGCCGGTGGGAGAGGTAGACTGGGTGGGCGGCGTGCGGCATCAGGTCCGGGACGATATCGCCGGTCGTGGACGAGAGGCCCAGGACGAGGACGCGCTTGTCCTTGAAGGGTAGGGGGCTTCGGTACTGCTGCGAGTGCGTGATCGTCCCCTCGAACTTGTCCTGGCCTTCGAAGGTCGGCACAATGGCCTTAGTCTGGTAGCCGTGGCAGAAGACGACCTTGTCGAACTCGAGGTTCTTGGTTCCCTCGGCGGCTGTCTCGACCTCGAGGCTCCACTTGGTGTCGTCCTTGTTGCGCGATGCCTTCTTGACGGTCGTGTTCAAGTTCCAGTCTTTGAGGAGATCAAAGTGCCTGGCGTAGCTCTCCATGAAGTCCTGGAAGTGCTCCGTCTTCATATAGATAGGGTACTTATCCATCATAGGAAAGTCGCTGAAGCCACACGTGAACTTGCTGATGTTGGCCATGGTCCGGGGAAGGGCAGTGGTGTAGGACTTGTTGTCCGAGTAGGCCCATAGCCCCCCGACCTTGTCCCGCCTCTCGAAACCCGAGACTGCGAAGCCATCGTCACGCAGCTGCTTGAGCATCGAAAGCCCAGAAGGGCCTGTGAGCGTGTGTCAGCGTACTGTTTCCAGAAGCCTCGCATCCAGCCAAGGCATAGACTGGGTGTTCCAGGCACGGTGAGCTTACCTGCACCAACCACCGCTACGGTGAGTTTCCCCATGCTTTGTGTAACCGAACCCATGCTATTCTGCAGCTTGGCATGCGAGATGAAGAGAACATCACATCCGAGCAGATGCAAGTTGGTGATTCATCTACCCATGAAGATGACCAAAGGATGGTAAGCACTAATTAAGGCTGGCCATGAGTCGAGAGAGTGGACTCGAGGTGTGAGCTGTTGGTTGCGATTGTGGCTTGTTAGCGCCAACAGCTTGTTGGTTGAAGGATCGCCTCGCCCCAGTACGTTTCATTAGTGTGATGGGCGCATTGGGTGGAGACAAATTATTTCCGGGAATACTGGAAAATGGGGCCTTTATCATCTCGAAAACGTGCTTCATTCAGCAGCCTTCAACGCCGCGATCGACATCATGTTGCCTAAAATGATTAATTCGCAGCCTTCTACCCCGGAACGTTGAGAATGAAAAAGAACAGTGTACTGCATTTCGCAGGGACCACAATACCCGAACATGACCTGACCCAATACGTAGACTTTCCTGTTGAACCACCTCTTGTGGGAATCGTACCTCTTATAGCGTCGCTCCTATATCTATTCAAGTTTCATTCACCTCTTTTTGCGGATTCCCATGAGTCTGATCAGCCTTCAGAATTTTGGCAAACTTGGCACAATTCCATTAAAGATGCATTTAGAAGAGGTATTGATGTTATATAACCAATTTATGAGCTACAGCAATATTCCTGTGATACTTGTCATTATAGGACTTATGGAGTTACATGGCTCTTTCTTCCAATCCACAAAATACATGATCCATGGATGCAGTCTGCGTTTGTATAAGCAGGGACTTACCTTTTCAATACACATCCGTAACTGCCTCTTCACGAAGAGTCGAGTCAGACACTCAAACAAAATGCTGATTTTCAGATCCATTGTATTCAAGGGACACTCCTTCCCCACGATTTTTTTCCCTTCCATCGCACTACAGGGACGTAGTTGTCGAAATGGAATGTCTCCTGAAGCAAAGAGTGTTGTGGAATTCTCTGTGCAAACTTCATCATCACACTTCAACTCCCACCGCCGCCAGTCGTCTCAACTGCCAGCCCCCTCATCCCGCTCACACATTCAGTCTTTTCAGTATTTAATCAGTCTGTCGTGATGGAAGATCCCGATCGGGATGAGCAAGCCGGCGAGCAACCGGCCCACGCAGCAGAGGCCGTCGGAAGTGAACCGCATTTAAGTGCCCCTCAGATTCCAGCCGACCGCTCGGCCAGGCTTGTAGCGTTGGCGAGATTGGGCGAGGCAGCAGCGAGACGAAATGAGATTCTAACACAACGCATGCAAGCGCCTGCACCGGCGGATGCCCCTCCACCGGGTGATCCACCACCTCGGACACCTTTGCTTCCAGCAGGGGGAATGCAAATGAACCCAGCTGCACCGCCGTTTGTCCCTCGATCAGACTTTCCAGAAGCTCGCCTTCACCAGCAGGCGGCGGCTAATGCTATGCAACAGCCTGCACCAGGCCCCTCCCAATGGAATCAACCACCGCCTCAGTATCGGGCACCCACAGAACAGAACCCATATCCACAGTACGCAAACAATAGGTAGAGCTCGTTTGGCCCTGCGGCACATCATGGAACTCAGTTTGGCCCGCCGGACGCCAGGGCGAATACGGGCGCGTACCAACTGCCGCAACAGCAACAAGTTCAACATCCGCAACAATATTATGGACACAATCCTCCCACACAAGGTCCCAACCATGGCTCCATCTTCAGACCTGGCGGTGGCAGGCCTCCGTTTCATATTGCACAGCACGATCAAAGTCAATGGTCATGGGGAGCGCAATGGGCCCCCGGATTTGCATCACACAACCTGGCTCGCGCTGTTCCGGGCCAGGCTGCTCCGCATACGGGGCCATTGGAATATTTAATAGTTGACCCGGAGACCGCCTTCGTCCGGGTCGAATCAGTGCCCGTGCCCAACTTGCCTCAAGCTCCTAGGGGCCGAGCTGACGCATATCCAGGCCCACCACCGGGATACAATGGTCAAGTTGTCATACCTCGACCGGGTAATGCTCCAGGCGCTGCGCCAGCTAGGATTCCTGACGAGAAACAGCAGGTTAGGGAGGGCAACGAGCGAACTGTGGTCGGAGGAGATGACGAGCAAGGAGAGGTTGACGAGGATGAGTAAGTTGTTCCGGACAGGATGATTGAGGAGGATGAGGTTCACGAGAGTGGAGAGCGATACTTCTCCTAAACATCTAGCCTAGATAGGGGTCGGTGGGGGAGAGGAGGTGTCTCACGGCACGCAGCGGTAATCGAGTAATCCAATAAAGTTGTGCTATTCAGGACTTTGATATCGGTGCCCTCTGATAACTCCGATGCTTGTGGTCGGGACCAATCGTCAAGGCCAGGGCCGGAGACGCAGCTTGAGATCAATATCTCGGGCAGCGAAATACACGAACTCATCTCCCAGAAATTCGTAGCATCAGCAGTACCTGGAAACTGGGAAAAGCGATGCATGTAATGCGAGCCTGACATCTTGCTCCAGGTTCTAATGACATATAAGACATTGACGGAGGACGATTTCTCCTTCTCACATAAATTATAGCCATCAATGGCCATAATCCTCATGTGGACTGTAAGATGCATGAAGATCTTTCTTCAGCCATGACTACCACAGCCTTTCGTGTGGGGATTGATACGCTCCTCGGGCTAATTTATCGTCAAGTGTTGTGTCCCTCAATGAGCGTGGATCAGGCTGGATCTCCCGGAGTCACGTCGAGAGCACTCATCTCGCGAAGGATGTCAACAGACCTAAGGTGTTGTGCATCAAGGACATCCCGCATCAGTCGAAGCCGGGCTACAGCGTAAAGAGACGCTGTAGCATCAGCACGGCTGTTATGCGTCTACTGATAGGTCCCGCTTATGAAAAGCGATGCTCTAATTATCATCCAATCAAACATCTTAGACAATAAGACTATTTCCCGTGATTATGCTTCTCTCCCTCGCAATGCCCCAGCTCATGTTGGCATTATCGGACAAGTTTGCAAGAGGCATAGCTGCTTGAGTCAACGTGCAGTCTACAACTAAGATTACCGAGGCTTCTCCGCACTTCCTCATCGGCATAACTACTGGCCCTGTTCAGCAAGCAGGTCCACGCTGCTCTCAACGGCTCCGCAACATCCGAGGTGGCTTGTTGAGACTGTTCACGTGGTCCGTTTGGTTCAAGCATCCACAGACGCGTAAGACAGTAAGCCAGACTAGATCATCGAGTATGATTCATCATTGGATAATGCATCCGATAGTATTCGATCGGCTACAAACACAGCGGAAACTAACATGACCTGCAAGGCACCAGCTCATACTTCGGCCGAATGATCTGCGAACACCTCTTAATAAGACCGACCCCTGCGATTATCTATACATCTACGCGCAGAACCGCACCTCTTAGAGACGGGCATTTCTAGAGCCGCGCCTCTTAGGCGAGGAACGCGTGTGACTATGGTGATGTATGTGCTATGCTATTTCTGAATCCGGCAACCTCCCGTCCCCTCATTGCAACATTTGGAGACTCCCGCTTGCACGGAACATTTGATTCCACCTTTAATGCCGGTGAGAAGCAACTTCAGAACTGTCACGAGGCCTTCCCGTGTAACGCTAGAGAGTGACAGTAGCGACGTACATAGTTAAGTGCAATACGAGGTAGCATCCGCAAACAAGCTTCTGTCTGCATTGGAGGAAATTTCCGCTAATTTAGCATCGCATGCTACCCCTGGTCTAGAAGCGGATGTAAAGCACAAGCGAGTGTGGGGACTCCACGTGAATAGTGTCACATTGCCGAGTCAACACCCGCGGTACCTTGAAAAGTAAATGGAAATGATAACTCAAAGGGGCCATATACCGCGCGGTTTAAAAGCCTGCGATCATGCCATTCTTCTTCGATGAGAGGACAGGCTTCTCATCCATGAGTTCAAGTCGCTCACGGGCGTGCCCATCCTATCCGTTCCCTTAGCAAGAGTGATCCGACAAGATGCACTTCTCACGGCCAATCCTCGATCGCGCGAGCGTCCTCGCTCTAGGGCTTGCTGCCACGGGCTCCCTGGTCGCTGCTGGGCCTTGTGATATCTACTCGTCTGGCGGCACGCCCTGCGTCGCTGCGCACAGCACCACTCGGGCCCTGTACAGTGCCTTCAGCGGCTCTCTCTACCAGGTGCAACGTGGCTCCGACAGTGCCACGACCAACATCGCGCCACTGTCCGCCGGTGGTGTCGCCAATGCCGCAGCCCAGGACTCCTTCTGCGCCGGCACGACCTGCCTGATTTCGATCATTTACGACCAGTCCGGCCGTGGGAACCATCTCACTCGGGCTCCGCCCGGCGGCTTCCAAGGCCCGGAAGCCAATGGCTATGACAACTTGGCCAGCGCGATTGGCGCTCCGGTCACGCTGAACGGTCAGAAGGCATACGGTGTCTTTATCTCGCCCGGAACTGGATACCGCAACAACGCCGTCAGCGGCACTGCCACAGGCGACGCGTCCGAGGGTATGTACGCGGTCCTCGACGGGACTCACTACAACAGTGGCTGCTGCTTCGACTACGGAAACGCAGAGACCAGCAGCACTGACACGGGCAATGGTCACATGGAGGCCATCTACTATGGCACCTGCACCATCTGGGGCACTGGCGCCGGAAGCGGGCCTTGGCTCATGGCCGATCTTGAGAACGGCCTTTTCTCTGGCCTCAGCGCTGGCCAAAACACTGCCGACCCGACCATCACCAATCGGTTCTTCACTGCGGTCACCAAGGGGCAGTCAGCCAATTGGGCGCTCCGCGGTGGCAACGCTGCGTCCGGCTCGCTGTCGACGTACTACAACGGCGCGCGCCCGTCCGGCTACAACCCAATGAAGAAGGAGGGCGCCATCATTCTTGGCATTGGCGGCGACAACAGCATCAGCGCCCAGGGCACGTTCTACGAGGGTGTGATGACGTCCGGTTTCCCGTCCGATGCTACCGAGAACTCAGTGCAGGCCAACATCGTAGCCGCCAAGTACGCTACTACGTCGTTGAACGCCGGCCCAGCATTCACTGTTGGCAACTCGGTCTCGTTGCAGGCCACCACGCCCGGCTACACAGACCGCTACCTCGCACACACCGGCGCCACGGTCAACACTCAGGTCGTCTCGTCATCCAGCGCCACGGCGCTCAAGCAGCAGGCCAGCTGGACGGTCCGCGCCGGGCTGGGCAACAGTGCTTGCTACTCATTCGAGTCCAAGGACACGGCGGGCAGCTACATTCGGCACTACAACTTCGAGCTGCAGGTCGCCGCCAGCGACGGCACCAAGCAGTTCAAGGAGGACGCCACGTTCTGCACGCAGGCCGGCCTCAACGGCTCGGGAAGCTCGATTCGGGCCTGGGGCTATCCCACGCGCTACATCCGCCACTACAGCAACGTTGGCTACGTGGCGAGCAACGGCGGCGTTCACACTTTCGATGCCGCTTCTTCGTTCAACAACGATGTGAGCTTCCTGGTCAACACCGGCTTTGCTTAAGGGCTTGATAGGCAAATTGAGAGAATTCCATTCACATGATAAGTATATAGCTATCTAGCTCAATATTAAATTATTTTTGCCATCTCTATGGGAACGGAAAGCATAGGATAAGTGCTATCAACTGTAAGACAAGCTGTCAGAAGTCTTTAAATTAATCACTTCACTGCAGGGACCCCTTTCTTTTAACCTTATTTTGTTTGATTGAGCCAGGGCAGAGAGCGAATGATGGTATCCAACCCCTCACTGTCGGGTCTGACCATGCAGTGACATGAACCAAGTCCATACGGTTTTAATTACCCTGCAGATTTAGCCTCCCCGGCTCCACCTCCCACCATCAACAACACGTGCAAGATGTCATGTCAAAGACCTGGCTCGAAAGCTTGGATGCCTTATTTTCGACCAGACGCAGCTTCGACGACACAAGCTCAATCATCTGACGCACTTCATCTTCCAACATGCAACTAAACCTAATCACCGTCATATACGCAACCTGGGTGTTGTCTCTGAGGCCTACCCTCGCCCAAGACGACGGCTCTTGCTATGATGCCGAGCAGCATCCAGTGGAGTTTGCCGATCTGGGAAGTAGGCAAGAGATCTCCCAGGCCCTCAACGAGACTTGCGAGCCTCCCCTTGGCGATCAAGTATATCAGTGCAATGCGGCGGTAAGTGCCATGCAGACAGCAGCAGAAGAAAGCACACACGATCCATTACACATCTCTCACCTGACATAGGGGCGATTTGACTGACATGGGGCACTTTATGCCCTTACAGAAAGCTCTTGACGTTCACATGCCGAACAATGCTTCTCGCAGCTTCGTCTTCCATTTCGCAAGCCTCCACTACGTTAATCAGAGTATTCCCGACGATGGCCCTTGTGGCGACGTCTACTTCTCCCGCGAAAGCTGCGTCTACTTAGGCCTTACCGCCATGGACATGTGCGAGCATGGCGGCGAGGTCACCATCAACGAGACTGAGGCTGCTGGCGGTGGGGAACAGAAGCCGGTGACGGCTTGGTTGCAGGTCATCCCGTACACTTAGTGAACTTGCCAAAAGAGACTTGCAAGTCCGAACTCTTGAGAAACCTATCGAAATTTCGGTATTATTCCATGAGTGGCAGGTGATTGCATTGGAAGGGCCAAAATTTTACTGAGCCGTGATATCTGAATTGTGAGGTCTGGTCCAAATGCAGATACACACGGGACCGGGGCTGGTGAACTTCTCTGCCGACTGTCCATATTCTTCAACATGGGCTCTTGGCAAGAAACCCCTCATTCAAATTTGCTGTGCTGTACCATACTTTCACCATTACAAAACAGTAAAGAAATTGGAATCTGTTGCATGAAGGCAGACTGCTGCTGCTGCTGTTGAGACATCTCGGAGTGTTTACAAAGACGGTTGCGGGAGACCATACCAGACCGATGTATTTCATTGGCTTTCAGAAATGTCTGACACAACAGAGTTCGGTGTAGGCAAATGTCTTCGATCTAAACCACGCCCCATATACAAGCGCCCCCGTGTTTCTCGGGGAACTTTGGCGCTGCATTTGTCAATCCCACTACTTCTTTGTTGGCAATACATCTTGATCGTTTACGGCACGTACACAACGCCGCTCCGAGCCTTACTTTTTTGTCTAAATAGATACATGTACCTTGCTGAATGACAATTTGTTGAACAAGCAGGGCTGCTCAAGCAGCCATAGTACGTATCAGGTCGACATCCTGCAAAGTTGAAGGCAAGCTTAATAAAAAAAAAAAACCGGAGTTTGGGTTTTGAAATATGTGCCTTGGATTTGCGCTTGAAACAAGTTGATGTTGCTCACAGCTGCAGGGCAGAAGCCTGCGAGCAGGCACCCGCTCACCGTCAAGTTTCTTGTTCGAACAGGCTCTGGCTAAGGCATAGTATCCGTATCATTCTTTGCATCTGCGCTTTTGAGGACTGCTTCTGGCGGGTGATTTGACCTTCCAGAGCTCGTTATAAGTGCAAAGGGATCCGGAATCTAATAAGAACTCAGAATTTGTCTATCAAAACCTAGAATCTGGCCCAAAGAAGGCAAAAGCAGCGGATAATCAGAGGCATGGAATCATTCTGGGTGTCCCTTATCGAGCGGGAGTCGCTTCTACCACGACTTTTCCCAGACTACACCATTGTCGACTGCCTGATTACAGCTCTTCGAGACTCACGGACCGACAAAGTTCCATGCACCCTGAAAATACGATTCCGGAGGGCACCGAGATCCTTCCCATCGGAGCTGTTTCTCCACCTCGGCGGGCCTGTTCCGGCCAGCACACGACACGAAGCCTCCGACATTGCCGTCATCGCGTCTCTCCAAAACGTCGCGCTGTCGAAGAATGTCATGGGCGCGCTTCCCAGAGTTTTGCAATTGGGTCGGCTCAATTTGGAGGACGGATCACGGCTGGATTACTTTTGTGAAGATTGCGTTCCCAACACGGTGTCACTAGACTCGGTCCTTGGTGAGATTTCCGAGTCAGATCTTAGCAACATCGCGGATGCTGTGGTACATGGTATATTCCGGCGAGAGAGCTATAATCTGCGAATCGACAGCGACGAGATCCTCTCAAAACTACTCAATACCCCTCTCAACCCCGTCTACGATGATGGCAAGTCCTATGGAGGCTGGATTGGCGGACCTCATTTGGGATATCACAACGACACCGCCTCTCTTCTGAAGCGGATACTTGAGCCACCACAGGCTCGCAATACTCATAACCCCTTGGTCTACAGCATGATTGCATGTCTCGATCTTGACGGCTTTACCCATGTTGTCATCGATTCTACACGATATCCAGATCTCGAGCCGATCCACCTCACCTCTAAAGACCTCAAGAATCTGTACACGGGAAGCGTTCTGTGTCACTATGCCCTCCACGAGCCAAGAAACATTCTTGTCCGTAAATACGGTGATCAATTCCAGTTTGTAGCCATCGTGGGCTGGAAAAACGCGGGATTCGGCCCGGCGCCCCTCGAATTGGGGCTGCTCTCCAGCAGTCGGGGCAACGACTGCGCTTGGTCTCGAATGTTCCAGAGTAAGGCCCAGAGTAAGGCCCAAACAGTACTCTCGAAGACTGATTCTGGAGGAAAGTTGCTTCGCGCAATGATGCTTGTACAGCAAGCTATTGATCGCGACACGGGGAGGGACAGTGATGGAAATCCAACGGGCTGGTCGACAGAAGGAGCTGACGCTCCGTATGCAGCAAATGGATTGGAAAAGCTTGAAATAGACCCACCAGCATTTGTGGGATCTTGAGTCACAGGCAAAGAAATGAAGCTGTCATGTGAGCACAGCTACGATCAACAGCTTTTTTATAACCAGCACGAAGACCCATGGTGTTATGAGAAGTGCGGTGGGATCCACAGCAGAGGCGATTTTAGGTCCCGATGCCTTCTTTCGCCAGCAGGGACCACCCGATTCGATCTCGATGGAAGGGCTTGCCCTCAGAGCTGCCCGCCAACAAATAGCAAGGTGGAAGGACCGCAGGTTGGGGTGACCTAGGTCACCATCAAATGCTATTGAAGCGAAGTGTGGAATTCATTCTATTTGCATGGCTTGATCATAGTCGTGGTACTTGCCATCAAACGAAGCGCACACAATACTCGCTTCGCTCTACTATTAGAGCACACGGAGACATTCTGTGGTTCTTGCCATGATCACTGCGAAACCCAGTTATCTCTATGCACCAATTAATTGTATGATAGGCTGAGGGGAAAATTCACTCATTAATTAAATAATATCCTGTGTGGTGGTGAATCTAGACCGCCGCTCAGCGTACGGCCTATCCCGAACACATACCTCAATCCCGAGGCTGCGAGACATGAGTGACGTGGATGTCAGGTTTCGGTGAGTTGAGACCTGGCTGTGATTTTCAATGACGGGTTTCGACCAAGTTCGGACGTAAAACGGATTCACGGAAGGGTTTACAGTCCTGACAGCTTTTAGTGCTGTGTTGAACTCTCCGAATTCCCGAGTTGGTCAATTTGCCGCAAGGCTGATTGATCGCTAATCAGTGAGTCATAGTATTCCCGTTGAGCAATGCAACTCTGTCCACGAACCAAAGTTGCGTATTGTCAAGCTTCACTCGACAAGTCAACCAAGTCTTGCTTTGGTGCTCTTACTCAGCCCCCTGTGATCAGCCTTGTAGAGCCGTTTGATAGGTAGATGATAGACACCTGGCACATTTTCGCCTCCCCTGTGCCGAAGGTTCCGTGAGAGCCTCAAGCTAATATCCATTTCTTTCGCATTGATGAGAAGACGTTCTAGACCCTGCTGGCAAATATGTACATGGGGATTGGATCACCATGGATTGAGTGGGCCTTGTGATCCACCTTACCGAAGATACGTTTGGTACTTGTCGAGAACATGACGTTGAGCAGATAGCACGACATGGAACTGAACACACTGGAGGATATTGCAGCATATCTGGGAGCAAGATGGAATTCCGCAATCGAGATTGCACCATTTTGAACCAAACCATCTGTTGTGGAACGTTTTCAAGCCAGTCATGACGACGAGAACCAGATGCCATGTGAACGATAGACGTAATTGTTGTACGTCGGTTTCTTGACAGGACTGGTAGTGACCAGAGAATATATAAACAGAATCTCTTCCCAATCTGTCACAATTTTTCGAAGTCCATGCCAAGTATTTCGTCTTCACGTTGATCGGGACGCAATTTCTGAATAAACTGCAATTTTATAAGATATCAGACCTTTCAAGAGAGATCACAATGGGCTATATGAAAGACCACACGGCCGACACGCAACACGCCTATGGAGGGACGACATCGGTAAGTGAAGCCTACATGATGCGTGGAATTGGAACCCCAATGTCGTTATGTCCTATGCCATCAAGGCCACGATTACAAGGCAGGGACTGGTTTACCTCTAACATATCTTAAAGTTTCCCGATAACCCAGTCTACACATTAGCTGAGGGACAACCAGTAGAGGATCCAACAACTGTCCTGCAAATCCGCAGCAAGTTTGGAAATGGAGGGCTAGGCTTGTTGACAGACACTCAACTGATTGAGTCTCTGACACATTTCCCACGCGAGAGGATACCAGAAAGGTAAGCCAGAAGACATACAACTTGAGGACCAAGGAAGCTGACACTCATGATAGAGCTGTCCACGCAAAGGCAGCTGGCGCATGGGGCTACTATGAAGTGACCGAGGACATCTCAGACATCACCTCAGCCAAGTTTCTGACAGGCCTAGGCGAGAAGACAGACCTGCTCGCCCGAATCTCAACAGTAGGAGGCGAGAAGGGATCAGCCGACACGGTGCGCGATGTCAGGGGGTTTGCAGTCAAGATCTTCACGGAGGAGGGCAACCAGGACTTTGTGTTCAACGACCTACCCGTTTTCTTCCTCAGAGACCCGATCAAGTTCCCCAGCATGAACCGGTCGCACAAGCGACACCCGCAGACCAATATCCCGGACCCAAACATGTTCTGGGACTACCACAATAACAACCAGGAGGGCATTCACGCACTGATGCAGCTGTTCGGCAAGCGCGGTATCCCGGAGTCGGTGCGAAACATCAACGCCTTCGGCGTCCACACATACAAGCTCGGCAAGCCAGACGGCAGCTTCAAGTACGTCAAGTGGCACTTCAAGCCCGAAGCAGGCATCAAGACGATGCCATCCGACAAGGCGAGCCAGCTGGCCGGCTCAGACCCAGACTACCACGTGCGAGACCTGTTCGATGCCATCAAGCGCGGCGACTTCCCCTCGTGGAACGTATACCTACAGATCATGGACCCCAAGGACGCAGAGACATACAACATCCCCATCTTCGACCCGACCTACACCTGGCCGCACGCGGACTACCCGCTCAAGAAGATCGGCCGCATCGTCCTCAACCGCAACCCGGACAACTACTTCCAGGACGTCGAGCAGGCGGCCTTCTCGCCCTCGGCCATGGTCCCGGGGGTCGCGCCCTCGGCCGACATCGTCCTGCAGGCCCGCATGTTCAGCTACCCGGACGCGGCGCGCTACCGCGTCGGGCCCAACTACCAGCAGCTGCCGTGCAACCGCGCGCGGAGCCACGTCTACGCGCCGTACAGCCGCGACGGGCCCATGAGCTTCAACGGCAACTACGGCGCCGACCCTAACTACGTCCGCTCCAGCTTCCAGAGGATCGCGCGGGCGCCCAACCCGGAGATCTACGACCACGACATGTGGGCTGGCCGTGCTGTCGCGTACACGTCGGCTAAGGAGGTCGGCGATGAGGACTTTGTGCAGTCGCGCGAGCTGTGGGAGATGATGAAGGAGGAGGAGGGCGGCCAGGAGGCGTTCCTGGCGAACCTGCTACCGCACCTGGGCAAGGCTCTGCCTGAGGTGCAGGAGGAGTCTATAGGTGAGTTCATACTTCATGGTTAGGCACGCCTTATCTCTCTCTGAGAGATTGAGGGTGTTGAGTCTACTTCTTTATGATCGCTTGCTAACCTTTGAATTCAGAAATGTTCGCTCGCGTATCTGAGGACCTCGGCAAGCTGATCAGAGATGGCCTGGCGAAGCGGGAGTAGTTGAATTAAGGACATCAGAAAACAAATTCTCAACATATACTAAATCACATTGGTTCATTTACATCCCTCAGCTAGTCAATTTCTTCTGCCTTGTTGACCACGGCATAACAAGGAAAAAGAATGATCTTTCTCGTACTCGTCGTTGTCTGGAATAATATGCATTCTAGTAAATCTGCATTCCTCGCAGTCAATGATCTAGAGAAAATATTGAACGAGCTGGCCAATCAAGCATAACGCCCATGCTATGCACACGTACGCACAATCGATACAGATACTCAACACCCCATAAATGCATACGCATACACGAATAGACAAGCATGGGGGCAGGGGACAGACATAGACACAAATCAAAACAGAGTCAACTCTAAAACCCGTTGCTTATAACAACTAACATTACCACCACTCGTTGCCCTCTCCCTACCAAGGACAGACCATCCATCCAGTCATCTGTGGTCTACTCTAGCCCCATAACAGCCTCGTCCCCTATCCCCCACGACCCACTCCGGCGGTCCTTGGATATCTCCAGCCCCAGCCCAGGGCCCAGGCTCGCCTGGTCATCCTCGCTTTGCACTTCGCTAGTGCGCCGGGCCCGGCCGCCCACCGAGTACGGCGATACCACGGCTGACCGCGGACTGCTAGTGATGCTGTCGTCTCGCCTTGGCGGCCTTTGACCTGCTGCAGCGGCGGCGGTATTATCAGTGACCCTGCGTCGCAGCGAGGGGAGTAGCCTCATCGACCGAGATGATGTCGACAGCACCGACGAAGCGTCGTCCTTTTCCCTTTCCGACGGGGTCTTTTCCCTTTCCGGGCTTTCAGAGTCCTCCTCCTTGATCTCCTTGAGGCCGTCATTTGGACGGTGAAGGTCAGGCATGCTCATCGTTTCGTTATTCGGTGAGAAAGTTGTGATAGGCGGCGCGAGTGTGGGCGTTCTCGGCCGAGGTGGAAGGGATGGCCGTGCTTCTGGAGTGGGCGTCGGTGAGGATTCTTGAGGAGGCTGCTTGGCTTGTTCGGTCTCTTCGTCGCTGTCCACTTCCACCAGCTCGGCGTCACGGTACCATTTCCGTCTTCGCGTCCATCTTCCCCAGCCGTCTTGGCCGCGTCGGCCATTCTGCCACTATATCGAATTGTCAGTTGCAGCTGGGCGCATGGCTTGGCTCACAGGATAGAAGCATACCTTGTTGTCATAGAAAATCCAGCCATTCTTTCCGCCATCGCTGTCGTAATTCCATTCGGCCTCTGCGCCTCCAGCAACTCCGCCATTCACCGAATCATCCGACACGCCGTCCACCCTCCACCTGCTGCCACTTACCCACCGCCACCGCATGTTGCTATCGTCATCAACTTCGGGAAGCTCGAACTTCTCCTTGGGTGGGACAGGGTTGTTATGCTCGTCAGTCCACGCTGCCCTCTCGTAAGCGAACAGACTATTTGTCCAACCGAGACCGACCCAGCGGCGCTGGTTCTCGTAGATGATGAAAGTGAACCTCACGCCGGCATCTGTAGCCCCACGGGCTCGGCGTATGGCCTTGGTCAGCTCGGACTGTGCTTGCGCTCTGCCAGTCAACGGCGCCTTGTTCGATTTGGTCGAGTCTTTCTCGAACGCAGGCGTCTCACTTCCCTTGTCCTTGTTCTTGGCCTTTTCCGGGAGGGCGATCTCAAGCCCTGTCAGGAGTGCCGCGAACTTCCTAACACTCGCACTGCGCCACAGTATCGTCCTCCCAGCTTTGACAACTCGAGCATGCCAAGTGAGGATTATTGTTCCAAACACGAGGATCACCCTCCGCGTGGATATGATTCGAACTGGAGGGAAGGTCAAGGCGACCCAAAAGGGGGTGCACATCAATATGCGTACAAACAGCGTTGTCAGGGCCGGCCTCGTGGTCGCACTGGTCGCCGTGCGCTGGGTGCTCAGAAAATCCGTCAACTCCAGCAGCGGCTCCATGAGGATATTACACCTCGCAGTGAACTCCTTCAGTGTCTCGACGATCTCATCCAGCGTCTTCTGGTGTTTCGTGTTTGTTGCCTCCGATCCAGCCCTTGTGTGTTGTCCGCCCCCACCTCCCGCCGCCGCATTTGCAGCTGCCGGTCCCGTGCTCTCGGTCGATGCCTTCTTCCCTTTGCTCTTTGAACTTTTGGGCGCATGTCCCCCTCCGGCGCCACCGTCCTCGTTCCAGCCACTGCTGCTCAGAGGGCTGAAACGCCGTCCGTACATGCCCAGTATCACAATGAGGACCAGAACCACAGGCCCTGCAAAGCGCACGGCGACATCTCCGTAGAGCACTATGGCCCAGAAAACAGCGACCAGCAGGAAGCTCTCCCAAGGATCTTTCGTGGTCCAGCTCAACAGCCCGGCAAGCTTGTTCAAGGGCAGGAGGAAGGGATGGCTGTATGCGAGGGCGCGAGTGACCTGGGGAGGTGTGGCCAGCAGCAGCGGAGACTTCTGGTGGACGAGGATGGTAGAGAGTCGCTTGGCGGCGGACACGGGCTGGGAGGAGGACAGGGTCGCGGGGGAGAAGGAGGCATAGGTCGGCTTGGGTTCAGCGGCGGCGGCGCCTAGGTAGGAGGTCGGGCCGTCATCGTTGCGGTTTGGCGAGTGAGTGGAGGAGGAACTGTCGAGGGTGTCGCCTCGTTGGCGACGAGGGGTGGACATGTGGGTTAGCCAGGGGATTTCCTGTGCCGGGTGGAAGAGGGCTTCGCGTTAGCTAGAAGTAAGCGACACGGATGGAAGCGTCGGGTTGTGAATGTCCTGTTCCAACGAAGGGAAGGCTGGTCGGGTTGGAATGGGGCGCTGGCAAGCAAGCTCATGCGCTTGGGCAGGACCGGAGGAACCGGAGCATGATTGATGGATGCCTTGGGGGAAGATGAGACTGTACGTGCTACACAGCTAGCATGAGAAGAAGCTGTTGTCATGCACACAGGTAGGGCGTAGGCAGTCAAGACTGAAGACGAAGGCGCCCGACCAGATCAGATCGAATGAAGGCGGGCATCAAGGGCAACGTCAACAGCACGTAGCAAGTGATGTTTGCCACCTGGGGAAGCTCAACAACCTCCGACGCCCATCTGGCGCATCGGGCAGGAAGCTCCCAGGTGCCTGCCTGCACCTGCACTGGTCACACTGGCAGGCGCGCCAAGGCCAGGCAAGGTGGGCGGCAGGTGGCATGAGCGCCCTCTTCAGCTGCACCTGCTGCACCTGCCGCAGAAGACACAGCGACATTTGGTGTCGAAGGATAAGAATGCAGACGAAATGAAGATGAACTGAAGATGCAGGGAAGAAAAAGAGAAAAACAACAATATGGAACTCACGATTGCAGCCATCTAAGTCAGTCGTGGCTCCTCCCCTTGTCCGTCGCCCCTCCTCAGCGGCAAGCGCTGCCTGTACCTTGCACCTGCCAGGTCCACAGCCAGCACAGCTTTGCTTGGATCTTGCTACCACCGCTCTTTCCCTCTCCTCCTGTCTTGTGCCGTTCCGTCTCCGTCTCTGCCGGTACCCAAACGGAAACTGTGGGTTTACGACGTCATCGGTTGCGCAGCAGTCGGGTCCAGGTGTCGGGGGATGAAAATGTGTGAAATACAGACTGATTTTAATACATGATCAGGATATGTGAGAAAAGTAGTGAGAGAGAGGAATATTCTTAGCGAATTCGACGGCATCCCATTTCATCCCACCGTCGGCCATTCCGGCTTGCCAGCCACAAGGCACAAGCGCAAACGGCCACGTGAGCCAGTGAGCAGTGAGCCGTGAGCGGTCTTTGGCTCGTTCCATCCGCCATTTCTCCATCCTGGGCACAATCACATGCAAAATTCCAGCTCCCAGGTCCGCCCGACGCAGCGTAGCATCCACCACCTCGGACCCCTGGGACACCACTCCAGTTTGCTACCCACTTGTCGACATGTTTGACATCACAGTGCGACAGGCCGGAAGAATGGTGTGATTCAACATTGACCTCGCACATAGGTGACCACGTTGAGGAAATACCTACCCAAGTTCAGATAGGAATTGATCCTGGCCTTGCAGGTCATCCTATGATACTGTATGTACTGTATAAGACTTTACCCCGTAGGCATTTTGCAGGGAAAGTCAGCCAAAACGGATTACCTTCAAGGAGACTATCCCAGAACAGGTCATCGTAGAACTAACTATTCATCTTATCTCAGGGCAGGTTATCATTGAGCAGATGATCACAGAGCAGGTTGTCCCATGAAGTTATCGTCGGGAAGGCAAGGCCAAGGGAGATTGCCGTAGAAAATGATATTCTCCACACAAATCACCAAGACAAAACACAAGAAGACCAAGTTCGAGAAATGTTCATTAAGCTTTTCGTGCCAGTCAGTGAAATCCAGCAATGGGTATCGATCGAATGCCTCCGCCTCACAAAATGTCCACGAGATGCCATGCCGTGCCAAAACAACCACTATCACCACCACCACAATTACGTATATACCTATAGGCTTTCTCCAGCTCCATTATCACCTTTATTCACTCTCACCCCTCCTGCTCGCTCGACCAAAAGCAAATGAAATATACGTAGAGGCCGTCCTCAAAGAAGAAATAGAATGGACAAGAAAGGCCATACCGACAGACCGTAGAGATGCCAGATGTGAGATGCAATCAGAACTCCCCCGCTCCAAAATTTTGGTGAAGTAAACAGGAATTCCTTCGCCCCCAGCCCAAAAAGAAAAGCCCCAGGGGAGTCCAGATGAGGGACAGTTTGATATCCGTGCCGTAGAATCCGTGAATTATTCGACGAGGAAACAATTTTTGAACCGATTAAAAGGCCCCGTGTTGAAGAAGAGAGGCATATATCCGTCGCAAAGAGAACCACTGTCATCCATGCAGTCTGTCCATGTGACAAGAGTCCTTCACTGTGCCTCGGCCGTAGTAGACCGGCGATCATCCGTCGCCACGCTCGAACGTCGACTAGATCCATCCCTGCACCAAGGAGAAAAGAGAAGAACCCCGTTAGCCAGCCTGTCCAGCAGACAAAGGAGAAACCCCACAAAACCGCACTGGCAATGGTGAGAAAGAAACCTACCCGCTACTCAGCTCCGCCTCTGGGTTCCACTTCCTGACCCAGCTGACGAACCGCCGGCCCTGGATCTTGGCGTTGATGAGCCGCCCGCTGGCCGAGTTGGTCTCGAACGCCACCGTCTGCTCGCTGCGGTCCTTGAGCACCAGCGACACCCACTGCCGGTCCCGCTCCGTCTCCAGCTCGATCCGCGACACCTTGGCCGGCTCGATCCCGGCTGGTGGCACCACCGCCCCCGCCTCGGCCGCCGAAGTCGACGTCTCCCCCACCGGCTCCGCCACCCCGCGCACCGGGTCCGTCGCCAGCCGCAGGAACCCCGCCGTCGGGCTGCTGCTCCGCGACCACCGCACCCCGCGCGCCGAGTCGCGGAACTGGCTCACGTCGAAGATCTCCTTCCTGTCTGCGCCGGCCCCGGACACGGGTGTCTCGGCCCGCGCCGAGAGCGCTGGTGTGACCACCGCGGGCTGCGGGGCCGCGGGCTTCGGGCTGTCGGTGAAAGATGCCCGGGGCGTGTGCGGCGCCGGACCAAAGGAGGATGTCCGGACTGCCTGCCAGCGGTCTCCGTTGTTGGGGATCATGATCGTGGGCGTGCTGCGCCCGGAGCCGTCGGGCACCGGCGTCGTGGACGCGCTCCTGGGCGGCGCCATCATCGGCGACTGCATTGGCGGGGATAGGATGTGCGAGAGGGATGGGGAGTGCTGCGGCATGGCGTCCAATTGCTTGGTCTGATGGACTGGGGGTTGGAAATGGTGTCCATTCGACTGCACAGGCACCGACGCAGGTCGCAGAGGCGTTGAGTCGTTGCTCATCTGCGCCATGAGGGCGTCGAAGCGCTTATAGCTGTCGAGGCCGTTCTCGACCGGCGCTTCGGCGCGCATGCCAGCCGGGTTGAGGATGTTCTGCAGGTTCGAGTGCTTGCGACCCTCGCCCAGCTTGCCTATACCGGGTGCTGCGAGCCCCGTCTGGGATTCTGCGAACATGCCGTCCGACCTCGATCGCTGATGATCAGCCAACGCTGGGCGCTGGGACCGTGGGCCTGCGTCGGTGTCTGGCCGTCCTTGAGGGCCCTTCGATTCGCCCTTCAGACTGTCATCAGCCACCTCCGATGCTGCTCTGCTGCGGCTAGCAGCCTCCTTGACGGCCGCTGCTGCTTTGGCCTGCGCGGTCTGGGCACTTTTCCTCACGCGTTCGTGTTCGGAAAGAACAGCAGATAAATCTGCCTGGTCGTGAGGACCATGGCTGGTCTCCTCAGAGGGCCTCGTCTCGCTGGCCTGTGGGACGTGAGGCTCGATGGAAAACACCTTGGGAGAATCCTTGTCACTCTTCGTGGCCGGCATATCGTCCACATCCATGTCCGAGTCATGGGATCCCGAATCCGAGACCCCTTCTACCCAATTAGAGTCTGCAGCGCTGGGGTCTGGGATTGGGCCGACATCCATCTTCATCGGGTCCTCATCCTCATCATCACTATCCGCATCAGAGTCATCACTTCCGGGCGACCCACGGCGACCAGGACTCTTCCCGAACTGCTTATCGAAGAACGTAGGACTCTTTTCATCAGGCTTGTCTGCCGACCGCAGAGACAGCCCTTGATCGCCTAAGGTAGATACTTGCAAGTCAGCGCCCGCTTCACTACCAGCAGTCGGTTGCAAGGGCTTACCAATCCAGTCCGCCTCGCCCTCTGGCGTCGCTGAGAGAGGCTCGCCAGGCCCAAGTCGCTTCAGCTCCTCCCAGTTGGCGCGGTTGTTCATTTTCACTGCAAACCACTCCCGAGCCTTCTTGAGACCGCTGATATCTACGCCCTCAGTCGGGTTGTACAAGTCAAGCTCCAGAAGCTTCGAAGCGGGCAGCCACCCCAATGACCAGGGCGTTCTGTCGAAGAACATGACGGGATATTCACGCTTCTTCGCCTTGGCCTCTCCATCCTCGTAGGCAGGTTGCCACCCCTTGATCTGTAAGCTGACCCTGTCGACGCGGTAGCACTTGGGAACGGTCTGCATGAGCGGAAGCTCTTGAAATCTCTCTTTCAGGCCAACCTCCCGCAGACTGCCATCCGCTCGTATGGGCAATACGACGAGCGAGTACCATTTCTTGTTCGATTGCCACAGTCCTTGGTAGAATTGACAATCTTTAGGCGCAGTCATGCCTGCTGACGGCTTCTGCTCTCGTAACTTAGGCTTGGAGTGGACGTCACCATTGACATGGATCTCGCCCCCCTCCCTTTCGGTTTTAGGATGCTTCTTGTGGTTATCCGTGCGTTGCCGGCCTTCCTTTGTGAGCAGATTCCGGTTGTAAGGCTCGTACCCATCCTCAGCCACCGCCCGCTGGTACTCATCATTGTTGAGCTTGGCAAGCTCAGCATTGCAGTCGGTAACAAGATAGCCGCAGATTTCGATAGCAAGGTCGTGTGTCTTGGGCTGCATGTCATGTTGGGGACTGTGCACGTGCTTGGCCGCGCCGTGGACCGGGTTGCCAAACTTGAAGTGAACACCATGTTCGTCGCATTTGACAATGTACCAGTTACCCGAACCAGTCTTGTACTCGAAGATCTGGTGCTTGAATTGAGCCTTGCCTCCCTGGTAGACTTCCTCGAAGCTGATCGTGCGCTGGACCCGCTTCTCCATGGCGACCTGTGCAGGCTGGTGGGCTCGAGGGCTCCGCTTGACCGGCGGGGACTTCACATACTGGACCTGCTCAAATGGCCTGTCCCTGGTTCGCGGCCGCTTCAGGGCACTGTTGACAGCGTCGGTTGCAGGCGAGTCAGCGGCCTTCCTTTTCACGTCTTGGCGTGGGGTCTCCATTGCGCCCTGAGAAGCATGACTTGCCAGGACGGGATTGGAGCTCGGCAGGGGCGGAACGTCATGTCGCAGCGGAGGTTCGGACAATTTGGAATCGCTAGCCAAAGCCTGGGCCATCGCAGGTTGCTGATGACGAGGCTCGAGAGGGTGAGGCTCGGCAGGCACGTGATGGTGCGGCAGAGGTCGCTGGTGTACCTGCTCCGGAGGCATACGCTGCTGAATCATGGGCTGCTGGGCCATAGATTCCGGGTGAGGCATCCGATGGGGGCCCACAGGCTGTCGAGTCAAGGGCTCCGAGGGAAGAATGCGTGGAGGGGCAACCGGCTGTTGATGATGAGACGGGACTTCAGTGCGAGGAGCCATGCGCTGCTGTACCTGATGTGCCACGGGGTCCGGGCGAACAGTTTCCTGAGGCGGCGGCCCACGTGACGGCGTCGGTGTATTTGCCGACTGGAGCGCAGGTGACGCGAAAGCTGGTGTTGCAGGAGTCCCTGATGCAGAGCTCGCCATCTATACGGCAACGTTAGTCACACTATAACTAACATGTTCGCTTACGGGTGACGTAGGACTGACGCGAATGTTGCTAGACTGCGATGGTGTGCTGCTACTCACCCTGGGAATTGCACCGCGAGCGGCAGATGGCATTGCCATCAGGCTCGTGATCTTGTTGTGATAACGCTGTTCGATGTTGCTCTTGCTCGCCGCATGCTCGTCACGTAGGCGTTGCTGCTCGAGTCGGAAGCTGACTTGGTTGCTGATAGTGGCGGCAATTGAAGGCTGAAGATCTATAAAGGCCCGCTGGATGCTCTCATTGACTCTCTGCTGAAATTGTGAGAATAGGCGGCTGTTCTCCATGTGTATCTGCTCCTCAAGCTGCCGGTGCCTGTGATCGTGCTCATGGTCGAGGCGCTTCTGCTCCTCCTGCTTGTCCTTCTTGAGCGCGCGGTACTGGGCCACATCAAAATCGTCCTCGACAGCATTTGTAACATCCATTCGATCTCCAGGGGGTGCCGGCGCCGCCGCCGACGTTGGCGGGAGAAATTCGTTGACACGTTTGGGGTCCATCTTCGTCTTCGCGCCTCAACAACAAAACGAATAATGACTAATTGTCCTAGTCGCGAACATTGATAATCCGCTTCTGGCTCGCTGCCTCCATATGCGAGTGCCGCCCAAAATCTTGAAAGGCAGGAAACACCTAGTCCTATTGGCAGATAGTTGAACTAGAAAATGCGACTTTGTTGTCTTTGTATGTAAGCAGGTTGAACGGCAAAATTAAAGCTTTCACGTGAAATTTTTGAGTTTTGAATCTTGCTTTGCCTGATCCTGATGCTGTACCGGCACCTGCACTCTTGATACAACCAGTCGTGTTGGATGATGGGAAGCAAACAAGTACGAACGATCCAAGCTCGGCAGATTTTCCCAGCAAGTGTGTGTGAACTGGAGAAAGGAAAGTGGAACCAGGATGGCCTAGGGGTGATCACAAATAAGGGAGGACACTCACTTTTCCCCTTAAGATGTCTGTTATAGCTGGGCAGCTTAATGCTAAGGCCTATGTGGGAAGTTTCCTCCTTTTCCACCCTATTGTACTGTATGCATCAATCTACACGGCAAGCCAGGGGGAGTGTTCGCAGGGATGGAGGCGGAACAATAAGAAATCTAAGAAAGGCATTGACCTAGATTAGGTGGGTAGCAACGTTTACTTATGGGATCCGTCTTTTATATGCACGCGCTAAGTAAGATTAATGGGAAAGCGGGTGATACGGCCCGCTAAAAAAAGAATTTTGTGAGCACCGAGGACTATGATCGTATCATAAATAACATGCACCCCTGTTAGTCACAATCTGACACTGTACTGTTGGTTCGGTCACTTGTTCTGCTCCAGATCTGGGCATTACTTCCTGGCTCCTCGACCCGACATCCGCTCTACTTTTTTTTTGTCCTGCTACCGCCTCCCAACCGCGCGGTCCGACCTGGCTGTTGGTTCTACAGTCCTCGCTTGTGGGGACCGGCCGACACTCGGGACCGGTTGGTGCCAACGTCCAAGCCAACGTCCACTTTATCAAGCAATGACATACAACTCCCAATCAGAAATTTCAAACATCCCAACGTTCGCGTGTAACGCAACCATCACGCCTTTTTAGTGGGAAAAACCGCTATGGCTTTACCACAGACCAGCATCTCGTATCTTGTAGTATAATCTATTGGTGACTGTGTCTTGGTCAGTCCCTTTTTATGTACTATTGAGTACCTGCACGGAGATTTGCAATCCCTGAGAGTTGTACGACATGACATGACAGCATTGGGGCCCGTGCCATGGCCTTTTTAACCCGACCAGATAGTCAGCCATGGCTGCGCCAACACCTGCATCTCGCATCTGCATGTATTGGCTTGGTTGGCTGGCTAGCGCTGCCATGTTGGTGCTTCATGTAATTTCCCACTGTGCACACACGAGCATGTGCACATGCACATGTGCATAGTTGACGCTCGCCTTCGCTCACTCGCTCTAACTTTGTCAAGAAAAGTTTCCCTCTTATAATTTGCTGCCTGGTTGGGACTGGACTGGATTTGGGGCACGGTGACTGGGTGGGAAAATGCTCCCTCTTTTACTAGTGTACTTATAGGTACCTAGTGGGTCTTGGCCATGTGCCCACCTATCTGCGTACCTCGGGTGGCTGCGATATTTGTCACACGCCGAGCTCTGCTTAGCCTACCACCTTCGATATCGAGCACCCTCCTTAACTAGAGCACGTTATGACATACAAGAGTTGCAACACAGATCTTGTCGACTCAGACCCCGTCGTCTGAGCGTGTAATGGAACGCAAGTGGTCGAAGCCCTTGAGCATAGAGATCGCTCTCGCGTTACTCCCGAAACTGTTATCTGAAACATTTGTTCCGTGTCCTTTCCAATCCGTTAATTTCTCCCTGACTTTTCGCCGAATGCTGTTTCAGTCACTCGTCATAAAGTGGACGCCGCCAGCGGAACATTTATCTTGTTGCGAGACGGGGGGTAGGAAAAAACTAGTCGATCACGTTTCTGCCCACCAATTACCACGCGAGTCACTATTTCCTCGCTCGGCCCATTAATTCTGCTTCTAGGGTACTTGGCTCCGCTTTGTGTTTTGCCGAATACAGACCGACGGCAATGTGTAATATCCAGAGGCAGGACGCTATCATCCTGATCGAATATTCCTGCATTGCCATAAATAAGCGGCTAATCCTGTCGATTACGAGAGCTCACATGCCCACACACACCAGCATCCACTAACGGCTAGCATGAAATCCTGGCAGCAGTGGCTGACAGGTTTGAGACCACATACGTGCGACCCATCCAATCGTTATCCTCGCCGTATGCAGGGTTTCAGCCATTCCGAAGGGCGGTCTGTCATTTCCGGACCAATCCGTAATGAACACGACGCATATCTGACACCACTTTAGAGGAGAAAGACCTTTTATTCCCTCCGATTCTTCTTGCTTCTACCATTCCTACAAAAGTTCCAAGACTACGCGGCGTTTGACTTCTCGTGTCTCACGACGCCAACGGTTGATCCCATCTCGAATGGAAAACTATTTTATAGGTACTTGTCATGACAACGAAACACGCGTTAGTCGTATCAAACCTTATGGATCGGCCACAATTCTGAGTGCATTTCAATACCAATCAGTCCGCCTCGCTGTTTGAAATCTCGGACGGCAGCGTAGCATTGCCCGGCTTTTCTATATCACACGTGAAGACCGAAAGTCAATCTACACAACTACTGTAGGAAGAGTGATACCAAAGTGACGCAACCCCAAGCTTACTGGGTTTTGCTGTCTCCATAAAGTGGCGAATCGAGTCATACGCGGATGTTGTGGTATCGCCTAAGTCCCCGCATTTGCAATGTATCACCACCAATCAACTTCAACAAGTTTTGGGTTTAGATACGGAGTGTCGCGTATGTAGAGTGCGCGTGTGCCTGCCGGGTCGCCGAGATATCTACGCTCAAGATACTGACACACGCTTCACAAAAACAAGCAGAATTCGCGAGTGCCTTGGTACGTTTGGGCTATGATTGTAGATCATTCAACTCAAACTAATAGGAGACAGGTGTATGTAAGATTTCATCAAGATTTCACGCAGGAGCTTACCATCGAGTATAGACTTGATAACTATGTGGAATCAATGCAACGCACAAGACTCAGTTGACCGTAACCTCATCGTCCACGACTGCTGGCGACTCGCGTAGAGGAAGGACGTTCTTCCAGATTACCTTCACGAGTCCGTGACTTGTTCATGCGGCCGGATAATTAGTCTTCCGGAGCTGTCGTGTGAACTCAATTCAAAGAATCCGTGCCACCATCTATGAAGCTCTCGGCGTATTCGGACGTCTCGAGGGCGGAATTTTGCCGAGGGTATGGTTGAGAAGATGACCGGCCGTCAAGCGAATCTTCGGTCACGACAGTGCGTCATATTCAAATACATCATTTTTGGATCCCTCCATCATGACCAGCTCCTCGAGTTGCCACTGTTGTTACAGATATCCTGTCCATGCGATAGTGTAATACCGTGGGCCGCCTGAGCTCTGCGCATTTCTTGACGGGCGTCGCTCTACCTAAAGCCGCATCGTCGGCTTGAATGACACGGTCCCCGAGTCAACAATCTCGAGCCTGTTAATCAAGTCCTCGCACATAAGTCGGGGAGATGTCCACAGCGGCTATCCCTGTGTAAATTCGGGCATACCATTCCATTGCCGCGTCTATGAAATGTTTACTCGATGCACAACTATGTAGCAGAGGGTGTAGTGAATCGGTAGTTTATAATGCAGAATAGGTTTGATCTGTTTGATGTGACGTGCAGCGGACTTTTGTAATATCCTTGCTCCATTCAAATATGAGAAAATGTCTTGCACCGATTTACCACATCTAGCTACAACCGGAGATAACCGGACATTGTGCTCTGCTCAATTTGTCACGCTCGGTCCACTTGCATATGCGAAGGTTCTTCACAACGCATATAACTACCGGAGCCGCTCGTGACTAACACGTCTCGGCGCGGATCCGAACGTATAAAAGAGTCTCTGTGCATACAAGAATCTTAAATAAAGTCTCAGTAACGGTTACGAAGCGCAGAACAAAGTTCACATGTGGCAGGAGGAGGGAACCCACCTTGGATGGAGCTTGTTGCTGATCGCGATTTAAAGTTTGGATGATGTCTCGTCTGAACCCCTGCCCCTGTCAATTCACACATTTGGGCCTCATTTCTCTACTTGCTTGGCATTGGTGATAGGCATAACATGACATTGAATTTCGGCCACAGAAGGCATCGCTCGCTGAATGTGGAATACAGCACGTGTACTCCGGAAGCATAACTCCAAGTTTAGGGTCTCGGACAGTTTCAACGCTGACCGCAAGATGCTGCCGTGAGATCTGAGCAGCAGGAGACAGGGAGACAATCTGATTGATGGGCAATGCTGGGGGATGCGTTTCGGGAATGGCAATGTTGCAAGCGGCAACGCTGTTGACGATACACGGCATGAATGCACGACGAAGGAAGGGTCACATTATACATAAGCACCATGGTAGGATGACTGGTTTCGGGACCGACGGAGGACAGAAACCTTCATGCAAAGGAGACAGCGACTCAGGAATCAAGGGTTCTTTTCCAAGAACGTATGCACGCCGATCATGCCGCCACGAGGGGCCCGCTATAATCCGCCGGCCAGACGAGCCTCACTCACAGCCAACGAGTTTTGTTTACCTAGGAAATGATGCACATGCACTCGATATGTCAAAACGAGCTGGGCATCCATGCGCATCGTGACTGACTCTTGGAGGCACGCGAACCGCCGAATTCCCGGTGGCCCAGTGGCAGATTCCGCAGCACGGCACGCTGTGAGACCCATAACGCTTCGCTGTGCAGATGCACCTGGGCAAAAACATAGAGCTGAAGTGCAAATATATGTAAATACTTTATGCATGGAGGGTGCTACGGCATATGCGCCCCCAAGTAGTTTATTGACAGAAGAGTTGGGGGCGGTCGGCCCCCGTCGAAGACCGGCCCCCAGCTTGTGACACCTCATGTCTGCCACACGTCCCGCAGGATCGCTCGGTCAACGACCGATCAAATCACCTGTCAAAGTATGAGGTACGGTACTGGGCATTGCAACGAGATGATTCGACGTGTTTTGCCGTGTCGCAGTCGTTGTTGTCGTTGTCGTTGTCGTCGCAGCAATGTCTGAGAAGACCACTCGACACTGTGCTATGTGATTGAAGGAAACTTTAGGGGAAAGCAACCTTGGGAGGAATAAACCTTGGAAGAAACCTTATCCTTATTCGCTTCCGGCCATCCGCAAATCCGCATGAACGTCGTCAGAATTCGAGAGAAATCCCACAGACCTCCTTAGCGAATGCTTCCTTGGATCAAAAACACTTTTCAAATCACAGACCTTCTACAATGGTCAATCTCTTTGTGAAACGACCTCACAAATGACCGCATCAACGATCGAAGCACAGGGCATGGTTCCTTTCCGGAACCAGTTCTCCAGAAGCTAAAAGCATCATTTCCATCACCAACAAGGGAACATCAAGGCGCTGATAGGTCCACATTTAACGGGGTATCTTTGTCTCATCATTTGTAGTCTATAATTCGCTGCAATACATCAAGCCAGCATCGATCCATTCTCGCCTCCATCTAAGCGAAGAAGGCCTCCACCGCCTTGGTGAACTGGTCAGGGTCCTGCACAGGCGCAAAGTGGCTCACGTCTGTGAGCACCACGGACGTGCTGCCGGGAATGGCAGCGGAGAGCTTGGCGGGCACGTCAAGGTTGACGGCCTCGTCGTGGTCGGCGGAGACGATGGCCACCTTCTTGCCGTCGATGGCGCCCAGCCCCGCGGTCGTGAACTGCGGCAGCGTGGCCTCGAGTGTGCCGACCTTCGTCGCGAAGTCGGTGAAGTTTGCGTTCGGCTGGTTCGTCGCGTACTCGGTGGCGCACCGCGTCACGAACTCAGTATAGATGGCCGTGTCCGTGAATGTCGTGTTGGTGTCCTCGGGCACCATGAAACCCGCGAACACGAACGCCTTCTGAATCCCTGCCGCGATGGTCGTGTTCTGCAGCATGGCTAGTGTCGTGGCTGCACCATCGGACCATCCGACCACGTTGTACGACGTGATGCCCTGCTCATTCAGCTGCGCGAAGATATCGTTGGCGAACATGTCGAAGGTGAAGACATCGTTGGCGCCGTACGTGCTGCGCCCATGACCTCGGCGGTCCACAGCCACGACGTATTTGCCGTTGGCCACAAGCTGCTTGATCACGTCGCCGAAGTATGCGCTGTACCCGAGACCGCCGTGGTCAAAGACAATCGGGGTGCCGCCAGCCGCCTCGTTGTACTTTTGCAACCATAGGTCGGCGCCGTTGATGGAGCTCAGGGTTGTGTTGATGGGCGTGGGCAGGGCTGGAGTCGCCGGCAGAGTCTGCCAGGCTGCGGTTGTTTGTCGGATCGCCAGTGCGTCGACTGCGGTTGAGAAACCGACTGCGGCAAGCAGACTCAGCACTTGTGTGGAAAGCATCTTGTTCTATGTGAGTGAATGACTATTGTTTTGAAAAAACGAAAGTGGGTAGTTTCGAATCGCTTAAGGAATGATGTCTTTGGATATGCAGTGAGTAGTGGGTGAATGATGAGCATATCCTATTGACGACTCCATACTTGTCTCGAGGCTATATACACGATGGAATTTTAAGCTTACAATTCCGATCGAGGCAGTGTTTCTCGAAATAGGGGTGGGCTGTGGAGTTGCGTAGAGCTTAAAAAAGCCGCCTAGGTAGAAAAGAGAGGCCTGGCATCATGCCCGAGTCAAGGCACTGGCGGCAGGACCGACAGAGCTTGGCATCGCGTCTATTAAGCTTCGGGCTGCACGTTTCAAGTGCCATAATTTTAGCAATTGACTACCGAATGAGCCGCGCGCCTTTCCCTACACGGAGTATCTCATATTCGCGATGTTGCGCTGCACACAACGTAGTTATGGTCGCCTATGCCGGACGTACTTGGCGATGGCTTCGGCCTGGTGGCATGAACGGAGACGAGTATAACCCCGAGAGCCCGCGACTTAATAATTCTCGCCTTTTCGATCATCTATCCAGTAACTGCAGTCTCATTGAGGGTTTCATCCTGTAGCATAGTCAAAATCTTTTGTATGCATGCAGGTTCTCTACTCAACTCCATCATCAATCCGCTCGCGTACGCTTCAGCGCATCTTCGAAACCAGAGCCATTTACCGCCAGTCTGTCCGACTCGAGATATCTCTGCACGGCATCTTCAACCACCTAGTTCTTTTATTAAAGGCATAAAATTTCATGCTCGCGGAGCGCCTTGGTATTGACGGTCTAAGATTAATGACGGCAGTCAGTCAGCCAGTTGGGAACAGCAGGCATGATCTTGCTTTCAGAGACAGGCCAGTCGGCTGATTCCTTAGGAATATTGAGAAAGAGGAAATGTGGGAGTCTCTCACTTTACTAATCACTATGATCATCGTTGTGACATTGTCAAGGTAACGCGAGTCCTCTATCGTTGCTCAAGGGAGACATGCCACAAAATCTGTGTCTGGCCTTGGCCTTGGTGAAGTGCATATGGCTGCGGCGGCGTGCGTGGGAAACATTCAAGACTCGAAGCTCCATGAGTAACGGTCTGTGGCCGTGATAATGGCGCATGCGACAGCGTGAAATGCATACTCATACACTTTGGGGGGCCTGTTGCTTCTTCTTTTCAATTGGAGACCCGAAAGGAGAAGTATATCGGAGCTGGCCAAGTTGAGGCGCCGCAAAGTTGTACATGGAAGGAGATCGAAGGGGCCCCATCGCTGGCTCATGGAAGGTGAGCTTTCAAGTTGTGATTGACGATAACTCACGAATCCGGCAAACTGCCTTTACGATCATTGCCGATCAGCTTCGACGAAATTGCCTTCCAATTCAAGAAGCTCAAGTTGAAGAGTTGGAAACCTGATGGCTGCTTGAGGAACGACGCTGTAAAGAACTCTGGGAGTATTTGTCTTACAACATGCCAGAAAAAACAAGTCTCCAAAAGCATCAAACTCAGACTATATGGAAGGACATATGAATTATGAGCACAGAAAATCTCCGGTGATCTACAGTCACTCAAAGTAAGAAAGTGTTTCATCCAAAACTTCACAAAAAGACAAAGTCCAAGATGACCTGTATACTCAGTATAAAAATGAAGAACAATCTAGGCAGTTGAAGGATTCATCCTTGAACAGCATTGAGAACAGAAGCAATTGTGGATAGCTGGCAACAAGCAGAGTACACAGGCTCAGCTGCTGGTTATATAATAGTTCGGCATCTGATATGATTTAGTAATCCTCTAAAGGTGTTAAGTCTGCCGGGCACAATGGGATCAAATATTCCAAATTGCGTAAGGGACAACTGAACATAAGCCAGCCGCTCTTGAAAGCTTCAGATCAGGGGAACATGAGGACAGTTGGTGGATCCCGTTGTGAGCTAGGCATAAAATCTCGAGGTATGTCCATGTATATTTTCGAAACCCGATGGGTTACGCGAAGACATGGTGATATATGGTCGGCTGTGCACTGTGGTGACCGAGAAACTCGCGAAGCTGACGAAATTTGTACGTATTTCTTGCAAAGGAAATGTTTGTTGTCAGATGGGCAAAGAATAGTACACCCGAAAAGTGTACATATACAAGGCAAGGCTGGCTGACGAAGTTTCGTTCACCGTGACCTATTTGACGAATGAGCCCCGTGGCGTGTCCTTCGAGGCTACACAACAGCGTTTCATCGAATTTGACAGAATATTCAAGCTGAAAGGAAACCTGCACGAGAGTTTTCACCTAGTGAAAGCTTATTCTATGAGGTTGCATTACCTCGACATGGCCTGCCACACTCCCTCCCGACACAGCTGTAAATCATATAAATAATAGATATCACTCAATCTGGCATGGCAGCTCAGCTTTTTGGCCACCATGATGCGAGGTTAGTGTGAATGATGCTGGCCACTATGATACAACCATCGCACTGCAGGAGCTCGGTGAGGATGCGTGTGACGGAGCTCCCTTCTGGAAGGCCGGGAGAAGAAAGATGGATGGATGCCCTGTCGGATCGAGGAGTGGATTTATTAACTCACAGATCGGGTTTAGTCTCACGGTGAGAATCCTATCTTCATTTTCCAGGGTCCGTACCAATCAGTGGGTTGACCCTTATCTGGCATCCCTGCTGGACCTGCTCGAGGAGAATCCATCGTCTCGTAACTCTGTGGGGTCGACCAATAAAGGACATGGAGCCTGCTGGTAGAGGTTTTTACTCAGAACCAAAATAAGGCAAGACTCGAAAGGCAGACTGGAGCCGGGGAGGTGCGGCTCCTGAAAGCCACCCGCTGGGATCTGCGTCCGGCGATTTTGGTCTGGTGCAGTCAGGGGACAAGCTTTGCCCAGGCACATCAAGCTTTAGCCTGGAGCTGGCGGATGTGCCAAGTAGCGGATTATCACCTCGATGGCGCCAGGGGTGGCCATTTCAAGTGAACGTTCAACGACGTGCGATGAGCGAGCATGTGGACTTCCATATCAGATTTGACTCTGTGAGGGATCAGTCCAGTCGAATGACGAGTGACGACGTAGCATACGCGGCACTGTGCATCTGGGTCATCAGGAAAGATGCTGAGCAACCGCATGTTCCATTCTTTAAAGATGCAGCGCAGCGATAGGCGAAACTGGCAGACGTGTCGTGGACACGGGCGGCACAGCGGGTTCAAGGCCTTGGAAGATGTCGCCAATTCGGCCTTTTCAAGCCGATCTGCAGGTCCGGGCCCCAGAAATGGGGATCTTCGCGTTTCCAAGCCCTTGGATCCAGCAGCATGGCGTCGACCTGTCAGCTCTGCTGAGGCGGAGTGGTGTGACCCTTCGGAATGTCCACAGTGGCCGCCGAGACTTCCATTTGCAGCAGGCTTTTCATGGGAGTTCAGCTCGAATTGGCACTTTGTCCGAAGAAACGCCAGGCCGTCAAACGTTGAGTAGCATCAATTACATAAATTGCTGTGCCGCAACGCCTTGACATGCTCTACAGTACGTCGTATAAATGAGGGTTGGACTTTGGAGGATCCAGTCACGCAGCGAGATATTCCCGGACCATCCAATCAGTGGCTAACGGATACAAAGAAGTGGATGTTGCGCATGGCCCAAAAGGTCGTAGTATGTGTCAGCGGCACCAATCACCCACCAACACTTGCAGCTCTGAGGGAGGCATCGAGAGTGGAAACACAGAATCGCGGGCGCAATAAGCTGCACGACCGGTTGGTCCCTGCGCCGAGTTTGCCGTAGCGCAATGCGACTGGCATGGAGGATGAGACAGTAAGACAAAGAGCTGATGACCAGCCATGTCGTGCATGTCTCTGTCTCCTCTGCCTCTCTGTTTTGTCTGCCGTCTCTTGATTCGCTTGTTCAACTTGAATGTTTGGGATTGTTTGCACGGGAGTAGTTTGTGAATGTGTAAGATAGATGCAATGCAAGTGTTCGGGGGCGGAATGGCGGTAGGGTCACATCTCACCCACATACGGTAGACCTATCCATGTTTCCTAATTCGTCCAACCCATGTGTATTTCCTGCTTCTTCTCTATGTTCGTCGTAAGCCCTAGTGAGCCGCGAACTCGGCCGCCCCCGTCCTCTCTCCGCTTTGGCCAATCTGGCCGGATTTCACATCCACGTCGGCGATAACGTCAAGCTGATCAACCTTTCGATGTGACCGATGCATTCTCAGGACATGGCCGCTTGAGGAAGGTCGTTTGAAGACCTTTACACCCTGAAGTCAACGTTTCGAGGGTTCACTGGCGATCCACACATACTACCCTTGCCTTACCACTCACCTCACCTCGGCCCCTGCACACCACCCTGCCATCATGCATTTGGTGTAACCACTCATCCGTGGGTCCTGGACTTACGACTTTCGGTTCCGTTGCCACATTGACCAGGTTCACAATCCTCGATGGCCCTTCCCATTGAAATACCACCTCATCCTCGACCTGGAATTCAGGCTGCATTGAGCTTCCGTGTTGCTGTCTCATCTGTCATCCGGATTTGTCTTGTCTCGCATCGCCGTTGGCAGCCTCTTGCCAACAAGTTAGAGACTTTGAGTGAACGAGCGCCGCGCTCTCCTTCCAAAGACACACGCACGCAGACGGGCACATCACCACCACCATGGGCTTCTCATTTCGAGGGAAGACCTCGGAGCAGCCCATCATCGTCAGCGAGATAGATCAAGGCATATCATCTGCCACAGAACCACCGGCAGCCGACCTGAAGAAGTTTAGAAAGCTTCACCAATTCGATCCCTTCCTTGACCTTGACAAGCTCGAGACAGTCGACAATGCTCTGGCAACCGGAGACCCCGAGAAGGAGGCGGCCGTGGAGGAGCAGCTCATAATCGACGACTCTCCGTATCCTGAAGTCCGGTCATCGGTACGCTCGTCGCAAGCAGACGCAATCATCCCATATCAGGCAATTTGCTGACCAGCTCGACCCAGGTTCCTCCTACGGATGACATGGACACGCCAGTCAACACCATCCGAGCATGGACGATCGGCATGGTCCTGTGCACTATCATTGCGGCTGTCAACATCCTAATGGGCCTGCGCAAGTCCCCCGTCACCATCACTGCCTCCGTTGTGCAGCTAATCGCTTACCCGTACGTCCCGACGCGCAGCTGCAGCTTTACCTCAGGGGATTCTCGAGATGCTGAAAACTGACCACTTCCATAGAATCGGCCGCGGATGGACTGCGGTCATGCCGAACAAGGAGTACAGCTTGTTCGGCCGCAAATTCAACTTGAACCCTAGCCCATTCAACAAGAAGGAGCACACCATGATCACTGTTATGACTGCTGCCGGCGCGAGCAGCTCGTACGCTATCGATATCTTGCTTGCGCAAGAGATTTACTACGGCCAGTACTTCGAGTGGGGTTTCCAGATCCTCCTCATCGTCTCGACTCAGGCTATGGGCTATGGCCTGGCTGGTATCATGCGGCGGTACCTGGTATGGCCTGCGGCGTATGTTACTCCTTCATTGTCACTCTACTGCTTACAGTGTAGTCCATACTAACAGTTGGCGTGATAGAATGGTGTGGCCAAACCAGCTTGTTCCAGCAGTCGTCATTGCGACGCTGCACAACCACGAAACATCAGACCCTTCCAAGACAAATGGCTGGCGCATTGGAAGATATGCTTTCTTCCTGATTGTCGCAGGTGGCACCTTTGTTTACGAGTGGTTCCCCGTGGTCATCGCCCAATTTCTTAGTTACATTGGCCTTTTCCCAACCTGGATTGCGCCCAACAATGTAATCGTCAACCAGGTCTTTGGCGGTTTGAGCGGCCTCGGCCTCATCCCGCTCGCTTTGGACTGGTCCATCATCTCGGGTTTTATGGGCACGAGCCCTCTGATGACGCCCGGATTCTCACTGATGAACATGCTTGCCGGCATGGTCCTCGTGATCATCGGTGTCGCCGGTATCTCATGGGCCGGGCCAGAGTTCATGCGATACCTGCCTCTCGAGGCCAACGCCAACTTCGATCACTTCGGTAACTCATACAATGTATCTCGAATTCTAACCTCCGAATTTACCTTCAACGAGACCGCCTACAAGGAGTACTCTCCACTCCTAATTGGACCCGCCTTTGCGCTTTCGTATGGAGTCGGCTTCGCTGGCTTGATTTCCACGGTCGTTCACTGTGCTCTATTTTATGGTGTTGACATCTGGAATCGTGCCAAGAGCGCCAAGTACGAGGAGCCTGATATCCATCTGAAATTGATGCGCAAATACAGTACGTATGCTCACCTCAAGCTGCAGTGCACAGAGCAAACTGGCCCAAACAGATTGCTAACCGAGTTCGTCCTACAGAGGAGGCACCTGAATGGTGGTTTCAAGCGACTTTCGTTGTAGCCTTCGCGTTTGCCATGATTTCCTCCCAAGTCTGGGATACCCACCTGACGTGGTGGGCGCTGATCATTTCTATCCTCATCGGAATCTTCTTTACAATCCCGGTTGGAATGCTCACGGCCATCACGAACAACCAAGCCGGCCTGAATGTCATCACCGAGATGATCGTCGGCTATATGACCCCAGGCCGCCCTGTCGCCATGATGCTATTCAAAAGTTACGGCTACATGATGACATACAACTGCCTGCAGTACGTCATGGACATGAAATTGGGCCATTATATGAAGATCCCGTAAGTAGCTTTCGTACACAATTTGAACCTTTCCTGGGGAGAGACGCTTTCGTATGTGTGGACTTCACTAGCCTTTCTCAGACCGCAGCTTTTGAGACAGGCTATGAACACATAGTATTATCCTCTACTTCGTTTCTCAGAAGTGTTCTTCCGTGTACTCTGGCGGCTAACCACAAATGCTTCAGGCCGCGATCTATGTTTGCTGCGCAGTTCTTCCCAGTCATCTGGCTGGCTATTGTACAGATCGCAAGCTACAACTTCCTCCGCGGTAATATCGCCGGCATTTGCACTGCAGACCAGCCGCAAGGCCTGACCTGCCCCAACGCGAAGACATTCTTTAATGCCTCGGTCATCTGGGGTGTCATTGTAAGCTACGATACCACATTCCTGCCTACAGAGCTTGATATATCCCCATGGCAAACTAACGCCTACGTGTGCAGGGACCCGCCAGAATGTTTGGCACCGGCCAGCTATTCTCTTGGACTAATTGGTTCTGGTTGATTGGAGCTGCCTGCCCGGTGATCCATTACCTCTTTGCCCGCAAGTACCCGCGCTCGTGGCTGCGGTACCTTTTCACGCCGTCCATCTTCGGCGCGGCGGGTATGATCCCGCCCGCGACGACCTGGTATCTGATGAACTACGTGCTCTTCGGCCTGGCTTTCAACTGGATGGTGCGCCGCCGGTTCTTTGGCTGGTGGACGCAGTACAACTACGTTCTCAGTGGCGCTCTCGACATCGGCCTGGCCCTGACGGTTGTCATCTCCGGCCTTGCGCTGGGCCTGTCGGGCAAAACATTCCCTGACTGGTGGGGCAACACCGTGCCATACAACACCCTTGATATGACCGGGCCCGCTACGACTAAGGTGTTGCCTGATGATGGGAGCTTCTTTGGCCCGACAACGTGGTAGATATGGCTTCATTATGATAATGTAGTGGTTTCATGCGTTCATCCACTCTAGTAAGCCTGGAGAGGATTGTTTGCTATCACATTTGGATGTAAGCTGGTCAGCTGTTTGTTTGGCAATGAAAGAGACATTCATGGGCCAGCTGTTGAAGACACAAGCTTAATTTTAAGGATATTATTCGTGAAGCGCATAGCTCTGCAGCAATCCTTTCAATTGGAACTCCTACTCCAACCAGAGTGTTTTGCTCGCTCGATGTCCTGTCATAATACCAAACGTACGGAAATTAAGAATGATCATGTGCGATCACTTCACGTCGGCCGAGATCAGCGGAAGATATCGATGTGTCCACCAAAGCGGGATTTGATGAAATCGCCATGAAATGCGAGCTGGACACAGGTAGCTCTGGCTAGGTCTTATTCTAGGATGTGTTACTGGGAATCCTTCTTGTGAATTCAACCATTCACTTCATCTTCTCACTTAGTTGTACAATCTCCTTTTTGATGTTGAGCCTTGGACTGACCCATCTAGCCAAATCGCTCAAATCCGATGACCTAAATTAGTTCCCGACTGGTATGGATTGTGGATTCGAGAATAGATCATCCGGATCAATTTTCTTCTTGAGCCCTTTGAGTTTCTCGAACAACACATCGCCATAGTACAGCCTGCCCGCCTTGTCGGCACTCAGCTCTGTGTCTACATACCCCTGATAGGCCCCATAACCGCCAGCTCCGAGCACTTCTGTCACCTGCTTGTTCAAATCATTTACGAGATCAATCCCCGCCGGTACGGGGAATACCATGTCCGGACCATCCGTGAAGCCAGAGTTCTCCATGACCCAGGTGGTGTCACGGCGCCAGAACGCCGACTCGCCGCTTTTGCTGTCCAGGAAGATCTGGTTGTCGACGCCGCCCTGCAGGCTGAGTGTCAAGTACCACGGCACGGCAGGATTCTTTTCCTCGCGGTGTGCCTGTGCCCACGTCACCAGGTTCCTGAACGCGCTATCGGGGAGGCCCGGCGCGGGTACCGTGATGCTCTTGGTGTAGAAGGTGTCGTGATCCGGGGCTGGGGCATAACCGCTTTCGCCAGGCTTGAGGTAAGCTATGTCACTGCCGTAGTTGGCATCCTTCAGCGCGTCCGCCCAGGAGTACTGCTTGATGACGGTCGGGCTGTCACTATCGCCGGCGCCGGGTGGCGGCAGCCCGCGTAGTAGCTCGGGAAGCACCGTCTTGTTGAAGGTTGCTACTGGGCCGAGGTAAATGCCTTTCAGGTTGAAGGTCCCGAAGGCGTCCAGGGTCACATCGAACTGGAAGTTGCGGTCCAGCCCCGAGGACGCGTTGTTGGCGTAGTTCTGGATGTGCGTTAGAGCTGCAACGCTTTGTTCCGTATTGTCGCTTAGGCCCGGCCACGTCAGGTAAACGCCGGTCAGGGCTTCCGGGTAGGCGAAGGTTTTCGCATAGAAGGTAGTTGCAATACCGAAAGAGGCACCGGCGCCCTTCATGGCCTGCGGCAACGTTAGTTATCTGAGAACACAAGTAGGCTATTCAGACTTGGACATTGAGGCTACGCACGAAGAACACATCCTTATAATCTGTAGCCGTGGCGTGCACTAAGGAGCCATTGGCCAAGACGACATCTATAGCCACTAATGAATCGATGGCCAGTCCGTAAGCTCTCGTTGTAAATCCATCCCCGCCAATGGTGAAGTGACCACCAACGCCAACGTTGGCACACGTTCCGTGAGGAAGTGCTCTTCCGGTTGGGCGCAGCGCTAGCTCGAGATTTCCCAATCTCAGACCCGCACCAAAAGTCGCTATGTTCGTATTGGAGTCGAGGCTGACATCCTGGAACTTCTGTAGGTCTATGACCACGGCGCCGTCTTTACCACCCATGCTGTAAGACCCGTACGAGTGTCCACCGGACCGGGACTGCACTTTCAGCTTGTACTTGGCCGCACATAGTACAGCATCCGAGACGTGTTGGTTGTTGGTGGCAATGACAATGACCGTGGGCTTATACTGGAGGCGGAGGTTATACGTTGACGAGTAGCTGGAATATGTGGAGTCAGAAGGCCGGATCACGGATAGATTTTTGTTGGTCAGGCAACCCTCCACAAAGTCTTTCTTCCCGCTCCCGTAGGCGTCTTGTCCGTGAGCCAATTGTGGGAAATTCTGAATACAGCAGAGCAGCACCAATGCACAGAATGAGCGACAGATGAGCCCTGTGAAGTTTCGCTGAGTTGTCATGATTAAGGCTTGCGTTTATCATGTGCATAGGCAGTGCATGTACAGATGTTGATAGCAGTTCGTGTTTTCTGCTAGATAGAATGAGATGCCTAGGTTCCCGTCTGAATGTTTTGTAGCCCTGTAGATTGAGGTTGTCATTGTATGTGATTCTATATCCCTTTGTTGGGTTCCGGTGCCTTGGGAACTTTTCTGCCTGCCTGTCCATGCATTGAAAAGCCACTCGGCTGAACACGAGGATCACCGCCTAGAATGAACACATGCAATGCAACATTGGTTTGAATCGCGGATATTAGTTATGTAATAAAGTTCAACACCAGTGGGCGACTAGGAACTTACCGGTCAACTTGGCGTCAGCAATCCCTTGATACTACACACGACGCGGAACACCCAAGAATGCCAAGATTCCTTCGCGAGAATAGAGTCAAGTGCGGAATTGAGGTGGGGGTGTCAGCCCTCCAGTCGCCGAAGCATAGCTGTTTTGGCTCTGCTGAAGCAAGCCTTGAGGGGAATCTGCTTTCTGTACGAGAATGGACCATCGAATCCAGCTCAATGTTGAATGTAGCCTTGAACGCGCCAGCTTTTAAGCCGTTGGCCTGTCTCATCCACAAGATGTGCCATGCACTGACGACCATGGCTGATATGATGGCACTTCATGCTCTTAAGACCGCGCCCTGGCATTCAGCCCCACACCCTCACAACTAATAGAATAAAAATATCGTTTCTATTCTCTAAGCTAAAGCTTCATCTTCTAAACTTAGTTTTCAAACTCAGCAGTAGTACTATAAAATTTATGATAGATATTAATTGAAGATATTTTTCTTGGGAAGTATACAGCTAAGAATTAATCGGATTACTTATATCGCTGGTGGCTGTCTTGACGTTGAACACGCACAGTGATCCAGTGGCTGGAGATTGGCGCAAGAGTTCACTCCCAGAACAAGGCCCAGTTCTAAAAGGGTTTCCGGGGGATCCGTTGGGTTACTGATTCGATTTATATAAATTGTAAGAAGCTTAAGCCGAAAAGCGAGGTAAAACACACCCAGGACCTTGAAGTGCGGTGAGTGGACGGTAACTTAGCGGAGTCTAATAACTAAAAGGTTTCAAATATGTGAGGAGATACAGAGCTTTTGATCCCCAGGATATGCAAGTGATGAAGCATTTTGCTGAAACTATGGCACTTGGAACAGTTTGCAAGCTTCATAAGGAGGATGAGTTTCCATCTACCGACAGCTTGCAGGGTAAAATGCGCGGATTGTATAACTCATAAAATCGACAGTGTAATCTACCTCATGTACATGTGGTCCCAAACCTCCCAAGGCTCTCGGTAATGCAAGTTTAGTTCGGGGTAAGCTTCAAGAGCCGGCCACTAGTACCATCCTCGATCACCCAGATGGCGCCATCCTTGTCCTCTCGGATACCGCGCATGCGCTTACCCATTGAGATGCGCTGAGCCTCCTTCGCCGTGTCACCAGTGATGGTCACCCGCACAATTCCTTGTGCGCTGAGACCGGTGATGAGGGCATTGCCCTTCCAGCTGGAAAACAGGTCGCCCTTGTAGATGATCATGCCGGCTGGGGAGATGACAGGGACCCAGAAGGCCTTGGGTGCGGCAATATCGGGGCGCGTGCTGTGCTTGGGGATCTGCGTGCCGTTGTAATGGGTGCCCTCGGACACGAGCGGCCAGCCGTAATTGGCGCCCGACGTGATCAGGTTGAGCTCGTCGCCACCCATGGGCCCCATCTCGACCTCCCAGAGACGCCCCTGGGCGTCCCAGTCGATGCCCAGCGGGTTGCGGTGGCCCAGCGACCAGATCTGCGACTGGACGGCGCCTTGGCTGGCGAATGGGTTGCCCGCGAAGGCGGTGCCGTTGTCGTACAGCTTGATCATCTTGCCGAGGTTGGCGGTCATGGACTGGGCCGGGGTCATCTGGTTAATCTCGCCGGACGCGACCCACAGCGCGCCATCGGGGCCGAAGAGCAGGCGACAGGCGAACTGGAGTCCGCCCGAGGCCTTCTGTGAGTGGCGCCAGATGACCTCGAGGCCGGACAGCGCGCCGCCGCCGTTGGCGTCCAGCGTCAGCTTGGCTCGCGCGACTGCGCCCCCCGCCGTGCTATAGTCGCCCTCGGCATAGCTTATATACACAATACTGTTGTTAGCGTATTGGGGGTGCAAGGCGACGTCGTGGAGACCGCCTTGGCCGGCGTAGGCTACGGCGGGCACACCGGTGATGGTGCCTTTGGCCTTGGTCGCCGGGTCGACGAGACGCATGTTGCCTCGCCTTTCGTTGACGAGGATGCGATTGTCGGGCAGGAAGGCGAACGCCCATGGCTCGGAATGGTCGGTGATGGCTGTCGACGTGAATGGCTGCTGGCGAGTGTCCAGCTGTTGCGATGGGACGGCCAAAGCACCCGTTACCAATGCCAGAGCGTAGGTGACAGAAAGTCCGAGATGCATCATTTTCGGGGCGGCCTTTGCTTCCTAGTGTATGGTTTTCTTAGATGATTGAGGGTTGAGTGGTTCACATCGTATAGAAACTCTGAGGCTATCTGTTCCCCCAAGCCTGAGGTAGGTAGGTATATAAGAAACGGGAGGACTCCAGCAACCTCTTGTCCAATTTCAGGCTATTCTCGGCCTTTAATAACTTGATGTGTGTAAGGTTAATCAGAGGATTTGCACTTTATAATCCCGGTACCGGTAGAAATGCGTTTCCCTCTTGTCCCTATCGCCTGTCCAATGTAAGTCTCTATGGGTCCGCAGACTTGGCAAAAGACCGGCATGGCACCCCCATCCTAATCTGGCACGACCTTTTCCCTGTTGCAATTGCTACCGACGCCAAGACTTGGTCATATACCGTGACTTTCAAGGTATTAATATATAAGTTATCAAACTTGTTCCTCTTGCACCATGCGGGGGTTCTCGATTCGTCTCCGCTATCTTGGAATGTGCAATGTCCTTGTTGATCATGACGAAGTCAATCACTCATTATACTATGCTGTCCTCTCGATTTCGCCAATCGGAACATCCTCGATATGGCTTGATATCTTTCGGTCTTGCTATTACCGACCCTCCCCCGTGACAGGTGTCAGATCAACCCGTGATATTTCCGGTGCTGAAAGGGTTATTTCATCAAAGAATGCAGATATTTGCACTAGTTAAGACGAATAGTGCACACCGGAAACTGTCAAATCTGCCGAGAGCCTGTACCTCACATTCACTACCCTTCCTCTCATTGGTGCGATGAAAGATTGCATTTTGATGACGACAGAACTTTCATCAGAGAAGAACTCTTCCCTGGCAGCGATGTTCGGGGTGGGACATCTGTGAGACGAGGACATCAACGAAGGCAACGAGCCCGGGACACGCAAGGAGGATAATGCCGCCAGGAAGGAAAAGAAACGGCAATACCGCAAGAATTTGGAACTCCGAAAGAAATCAGAAGCGAGAGACTCTTTGAAAGAACCTATCGAGCAGCAGTATTCTGAGTCGGGTACACTGTTGGATGGTCCCTTCTCGGAATCTGCAACGGAACTGGTCATGACGCTCCCACCTGCAGTCACTGAGCCTGCCCGCAGCGCCGTCACAGATACCTTGCGAATTCTTTTACAAGCATGAGGAGGGCATGCGCGTGTTGAACGTCCCACAACACGCCTGTAAACCAGATTATTGGACTCAAACGAGTGGTTTTAGCTTGTGTAACCCAGACGTAAATCTATCACAGCTACTGGTGGCGCTGGGTGCCTCCAGCTGTTCGAACTGTAACACGTTATTATGGCCAGCCAAGACCCCAAAGTATGTACTTATGCCCAGTTTCAGCTTCCTCATATGCTTCTCAAGTCATCAAGCATCCTTTCATGGAGATTTGGTGCAAGGAGACAACATGGACTTGGGCCGTACACTGGAGACGCGGAGTTGTATTGAATGGGGCAGGTCTCTAGAGACAAATAGAATGAAGGTAGTAATGACACACTGAAGAAAATGATTGCAAGCCTCCTTAATAAGATCGCAAGAAGCGCCAGAGTGCGTTCATACCCGTGACAATGTCCAGATAAGCCGATCTTAAAGAAGCGCAGCCCTGTGAGTCCACATTCTTCTGGGCTTGCTTATTGACGGTCAATCACAGGTCGCAGTGATGGGTGTCTTGGAAAAGCATAAATAAGTGGTCATTTTCCTGGAGAAGTTTTTAAATTGATAACAAGCAACGAATCTCTTGACAACTTCGCTACTTGACTGAATTCATAACCACGGAAAGAATGTCTACACTGAGACGACCTGATAACGGATCCATTCAGGTATGTCGTAACTTCTCATCAAGCAATAGAAGCTACGTCTATTGACAGGTGTTCTTAGCAGCCTGCTCCTCTCAACACTCAAAAGGGAACAAGTGATCATAGACACAGGGCTCGTCGGAAGAAGTCTAAGGCGCACAACAGTCGGCATGCTGCCAGCTCACAGCAGCAGATCGCGTCGACAGGAATGCCCCAGGAAACAAGGGAACAGCTCAGCCGCACCCCGCCGCCTCCTTACAAGCCACCTTCGGACCAGTGGTTACAGATGCAATCAAGGCCTGAAATGCCTGAGGAAGCGCCCTCCTGTTCTGGCGAGGTACCCTCTACTGGAGCATATTATGACACGAATTTTAGAGACGGCCACGAAATACCCGAGAATCATAGGCATATCATAGCCTGGGCAAGATCATGCCATACCGGATCCTATCGTATGTCAGATAGTATCACAACGGATACACCTAGCGATGTCGATGATTGCTTGCCAGAGGACATTGAGGAAGAACTCGCACTTCTGGCCGCGTCGATGGAGCTGGAGCCATCTCGACCATTTCCCAATGGCGTGGCGGTAGCTTCATATGATCATGAAAGCCAAGTGCTGCGCCAGCCAAGTTACGAAGTTAAGGAACCCTATTGGAGTATGGGAAAGTAAAATCGTCACAGATGGTGAGGAACAGCTTGAGAATTCTATTTCGGGCTGAAGATGGTCAGCTCAGGCTGCTGATGGGGCTCAGCACTTTTAGCTATCTTGCTCATATAGGTCTTTAGACGGCATGGTCTCTTTTCTTTATTGGAGAACTAACACTGGTACAGAGTCAGTTGAATGATGAAAGAACTTGGATTTGAATCAAGAATCATGCATTCGCCATTCAACGTGCCAAATTTGTGAACAAAACAATGACGAGAAAATGCCACGAGTCCTTAGTGCTCAACTTAGACCAAAATTTGTCGTTTCTATACAATTTGGCTGAATCATAGATGCATGCAGACATGACCACCAGTAAATCAAATTTGCCGGGGATGTCTGCATCTATGGTCTCTCCTACTTCAGCTTCCTCCGCCTCGGGAATCTCCACTCCGGAACCTCGCTGGCGACCGCGTCTACATGCCAACCACAGCAGTGGAATTCAATTATGCAGATGACGGATGAGCCAGAAGCTAATGAGCAATCTCTACTTTCAGAATCTTAAATTGAATCTATAAATGCCTCACTCACCCAGACGGGTCGCCAACGAGGGGCTACTTGTTCAAATTTAGGAAACTAGGAGCAGCGATAGGAATGAGGTTCACAAAACATTTTCGAGGCACGCATTATTTGAATGTTTTTATGATTTTCAGACTGTTGTCTGCTTTCTACTCCCTCTCGGGCTAGATATGTACCCTGATAGCACGACAGGTGCCACGTCCGTCTCATGTGTCAGACCAGGGTCATTCTGTTGATGATATTGACGATGATGATGGTGTATGTATCCCTTGATATTCCTCAATAATCGACAAAATATTTCCTCCACAAACTTCTGGTGGGTATAGAACGCCAATGTAAATGGTGCCACAAATGCTGCTTAAATGCGTTCTTCTCTCATTCCCTCGTCTTCCGTTTCTTCAAGGTAAAAAGAACAGTCTTGCTCGCTTCTTCATCCCGGATAAAAACATTAAGTCAAATTAACAGTAAAACAATTAAGCAGAAAGCGTCTTCAAGATCGCCTCGCTGATGATGTCCCTCCTGGTCAGAGGGATTAGAACCGGGAAGTACGGGATATCGAGGTAAATCGCGGCGGCGGCAGGCATTCAAGCTGCCAAAGCCGCATAGGACCAACCCAAAAGATCCCGGAAGTCTGCCGACACGGAGGACAAAGAGCCCGGCCTCGACTAAGCCTTGCCCCTGAGCTTGGCCCACAGGCCCCTGCCGCCGCCACGAGCCCGGAAGCCGCGCGGCTTCTCGCCGACGGGGCTGGGCGGCACGCTATCCTCAGGGCACTCAATCTCGAGGTCGAGGCGGTAGCGCCTGACGGAGCCGGTGTCGTCGTCGAAGCAGACGCGGCGCCGCTCCTTGGGCACGAAGCACTCGGGCACGCAGTTGCGCATGATCCAGCCCCGCACGCCGCGCGACGCCGCGTCGATGGCCGCGTACTCGAGCCGCCGTGTGCGGTCCGAGGTCCAGTAGTGTGTCGTCTGCGGCGGCAGCGGGGAGAGTGGTTCGGGGTGTGCTAGTGCTGCTTGTGGTGCTGAGGAGTAGGAGGATGATGGTTTTTCTGATTGGGGCTCGGTGTTGAGGGTGTTGAGGTGGAGGCTGACTGGTGCGATGTCCGTGCTCTGGTCTTGTGTTTGTTCTTCTGGTTGGTCCAGTTGCTCAGGAGAAGGGAATTGGAAGTATGAGTATGGGTCGTTGTGTTGGGGTTGTTGTTGTGGGTGGCTCCGAGGTGGCGAGCGCGAGACTGTGATGCTGGACCGGGGCATGTTTGATATCGGCCGAGAGCGCCGGAGGGCGGGCCTCTTTTGTGACATCGAGGTCCGGGGCTGTGAGTCTGTCGGGGGTGGTGATGACGAGGACTTGGTCCGGGATGTGTGTCGGTGACGTTTTGATGACTGTGAGTTGCGAGTGGGTGTGCTCGACTCGTAGCCCGAGTCCTGGCGGACCATTTGGAAGGAGGCCGGGTTCTTGTCGAAGTCGTCTCTCCTTGATGTTCTTTGTCTTCTGACAACAGGTGTGGACGCTTCTACAGACCGCGGGACCATCGACGTGGACATTCCCTTCTCATCTGGCGTGCAGCCTGGCTCATAAAGCTCAACATCCTGGAACGAGTGGTATGTGGTTGTGGAGTAGAAGCTAGCTCTCGAGTGAGAGCGAGGCACGGGAGACTGGGACATATTTGCTGAGGTGAATGGGTGACGGTAAGCTTCGGAGCATGGGTTGTGAAAGGCGTGTGCTTGGTTGCTGTTGGAAACCCCGTTGGATTTTTTTCCTTCTTTCTCCACAACGCTGCAAGTGTTTACTCGTTCCTGACAAGCTTGACTCGGAGGTGAGGCGAATTTGTTGGGCGATTTGATGCGAGGAAAACGCTGTTGTTTATGAGTTTGGCTCTGTTCATGCGGACCCGCGCAATATTCTCCGCAACAAAGAAGTCACTTCGGCTAGCTGTCGTTCATTCCCTGGCCCCTGGGCTAAGATGGAGCTTGGTCTGTACACAAGAAATTTCGTCACTGTGTTGACGAGTTGCGGTCAACCGAAGCTTTTTGGGAAGACCGGGCCCCGAGCGCAGTCGAATCGAGAAAAATGGCGCCGGGGAACTGGCAAGCGACGAGCAGTATGGAGCCCCTCGCACTTGTGCGGGTCGTGAGCTTTATGAGCTGTTCGCCAGGGGCAGCACACTGCTTCTGTGCCGCCCGGCTTCTAGAACCTTTGTTGCTGCAGAACCGACCCGGCGATCGGTGGGCTGCGTGGACTGTGTCAGTCGTGCCAACGTATCAGAGCGGAGTGTTGGAAAGCGTTGAAGCAGAGCGCCAGGCCCTCTATTGGCGCTTAGGATTCGGCCGGATGCTGGAGACGGGACCTGCTGGCAGCCAGCAGACCAGTTGGCAGCGGCACAAGGCGCGTGCGGTTCAAAAATAATATGCAGGCTGGGATTTGTGCAGATTCAGGCTGGCCCCATACGGACTAGGGGATCAACACCGCCTTGCCGACTTGTGGAACCGTTGACACAGAGCTCCGTTACCGCCGTGGGCGAGCAGCTGGTAAGGCCAGGACCAGGTCGACGGGAAGCGACAAAGTTTTGGAGGCGAGATCTGACCCAAAGCCAACCCAGAGACCGGTTGTCAACGTCACCGTCGACTGAATGTGGCCTGGGGAGCAGCGTGACGTGGATGGGCGATCTGTTCTAGCTCAAGATAGTCCAGCTTCTTCGTGTTGGACAAAGCAGGAGGCCAACACGATCGATGGATCTCATACAGACTTATGGCGGTCAACGGTAGGCCAACAGTCGAAAGCACACGATGTCTCCTTTGGTGGTTGCGGTGATTCAGAAGTCATGAGCGTGACCCCTGGCCCCGGTCGACCCCACGCCGCGGTCCACAAAATGCAGGATGAGCGTGCAGGCTGGGATTTCAAGAGAGCGGTCAAGGACAACACCGGACAAAAGACGACCGCCAACGTGGGATCGCCAACGCAGCTCGGAAATCGAGATCGTGATAGTGAATAGTGAATGTAGATGGAGATTCAAAAGCAGGGGAAGTAAATACCCCAGGTAATATAGGATGAAGGAACCGAACCAAACTAGGCCAGCTTGACCTGCTGCTTGAAGGCCCTCAATGAGACGACGTCTGGGGAGAATGTGGCAGGTGACTAGTTCAGAGTTAGACTGGTTCGTTGACTCTCGAAACTGTGTGGCAGCAGCAGCAGGACTGCAGGGTCTGCAGCACGAAGAGACGGGTCTTGGTCTTGGTTGCGTGGGTGAGGGAGCCTGAACTGAGGGTGGGACCGGGCCGGACAAGGTTGTTCCCAATAGCTTCCAAAGATTCTGGCGCCCTTCTATTGTGGAGGAGGAGCTGGAGATGGTGGATTACTTCCCCTGCAGCTCGTGGCCGATGGGGACAGAATTCTGGAGCTCGATACCGCGACGATACAGCCGACTGCTAACGAGCAAGGTTTCTCCAGCTTTGGCAGACCCAGGGTCGAATGAAGTCCCAGTCGGGTACCTCTTCGTCATCGAACAGAGGACAGGGACGACGACTGCCCGCCCGTAGTGGGTTAGAGGCGGTGATGCCGTGAAGTGTGCGCAGTAGTCTAGTGCTTGTTCGGGATGTCGAGGGATCCAGAAGCACGCCAGAAAACGGTGTCCAGACAGATATTTGTGCTGCGTTACCAGCAGTTGCCGGCACGATGAAGCCGTGTCGTTCTCCTCGGGAGTGGCCGTTACGATGCCGTCTAATCATGGGACGACATCACTAGAATATTATAATGTTGCACCGGCGTTGGCGCGGATGGCGCTGATGTTCCCAAGGGTTAGAAACAGTTCATATGTTCGACGTTGATCATGCAACCAAGCATAGCCGTCTCAAAGCTAGCGAGGCTAGAGAGTGCGCCGGGCCTGCGGACGGCGGCGGGAACTCGGGTTGGCAGGCCGGCTAAAGGCAAAGAGATCGGATGGTCCGCATATGGGTGCAGCACGCAGAGATGTGGGATGGATACGGAACTGTTATATCGCCGAAGAAGACTGACGCGTGGGCGATGTTTCGAGTTGGGAAGGGCGTTTAATGCCTCTCTCTTGCGCTCTGAACGGTGCTATGGGGACTCGTATTTCACATGAAGGTCTAATGCTAGGCCAGATGGCCAGTTGACTGTCTCCAAGACGGGCATTCATCCCAAGCTGGTGGCTACAGCCCGGATCATGTGTCTTTCGGCACAAGACCGGAGGAGGGGAAGAGAAGCGATGTTGCTGTGTGTCTCATCGTGCTCCTATTCCCGAGAATGGACTTTCACATGCCTGTGTGCCCCCAGATGTCGTCGTAGCTGCGCGAAGTCTGTTGTGTCAAGGTGTGTTACGGTTACATTCGAAAGCTGCCATGGCGTCGAGAGCTGACAGGCGCTGGTTCCAATCAGCGGCTATCGCGTCCCGTCCCTGAAACTCGTCGCCACCCCCCACTTCAGAGTCCTGAGCCGGCCAGCCAGCCAGAGGGCCAGCTGAGGAACACAAACACCTTTCGAACTGTGCTTGTTGGCTCGCTGGCTGGACCCTTCTCTTAGGTCCCCCACCCACCCACCACCCTCCCGACTCTGCTTCACACCCACGCCATCGCTCGCTTACTACTGCCGCCTAGCAAGCGCCAGGATTGGTAGCCTATCTCAGTTAAGACCAAACTAGGCCTCTAATGTCTCTCGGGCAATGATGTGCATGACTATTGGGAGTCACGATGTCCCATTCGCGAGCACGCGTCTTGGCAGGTCTGCCTGAGATCGTGGTGTTTTCAGACGCCTGCGACTTCGTCTCACGTGTCTTCTTCTTGAGGGCGATTTCGGAAAGAAGAGGGGTCGGTGCATACACAGTCCTGTACCGGTCCATCGTAGATACAGTACTTTCAATCCAGATTCCCGTTTCTCGGAATCACCATTTTAGGGATTCCCCTGTTGCGCAAACTCACTCAGCCCCGGGAAAACCCACACGCTTCGAGGCGATCTGCCGTGACATGGGGTGACCTGCAAACCCGAGGCTAGGATCTCGCTGCTACGCCCTCACATGCAACATCTGTCGCCGAATTTATCCTGCATTCTCATGACTCACTGGGCCTAAGTTTCAGACTCTGCAACCCCCTCCCTCTGTCTGCGTGCCCTTGCTGCAGGTTGTCATAGTGTCGTGCATCGTGGGATGTTATGCCTCCTCTAGAAGAAGCATGGCCGCCAGCACGTGACGACCATGCATCGACGCGTCCGCCAGGCCCATCTCATCGGGTCACCTACCACCGAGGCAGAGCACCCAATCCAGTGATCTTGAAAGTGGCAAGCTCCTTGAGTCTTCCCTGCAACCCTCTGCCAATCCAGCCAGTCCAGGTGTGGCCAGGCTACTAGTGCGCTGTCATATCGGTCGATCACGAGAGAATGTCTCACAGAAGAAAGGCGTGAAAGGGTAAACAGGTGCAGATCTAAATTAAGTCCCACGTCTGTATGTCTTAATGAAGATATCAATCACATGTGACAGACGACAGCTGGACTCTGCTGATTAGCTGGTGAGTGACCTTCATGTGCGACCCATGTGAAGGGGCTGTAGGCCACCTAGACGATCGGACACCTGCATGCACTACATGCTGAGGCCGAACACATCAGTCACCTGTCGAACGAGCATACCTAAATTTACCGTTTGTGCTTCTGAATGCGCAAAGCCTCTGATACCCTAAAGATAATCGCTGCAGACACGTAATCGCCATACTGTCGGTCCAGAGAGCTAGGCTCGAACCTGGTACAACTGATTTACCCCAAGTCAACCTCAATTTTCATGTTTAAAGCACTTGTCCATACGTCTATTTACACCATATGGTGATATCCATTGCTCATTCAATTCCGTGTGCGAGTGAGCATAATCAAAGCTTCCTAGCTATTAAACACGCACAGAGGCCAGTGATCCTTGGGCAGTTTTCCCAACCCAACAAACGACAAATTCTGCAATTGGATAATAAAGAATTTACGATAGAAGTATTGGACAAATGGCCATGTCGTTGAAAGGGAATTTATACTTCTCTCTTGCCTTGCAATGGGCGCAACGTGCCAGTCAGCATTTCCCACAAATCAAGGACAGAAACTTAGAACGTGGTCCGGAGTCCAATATATCAATACATGGCTAAGTGCGCATCATGAAAATTATCATAGAAGCCAAATTTGAGTAGACGATGAGTCTGAAATCAGTTTCGCACTCGATCAAGTTCTAACGAGCTACATATTACTGTCCTCTGTCATGATTAGTATCGATGGCATAGTATCATCCATCCATGTCTTCCAATCTATCTAAGATGCTTTGAGTCAGCTGAGGTTGCGATACGTTGTTGGGAATTGATAAAACCATAGGAGTTGTTCGCTGCTTAGGAGGAAACACGTTGCAGCTCCATTCCTTCCAGTTCCTGCATGTGGGCTGGCTTGCCACCGCACTCGGATCCGGTCAAGGAGAGCAAATGAACTTGCCCGAAACAAACGAATGGCCCGTTGTGCCTCGGTCTACCTGATAAGGCTTCCCTTGATTGGAAAATCCGCGGAAATGAAAGGTGTGGGTATTCTTTATGATCTAGTCAATTATATAGAATTCTTAAAGACCATGAGACTGTGAGACAAGACCAATCAATGGTACGACCGATACGGTTGAGATAATCACCCAGCCAAAAAAACCCCACGGAAAGTGGCGGTCGAGGAATGTCGGGAAACAAACTTGGATTTTGACTGGAATGCCAGGAACAGCGAAAACAGTGTCCAGGGGGACCATAAATTGAACGCCTCATCGTCACACGAACCGATGGTCACCCGCGACCTTCTCCTGTCAAGGGTTGCGCTCAACTACCAGGTTTGATCTGCTCTAACTAACCCGAGTCACTCGTTCTCAGTTCGTCGTCGTCGTTTTCGTCGGTCCAAGCAATGCCCTGGATTTCACCCCTCGACTCTCCGAATGCCTCACCTCGGAGTGGTTATTCTAAGCTCACCAATGGCGTGCACAACTTAGGTCCGGGGCAGATGCCTCTTGCTGTCACTTTCATTCCTTCTCTTATCGATGGAGCATGTGGCACGCTTCCCAATCCGCGGCGCTCGGCCATGGAGCGGATGCGTAGTGACATGTCCCACGCTTTCGCTTTGCTCCCAGATATGCTCCGGGCCGCCGCGCCTCATCGATGGAGCTCAATGTCCAGGATGGAAATGGTCGAGATGGCCCAGCACATTTGTCTTGCCATGGTTGAGATATGTGTCCTGACCTGGACTATTCCGCTCTGGGCATGCCTTCCCGGTGTATTGTTCGCAGCCTGGATGGGTTGCTGCATGTCTGTGATTATGGGTATGGTCTGGATGCTGAACGGCCGCCGATCCGGCGGCCACATGATTCGGTCGACTGTGGCTGGGGATTGGATGATGGGCCAGGACTTGGAGGATGAGCGTTGGTTCTTTGTTGGGGGCATGGGAATGAGGTGAGACTCGTCCAAAAAGCGTTCGAAGATCACCGCTCACATTGTATGAAAATAGCTCCCGGACCATGGCTCACTCAACATTGCCAATGCTGTCCAAACTCTTCAACAGGACCATCATGAGCATTTGCGCGCCCACGTACGGTCTGCCATTAGACTTCATCGCTTTACTCCTGCAGCGCTCTCTGGGCACCATGATGCCTTCACCCATGACTAACTCCATGTACGCACAAATTCGCGCCTCTCTGCTCGACCGCGGCGTGTCGAGGACAGTGGTCCTCGCCCACAATAGCGGCGCCGTCTGTGCCTCGCAGGTCCTCCGCCAGCTATACGCCGACATCTCCATCGACAAGATGTCGAAGCTGGAGATCTACACGTTCGGCGCCGCAGCGACCGAGTTCGTCACCCCGCTCGGCGGCACCGCCGCCTCCGCTGTAGCGGAGTCCAAGAAGCTGGCCGGACAGCAGCAGATGCATGCCGCCGGCGTGGCAGAGACCCGCGAGCCCCACATTGAGCATTTCGCATTTGCCAACGACCCGCTCGCCAAAATGGGGGTCCTGCGCAGCGTCCGTGAGGACCTCGAGGGGCGCTTCTGCGGCGGTGTGTTTCTGATGCATTGCCCCGGTGCCGCGCACCACGGTGGAGAAATGGCCACCAGGAAGATGCCATCGCGCCCGATGATGTCCATGATGGATTACATGTCCTGCCTATTCCCTCAACAACACGACACGTCTGGCAACATGGCCTCCAGGCCGTGCAGCAGCATTCTGGACTGTATGATGACCATCGACCGCGACACGGCTGAGAAGCGCGAGTTCGCTGCCATGGCAAACCAGAACAACTCCAACAGTTCCGAGAGGAGGACCAAGAGGCTCAGCTGGACCGGTCTCGGTGCCACTGCTAATGGCATGAAGGGCAACATGGACGGCGTCGTCGGGCTGGAGATGGCGAGGATGGGCTGCAGGGAGTGCGAAGGCCACCGGGGGAGGGAAGTCAGTAGACTGGTCAAGTACGTTAGCTTCCAGAGCCCATTCTCCATGGGTAGGCGAGACGTCGCGGAGGCTTCTGGTGTTGGGAAGGTGCAGTGAAGGATAACTTTTGTCACGGCTGGGCTTAATTCTCTTTCTTTGCGCATTTGGCATAATACCGTGTACGAAACAGCTGTAATCATACGTTGGGAGAAAGCAATGGCTGACAACTCAGTAATTTTTGCATTAATAATTACACGCCCGTGGAACTTTGAGGTCCCGCGGGTTATTGTAATAAAGAAGGTATCAAACATCCCCCTACTTCAACTCGCTCAATTTTCCACTACGCCCTCGCTACCCTTTTGTTATTGTGCACTTAGAGAAGGGTGGTCAGGAGGTTGGCAACAGTGCTCAGGACAGTGTTCAGGATGCCCTGGACAATGACAAGCAGACCATCGACGACAAGGTTCAGGGAGCGGACAAGACCACCGAGAGCAAGGATCAGGGGCTGGACGAGGGCAAGGACACCGTCTAGAGGCGGGTTAGCAGTGTTCAAGTGGGAGTGCTTGTCATGCAGTGAGAACTTACCAAGACCGAGCTTGGAGATGACAGCCTTGATGGTGTAGACAATCTCGTTGACCAGGGAGAGAACAGCGGACAGGGTGTCGCCAGTGACGCCAGTGAGGAAGTCCTCGCTGGTGGCGGCCTTGGTGGCCTTGACCAGGAGGTCGGTGATGCCCTCGATCTGGGGAGTCAGGGTGGTGATGACGTTGGTCTGAACCGCGACGGTGGGGTTCTCAGGAACAGTCTCCAGGGTCTTGTCTATAGTTGAGGGATACGTTGTCAGTTAAGCTATTCTAGATCTTCGGAGTATTGTGGGGAAGGAAGAGCCTTACTGATTTGGGCGGTGTAGGTGCGGACGCTCTCGGTGAGAGTCACGAAAGTGATGGTCTGCACAGCGGTGTCACGCTGAACGTTGACGGGGCTGGCGAAGGCGCTGGCGGCCATGGTGAGGAGAGCGACGAAAGAGGTCTTCATTTTGATTGTAGGAGGGTGATGATATATTACTGAGAGTAATTTGAGTTGTGGAAGACTGTAGTCTTTAGCAAAAGAGTGGCTAAGTTGGGTTGGTAAATGAGTGTGAGGACTGCGGTGATGCTGCTGGTTGGAAAGTTAGAGAGGTCGATGGGCGAGAGCTTCTATTTGTATTGTTCGTCCTCCATGGGAAATCAACACGGCGGTAACACCGGCTCGTCGACGTCGAGGTGGACTCGTAGAACCTGTGGAGTTCACACGCGCGGCAACTTGAGGTCGCTGGACCCAGCTGTCATCGTCCTGAGCTTCGTGGATCTTTGCAACCATGTCGAATTCCCCTATTCGGGCGACGATCTGAAGATTCCAATGTCCTCACACCTTGAAGAGCCTTCCAGTGGTAGTGTGTAGGGTGGGTGCAAATGACTGTGGTGGACCCGGTACTCCCGATGCCGATCTTGGTACAAATCTAGCAAGCGATGGATGAAGTCGGAACTTTGATTCTCAAAACTCATCAGCCCGCATAGCTGGTGCACACTATCTAGACGGAAGATTAAAATGGCCCGATCAGCGTTCATAGGAGAGAAGTGGATACCAAAGCTTAGCCGAGAACTCAACGGTCGGGACGCGCAGTCTGACAGGTCGGGATTGCCGCGATCGTCATCAACCTTCGGCCTCATGCCATGCGGCAGTGGATACCAAGCTGAAAGATCAACACACACGAATCTTGCCCTTGAAAATTAAAATCATAGGACAGCGATCCCTCGTGGCGCCATCTTCATAGAATATGTCATCGTCTCTCAACATTTACATGAGAAAGGCACAACCACATACGTAGATCAGCAAGTACTGGCTTGGCTGTTTCAAAGCAGCACAAAATTAAAGGCTGACAATCATCACTACACCTTCAGTCCCGGAGCCGAGTTAAGAACGGGAAATGCGCGAACTTATCTTGCAGTTCATGTATCCAAGTACATAATGGAGTGGTCTTCAAAGCACATATGCAGCTCCTGAAATTCGGGCGCAACGAGACCCACTACCACGAGTGATGACACTGTCAAGCGAATGAGATACCACGGTGTCTATGAAGGCAGAAAGCACACTCAAGAAACAGTCGCCGCGATCATTTGACTAAGATGGTGTTCGACCCATTCACTGTGTTGTATATGAATTGTCTGCATGCGATGTGCCTGGGCACGTCGCATTGTTCCGAAGTCACCAAGCGAGGAAGCTTAACTCCTCAGATCTACTCCTTTTGCGGATTAGAGAAAGAAAATCATTGAACCCGAAAAAAAAGAGGGGGGGGGGGGATGTTCCGGTATAAATGGAGTGAGCGACGCATGGAATTTTAGGTTCAGAGAAGCGTGCACGTGGGCCAATGGTACTAAGCTACTGCAGAGCACCGTCTCCTTATCCTTCTACATGTACCACGGAAGAAGGTAGAGGAAAGCTTCTTTAATAACGAAAGGCGGGCCCACCAAACAGGTTCATCATCCCTTTAAGTCCCCCTATGAAAGGATCCCACTAATTTGTGCACCTTTCCCTGGTCATTTGTGCAGATACAGTACGCGGCATGCCAAGGCGAGGAAAGATGTATCATATTGATGAAGCCTAAACCATACCCTGTGACCCTGGATCAATGATTATCTTGATTGTTTGTTGGTCTTAGGCGGTTGTAAAGTCAAGTCGTTATGGGTAACCTCAAGGTCCAACACAATCATTTTGGCCCGAAAATTTCGTCATAAGGATACAAAGCGCTGCCATTATGGTCCGCACCTCTCTCATCCGACCTGAGTTTGCGCAGCACCGGGAACGCGTTCGCCACTTGGTCCACAGTCTGCTTGTTGATACCTTCTTGCTTAGATGCGTGGGCGTAGATACTGCGGTGGATGTTCGTAATGGTCCCAGCCGGGTCGACATAGTCGTAGTAGGCAGTTGTGTGCTGCTTAATAGCCTCAATCACGAGCTGAGTTTTATTCTGGGGCACGGAGGTAGGGCGAGGGCCGGTGAAAATGCGGCCCTGGATGGGCTCATAGGTAATCTCTGAAGCCTCGGCTCTCTCGACACCTAAGCTAATGGCAAAAGCAACCTCAGCACCGAATATTACTGGGAGTGTGCCATAAATGGACTGGATGTTGTGGATATTACGGTCGGGAGAGATGGACTTGTTAGTGCACCAGGTCTGTGGGACAATGTCGTAGGTGTTGAACAAGTCGCCGTTGAATACCTGGTAGCCGCCCTCATCGAGCCTGGGCTTGAATGCATGGTTATAAGTCTCGGCGAATTTGGCATTACCGGGGCTAGCACCTGCGGTTGGAAATGTTAATATTTCAGGATTGTTAGGCAATAACCGAGACTTGACAAGACTGAGGCCGAGTGCAAGAGTTGGTGACAAGGCACCGCCAAGGCTGTGGCCGGTGAAAATGATTCTGTAGTTGGACGTAAGGCTCTGGAGGAACTCGACAATGGTTGCATCACTACCCGGATATCCAGTTGATGCTGTATTGTTGAGGATGTTGTAGACACCCGTCTCGGTGCCGACAGAACAATAGAGCGCCGACGAACTCTTGTGGCGGGTTGCGACAGGCCTTGGTTTGGAGCTAGATGTGGCCGTCCAAGAATCCACCCATTCATTGAAGTCCTGGATCTGATTAACGCCGAAGTCTTCAGTTTTCCAGTCGTAATTTAGACACTCGCCGGCAGTTGCTGTGCCAGCTATGGCGACGACGCATGTGTCGAAGTTGCCATCAGCGAAAGCCAGCTGGGGACAGACGGCAGCGAACCAGACATTGTCAGGTCCTGTAGTGGTGTCATCTGGGTTGACCTTCCAGACCCGGGGACCCCATTCAATCGTCCATGAACTCAATGCCGAGCCTGGACTAACTGTCTCGGCGAAAGCGGTTTGGAGCGACTGTTGGAGCTTAGTTTGCGTGCCATTAAGACCCCCGGCGCCATTAGAGGCGGTGGACAGGGCGTAGATCTGCTCATATGTGTTGAGGGTCGTAGGCATCTGGCCGACTTCAACGATTGGAGAGGCGACAGATGCAATGGAAGGGATTTCAAAGCGATGTATAGAACTGTGACACCAGCTTCGAGTACCAGATCGACTTCAAGATTGGGCTACTTGTGCTTTATAAGAGACGAGGTGGGCAAACGGCGTATCGTCACTACTATAGGGTCATACCAAATTGACTCCCCGTTGGTATGACGGCTTTGATGTCTTAAACTCGGACCTTTTTAATTTAGTAGCAGCTCAGACTTTGGTCTGCCGGATCTGCGCCTAGATCGGTCCTAAGTCATCCGGATTCATCCCAGACGTGTTTGGAAACGACGAATAAGGAATCCGCAAACCAACCAAATATAAATAACATGGGTCTCAAAATAATGAAGAAAACTTCCAATCTCAATATCATGGACCTCCGTCAGTAGTAGTCGTGGGCCGACTTGAGTGGTCTCAAATGCATTGTTCTCATTGAGACTTCAAGCCGCACGGTATACTTAGGTCTCATTCCACATACTATCAGCTACCGATGCTAGCTTGTCACGTATTTGTCTCGTCATCTTTACGAATCGTATCCCAAATTGCAGACCATGAAACGGCAGCAGAAAGCACCTTTCCTCCATGTTCAATCTTAGATTATACATTACAGTTGTATTGCGTCAAGGTTCAGCTGAGACAAACGATTCATGGCGCAGCCTGAGGTGTTCTCGCAGTGAAGCATGTCGACAAGGACATCGAACATTGAGAAACATAACGAAGAGTCTTGTGTGTTTTTTTTAACGCCAGACAATTCGCCTTTGATGGCGTAGACAGGAGGTGGTAGAGAGCTTATTTGATGGCTTAGACATGGCGTTTCTAAAGATTCTTTTGCGAAGTATTGAACGGCCTAGTCAATTGGGAGTTCCGTGGCTTCTAATGCGAGCTGCAGGTTGTAGCTCGTTCACGATCGAAATTGGCCGACAGAGTTTTCCCAAGGGCATTCAGGCAAAATGCGCTTCAAGTGCTCCGTAGCAGCTTTCATATTCTGCCGGCCGTGTCCATCAGCCTGCAGATTACAATACCACAAATGTGAATTTGTGCCCGAAAGAATGCAGCTGCTAATGGCTCACTCGGACTTTCAATGCGTGCTGCAGGTGCTAGTGATCTTGGCGGAAAGAAATCACGTTCCTCCTACTTCCACGACTTTTGAGGGGACTTTGCACACCTAGTTTTGATCAATGACACTAGAAAGAGATGCTTTGAGCTATGTGGTAGCCCGAAATCTAGAAATGCTTTCAGCCTTCACTCCAACATGGCCCCTAATATCGTTTCGCTCGGCGTCGGCCATATCGTCTTATTGCTCCTCAGTATTCATGCTGACGCTCGACTGAACAGCCACATCGGACTTGGTGCTACTCATATGTCCAAGGAGTCGGCCGCCGGGGCCGAGCTCTTTGCCAATGAAGCTTTTCAGCTGACGGAGTCGATTCTTGTAGATCTTATGGATGACGAATATTTTGCGCAGTATGCATCGCTCTTCGCGTTTGGCAACTGTAGCACCAATCACAAAAAGCTTTCTGAAAGCGCACAAGCCTGCAAGACATACCCTGGCGACGCCTTATGGCCATCCGCGGACTTATGGGAGGCTTTCGATAGCTTTTTAGGAGGTGCATTGTCTCTGATCACCCCAATAGGGTCGCCTTGCTACAGGGACTCGGTGTATCACAACTATGATGCATCGCTATGTGCATCAGTTACGGAAGGCTGGGTAGAGGAGAGCACTCAGTATGGACGATAAACCACGATGAGACACTGCATTGGCTGATTGACCAACAGTTACAACGATCCCGGGTCGGTGATGTGGCCCATATATGAGGGTAAAACCTGTCTGCCCGGAACTGACCCGACCTTACTGTCGAACTGTACACAAGGAGGCTACTCATTGTACTCTGTCAATATCAGCAACGTTGCGCAGATCCAATTGTCGGTAAACTTTGCCCGCTCTCTAAATCTACGTCTTGTGGTGAAAAACACTGGCCATGATTACAATGGTCGATCTACCGGGTATGGCGCACTCAGCATCTGGACACATAATCTCAAAGACATACGCTTTATTTCAAAGTATCATAGTCGAGGCTACACAGGACCTGCCTTTAAGCTTGGAGCTGGCGTTCAAGGCTTTGAGCTCTACGAAGCAGCGGAGACACATGGCGTCACAACTCTTGCCGGTATATGCCCGGTAAGTGAAGATGGGAAATGGCCTGGCGATTTATTTCTATATTTGCTTACTTATCTGGTCGGTAGACAGTGGGCGTAGTAGGAGGCTACATTCAAGGCGGAGGCCACTCGCCGCTCATGCAGTTGTTTGGTATGGGGGCAGACCAAGTACTTGCTCTCGAAGTCGTCACTGCTGCTGGGACTTTTGTTACAGCTAGTCCTGACCTCAATGCTGACCTCTACTGGGCACTCCTGTAAGAACACCATCATGCCAACAACCATGTACTAAGCTGATCGTAATCAGCGGCGGCGGAGGCGGTACCTTTGGCATTGTCACCTCCGCAGTTCTCAAAGCACATCCCCAGGTCGGCGTAACGATATCAACGTTCAGCTTTGCAACCTCAAATAACGTTTCCGTAGAGACTTTCTGGAAGGGAGTTGCTGCTTATTGGAACCAAATCCCCATTTACAACACAGCCAAAACGTATTCTTACTTCTCGATCATCAACGCCTTGGGCAACTACATTTTCACAATGGCACCATTCTTTGCGACTAATCAGACTACAGAAGAGTACGAAATACTCGTAGGCCCACTTTTCCAGTCTCTTTCAGACTTGGGGATCCCACACGCTGCCGCAACAAATCATTTCGATAGTTTCTACCCGGCGTACCAAGCTACATTTGCCACGTATGACCAAAACATTGGCAGTTACGCAGGCCTCACGGCTAATAGACTGCTCCCGGCTGAGAATTGGGACAACGAAACCATCCGAGAGAGCACACTGCGAGTTTTTAAGGAGACTGTGGATCGTTCAACGATTGTCTTGGGCTATCACCAAGCACCTCTGAACCCAGTTGGCGTCATCAACTCGGTCAATCCCGCCTTTCGTACCGAAGCAGGGCAACTCATCATTGTGAAGGCTGTAGACCCGGATGCCGATTCGGAGGAGCTCAAGCTTGCTGGCGAGAATCTGACATACGCTATCATGGGTCCTTTAAGAGACGCCACTCCAGCTGGAGGGGCATACAACAATGAGGCCGATGTGGGCGAACCAAATTGGCAGGACGCATTCTGGGGCGAAAACTACCCCCGCCTGAAAGAAATTAAAAACAAATGGGATCCTACGGATCTATTCTATGTGCATCACGGGTAAGCAGCTTCTCGGCACTATTTACTTCACGACGAGTGGCATCATGTCGCACGGCTTGCCTCAAACCATCCACTAGGCTATAGCTCTACAGACAGATCACGGAGTTAGACTTTCCCACAATGCTTTGATAGCTAACTCTGAATGCCATAGTGTTGGGAGCGAGGAGTGGCACGTCAAAGATGGGGGCTCGGGCGGAGTTCAGACGCAGAATGGTAAATTGTGCCAAGTACCAGAACAATGAGCGGCGATTTCAATCAAGAAGGTGAATGGCCTTGTCTTGGGATTCTTTGTACAGTCCTTGTCTCCATCCAGAATCTGCTTTGATCATCGAAAAGGATCTCACGCACACAATGGCCGAGACAACATACTGCCAGGAGTCAACAAAGGTCCCTGATGAGCCCAATGGCAAAACCCTCTATACATATAACACCAGATCATCGCTGGAATCTTATTATCGTGTTTTTCTTTTCGTCACATCCAACAATCTCAACATACTTCTATCACCTTTGAATCTTATTCCGTGGATCGGCAAGATTCTTCGACTTTACTTCTCTTTCTTCAATTCTGGCAGAAAGCCCATTCTACAAATCAACCGCAAACATGTGTTACAAAATCAACGAGCACCATTTGACCCACGATGTTCGGCCGACGATTGCCTACGCGGGACTTCAGACGAACCTTGAGCTGGTCAATCCTTACTCTATGCCGCAGCCGTGTTGTAAGCAGCATAATACGATAGCCACCTGGTTTGTTTGCCCCGATGGTCATGGTTGTTGCTATTTCACGTCGAGGACTGTGAAATGTACTGCGGCTGGAACCTTTGAGCCAAATTGCGGAATAGTCACCTCATATCACACATACGAAAAGAGAGTGCCGGTCGTCGAGGATGAAGTTTGGGTTCCTCTTGTGTCTTTGGACCAGCATATCGGCTCATCGACAAATTGCCGCGAGACTTTTCTACCCCATCATCAAACTGTTTCGGAGATGGATGAAGAGATTGAAGAACTGACCGAATACCTTGAACAACTTGTGTCGGAATTCTTTGATACCAAGGCCGCTTACAGTCATCTGAAAACAGGTTGGAGGTGCGATGCCCACCATGTCTGTGAACGCGTCCTAGAGGATCACTGTCGCGAGTTTGCGATCCGCGAAGAGCTGGAAGAACTCAAGGGTAGACTCGCAGATATGGAGAGCGAAATCCTGGCTCTTGAAGTCAAGTTTGCTGTGCGGCGCCTCCGTTTCGAGGCAACCGCATTCGGTTTTACAGGAACATGCGACATCAACAACTTTTCTCTGAAGTAGCATGATTGCGAGGCAGGATTCTTTTGAAGGAAGTGCCTGGTGAGTAATCCAAATTCGCGAATTGACCAGAGCCAGCGAAAAGGACAAGCAATTTGTCCAAGCATACAGGTGATGCTTGGCTCTGTCTGAATTAGTAAGTCAAAGCAGAATACATATCCATGCCACCGTCTGACTGCTCCCTGGACCGCGTGATTTTATTTGAATAAAAGGTGCCCATGCATATTCAACTCATTTTATTGGACAAAAAAAAGGTAAATTGTTATTAGTTAACTTATGGTGAGTGGTGTATGCGTGCTGGGTGGATCATGATGATATATGCCATCCGCTTTGAGTAATATGTCAACAAAATCGACACGTAAAGGGCTGAGAAAGTGAAAGAATAAATGGTTTGCCATGGCTCGAGGTAAGCTGAAATCTCCAGACGCATGCAAACAATAGCAAATTAAGTAGCTTTGATCAGAATCTGCTTCTCCTTCTTCAAGCTAGCAGCCACATCAACCGGAATCTTCAGAGTGCTCGCGACGATGTCCGCGGGTGTCAGCGCGAGCCATTGCGTCAGTGAAATGTCGGCCACGCGGTCACTCTTGTAAATTTCAATCCACACCAAGTCTTCTGTATCTGAAGTGTTTTCAATATAATGACCTTGACCCATCTGTATTAGCAATTCTGCATGATATTTGCAGTCGAAATATGGAATGCTCACCGCTATTATCTGGGAAGACGCCAGTGTCCCCAGCCGAAAAGTCAAATGTGCGAGCCGCAGCACTGCCGATGAAGACCGTGGCACGTGCTTTACCGCTATGGAAATACAGCCATTCCTCGGCCTTTGTGTGATGTTAGTCTTTGAATGCTCGCACGGGAATTCGGGATTGTCCCACATTTGGATGCCAATGAAGCTCACGGAGACCCCGGGGCTCCAGCTTGACAAAGGTAGCAGCAATCGTTGTGGCGATGGGAAAATTCCGTGAGTCAATAATCCACAGTTCTCCTCCCTGCCCTGGCACTGGCTCGGAAGGGTGCTGGAATGTGTGGTAGACGTATGAACTGTTCCCCACCAATGCCCCCTCCGGTCCCGTCACATTGCGCGTGCTAACAGTGGAGTTGAAGATGTAAGGGTTGGGTGATGGGACAGAGTCGAATACAGATTCATTAAGGCCGAAGTTCTTGGCCAAGACGGATTTGGGCGTATGGGAGATCCAATCATCGACATTAAAGGTGGTTCTGGGCAAGTAAGCAGAAGCCCTTTTGTTCATTCAGATAACATACTTACCCGACAGCGTCAAAATTCCCGTCGTCAAAGACCAGGAGAAATTCATTTTCATCCTCCAATCCTTGAACAGTATGCGCGGCTCCCTTGGGGAAATACCAGATGTCACCGACGTCAAGTGTATCAACCTGATACTGGCCGTTCTCGTCCACAGCAGAAACGATGATCTTTCCGGCATATACAAATCCCCATTCGGCCTTTATAAATCAGCAAGTGCTTTCGAAACAACATTGGACTGTTGCCATTCTTACCACACGGTGCCAATGCAGCTCGCGAATCGCCCCCTTCTTCAAGTGCTGCTGAGCTGCAGCGATATCATGGCTAGCTGGTAAGTCTGTAATGACTTGTTCACGGACCCAACCCCCGGCAAGAATTCTGGTCTTGGAGTCTGAGAAGCTCCATTTGAGGTTTGGGACTACGCCGTTGTCTGTACTCTGCGCACCGAGATTGTCAGGGTTTTGCAAGTCGATTTGTTTGTTGGTCCCACCTAGTAGAACCTTAGTCACATGACGCGATTTGTGAGTTAGCAGGGAACATACCAAGAATGGGAGCACCTTTGCCTTTGTCGTCTATGGGCTGTCCCTTGGAGAACTGCTCCCGCTTGCTGAGATCGGGAGCAGCAACAGCAACAGCGCTGAGGAGAAACAGGGAGCTGAACTTCATCTTGAGTTACCGTCAAATAGCTCAAGCTTCTTTCCTGGAGCAAGTTCCTTACATGTCTAAGGAGGTACTTTATACCTTCAGCCACTGGCCCATGCGTGCTCGCTCGCCTTACTTGCGAGCCGGCATCAAAGCTCAAATCATTTGAGTTGGCGCTGGGCTATCTGGATACCGATGCAGAGACCGGTGACAATTTCCTGTAGATAGCGCGGGATATTGGAAGGAGACTATACAATGGTGAGGATCGCCATCTGTATAATCAATGTCGTGATGCTTGGCGGGCAGACACCTAACCTATTGATGTCTACCCCGCAGGACGTGTTCCCGTATTGGTGATTCATTGTGATCGCGCGTGCAGATGTTGTCGGCTTCAGGAACAGAGAATGGCAAGGTAACCTTTAGGTGTCACATCCGTAATTTCCGAAGTTCTCGCCTTGCTAGGCAGCGTCAGGCCAGCCTCTCAAGACGACATTCGCACAATATGGGCAGGTATTGCAGAGCTCCAGTGCCACGGCTTCTTCCACATTTTGGCCTTCCAACCTGAGCGAAACGGCCCAATCTTTCACCTCCTTACCCAACGGATCCTGTACATTCAATCAATCAATATCGACTGGTTCGTTGCAATGCAGCGAATTCGAGGCTCTTCATAACCGCCCCTAAGTGTCTCAATCCGGCCTTAAAAGCTACCTCTTCGAAATAGCAATCAGTTAGCGTTGTCGGTGACTGCAAGATACCCCCACGCTAACCCAAGCAGTAGTGCTCTGTTCCCAGCACTAGGCACGAACGGGCCAGAAATCATGCATCATCAAAGGCTGCATGAAGGGTGTCCATGTTTCCAGATACATTCGCTCGTCTAGACAGGTATATGTTTCAATTTGGAAAGCAGGAAGCTCGGTAGCAAAGCATGGAACCATGAGCCTAAGGCTCTGCTTTGCGATGAAGTTGGCCACCGTTCTTCTTGTACAAATGAGGGTGCATATAATCCTGTTGGGTCCTCATGGATCGCACTCCACGGTGATTCTGATATTGCAGAGAAGTAGTCACCCAGATTGATATGTGTCTGCACTTTGCATAGTGCATGGAATGTGTATATATGAATTGCCACCTGGTGGCTCATCCGTAGAAAGTGCCATTTTGTACGTTGAGTACATCGAGACATTTACTTGGAGTCCTTTTCACTGGACTTCCAAGTTATGCTGTACTGAGGATGAGTTACTTCACGACAATCAAACTAGTGAACACTTTCTTTCCTTATTGGCATGCTTCTGTAGTGCGTGTGTGAAAAAGAAATTCTTTGCTGTACTCTTCTCTGGAGCTATGTCTACCCACCAGAAGTTGGCCTCCGGCTGAGCCGATCTTGTTCTTCTAAAGTAAAACGTTCCGAAAATAAATCTGCAATTCCAGTATCATCCTGATGCCTGGCCATCGCGTCCTGCAGTTCAGCATTGATATGAAAGTCTTCTGCTGTGGGGCCCAGCCCACTGGCCCTGTTCGCATCTAACTGGTCCAGTCGATCGAGATATATGATCGCCATTGCAACGCCTGTTTCTCGATCCCTGGCTCGTTTCAAATCATCTAACGACTGCCCATCGACCACGTCTGTCCCGTCGACATCGTCTTCCCGGATATCATCATTGAATAACAGAATGTTGAACCACGTCCTCAAGAGTCTCCTGATTCTCGGGTCGCCAATGAGTCTTAACTCTGCCAAAGCTGCTTTCTCCAAACTCCTACTTTCTTGCATGTCGCGCCTAGCAATTGGAACTGACGCGAGTGGCCCACGGCCGTTGGGCCCGGACCTATCCAGCGACGTGTTACCGTGCAGCATCATGACCACCCCACTGATGGCATCGAACGCGGAGTTGATCCGGGAGTGTGTGGCCTGGCACTCTTGCACAATGTCTGCAAAGCGCGAAAGAGGGTCCGTTTCCAGGCTTTGCCGCATCTCTGTCAATCTTTCCAGGACGACACGTACCTCGTCGCAAGCGGTTCGAAGCATTCCTAGTAGCATGTCTAGGGATCTGCGATTCAGCATGGGATCGTCTGAATTTTTGAGAAAGTATTCTGCTACTATAGATTGCGTATATCGAGCCTCGTAGTCCAAGCGTCTGTAGAGTTCGAGGAGATCCCCTCGTAATAGAGCCTGGATTTGGGCTGTGACACCAGGACCACTCGCGGGATTATTGTCTGATAGAACACTCCGAAGACTGTTGCCGACTATCCCAAAGGCTTGGACAGAATTCTGACACAAAGATCGAATGCTTGTATATTTTCGGTCCCACGTTTGCCTCTCGTGATGTAGTCTCAGTCTCATGATCTTTCCCCCTGCTTTATCCATGGTTAATTTTTGAAGCCAAGTCAAAATCAGCATCTGCTTGTGGCGTTCTAGTATTAGTGGTGCGGTCTGGGCAAGAAAAGTAAACACTACTTCATTTCCAACTAGCGGCACTTGGTGCAGGAGAATCGTCAGTATTCCATCGCTCATCTAACACAACTACAGACCATCTAATCTGTGGAGGATGGCGGTCTGTAATTTTGACCTACTAAGTATGGGCTTGAAGCTATTGAAACGACTGTATATCGCGGCTTGGATGGGATTAGGCTGGTTGTCTTGGTTTGACGCAATTTTCAATGCCTCGTGACCGAATTTTTGGAAGGTGGTTTCCCACCACGATGATTGCAAAAGATGAGCATAATTCGAAAGTGGTAATGGCGCGAGGAGCTCATATACCGGAGCCTTCGGGAACAGTAAATATGTAGTGTATGGTTGCTTGGTCCATTGACGATAAACACCCCTGTCAACAGATTCTGAATTTTGATGGTGTGCTTCGGGATGTGAATAAGGCCAGTCCCTGGCAATAAGAACTGGTTTAAATGAGGAGGGGTTCATTGATACTGGGAGCATTTCGGTGTACGTCCCCCAGAGCTAAAGATCAATATTAGCATGTAGGATACATTTCGAACAGGCGCTGTTACCTGGTTCTCGAAAGCCCTTCCTTCTTCCATCTGAACCTCGTCCTGGAAGCTAACCAGCTTTGGTAAGCATCTGTGTCACAAAGAACGAATATCTAATAGTCTTGTCTACCGAATAGAACGGGATTCGTGTCAAGCTTTCTGAATAATTGCAAACCCACTGGACCGACTCACAAATATTGACGACCGTTGTAGTTCCTGTCACCCATGCCCGTCGCCTCACGTCGCAGTGCGAGCAGATGTGTGCGTGTCTGCTGATCGTACACCACCCCGGGCATATTGGTCAAGAGAACATCAGGGATCGTCATCATTCCATAGTGAGCCCCTGCAGTAGGAGAAACAAGTCAGACATTGCGCAGGCTTGGACGAACGGAGAAGTCGGAACATGAGTTTTGGAGTACTCGAATATCACATATTAATGTTTTCCACGCCAGGCTAGCGAATATGTGATGTGAGACTCCCATGAGGAAATATCAGTGGGGCGATTGTATGACTCACAACTACAGGCATGCTAGAACCGAAGTATCAGTGATAGCAACGGAAGTTGAGACAAGGAGTCACCTACAGCCAACTCATGAAGTATCGTCATGGCGTTCCTCACATGGTAAGCAACTTTTTCGCTCTCGGAATACTCATCCACAAGAAGGGGCCAAATGCGGTTCGCACTAAGAATAACATGGATGTGGCCGTCTCGGGTGATTGTCGTCTGAGCGTTGCTCTCAGGTTCGATTTCGGCGATCGAAAACTGTAGACCTGATTTCGCGACGTCGTTAGCAATGGACAGGAGATTCAATCAGAGTTGAAGGGAATGCGTACTCGTATCTAGGACTCCCATAGTGGCTCTGCCAGCGTCGAAATTTCGACGATATAATGCCCTGGCTTGATCGTACATCTGTGACTCATCGATATCAAGCCATAAAGCGCGGTATGGGCGGTAGTCTGTATGTTGCTTCTCTGCGTCGGTGCGCCCGTCCGCTGATTGCGATACTGGGCGCATATGGTAGATGCCTCGCAAGAACATGATCCAGGCCGGGTGGTCTGAATGTATCACTTGTGAGGCTAGTCGGAGAGAGGGTTCCAACGCCTGCCATACTTGATCATTGCGCTGGTTCTTGATTCAGCATTTATAAAGCCTCTCCAACTTTCGGATTCCTTACTGCTGCATCGTATTTGCCCTCTATTCCACTGAGATTATACCTCAAGTTGTAGTTCTTAAGTTTGGTCCCTCCCGATTGTGGTCCTGGATCATTAGGTGGCTGTACCCATCTTTCTCGACTAAACAGCCTGTTCGAATTTAGCATTACTGGCAGCTGTTTTGCTGGGGTTTGGTACTCACGGGTGAAGACAGGATGCTGGAAGGTCTGACGGCGATATGTCGAGGTCTGGAGCATAAGCACCGGACTCAAGTATCTTGGATTAGTATGTTAGTAGCCATTGGAAGTCTATCTCAAAAACCCAACAGTGAGAGTGGAAAATAGTCTGGTCGCACAGAATACTATGCCAACACACCTCCTGAGTCGTGAACCCGCGGAACCAGTAAGACTGAATGGACTCTTCTTGCGTCCACCGCCTCGCCGCTCCATCAGGAGCGCTAATTGTTGGTGTTAAACCCGATCGCCACTCATCATTCGCATTTTTGGGCACAGTTGGGTTTATCCCAAATCGCCTATATGTCGTCAACTTACTTAGTCTTCAGGCAACCCCTTCTTGTCTTCATGCTCAAAGATGATAGTGGACGTACCGAGTATATCTTGTTCGAGGTATGTCACTGTCACCTGGAAGTATCATAGGCCTCATGATGGCTCGTGATTCACCTCTGGAAGCCCTTGCAAGGCTTCCTCTGGATTTGATCTCAATTTCTGGGTCCCATTGCGGGTGTGACCAATACGGCACATAGCTTTGCCATGTAGTTCGCTCATCGTATGATCTCGGCTCCCAACCCAGCTCTTTAAGGGCTTCCTGATCATCTTGTGTCCACAGCCCAGGAAACACGTCTGAGTAGTCAGTGCATTGATCGTCCGTAGAAGCATTCAGGATGCTATTCAAGGAGACATCGCTCGACGACCCAGATAAAACGCCGCCTTCGTTGTTGGCTGCCGATTGGCCAGGCGCGGACATGATGGTATGGATGGAATGCCAAAATACCTGCAAAATGGTGTCTATGACCGAAATCTATGTGTTTAGGATGTGGAGAGACTGTCTTATGATCACTAGTATCGTTTCGTGAACAAAGCATATGAAGAACGTTCCACACAAACCCTGTGTGATGACCGAAGGGACAGTACAGATGCACGGCCTACCGGAAGCGGCCAACAACGGTTTCTTTGACCTGCTACATTTCGACGTTGTCGAATTTTGGATTCCCTGGCCTTTGGTCCTTGTAGATACAGCTGCAGGTGTTATGTCAAGCGAAAGTATTGCTTAGAGACGCGTTTATGCGCACTTTAGCCACGATTCCACTGACAAAATCCTGATTGACTTTTTAGGACACTCGTGTCTTATAATACCAGTGACGTGGTCTGCGCTGCTGCTTTTGTGATTGGCCACGTCTGCCGCGCCGCACTCGCAGCCTCGTAGGTCCAGAGCAGTACCTGATCGGTAAGCCTCGCAGTACCTTTCCCAACTACCAGACAGTAATGACACAGTCGTGCGTACTATAGCCCTAACTAAGGAATCAGTACCGCAGTAGTAAGCTGAGCGCCTTTATACGCACTAAGACTATTTCCGCTTTATAGCATCCATCCGGCTAAACATAGTCAGCGGTTACCAGCTGCCCATATCTCTTATGCCTAATTTAGTTCGCGCTGCTATACCGGGGTTACACTTAAGGCTGGCGTAATTTCATAGGGGGTTTGGAAAGTATAACAATACGTTCGATTGTTCCGTGCCATCATATTCATGCCTGAGGTAGTTATGGCATTTGGAAGCGATGCAATCCGATACTGGAATACGGCTTTTGTACGGATAGCCCCTGTGTGTTGACTGGTACTGGGTGGGCAATGCAGGCAAAGAGAAAAGAATAGCCTCACCAGGTCGCTCTGAAATAAGAGCGGCGGTCTTCTTAAATAGGAGGCTCCAATTGAGAAAGATGTTGTATTCTACGATATCCAGGATCTTGGTCGGCAGAAAGATACTCATGGTCTGATAATTACCTGTTATATTCTCAGATAAAACCATCCACCACTCATGCCTCGGCTCTTCAAATCTACTGTCAAGTGTTCTCTGCCTGCCGGGGAACGTAGGTGCATCCTGGACAGTTCGACATGAGAGGGTTGGATTGTTTTCGTCCAACTCAAGCTGTTTTATAATCAAGCGCTGATGAGATGGAATGGCTGAATATGCTGCTGGTAATCATTCGCAGAAAATAATCTTACTTTTAGGCGCTGAGAGTCATCATGATGTTAGTTACACTTATCGAGACTGCAACCATCAGCTCAGCAAATTCTCTTCACATGAATGTCTCTGCCTTGACCAATCCGCACATACGAGTCATTAAAAACAGCACTCGTCACATTTCAATCAACCTTTCATGAATGCTTGACAAATACAATGGGACGCCAGACTATTCTGCTTCATCATTATCGGAGACCTAGACGTGAAAGGACAACTAAGCATAAACAAATGCGGTACTTAGGCTTTTTGGCATTCTCTCGGTCTGCAGAGCTTTCTCAATTTGAGGTTTCGAATTTATTAGTCGTTTCTTTGACATGAAATATAATGTAGAGCTTTGCCTCTTACAAAATTAGACTGGTTGAAGGGCCAACTGAATCAGGAGTGTCAGAATCTATAGAGTACAGTATGCCCTGAAGCTTTCATCATACTATAATCAAGGTAAACGGTTAAATAATATATGATCAATGTAGCCCAATAGCAAGTTAAGAACATGAAGGATTAAAAGAAAATGACCGGGCGGGATCAAAATTAAGCAAATTGATAGAAACATAGCAATTGTCTCAAACTGTCTTTAACTACATCTAGTCTAACCCAAATATTATCGTGACATCCAATTTAGACCTTCTTGAGATATACAGGTCGAAGCGTCTTTGCGTCCTTTGGGTCGGCGACAGTGTAATAGTATTGGCCCTTCTTCGTGTCCTTCTGCAATGAGATCGCTCTCGCATCTTTCTGGAACCAAACCTTGCCGCCAGAGGATTTTAGCTCAAATGAGGGACCCTTGGTCCCCTCGATGATATACTTCGACGTGGGAGAAGCTTCCCCAGACCTGGACGAGGGCCTGGTGGAGGGTGGTGTGGTCTTCTTAGCCGCACTGGTGGTGTTGGCCTGTGTGCTGGCCTGCGTGCTGGTGGAAGGTGGTGTTGGCTTCTTAGCCGCACCGGTAGCCTTGGCGCTGGCCTGTGTGTTGGCCTGTGTGTTGGAATTTCCTGAGCGCGGGCAGGGTTCAGGTTGACATTGTTCATGGCCTGATTGAGGCTCGTGATAGCACTTGACTGAGCAACGCAGACATACAGGTACCTGGTTTTGTTTGTTGAACCCCACGCTTTGTGACCCGACCTGCCCCACAGCAGGAAATGTCACTCACCCTGAGGTAAAATGGTGAGTTCAGGGTGCCAGTTACGTTACTTAAATCCGCCCCGGACCATCTTATCCAAGCACTTGAGCTTTTCATGTCCAATCTGGATCAGTTCATGCCGCTCCAGCCCTTTCACCATTCCACCTAATCCGTCAAAACAGCATGGCGCCCACGACTCGCCCATTGCCGCTTGCCCAAATCGCGGGACCGCAGCTGGCGCCTTTTCGAGGTACAGCAACGGCCGACATTGAATTTGAACACTTCCTCGGTAGTGATAAGGACCTGGATTCCAAGGTCTGGAGAGTCTGCATCGATGGGGAAACCTACGCTCTCAAGATCGTGAGTACCAGACCATATTCAAACGCCCGGTAATGAAGGACGGCGGGTAGATCGTCAAGTCCACTGTGCTATGACCACGCCCCCACCGCCCCTCAAAGTCTTTCTGGCACGAACATGACGACTAATTCCGTCCATTTACGGTGTTACATCTATAGTTTCCATTCCAGAATTGGGAATATCTGAAAGTGACTACAGGGGCTGCCATTTTACCCGTCAAATTAGACCCCTTACGACGCCCAGAACTCACACCACAGGAGTATATCGATTACCTTGACCCATTCCATTGCGAATGCCGGGCTTACGGGCGCCTAAAGCAAGAGGATCGCCAGGATCTAGCTATCCGCGCACATGGTTACATTCTGTTGACACAGGCTCAGGAGCAGCATGTTACCGAGGCCCTCGGTGAGGAGTATGTGGACTGGGAGGAACACCCGGAACCGCTAGATTGCAGTGGTGTCTTCACGCGGTGGGAGGATCACCGGCACTATCGCGTGCGCGCCATCGTCAAGGAGTATGTTCCGTCTCTGGAGCCATGGACTGCGTCGCAGATCCCTCGTATGTACGCCGATCTCGAGGATCTTCACAAGTTGGGTATCTTGGTCAGAGACATACACGAGGGAAACTACCTCAGTGGTAAGCTGGTCGACTTTAGCCAAGCCTGGGCGATGTACCATCCCTGCCTGGACCGGGGAACCCCGAGAGGTGTCTACGAACGGAGGAAGGACGAGCCTCAAAAATTCGAGGAGATGGTTGAGGTATGGGCCGCTACTGAGAAAATCAAGATCGAAAAGCCTGCAGGTCTCCTCAAATGGCATAGCGGGCAGGAAAGCGATTTTGGATTCGACCCTCGACAATATCGCTGGCAGGAAGAGGTCAAAATAGAACCCGCGGGAGGTGGATCACAAGCGGGCAACCGCTAGGCAAAGCAACCTCCTGTTTCCTAAGTATTTGAAGACTCAATATCAGCCAGCGAGGCGATTCATTGCAAGGGCTCCTGAAGATATTGGCCTGCCTTGCGATTTCAGGGTCTGTGGGGATGAACATCTGCTGGGAGATGCAGAACAAATCCAGCCAAATAGACTTGTAACCTAGCTTTGACTCAGCTGACATCTGTGATAATTCCTGAACGTCGAATATAGAATCGCTAGGGACTAGCCAGGGCACACCGGGTATATCTGATGGTAGTTCCACCTGCCACCTGCCACAGTCGTGACTGATACAGACATGATCTCGGGACTACCCGTCCGGGATATCCGCAATTATTAAAGTCCTCCTCAAATCTCTATACCATTGGCGGAGTCTAATGGTGCTGGCTTCCGAGTTCTGTACCACTTAGGTGCCGAGATTGATTTGAGCTGTTTACGAGTGATGCCTAGCAGCAATCGCCCAATTCGAATTGGGAACTCGGATCTGTACAAGTGGCTTTACCAAATCAGTCTCCAGGGCAACAGGGGGGTGATGCAGACTTCGCCTGGTGGTAACGCTAGTAAGAGCACATGAGAGGTACTGGGGCAACTTTGAAAGTGGGTGGAGTTCATTATGACAAGTAGTGTACAGTCCAGGCATTCTCACTGCACAATTCAAAAGAAGTCCCTGGAATTTGGGAATGAAGTTGATAAGAATCGAATATGAGATTTTCTCTCAGTATTTCAAAAGATGATGCAGAATGCTGTGCTGAGATACCGCTGTGTTGTGGGTGTATGAATCAACTGTGAATGAAAGTAAGCAACCTAAATCCGTTACCTTGCCCGTTTATGACAGTTCTATATTTAATTATTCGTTGCTATCATAAAACGTCATCATCACAAACCTGATGGTCTAAAAATTACGTTATTCTAGACTTTATGGCCCTTACACATCTTATAGTTATTATTTGCTAGATAGTTGATGCTCCCGGGCAATCCAATGTGGCTTCTTATAGTTCATCGTTAAACTTTACCGGTCCAGCGAGTCCATCCTCATTTATGTGTCGTAGCGAAACGTCTGCAGCCATATGCTTTCATGAGCCTCTTGATATGATATACCCAGTTACCATGAGGTCTGTTTATCAGTGTTAGTTTCTGAGTGCATTCCAAGGAAAGCAACTTACAGTATGCAAGGTTAGTATCGCCCAAACATCCATGACAATGACCATAAATTCCATGAAATAGACAACCAGAATGCCTGCTAGTGCGGAATTAACACCGCGAAAATCTAGTCCATACTCTAAAGCCTGAAGGGTAGCCCAACTGAGATATAGAAGAACGCTGTGATGAAATGTGAGCTTGAGCCTTTTTAGAACGGAATAGACAGTATGTGATACCATGTATGCCTCTCTGAAAAGCCGGTGTTAACGACGATCATAAACGTGATAGATAGAAGAGGACGTATCAATGACTCCAGCATATTGAGGGCCAAGTAAGGGTGACTAAGTATCAAGAGGTCAGTTGATTTGTGCTGTACATATTCAGCAACGAGGTGCTCCATACGTCCAATATATCTTGGGCTGCATTAGATGCCGAATAAAAGATCTCTTCGAGTTTCTTGTCCAACGAATCCATTGCCGAAGGATCGACCTAAATGGCATTGCGAATGCTATAATGTCCGCTTCAGGCGCAATTTGTAGCACGGCCAACCAGCCCTTATCTTGTATCCAGCTAGTGATGAAGGTGTCGTCGCCTGAATCGAGTCGCTGGCCAGACCCCCAGTAGTCATTCGTGAAGGCTTCGAGGAAGGCCTTGTCTTTGATGATGACAGATCTATAAGCTGCTGTCCGGCCTGACAGGCATGATATCCTACCATCTGCTACCAAGGTTGCAGAGATATGTCGAAATCTCGTGATGAATCGTCTTCGCATGATTTGTCGTGACATCCAGCCCCCTTGGAACTTGGCACGTCCATCCTGGCATATCTTGGCACGCGATCCCACTCCGCCGACGCGGGGATCCTGAAAACCAGCGAGAAGGCTGGCTAAGAGAGTCTTCGGCCAGTGTACGTCACTGTCCACCAAGACGATGATAGAACCGTTGGCCACGGCGATCCCTCGTGCTAGCTGCATACGTTTACTCGGACTTGGAACTGTGAGTAGTTTGACCTTGGAATTGCCCGTGGGCTGGGTCCTGAGCAATGCTGCCATGGCCTTGTAATCACATTGAGGGACGACCAAGATGATCTCCATGGGCGCGCTTGCCACCCAGGTTTTGAGTCCATCGAGAAACATATTTGTAAACGGAGACAGAGAAGGTATGACAAGGGATACATTGATGCTTGATCTCAAAGGATTGTCGGCAGACAGTGGTATAGGTTTCAGCCTAGAAGCAAGAATAAGTGTTGAGACAACGCGGATAGCTTTATAGATACTAAGCCTCTATTAGTCTCCCAACGGACTGATTAAAAAAAAAGAAAATAGAATGGTGACACGTACAGAAGCAATACCACGAACTGAATTTGGAATGCCATTTTCCAAAGATATTGGGCGATACTTACACAGATCACTAAGTAAGATAGCCAAATGGCGGATGATTTTTCAAGCGAGGATGTGACTTGTTAATAAACTGCTTGAAGTGAGGGGCAATGGCTTGTCGGATCACGCTTACCCTATATTACAGCAGCTTGTGTGGAAATAGTAGTGATAGGCTATCGTCTGCATGTAATCCGCATATCCTCCTCCCTCGAACTTCTACATTGGTATTGGCGTGTGGCAGGCTAATGGCTGGTGGCCTCACACCAACCTTCTCATCGGGCCAGTGCATGCAGATAAAATAGTAGTTATTTAGGCTCCTTGTTACTTTTAGGCCGTTTCGCTGTGGTTGTTTCGCTGTAGCGAGCCATTTCGCAGTATTCAGCATTTTGCTATATTAAGTATTTCGCTGTGGCAAGCCATTTCGCTATAGCTATTTGAATATAGAACTTCAATATATTGTACTCAAAACGCTATGCCTTTGTTTACCCTGCACTGTTTAGCAGCCTGGCTGCTGTAAGTTAACCCATTTTACTCTGTCTAAATGATGGATAGGATACAAAAGAAAAAGCGTAAAGGTGCTTCATTCCCATTAAAGTAGCCGTTACCGGGTGCCTTTTTCTTTAGTAGCCTTGCTATCGGACAATGCACCTAAAACTCTGTCACGACTCTTAATATTGCAATGGCGCTGACGAGAGGAATCAATTTCTAGTCATTCGAACGCAATCGCCACAGTCGTCGATAGACCGGCCAGCAATGTCATTTCGCCCGACTGCCTGCGACCTTGTGATCCTGCGAGCGGAGGGCCCAAACAGAACTCCATCCGAGTGAATTATGCTTGCACCATTGCTCAAGGCAATGTGGTGGGCGACTCGAACGCTAGCCCCAAGATATAATCAGATCGTATACGCAGAAGCCGTCTGATGTCTTGAAGCTGGCCGGGATAGACTGTTTATCGCATGATGCCTGATGGCTGAGATAACAGGTGCTCGGGATTAAGGAGCCGTTGATGGACTAGCCCCTTGTCGATCCGGATCAATGCGCTGACATTCTGGTCGAACGTGAATGGGCAGAGGTCTGAACTGGCGGGGTACATGCTGACATCATGAAATTCAAAACCCCTGGCCTGATTCGACAGAATCTTTTCCATGTCATTGTCTCTCCTCATCGCGACGTGGAATGTGGCGGTCTGGGTCGAATTGCTGTCTGCTGTTTGCTCTACAGTCTGCTGTCTACTGTACATGGGGGAATGTAAGCAGGTAAGGGAACATGCAAATATGACCATGTCTGCGTACAGACTAGGCATCCAGGCATTCCGCATGTGTGTGACAGCGTGACCGCAGATGACAATCTATGCTAGCAGGCTAACCACCGTTATGCACTTCGTTGAGGCTGACTTGGGGGATCCCGGTGAGGATCATAGGCTTGGTCACTGGCGGGCTACCAGGTGCGGGGTGATTGGTGAAAACGGATCCTGACAGGCTGTTTGCCTGATATGGTTCGAGGTCTGAGGAGGTCTGAGGCCACTGGCCGCCTGTGTTGACGGCCACTCGACGTGTCGGTGGGTTGACTGTAGCGCAAGTGTTGCTTGGGCTGTCTTTGTTTCGCCCTCGGCGAACGAGCTTCGACCGTTTCTTCTCCTTTTCCATCCCTTCCTTTGTTCTGTCAACACCATCATCAAGCAGTACCCAATAGTCATACAACGCAATATCAACAATCTGCCCACCATCACAGCCAACATGTCTCAAGTCTGTCCCGTCGTCGGAACAACCAACTCGGTTCTTCCCCCCTCCCACCCAGACGTCGACCTCAACGTCCCAGGCCAGACCTGCCCCGTCGTTGGCGCAAAGACAGACCACCACCACAACCTGTCTAAGCATCCCTCTGTGCCCATCCCCGCCGATGCTCAGAACGACACCACCTCATCCGCCGACGCCCAAAAGTGCCCTGCCCTCAAGAACGCCATCGAGCAGCCCGAGGCCAAGGCGCTTGACGATCAAGTCTGCCCTGTCGTCGGCCCTGCCACAACAATCCTGCCTCCCGACCACCCCTCGACCGAGGGCAAGAGCGATGATGCAGAGTGTCCCGTCACAAAGGCCAAGATTGGCCACCACAAGGGCAAGGTGACGCAGCACCCTGATGTGAAGGGCGCTGCTGAGGGCGCCGTATGCCCTGTTGTTGGTGCTAGGGCCTGAGATACGGGTACGGCTTGGGACATCGGAACCATAGGCGTTAGGGGCGCAGGACGAGATTGTACAACAGCTCACGCGGTCATTACCGTTAGGATGGACTCGATTGCAATAAATTGCATTTTGTTGATCACGGCTGGGCTCAACTCGAATCTCAAAGGACGGACTGCTTATAGGAGGTCTCTTTGTCATAAGTGATGAAGCATCAAGCCAAGGCATCCCACACTCCGCCCGGCCCGAGCGCATGGTGACCAACTCCTCCTGATTTGATCTTCTGTGTCAGCGTAGCCAACCATTTGAAGATGCACATGCCCATTTCACCGCAGGTTCCATTGTCAAAGCGGCCCGTTGCGCGTCGAAATATGTTAAGACTACAGATAGGGGGTCGGTTACGGATTAATGGAATTCCGGTCTTTATCAATGCTCTCACGAAGACTTAGGACAGGCTCCCCGTCACCTAGCCAGCTCTCAGGACAACATAATTGTGAAGATTCATACACTGGAGACACGGAGATAAGTGTACGACATGTAGCCGTAGTGTTGATCAAAATAAGCCGAACACATGCAGAACAATGACTGCAACGATGCAAAATAACATCGGCAGCCAGGCTTCTTCAACACCAGATGGATTCAGATGGCCATGATATCCATTTGTGTTGGGACATATGCTCCTCGCTGGAGGTTCTGGCGGACCAGTAACCAACTCTGCTCTATTTATTCTGCAACACTGAAGTTAGCTCGACATATATATATGTCATGACTTGATGGGCTGCTCAGGCGGCACACCATTGTTATGAGGACTGTATCTGATCAGACGAGGCACGAAAAGAATTGTATGGCTGCGCATGTGGTTTGGAAGGGCATCTGGGTACGGCATCCAAAGCCACATTTGATTAGTCTTGACATATGAAATGAAGTCTCATTCCTAAATCTCACTCGAACCAAACTATTCAACTTGTTGGTTTTCGTGGTGGGATGCTTTCACAATGCTGGAGACTCAGATCGGCAGGACAAACGACTTCTTGACCTCGAAAGTTAAGACTGAGATTGTTACGTAGGCTCCTTTAAGCTTCTCCCAGGCATCAGTGCTTAGACATCTAGATCCCGAGACCCGGTTCAGGTGGCCAACAATGGCGGAACATTCCATCCAAGGAGGCACATCTCCATGTCTATTGGATGCTCTTATCAAAATGTTACATTTGCTGAGCACTTCGACATCAATCTCAGAGAAGAAAAAGGAAAAGAAAACAAGTTAAAACGTATAAGGTAAGGTGCGCTTCCGATCCTCCAAGACAGCTGCACCCTTCCAACGGCAACATCCGTGGATCGTACAAAATGTGGGCTGTGTGGGCAAGGCAGGATGACTATAATGTGGATACACTGAAGCACGGCCTCGTCATAAATAAGATTCGTCTAGACAAAGATCTTCTCGGGACCATATAACATATGACTCGGAGTATAGTCCGGACGAGGAGCTTAAGTAGATACGAAGCGATGTAAGTAAACAACGAGTTTCAGACCCAACCTGTCCGTTCCTATTCACTTTTGAAGAGTGAGCAAACATTGTCTTTAACCATAAATGGCTTAATTATGCATTTGAGATCCCCAAAATATCCAGTCAATTACCAGGAGACTAGTTTCAATGCTATATGTGGTGTCTACACTTCGTTCATTTATGTGCACCAGAGGTCCCCTATATGCAGATGTACGATGCCGAGCTTCCCAGCACCCAAGGTCCAGCGCCATAGCAACACATTTTAACCGCTGGAAAATATTCAAGTCACTCCAATTTAGTGATCACATTAAACACCACCGCAGTCCCATTGCGCCTTCCCATTCGATCCGGGTCGCCGGTGTTCTCCGGCCTTTCCTGCGAGGACCAGCCGTCAGATGAAGCCCCATCGCCACAACGCTGCAGTTCGACAGAGAGTCCGACAACGAAATCGATGGTTAACCTGGAAGCTCCTGTCGATGCTGGGTGTCAGGCATCTCTGCCGTGTGGTGCTGGTAGGATGCCATTTCGGCAGTGCTGTGAGGGGAGTAAGATGACATCTCGGAGGCGTTATGCGGAGAGTACGGCAACTCTTCCGTTTTCTGCTCGTAGGTCGGCGCCTCCACGGCGTTCGCATCGCGTACCGGGCCGTTACCGTACCCTGATGTGTTCCCCCTGTTCCACTGGTCCCAATTCCCTGCTTTGGCCGCCCTCCGTTTCCGCCAGATCAGCCACGCACTGACGGCTATGGCTATCACGACGACGGGGACCACGACGCCGACCGCGATGGCCGTCGTTCTTGATGAGTTAGCCCCGCTGTCGGAACTGGGCGAGCCTGTTGCTGTGCTTGAGGAGCCCGTTGCGCCTGGCGAGGCAGTGGGATTCGATGATCCGGCTGTTTATGTGCATACCGAGTCAGCTGACAACCCTTGCGCTCGTTTGCCCTTCATGTGATAATGCCCTTCAGAGTAAGGACCTACATTCTGATGTTGGCTCCAGTCCGGCTTCCACCCCTAGTGCGCAGTACTTATCAAAGATGGATATGGCACTTGTCGCCTGTGCACTCGCTGCAGAATCATCCGCGCAGCTCGTGAGCACGTCCGTCGAGATGACGGTGCTCATGAAGGAGTAGCTGTCGGTACAGAAACACGTGTAGCTCGTCAGGTTGTCATCCCAGCCTCCGCAGCCGCTGAACTCGCCCCGAACGACGGTCGAGAGCACGTCGATGGCGCATGACGAGAGCGAGGAGTAGCCGTCGATGGTGTCGATGTAGTTTGTGGTCTGGATGACCTTCGTCTTGCTGCTTTTGGTGGTGGTGCTGCTGCTGCTGCTGCTGCTTCCGCTCTGGGCCAGGCCGAGACTCGACATGCACGACAGCGCCGCGATGAGCGTGAGGCGCTTGAGCTCCGCCATTTTGGGTAGCTGCTTTGATCGCAACGTGCGGTCTGCTTTCTCAAGACGTAGCGCGATCCGCTGTTAGGGCTGGGTCCAGACTACAGGATGTGGAAGACATAGGCAAGGTCGCCCGAATACTGTGTAGAAGACCCCAATCTTCAAATTCCGACATCATTTCAACCTCGCGAGATCCGTTGCATTGGATGGAAGTGCCGGTGCCTTGGCGGTCCGGCCCTTTTGAGTGGGTGGATGGCAAGAGGCCAGGGATCCAAATCCTCCTAGTAAGAAAATACTGCTTGGGGCCAGTGATCCCGCGAGCTATGCTAAAAAGGATTTTCGGTCCGTGTTGATGTTGTAAATTGAGCCAGTCGAGCGGAGCCGTCAGGGGCACGCCAGCGAATCTGCTCTCGTACCAGTGTTCAAGGGTCACAATCTCATCTTCTTGGCAAGCAGCTGAGAGGCTAGCTAGATTCGCTTCTCCTGAGCACTGCAGAGAGAGGTAAGCAATTTGCACCCAGGTGTGTCGGGAAACGCAGGGTTAGGGGGAGCATACGACCGATAACGTGAAGTGTGAGATCAGCAGCCATAAGCGTCGCTAACACCACGGTATGTCTGGTGGATAACCGTCCAACTTCGCGGAACGCCATGCGACCTCCCCTTTCCCTATTTGTACCAGCGGATTTGTTTTGGGACATAAACGGGAACTCGACTCCGAGCCCATATATTAATTGTAGTATAACTCCTTTCCGACCACGCTTGCATATGTGCACCCATGAGGTGGACCATGCAATCCCAACGGTGTCAGAAACTACATCGACAAAGCATAGAAGTGATCAGAACAAGCAAAAACAATCTTTTGCCGGCACCAAGACGCATGCAAGACTAAATTCAGGGTGATTCTGCACCACCGGAGATAATCAGCCGGCAATGCGCCAGTCCTGCAAGACATAACAACTCACAACCCGCACTAACACTGAAACGTCGACGCAGGAATTGTAGGACTGCAGCAAGCTATCAAGGGCATCGCTCCTTCGTCTTCCATCACGCAACAAAACACTGCCGAAGCTGCAGCCAAGGTCTCCACCAAGAGCATGAGTCTATTTTCATCAGCGATCCACCAAGCACAGCAGTTTCTGGGCAGAGAGTCCTGCAATGGCCAGAGCTCAATCATCCGTCTCGTCTTGAATAGCAATATTCCTGGGCCTTCCTGGCCCGCAGATAATTTATCCCCATGTTCTGCTTTATAGATATGGACTTGAAAAGCTTCAAACCTTTCTCTAGGCTTGTAGAAGACACCCAGGTGTGAGACTACTTGGTATAGGTTGAACCTCAGATTGATTGCAGCGCATAAAAGGAAGCACCGGATTGACGGCGTTGAAAATTGAGGGTCTGTGTTGTGACATATATAGAGTGAAAATATCAATTTATTACAATGACTGATCCAAAGTAGACGAGAATAATACATGCATGGTAAGCAAACTGCGCACTCGCTCAACATGAACTAACAAAATATATATTCACGAGAACTAAGGAATGTAACCCACATCTTTTGCTAGGAACAAATTTTCTGCTTAGCAGATCTTGGTTCACAACACCATTGGGCCCTATTGTCCTTGGTCGAAGGTCCATAAATGCATCATAGAAAACTAGGAGAGATTCTGTCAAGCCATCTCGACCCGAAATTGAGAGCAATGCGACCATACGGATGTGGCATGTTCATCTTGACCACGGATCATCTCCCGTGAGGTCGATGTTCCCCAAAGCTTTGTCTTCACTTGTGTCGGTGCGAGAAAGATGGCCCCTCGTTTATACTCACTCTCATCCATCCAACTCAGTTACCGCGTACATTACCACAAACAAGAATTCGGGTAATTGCCTTAACCAGAATTTTGCGACTGGATGCTCATCGTCCCATTCCCGGTAGTCCAGATCTCCACTCCATGGAACTATGGGCGAGTCCCCGGGCTCGAAACAGTCGTTGGCCTCCAGCCACGACTGCTTGATCAGTTGAAGTGATTCGATGACGTCCCGCGCAGCTACCGAGAATTCCAATGGAGGGCCTGCAGCGTCTGCGGGGTGCATCCTCTCCCAAGCTCTTGTTCTCCCTTGCGTACCATACCGGCCAGGCACAGGAATATCCAAAGGGCGCCTGTAATGTTCTTGTATTGGGTAACGTTCTTGCATTGGGTAGAACGTCGAGTCACGGAGCCGAATTCGACTTCCTGATAATTCGCGCCTCTGGATGTAATCTTCGTACTGATCGATTTTCGATGTGTCCGCCACATCGATCAGGGCGTGCCTCTCGTCTCCGAGCAGTCCGAACAGCCCGGATGCCCGGACATCCAGGCCCGTCATAGACATTTCGGTGGTAGCCAGAATGACATTGCAGTGATCATGTTTAGTAAGACAGTCTCGGTAAGGTTTACCATTCAACCACTTCTCGAATGGTGGGTTAATATTCATCCGAGGACCGACAAGAATGTTCATATTTAAAATGATGTTGACCCCGGGCATCAAGGCGAGCGTGAACGGTCCGTCAGGGAGTGATTCGAGATACTGATCATGCTCAGCCTCATCTTCGTCTTCGTCTTCGTCTTCCTCCTCATCAAATACACAACCACAGTAGTTGATATACAGAGTGTCAAAGTGCCGACCAAAAAGAATTCTCGTAGTCGTAAACAAATACTGGTCGTATATGTACGAGACGCGGGTGAGATCCATCTTATATTCTCGCAAGAACCGCTTTGAGACGCCGTAAGCCTCCTTACAGACCCAGGCGATCGATGGCAAAGCCTTTGGTTTCGAACTCAAGTCTAATGTGGTCTTGGGGTGGATGTCGTCAGACTTTTCGTAGCTGAAATTGAATACGCGTCGTGGTAGACAAGCTTCAAAGATCATCTCGCGAAGCTCTTGAGGCAGGTCAATGAAGCGGTGAAAATGGGTAAGCGGCGACGATCCGGCGACATTGCTTGTATTTCGCAGTGGGAGGATAATAGAGGGCCTAGAAGACTTGGACATGGGTACTGATGCAGTCGCTTCGTCCATTTTTCGAAATCAAAAGGCTTAGGCAGAAGAAAATAGACAGCTGTTTGACCGCGATGCTGGACTGTGGTCGGTGAAGTATCGTATCCATTATCTCGAAAATTTACAAATCTCTGTGTAAGTTGTGGCATACCTAGTTTAGGATATCATCAATTATAGCGATTAGCTTCCTGCATCCGTTCTGACATAGTGCTTGACGGCTTCAACCTAGGTTGGTATTCCAGCCATGATTTCTTGCAAACATATACAAAAGCATTGGACGCTAGAGATAGCTCCAAATCTGATGGCTCGACGGGTTGCCAATAGCGCCAGCACAAATGGCTCCGTTCAGACACTAAGACTTTTGGCATGGAATAATAGCTTGTAAGTCAACGTCAATTTGCACACGATTATATAATTGTTGTCTCAAGCCTAGCATAGCGAAATCACTGTACTCTCATATGAGACGTTTTGTTTCTAAATAAATCTATTGCTACTTAGTTCCAATTTACTGTCCAATCTGTGAAAACCCCGTCAGCAAAGCAACAGCACCGCACCAAAATCCCAAGGAGATCTTAGAGTACCAGGAAAGATTAGTAGAGGTTGGTAGCGTGAGACGCACATGGAGAGGTGGATCTCGTAGTCTTCTCACTCTTCACCACCCCACACTTAGAAGAGCACTGCTCAATGCTGGTGCTGGCAGTGCAGCCGCACTCGTACAGCTTGACGACGCGTGTGCACATGACGGCTGTAGAGTGTGACTATCGCGGAATATGAGTTGATGGTCGAGTTTTGTGCCGAATTTGCAAGATGTTCCGATCTGCTGTGAGTTGTGGCAAATTGTGATAAGCGTAAATGCTTGATGCTTCTGGTATCTACATTTTAGACATGAGGAACAGCTTCTTATATAGGTTTGGACAGAGAGCACATGGATACAGCATTGTACCTGCTTCCAGTTAAGAACTTATGCGCAATGTTGTTGCAGTTGTGTTTGATCATTGAGCCTGCAGCGTGTGACAAAGTGCTCTCGTAAGTACTTACAATGGCATTGTCCTAATATGGATTACAATGCTATTATATGTTGCTGGCCAGGTCAACGTACTTTGCCCCCCCCCCCCGGGTCCTCTATTCCTTTCGATATGGACAAAGGAAAAAAGGCAGGAACATGTCATGAATAATTTGTGTCTCCCACAATGACTTCCGGGGTAAGGATGGATGAGACCCTGCGATTTATTCTGCCAGTCTCTTTTGGTTGGTAATACACGGGAAAACGAGCTTGGGCAGTGTGTTCATATTGCAATGCACCGGCCTCGTCTGGACTCCTGAAAATCAAAATCTCTGCTTTATCGCAAGTACATTCTATGTTCACGGTAGTCACCACCCTTGGACCATCCCAATGCCTTCACGAGCAGCCGCTCTCGGCTGTCTGCTTACACTTGAGCCAAACGTACCCGGGCTAAGACTTAATATAGAATATAACGAAAAGTATGGATTTCTACTACCCATCACTTTCGTTCACAAGAGAAACTTGGTGCGCCAGACAAATTGTTGAAAAGTCAAACAGTATGTCGAACTTCAAATCTTTACGTCAGCGACCTCAACCATTGCTGTGCTGCTGAGGTGCTCGATGGGGAAGTATTCGGTCTGTTATTCCTCTACGTTCGAGGGGAATATTCGGACAGCGAGTTGTACATACAGTGTTTGATTCACTCCTTGACATGAAATGTGGTGCAGTCCATTTGCATTTCAATTCCGGAATTAGCGGATGATGCAAGTCGATTGTTGGAAACTCCGGTATTTTCTCCGAGGGTCTAGGCCACAAACAGGACTGAACCCGCCAATTTGGACGTGAAGCCAATTGCGATGCATCACGCAATCGGCTGGAGTACAGATTGCGGGAGGAAGTCCGCCGAGCCGTGCAAGATATCCTTCCATATTCGGTAAGCAGCTCACCGCGAATAATGTCTTGCTGGAGGTGGATGCATTTGGGCTAACTTGAAATCTATGTATAAGAGTGGTCGAGAACATTGTGAGGAAACATATTGATACTTGGTCAAACGCAAAGAGACATAGTGGCTTGAGTCCAAATTCTGCTCCGTCTCCAAAACTCAAGATCATACTATCAATAAGCATGATTTACTCGTGGGATTTGCTTGTATTCATGGCTCTCATGGGCCAGGCGACCGCAGTGCCCACCTCCCCTGCGTCGCCCCTGATGAAAAGAAGTGTCACATGCCTCACAGTCGGTGCGTCGGCAACAGCGACGTGGACGAATGCAGCAGGACAAAGCTGCTCGTTTGTCGGAGTAGTCGGAAGTAATTACGGCACGAACGCGGCGGGCGGAGAGTGAGTGACCGTCTGAATTTATGCTTGCCTCATATGTGTCCAACATACTGACAGCGCACAGTTAGTTACTCATGCAACGGCCGATGCGGAAGTGGTTGCTCAGGAGTGGGGCTTGGAAACATTTACAGTCAGGATTGTTTCTCACACGATATTTGCTCGTACTTCAACGATGCCACGGGAGGCGCCAGGTGAGCAGTTCCTCTGCCAGGAGACATTCTGGGAAGCCCCGACGTTATTATGCCCTTGGAACGAGTTGCTGATGATGCAGTGACCCGAACTGTGGTGCGGCGTACAAGGCTGCGGAGGACGATTACTTGCTGGGTCTCGCGAACGGCTGCTCGAAGACAAATCCGACAAACGCGGCGGTTGCACCGAGCACGACGCCGAAGTGCAGTTGAGACCTGGCTTGAGCAAGCTTGAACTCTTGTGGCAGATGTATGGTCAGACTATACTGCAAACGACCAATACCTCACTCATGTGATGATCATGCTAATCGGGCAACACGTTTGACGCAGGAGGAGGCACAATGTTGACGAGCAGAGCAGGAGCAAAATTTTGTATTATGGATCAAACGCAGAAATTAGGCATGCGACCATCCAAGTTGGATTCGCATCCGTCGTTACTGGCCCCAAAGGCATCCATCCCCAGCATTTGACATTTCCCGGAACCACGAACGTCGAAGAGTCCATCGCATCTTGATAGTACCCCTCCCGACCAAACAAATTCTCCAAGGAACAAATCTAACAGGTCAGCGTGTGTAGTTTGCGCTTAGGTTTGTCGTGCTCGCGGGTTCTACCGAGACTGCAGGGGGAGAAGGAGGAGAGCCCGTTGGATAACCAGTTCCACCCGCCGGTCCCTTGATACCCGGGATGCTAGTAGCGTTTACAGTGAAGTTCGCACGCCCGTTGTCGAGCATGGGCCTTCCTTGCCACCCTGATTGGCCATCGTAGATGAGTATGTTGAGCGGGGCGTGATTAGGGCCACAGACAAAGCTCCCAGAGATCGTGGGCAGCGTTCCGTTAACTTGGAAAGAACCCAAAGCTTGATTCGCGAGGCCGATCACGTCCAAAGAGCCCACACTTTCGAGGTCGCAGGTAGTGTTAGTTGATTGTAACACCACGGAGTACTTGAGCGGGATCATGCGACTTACACAGCGTAGTCACAGCTGTCGTTAGACACAGCATGCGATATAGCAATCACGCAAGTATTGTAGCCGACGATGGGTTTGTAGGTGAAGTTGTTCAAGTGGCTGAAGTCCCACAGCTCGAAGTAGCCACCATTGTTGCTGCTCTGCCAGTTTGATAGCTTACCGCAATCATCTGCGATGATTGTCTGAGTTCCCTCATTGGGGTACAGCAAAGGTGCGCTGCAGTTGCGAACGAAGTAATCCTTCCAAGCGAAAGTCGACTCGACGCGCTTTGCAAGACCGAAGGTCTGGCCAGGAGAGCTGGGTAAAGCCGCGGCGACGGTCATGTAAATGATGTTGGCCAAGAGGCCGAAGATGGTGAAGATGTTCATAATGGGCAGCGCTTGAATTTCGAAATCAAGAGGCGCGATATTGTCTCAGTCTCGTGCTGTGGGTTTGCAAGAAGAAATGGTGTTTTGACCCAGGTTCTCGTAGTGTAGAGAGTGGCAGTAAGAGTCAAGTATGCAACGAATGAAAGTTGAGAAAGTAAGGAAGTGACAAATGGTGGAGGTATTTGGAAGTCCGGAAGACGCCTTAAGTTAAGCAAAAGTTCAAGGCGAAGGGCAGAAAGCGGTCGAGACTTAAATGGTCTGGTTGAGTGACTGGCGTGGATGCGTTTGGTGGCAAAGACGAAGGGCCGTTTCAGAACTGAGTGACGAGCAGAGAGTGATCAAGGCTTGCTGCTGAACTAAGCCTTTAAGCAAGCTATTGGACAACCCTTTTGTTTTGGCAGATAGCATCTTTGTGAAATGTTGAAAGCAGACAGCATACGGGCAGCAACTGAGTGAGAACCTTCTCATGATTGTGCGCGTCCCGAATATTTTTGCCAAGGTAGAATCGAGAAGCGAATCAATATTTCGCAGTGTTCGCAGGTCATTCAGGATGAAGGGGTTTACAGCAAATCAAGGGTTTGACATGGCACAAAAGCAAGGACGAAGACTTTTTGCCATTAGGAAGAAACTCCTCTATAGATTACCAAGAAATCACGTTGAGAGTTCCGTAAGACACCAAAATCAAGGACCTCTTCCTCCTGCCCAAAGGGTCGCCCATTCATCCCCCAGCCAAAATGATATGCCTGGAGACCTGATCGAATCATCCCAAATATTTTCCTTCGATGATCTAGCGTTTGACTGCTTCCATCATTGGGTAGGGTCTGCCATCAGCGTTATTGCCACGCCATTGGATGAAGACGTCGCCGCAGTTCCGACAAGACCATGAAGTCTTGTCGGAAGAGCTCCCTGTGCAATGTGGATGCTTGGATCAAACAACAAAAACGTAACATTGTAAATGGGGTCTTGGGAAGAGGGATCTGCTTTGCTGCACTGAAATGTGCCAGTTGACATAGTCCCATTGGCCTGTCCATCATCCGGCATCAACCAAGAGATGGCCTTGGCAACGTCCAGCTGGGAGAACCTGGCCATTGCAGAAGTGTCAGCAAGCGGCGTGGCGATTGCGTATTGAGAACATCATATCACAACTTCGAACCTGGAGAGTTGTTGTTGAGGGGGGGGGGGGGAGTTTCTGGTCTTCTGACGTACCGAGTGAAGCTACTCGGGCAGTCAGGCATAACTACCGCCAAGTTGCACGTTTCCCATCCTGCCACTGTCGTCCACCAGTAATCTTCGCCTTGGCGGCAATCCTCGTCTTTGACTGCCCACCAGCCAGTGTGGGAGGGATCGCCGGCGATGACAAGGCGGAGTAGTGTTTTGCAATCTTCGACAATGAATGGAGTGTTTGGTGTTTCAGATCGGTTTTCGAAAGGACCACAATGAGAAGCATTTCCGGGGTGATAGTCGGAGAAGTCATATACGACTGTGACAGTGTGTATTTGGGGCGAAGCCGAGATGACTCTGTCTTGCAGCGCCCGATCGTGTGGGGGAACTATGCTAGGAGGGTGAGATAAAGTGTATGAAGAGACTGATGCTATCAAGGCGAGGAAAAAGGCGCAAATGACGAGCATCATGTATGGCGCTGAGGTGGACTAATTTTTGGCGATGTAATGTGTGGTTGTTACTCTGAATGCGTTGCTTGGCTGTTGAGTCGGCAGGAGACTGAGGTTCTGAAGAAAGTAGATCTGTGCGAGAAGAGAGTATGGGGCTTAAATATATACGAGTGTGGGTGTGGCCGCCCACTGGGGTATGGGTGAGTGACTGAGTCCCGTGTGAATCTGGACAGTGATGAGCCACATCTTACAAATCAACTTCGTCTCGTGTTTTTGCTCAGGTATATATTGTTTTTGAGAGTGTCATGAAGAGCAATGTTGGTCAAAATTACATGAGAAGAACGTGTGTGTAATTTTCTCTCTGCAGGGAAAGATGTAACTTGGCTTGATTACAGAGGATGTGGGATGATGTTGAGTCTTTGAATCACCAACAACAACTGCCCCCGCCCTTGTTCTTAACTGTCTAAAAGCTCGTCCTCCGAACGCAAAGTAATGGTTTGTGGCTTGTTTGAGGCCCTCCGCGATGAGGCATTGCGTACCGTCTCGGTTCAAGCCGTTCTCAGCATCGGAAATATTAGATAGGCCCAAAAGTTTCATGGGGGCCAGTATAGGCGCCGTATTGAAAGCCATTTTTTCTCGTCGCTATAGTCATTGGTACCTTAAAATTGTCTGGATCATATAGCATAAACGTAACGTTGTCCCCTGGCGTTCCGTCAATCCATGTGCAATGCATCGATCCAGTTCTCACACTTTGTCTTAAGACTTCCGCCCATGGCAGGGAGTAAGCGATCGCCTTTGCGACGTCCAGTCTGGAAAACCTGCCATGGAATAAGTGTCAGCAGGAGGAACGATAGCTCGGGTGCAGTGCAAGAGAAAGATATCAAGAAATGGAAGTGGGCAGGACTTCTTGCTTACGCAGTGTAACCGCATGGGCAGTAAGGCGTGATTACCGCAAAGTTGCATGATTTCCACCCGGCGACCGTCGCCCAATAAATATCTCCATCAAGCTTGCAGTCCAAGTCCTCGACCAGCCACCAGCCGCCATAGAGGCCATCATCGCCCCTGAGCATACGGATGAGTCTGTTACAGTCTGCAACCATGTAGGTCTGTTCCGCGAGAGCTTTCTCTTCAAGTCGGCGGGGACTGGTGCAAAATGAGTCGTGACCAAAACGCAACGTGGGGTCCTGGTAGTTGAGAATTATAGAGCGTCGATACTCAGGGGGCGGGTGAGGTTTCGTGGTGGTATTCTGGCCATGACACGATGTGGCTTCTGAAGATATTGGTGCCATTAAGGCGAGAAAGAAGGCGAAAATGAGAAGCATTTTCGGTGGCACTAATGTGGAGGGGGATCTCAATGATAAAGGGTACGTATGCTGCTTTCGAATGCGCTGCTTGCTTGTCGAGTAGGCGGAGATATGAGGTGCTTAAGAAGATCGATCTGTGTCCAGAAGTCTATATCATACGGCCGAGAAATCCCGAGAGCGTCGGAGGCTTAAATATTTATCAGTGTGGGTGTCTCTGTTCATCGGAGGCTGGGTGAGTGGCTGAGCTCCGTATGAACCTTGACAGTGACGAGCCCTGTCACTGGGACGGATGACTGTGAGCACTGCTCCATTCTGATGAACTTGTGTACTACGTGTCCAACGCAGTGTCACTGCGTACGCAGCCATTTTGCGAGGATTGAGCTTCTGTCTAGCTAAGACCACTTTTGGTAGCTGATTCGTGCACCCTCAATCATACCTTTGGGGGTGCGTTGTCGGTTGATGAAGAGTCAAAGATGTAGAATCAAGACTCTTCTCTTCATTTCCTCGCTCATTTACATTCAATCAACAAACCCTACGAATATGGGCAGAGGTGAGTTCGTATGTAACACAACATAAATGAGTCGACGACTCGATCCCTCTGCACCTAGTGTTTACAAGAACACAGCATTGAACGGTATACACTGTGGTGTGAAGCTACATAACTCGGAATTTAGTTTTCATGACTAAATGATATCTATAAGGCGTCACAGCCGTATTTAAAATTCTGGGGTACCTCGATGTCAGCAAACACCATTTCCTCACTGGTCATGAGCTCCCCGGTCGAAGCCACAAATCTTGAGAGACTGAAAAGTTAACCTCAAGGCTGACAAAAATGTGTGTTTTCCTCCCGAAAGATGACGGGTCGAAGGGCTAAGAGGCAGTAACTTTATCAAGAGACTACCCAGCTTGGAGTTCGGTTAGATTGAATAGGGTGAATGAAGAGCTTGACGTTGCCCTGTCTGTACACACTCGTTCTTTCCTCTTGATGAGAAAGCATCGCTGAAATGAGGAACTGGTCATAATTTGTTATCTGAGGTTGAAAGATTCCGAATGAACATATCCTCATGCACAGCAGAGCTAGGATCTGATATCATCAAATTATAGACTAGATATTTCCTGAACGCGCAAGATGCGCAACATCTCAGAGCAGCAGTGCGAGCCGAGACATTTGTGTTAGACAATCAACTACGCAACACCCCCCTCTCATGCTATTCCTCATATGATTGCAATTCCTTATACCTCATTTTGTCCCTACCACCATCCCGCCACTCCGCGCTCCGCCTCCTCACGGCTTTCACAACACCACACACAACAGAAACCACAGTCTCATGAGGAAACCGACGTATCCAAGCACTACGCAGCCTTTTTCGGAAGATCCCCGCTACAACGAGGGTGACACCGAGCATCACCCCAACAAACACCAAAATCTGATGCAACCACCCCGAAGACGCCGGCGCGTTCCCGACAAAGCGGTCCAGCACAGTAGAGTGCTTCAGAACAGCACCATCGCGATCCAGGGCCGCGATGCGGACGTACTGCGGGTACTCGCCGACGATCTCGAACCCGGCCTCGAAGCCGTCCTTCCTCTGGACGTCGAGGTCGACGTACACGTCGCGGCTGACGCCGTCCCAGTCGGCGCCCTGCAGGACCCAGGTGTCGACCTCGGTGGCGCCGTTCCAGCTGACGTAGAGGACGCCGTCCGAGGGCCGGAGGAGCACGGTCGGCGCGTACCAGGGCCGGCCGACCCAGCGCGTCGTCTTGAAGCCGCGGTAGCTCGTCACCATGCCCGTCTGCCAGATGAGCCAGGGGGCGAGGCGGACGTCGCAGAGGACTTCGCCCTCGGGGGAGAATTCAGTTAGGGCGGGGAAGAAGCCGTAGTCCACGAGGACCTTGCCCGTATCCTTCAGGACCTGCATTGAGCCCTGGCTCTCGGCGAGCTTCGGGTGCGCCGGGTCGTAGTAGTCGTGCAGCAGCTTGACTGTCATGGTTTCCGTGTCGAGCTCCAACATCATCCCGCGGCTGTGATCGCCGATGTATTTGTTGCCGCCGTTCGTCGATTTTGCGTTATCGAAGAGGCTCATTTTGTTGGTTCCGTGCCATCTTGCGTGGTGCTGCCAGGTGAAGTCGGTCGCACGACCATCGGACAGATCCTGAAACATGTTCGCCTTGCCTCCCAGGATCCACAGAGTCTCTCCCTGAGGACTGATGCACATGACCGTGTGAGTGTGTCTGGCGGAGATGATGTAGTTCCCAAGGTGGTCCTTATCAACACTGTTGAGGTGAACGTAGTCAAATCCGTTGTTAGGATATATACCTAGATCACCGCCGACATAGGAACGCATCGTCATTTCGACCGGAATATGGTCAGAGGCACGCCATTCGAAGATCAAGTCACCAGTGTCAAGATCGATTTCCTGGAAGATGCTGTCGAGCACCCAGCCGTCGACAGGGCCGCCGATTGGGGAAAGATCAAGGGCTTGCGGATAGTAGATGGACATGAGGCCGGTGTTATCCTCGGTGATGCGGAATTCATGAAGATCGCCTCGTAAACTGTGGCCCCTAGTTTCGACAGCGTTCACTGTCTTGACCACTTGGTACGTCTCATCCAGCTGGACATTTTGTTAACATGCTGTCAACTCAAATCGGGGATCGAAGACAGAAATGAAACAGATCTTTAATCAAAAAGAAACATCGGTGTGCAGCGTACAATGAAATAGCATCCTGCTCCATAGCGGTGATGCAAACCGTCCACTCCGCCCCAGAAGGTCAAATGTGGTTTGCCATGATACATCTGGACCTTGAAATCGGTGATGCCGCGGCCCTTCCCAAAGCTATCATCTGTGGTCCATACTAAGTTACCCCTCCCGTCGAGGATCACTGGGGCTGGCGAGTCAACAATGCTCCCGCGAGGGGAGACAAGGTAGAAGCCATCAGCGCACTGCTCATCCCACTTGAGGAAGTTGAGGCGAGGTGCAGCGAGGTTGTAGGACTGGAACGATGTCTTTGGGTACAAGCCGTAGAAACCCCAGTCGTAGAGGTTTGGTGACTGCAATATGTCATGGGCGAAAGTCGGAGCGGCTAGTAGAAGGGGGATGGCCAAGTGGTGTAGCATCCGCATGCACGTGGCAGCCATGGTGTCGATAATTCGCCCAGACTAAATTGGCCGGCCAGACACGCGTAACCACCAGTTCGGGCACGAGGAGCGCCGTAGCTTTCAGGTTTCCTCGACTTCACCCTCAGAAGTCTCAAAATTTCGAGGTTGCTTCACTGTTAAATAGTAATGGGCCAGAGAAGATCCAATCCACTAGCTCCACAAGTTTGTAAAATCGAAGCTGAATTGACGTGTATAAGTGGTGGAAGTGGTATAGGTCGGGTCCAGACGATCTCCGATTTGGTCCAGGACGAGGATCGGAGCTTATCAGGCTCAGGAGAATGACAGTGGAAGGAGAGCAGGAGAGAAAGGAACCTGTAACAAGAAAAGCAGTTGACAGGATATCACCTTAAGTTTGGTGGAACTGAGGACGGTCTCTGTGTGTTTATCTTACGGTGGACATGGTGACAGGCAAAAGGAGAAGGGGTGTGGGCCCTTGGACCTGCGGTGTTGCTGGCCCACGGATGAGTTGATGCCATGGATTGGCGCGATTGAGCGATGGGGAACTGAGCTTGCCAAGAAGGGAAGATCAACTTGTCGTGCCTTGGTCGGCCCAGTTCTTGGTGTGTCAGATGCGTACGTGCCAGACATGCTGTGCTGTGCCATGCTGTGGGCTTGATTGAACCCAGACGCGTGTTCGATGGGTCGGGTCCGCAGAACGGGAGGGCCGATTACTGTCGCGCCACTCACTCACTAACTCACTGTCTCAATCTAAGTCACGTTGTTGTTGGCGTCGTTGTGGGCAGCAGCCCAGGCCTTGCTCGTTGTTGCAGACGTTGCAGGGAGAAAGTACTGTCTGTGTGACGCAGGATCAGATCCCCGCTGGTCACCGAATACCATGGCGCCAATTCATACATACGATTTGAAGGTACGGTAGGGCGCGATACGGTACAGTAATGTACGGTAATAGACAAACCCCCGTCTTCCAACTCTCTGGGAAGGCACGATATGGCCCCCACATCTGTGCCCGGTACTTGACCTGATCTGCAGAGGGAAGGCCCCATTCTGCCGACACCCGTCAACGGGCAGTCGGGAAGGAACCTCAAAACGGCAGGGGTGGTGTCTGCCGTACCCCACCGTCCCAACCTTCCACAGCAACATCAACCAGCACCACATGGGACGAATCCTCAAAAGTCTTATCCAGTGTGACTGCCTCCTAATTGGATCCCAATCAGTATCTAGGCATCGAAGTACGCATCTGACTCACCATGTCACATATCACTTCGTCTTGCATCCAGAAGAGATAGTTCCAACTGCCATGCAAGCAGCCGCGCATGAAGATGACGATGCATGACCTGTCCTCGGCCCGCATTTTTCGGGTCTCTGGAAATTTGCTCCTGGAGATCAACGATATGGGGACGGGACTTCGACGATGGCACGCGTCACGTCGGAAGTCGCACAACCCACCCACATCTCCCTGCATCTTCGCCCCCACTTGCCATGCTCAGCCATCTCGAAGGCGTGTCCTCATTCTGCTGGAGTGCGATTGTCAGTCCTGGCTGACGGTCTCCCTGCTTGTCTATTTCTGTCTGCACATAGACTGACTATCTTATCAACACATACTCATCACCGACCCACCAAGTGTGACTCCCTACAACCTTCAACCCAGCATGAACGCATTGACAAATTCATCACATCGACAGCGACATTTTGACCCGATAGAATGGCTCGCTTCAAAATGGCCAGGCCTACCAGGCCGGGAAGGTATCCGGAGACCGAATGCAACACGATGGATGCAACGTCTTCGGCTTGCACCCTTCTGATGCATGAGTATGATGCAAGATTGCCAGCCCTGCCGCCCGAGATCGATGTGACCTACGTCGGCATGCACTCGACAGACCCGTGCAGGGGAGACCTAACGGGCTTCGGAAATACAGAGCTTCTCGTGAGGTGTGAAGGCTTCGACCGATCTATAAGAAAGGTACATATTATTCCTCTCCTTCCCCAGATCTACGGCCTCTCTTTCTCTCTTTCTTGATCATCTTTTCCGCTGTCCTTAACCAACCTGAGTATTGCTTGCTTCGGCTGTGGGCCCACTGAACGGGTCGAAGGATTCCCGGATCCAGATAGGGCTCTTACTCGTGGGTCCGCCAGACGCGCACAGAGAGAGATGATCAGCAGCAAAGCATTGAGGCGACTTTTTGACGTCTCAAAATGTAACGATCTATTTACAAGCACCATGTCTTTTAACATTTATTTGTACCACTAATACCTAATTTTATATACATCACGTCCTCCGTTACGCATAGGCCAACCTGTCTTTGGACCACCCAGGCCGCAAATACTCCGCATCGAAGCCCATGTCATAACCAGTGGTGTGCACGTATTCCACATTCCAGTCCAGCTTCACTTCAGCACCCTGCGCACTCTGGCTCCAGACCGTCACGGCAATGGTGTTGTCACCATCATAGTTTAGGATTCCGGTCGGCACAGGGAAGGTAATTTGGTTACCAATGTACGGGTTAAAGCGACCATACTGGTACCCATTCACAAACAGCAACGCCCGAACCTGGTTAGAGTGCGCCGCATCGGAAGGCACAAACGTGCTCTTGGTGCTGCTGTTGCCGGGCGCCGTGAACCGGAACGACACGGACACGTCCAGGCCCGGAGGCACGGAGAGTGGCACCACGGTGCGGAAGACACGGATCCCCGCTGCCGGGACTGCGAGCGTCGTCGTGCCGTTGCCGCCGACGGACGCCCAATCGCTGTCCGGGTACCCGGGGAGGTGCATACCAACCCGCTCGGCGTACAACCCGCCCTCGTTGTACACGCTGCGGATTGGGTCGATGTTGTCCTCGCCGCCCGCCGAGCCTGCGATCTTCCACTCCGTGAAGCCCGCGTCTGTGCCAAGGAGCGTCGCGTTCCAGATGCCGCGGGGTGTGAGCGCGCCTGTCGTCTGGTCGTGGCCTGAGTTGTCCATCACTACGACCAGCACGTTGTCCTTGCTCTCCGCGGCCAACGTCGCGTTCGCGAAGGAGAGCTCCGTCATCCCTGTCGCAGATGTGGAAGCACCGAGGTACGAGCCAATGTATGCGCCGTTCAACCACGCTGAGTAGCCAAAGGCTTTGCCGCCTGTGATGTTGAGGTAGACGCCGCTTGGGAGGGAGGCCGTGCTGGGGAACGTGGCGCGGTAGATCGAGTTGCCGACGTGGACGTGGTACTCGTCCAGGAACAGCACCGGGTTGTTCGATGCCGGCTTCGAAGGGTTGGAGGTGTTTTGGTGGTCCGCAGTGGTCCATACACTGGGCGACACGGTATAGTTGGGCTGGATCTCCGGCAAGCTGTCGTGCCACTTCCACGGTCCCAGAGCTGGCAGGGTGAAGGACTCTGGCCCTTGAACAGTGGCTGTGAGCATGTTGCCGTCTTTGGAGACGGTGGAGAGCTCGACTCCGTTCCAGGCCACGGCGTCCACGGATGCTGCGAAGATCGTCAGAGTGTTGGTCGCGCCGTCGATATCGCCGACGAGCTCAAGTGTCTTATCGGCGGTGATGGAAGCTGAGCGCACGAGGTATGGGCCTTGGACGAGGACTGTTGCCAAAGGTCAGTGATCTTGCTGCAAATACGATAGAGGTGAATGAGTGCGCCAAGTGGTGCATCTTACCTGTGCTGTTCTCGGGATAGAGGGGGTCATTCCCTAGACTCGGGGCCCAGAATACGTATGCCGAAGGGCGGTCGAGTATGACGACCTGGGCACCGTCACCCAAGTTCACGACGGTCATACCGCTAGTATTGGACCAGTTGATAGCCACGCTTGAGTTTCCAGGCACGATGTTAACCGCCGTCGAGGTCGTGTTCGCCGTGGCCTTTGTGAGGCTTGCCGAGGTTGCGCCCTCGATGACGACCTCACCGGACTCGCCGGCTGGGGCCCAAACGGCTAGCACTTCCTTGCCATCTATGATGGAGTAGGTGAGCACCTCAGCGGTTGAGTACAGCAGGTTCTTGCTACCGAAGCTGAAGTCTGTCGGCAGGACCTTGGCCTGGTGGCCGTCAATGGCAATGCTGCCGCCGTACTGGGGGACGACCTTCGCTCCTTGAGAGGTAGTGACATTCAACTTGAAGGTCTCCAGCGTGCCCGACGTCGAATCGAGGTGCATCGTGACATAGAACGCCGCGCCATTGTCGGGGTTCCGCAGCTCAGCAGTGGCAATGGCCTTGTTCTCGCTGTAGCTTGTGCCGTTGCCCAGCCTGTCCGTCTTTGCCAGGTCCTTGGCCACGCGGGTGAACATGGTCAGCAGCTTCGTCTCGTAGTATTTATCGCCGATGACGCGGTTCTCAGACACGGGGCTCGAGTAGTCGTAGCTGCTCGCCACGACGGGCGTCGCCAGCCAGCCCCAGTTCGTGCCGCCGAAGAGCATGTACAGGCTGATGGCCGAGACGCGCTGGAAGATCAGGTTGCGGTAGAAGAGGTTGGCGAAGTCGACGCCGATGTCCGACGGACAGCCGCCCTCGGGTCCGCCCCATGGGTTGTATGAGCCGCCTTGGAACTCGGGCATGAAGTTGGGCTGGGTCGGCGAGAAGTCTTGGAAGTAGTCATAATAGTCGACTACCTGGTACGCGACGTACTGGCCGTTTGTGCCCGTGCACTCAGTCAGATCGCAGCTCCAGCACGACGGGTACGAGTCCAGGCCCACGACGTCGACGTTGCCGATCCCGTCGCTGTAGTCCTTGCTCCAGGAGAAGGTCCGCATGTTCGGGTCGTTGTGCGTCAGCGGGACGTCGATGCCGCTCGCACGCGCGGAGTCCTCTAGCAATTGCATGTATTCACCAGCGGCAACGTTCGGCGTCTTGGCCGCGACGTTCGTCCACTGTTGGCCGAACTCGTTCTCAATTTGGAAGAGTATCACGTTACCGCCGTTGGTGATGAGATGTGGTGCGATCAGGCTAGACATATTCGTCCAGTACGGGGTCCACGCCGCCGTGTACCGCGGATCGTTATCCCGCAGCGCACCGTACTCGCCGGTAGTCACCCAGAGCGGGTAGCCACCGGCATTGGTCTCGGCGTTTACATATGGACCGGGCCTAACGATCATGTACATGCCGAGGTCCTTGGCCAGGTCCATAATGAGCGTGAAGTTGTGCGAGCCGGTGGAGAAGTCCAGCACGCCGTCGGACGGGCTATGGAAGCCCCAGTGGCCGTAGATGCTGAAGGCATTGAAGCCGGCCGCCTTGACCTTCTCGAGCAGGTCGCGCCACAGCTCGGGCACGGGGTACCGCCAGTAGTGGAACTCGCCCGAGAAGACGAAGAGCCTCTGCCCGTCGACGTGGAAGCTGTAGTGGTCCCATTCCACCAGCGTCGTCAGGCCGTCGTTGTGCAGGGGCCAGTCGTCGGTCGTGTTCTGGGCCTGGCCGAGCCCGGCCGCTGCTGCTGCGAGGGCCCATGTGAGGGCCGCTGCCGTGCCGAACCTCCGCATCGTCGTTGAAGCTCTTGGCGGCGAGCCTTCACAATGGCTTGAGTCGGGTTGGGGGTGAGGCAATCCGTCTCCCCCAAGGCCCAGGCAGCCGGCGTGGACTCGTATTTATCATGTTCGCTGACCCCGTCCCGACGTCATGAACCTGCCTGCAAGCTAGCAAAGTTCAACAGGTATTTGTTTTTAGCCGACCCCATGGGCGGCGTGAATTCTTCCATCCGAACCCTGCACGTTGGCTGACTACCGGGGGCAGCTGTCCCGAGACTGTGGGGAGGTCCCACGAGATTGCGGGGCGCGCCAGCGCGATCTTGTGCGGCGGTGACATCGCCGCTGGGCTCGACGCAGGTACTGGACAGCGTTCCGGCTGATCGTCCCGAATGGTACGGTGGCCGTCCCTAGTGAAATTGGCGCCTCGCTCTCTTGGTTCTGTTCTTTCGGGGATAGGAAATATAATCACCCAGAGGCATTTCCGTTCTTGATACGTGTGTTTTCGTTCAATGACTGGCATAGCGGCTCGTCATTCCATACACGATGTCTTGGTATGGCATTGAGAAAGTCGCATCACATCTTATCGAACAGAAGAGTTCGGTCAATTGCTACATAATTCCATGACCATATCCCGCTGGATAAGGAGATACCAGACAATGAGTTGCGTTTTCTTCGTGTAACTATGCAGGCAGTCCGGATGGGAATGGTGCAGGTATCACTGCAGCCATCTTGATCACCATGCACCGGCTATGCAATAGGCTGAATAATCTCAGCCTCACTTCTCTCGAAAGGGAGAAATCTCGCAACCCCGCATTTTCTGTTCGTTCCAAGTTTCTTGCCTCATGTGTATTGAGCTAGCGACGCAGTGCCGGCTTTCGGTCGAACGATGGAGACCGTAGGGGCAACTGCTTCCATTGTCGGCATCGTCTCATTTGAGTTAGGCCTAGCAAAAAGCCTACAAGCCTTTATCGACACCATAATCGAGGCGGAGGAGACCATCACGCTCATCATAGCAGAGGTCAACGCCACAGCGTCGACTCTGGAGCGCCTTCAGGACTTCATTGACCAGGACAAGGCCTCTAGCGAGGAACACCATCGCGCCACGGCCTTCAACAACACGGCTGTCGAAGAGATCGGAGCGTGCGCTTTACAATGCCAAAAGATCTATGTCCAGATTATCGTGCTCATTGAGAAGGCCAGCATGCAGGCTGGCGAAGAAGAGGCTGGAGACGCGGGTCCGCAGGCCTCAGCCGCAGACGACTTGAGCGTGGCCAAGGTGCGCTTGGCGATCTTTAGCAAGAAAGTTACCAAGTTGGGGCGCAGAATAAGATGGCCTTGGCTTGAGCTGCGGATCAAACGGTGTCAAAAACACCTTGGACGGCTCAAGGTTAGCTTAATGCTTAGTCTGCAAGTCTTCTTCATCGCTGAAAGTCGAGCTCGGCATGTGTATTACTGCTGCATGTTGACTTTTACTCACGAAACTAACCGATACATGATTTGCACAGCCCTTTGGCTGCCAGAGTCTCTAAGACCGATGATGAGAGTGAATTTAGAGACAGAGGAATCTGTTTGCGACTTCGTACAAGGACAAAAGTCGCGCCATAACGCCACTATTTTGCAAACAGCTAATACCATTCTATAGGCCAAAGGGACATGCCATCAAGGCATACTTGATAAAGACGAACCGGCTGTGTGAACATCCGATAAAATAGGGGACATGTAATATGTCGACTTGTTCAGACCTCGCATCAGCATCCAAGCATGGTGGCGAGGAAAGCCTATATCTGTGGACGCAGCATGACGGAGTTCGACGGGGAGAAGACTAGCTAGTCAGACTGCATGCCCGCTAGCATCAGTTCCTGAGGACAGAGGCTATTCAGAAACGAAAGTTGACCATCAACACGAAGCCCCACGGGAGATGCCAGCTGGCTGGCTTGTACAAAACGACATGGGCAAGATGCGAGGTCTGAAAGCCGATTAGACTGTCAATGCCGTGCTGGAAAAGCAACGTGATTCCGTATTCACCAGCTCACTGATTGGCAATATCGCGTTCACTATACGTGCGCAATCCATTCTCTCTAGAGAAAGGCTAAACGTGATCCTTGCCGAGCTTGCACGAGCTGAAGCCAGGCGAGCATCAAGACGTGGGGGCAAGGGTATAAGATCTGTCAGGATCGCCGTTGCATAGAAATCTGCGTGTCTTATACACGTCACCAGATCATTAAAAACATGAAGGATATAAGACGAATCTCAGCCGCAGCTCCGACAGACTCATCATCGATTTTGGAGATGCCGTCCTTGAACTACAGCAGCGATTGGCTACCTTGTTGAAACTCGGTGCAAACGGCGGAGCTTGCAAATGCTCTGATCGAAATAACAATGGCCAAAATAAAGAGATTGACAAGCTTCTCCCATGAATGACTCTCATCGGATGACTCCTAGGGCCGGATATCTACCAGGTAGGATGGACAGTTGAGCGGACAATGTCCAGCATAGATCCCCGTATTGTTCGATGGGTGTCCAATTACCCGGTATCACTCAGTGATGGATGTGTGTGCCTTCTGATGGGCTTCCAGATATATCGGGCGTAAGCTTTGTGCGTAGCAGTTTCTGTCACGCTCGCTGGACCTATGGTAGCCAATTCCTTGTCTTTGAGTTCCTTGACTTCGAGGCAGTGGGTCTCACGCGTCATCTTCAGGAGTATAACACAAGAGTTTGTCCTTTACCCTGAACCTATGATATGAACAGTTACTCAAGGCTCGTATCTCAGTAAACTAGTAATACATTCGCACATGACCGAGGAGGTCACAGAAGTAAAGAGTCGTCCTTCTATACCACTGACGGGGTCTCAGGTCGTTGGGTGATCATTGTAAGCTACAGGAGTTTCTTGATGGGTGATCGAACTGTTTTGGATTCCTTACTGCGCAGATGTCCTATCAGTATGGACCACAGGGCCGTCCCGCTACAGTTCGGAAACGATCCTTCAGATGAAATGCATTGAGCATCCGTTGCGTCATGAGCTTGGTTGATAAGCTAAGGAATGTTTCCTCAGATCAGACATAATTCAATGATCAGACAGGCGTAAAGTCTTTCCTTCCGAGACAATCTTCCGTGACAATGCACTTGCTTCACTGCCGTGGATTTGATTAATCAACAAAAGAGAACATTGAATCATCATTTTCAGCGTCTCTGAAGTAGGTAATCATCGCACTACCGAGGTAGTGGATTTCATGACTGATGGCGCACGCAAAAGCTTCGGTTGAGATACCAGGTAAGGCTACGCTATGCGAGATTTGCCTGTTTTGTGGTGAGCTATGCTTCCTTGTAATCTAAATTGCAACCACCGTCCAGGAGTGAGAGCTTGTGTGTCGGTTGTAGATCCTTCAAGGCTCTGTAACACGAAACCACCCACCAATTGGTCTAGCTGTGCGTGATCTTCAGCAAGCCGTATCGCATCATTCAACCCCAATCCCTGCAAAGTCTTAGGGCTCTCGTTTGCAGGGACACGGGCTCACCAAACTTCCACGGTCCCCTGACTGCAACGGGAGCTACCGCACAGTCGCATTCTGGGACGTCTGTGTCCATTGGACGCGACTGGTCAGGATAGAGTTCGAACTCGCGGTAGCTCCTCATCCCGTCAATGAAATGGGTCGGATTTTGTCTGTTGTGTCGGATGATCAACGCAGGAATGACAGCTGCGGCAAAGGTCTGTCCGCACGTCAGTTCTGACACTTGATGACAGGAAACACAGACCAAAGTCGTCCGAGGTAAGTCGCAACGACATAGATCTTGCAGGAAACACCTTCCACCACTCTGCACACCACCGTACATGGCCTAATTAATATCGGTCGATCTTAGCTTGCCCCACACAAAGACAGGGCCGTCTTTCAAGCCGGCATTTTGTAATGGTTTTGTACTCCAGGCTGATGGTGTGGCTAAATGCGTGCAATGAAATCGGGGCAGAACCTTGCGAGATCAACGCCAATGGAATCAACACACATGCTTTTGCTCTGGGTCGCAAGATAAAACCGGAAAGGGGGTAGCGTCGCTTGCATGTCACCGCGTTCAGGTTTCGATCATAAACGCGACTGTCCTCAACTCAAGCACCCCAATTCGAAGTTGCTTCACTGAGCCACATATGTCTTTACATTCCCAAGCTCAGGCGCCTAGCCGTCCAGCGTGAGATGCTTTGTCTGGCGAAGGTCATTTATATACGAGGCTCTGACGAATCTAATATGTCACTATAATTATCGGTCCTGGCGACCGGTCTAATACAAATTACTCCCAGCACAAAGGAAGCCAACAACTGATTACCAACGAACATGGCAGACCCACTTCATTTCTGTGAGACTCACAATGGACCTATTTGTCAGGGAGTCAATGGCTTCAAAAGCGTCGTGAACGGTTTTTTGGGTGACGGCGAGAACACCAGTGCCCCTCCGACCACCTCCAACAATGATACTCCCCAGGCAACACCGCCCCCAGCAGAAGTCGTCACCTCGGCACCAGAGACAACAACTCAAGCACCGGCCCCGCTTCCACCTCCACCTCCGCCTCAGCTTGCCCCGGCAGTCATCACAGCTTCTTCACCAGCTGAGACCGCAACAGTGTCTTCCGCATCTCGGACAAGTACTGTGACCGATGTCATCGCGCCGCCTCCCCCACCTGACCTGCTGTCACCTCCACCACAGGAGCCTAGCACAAGCACACCTACTCAATCGACGTCGTCAACACCTCTCGCCGCATTGACGAGCACTTCATCACGAGGCTCTTTCATAGAAGTACTTCCAACCAGGACACCGACTGCTTTCAGCCTCATCAGCAATCCTATCATTCCGAGCATATTCGTTAGCTCAGGATTTACGTCAGTGACGGTCAGTCCCGGAACTACGGCACTATCGCCGGCGACAGAGACGGTGACAGCGCAACCCCTAATCTCGGCAGGGACCTCGCAGGGAGCCATCTCAGACAGAACAACGGAGTTTCCAGCCGCTCTTGTGGGTGGAGTATCTGGTGGAGTAGTCGCCTTCATTGTAGTGTTCGCCCTTTTTTGGAGGTATTGTCTCAGGAAACAGTATCGGAGCAGGCACGCACAAAGTGTTGCTGATGAGAAGGGATTGGATCAAACTCTCGACCACTTTCCCGCTCCACCTCTCAAGCACGGAGTGACCACCCACATATCGAAAGGCTCACCATTCGTGGAACCAGATCATGCAAGATTCTCATTGGCCGCAACAGAAGTCTCATTGGACTCCAACCTGGAGCCTCTGAGTCCTAAACCAGCGATACAACAGACCGTCTTCAGAATGAGCGTGCCCGTCCCGGTCGAAGCGAGCAGTTTCCGCGCCATTTCAAAAGAAGGCAGCATGCGTGGCTCCTTTTCACCGCCGTCGTCCACACACCGGCAAACAATTCTACGGGAGCCGCCTACAAGACAAGGGCGGAAGAGTATCGACAGACTATCAACGCGACCCCCAAGGCCCGGTACAGATTCCTACTCTAGACGAGAGGATCTTCCAGCTCAAGCAGAAGAAGGCGAGGAGACGGGAGAGTCGAAACAGATACCACGATCGAGCTCACCAGGAGAGGAGGGGCCCGGGCTGCAAAGGCAATACACTTTGAGGACCTCGCCACTTCACCAGAATCCATTCAAGGACCCGGCTGACGAGGAAATACCAGTTGAGAGTCCGACATCCATGGTCTTTGAGATTGTCAATGCAGACACGCCGCCAGTAAGAGTCACATTGAAACGTTTGTCTGAGCCTCAGGACGAGGATTTCGATAACGAATCTCTGTATCCGGCGCGTGTCTTGGAAAAAGAAGAACAGCCGAAGAAATGATAAAAGGTTCCTCGTGCAACACAGGTCTTGAACAAGGATTTGATGCAAGCAATGAGAATGTGGAAATTGCAAAGACGTTTTTGAACAGCTTGCGTAGATGGATGAGAAAGAAAAGCATTCCCCATTGTACATACAACCCTGAACATCAAAATCTTCACATCAGAGTACCCATTGAATCTTAATGTTCCTCTCAGGGCTGAGAAGAAATCCCGAAAGACGATCTAGCCAGTGCGTCTCGAGGTGCTCTATTGCTGCAGCAACATCTTCCCTCGTGTAGTACACATAATCTCCCATCTCATCGTCCCACTTCATTGGAGGTGCAGCTAATGGGCAGGAACTAGGTCGGATGTCCTGCATAAAATCGTCTCGTAGAAGGGCGATAGATCCACATCTGCGTCGCGTTAACACTTCCATGAGACACCTGACCATGAACTCATAGCACCAACCGCGACATGCCTGTGTATCATTCATTCCGATTCTGCCTTCATCCTCAACTTCTTCCCCATCATCAGAGTCAAGCAAATAGTCTTCCCCATTTTCCGCTTCATCATTGGTGACGACGAGGAGCATCTCGCGCGTTTTTGGCAGGTAGTTCACAAGTTTCACGATGACATCCGCGGCTTTCTCGTTTCCGCTTTGGGGTGTGATATTTATGGCGAGAATTTCTACCTTCTGGACCCATTCAGCCTTCTCCAGCCTTCTGAGCAAAGGGTGACAGACGTCGGCGTTGAAGAATATGAGGTCTCGGCCCCAATTCACTGGAGTTTGGACATCGCCGTGAAAGCTGGATCGATGAAAGTTGACGATTTCTGGTCTCAGCCGCTGGCGAACGCGGTTTGCAGCGTCCGCAGCCTCTCGGTTGATCCATTTGTCTGGGAATGCTGGGCAGGAGTATTCCTGCCCCCTTTTGTGTTCTGCTTTCCACTGTCCGAAGGAGCCATTAGTGCTCCAACCAATGGCGAAGCTTCCCGAGCTTAGGTCGCTTGAGAAAGTCCGATTTTGCTTGTGTGTTCCTGCACGTGATCGAGGAAAGTGTCTCGTCGACGAAATTGCTTCGCGGGGGAGCATACTGGACATACTCAGATTTCCGGATGGAGCGAACTGCTCGTGAATTGGTGTCAATTCAAACATACTCAATCGAACTTCGCAAAGATTGAAAAGGTAGATGGGCTGGATGCTTACTGGCATTCTTTTGAATGTCGTTCCAAGAACTCAAGATATGAGTGAGACTTCTCTGCGCACTCTGGAAACATGCATTTGTACAACCTGGGTGTTGTACCATTCCACATAGGTTGTACTTGAGGTCGGCCACCAATCGACTCTAAGAAATGCTCCTCCCAAATCATGGTTCTGATTTCTGGGGCAAATCTGTTGAAGTAGGGAAATACTAGACTTTTGTTCGGCCCCATCTTGTCTATCAATTGCGAGAATGAAGAAAAGCTCTGATCGGAACGCGTGGGCATGTCGTCAGACGAGGCAAGCTTGTCATGGCCTTGACATATGTACAATATTGAATGCTCTATAGCTGCCGTCTCAATGATCGCAAGGCTTGAGGCAGAGAAGAGAATGGAGATGAGAAGGGCGAACTGTCAAAAGTGAGTAGAAGTGTCGGCATCTATGAGATTTTTGTTTCGGAGAATTGGGGCTGAGAGGGAAAGTGCTGCCAAAGATGTGAGTTTGCTCCTTGTCTCCCTAGATTCCTAGGGCAGTCAACGGCACTGAGACAATAACCAGCCACTCAGCTTGGCAGGAAGAAAAACAAGCCACACAAGCAAAAGGAGATAAAGTCTGTTCTAACAATCTTCATCTTTTGTTTTGGGTCTGGCAATGTTAATGACCATACCATGAAGCCCGTGAGCGGTTCTTTCTTGCCTGTAGTTCCCCCTTGTGTGGCATTCATGCAATCGTTGAGTTCATCTTCTCCGAATGTCACGAACGAGCTGGCGTCGAACTCCTTGTCATTCATGTTGGAAATGATAGAGCTGAGAAAAAATGGTATCACTTACACATGCAAACGAGTTCCCAAAACTGCAATGAGTTGCTTTCACTCCCACTTGGATGAGAAACAGTTATGGAGAAGGGTAATACACATAGGCAGAACCTCTGCAAGTATCTACGGGCAGCAGTATACCTTTGGTCTATTCAACGACGCGGGCTTTGGGTCTTGCCGGCCAAGACAGCGCAGGATTTCAGCTTAGTGGTCTTCCATGCGTTGACCCTGAACAACAAGTGGAACTGTAGCAATCAGGGAGCAAACAATGATCACGCTGGCCAAAATATGAGCGAAATCTCGGGCATTGTTAATTTGACTTCTAAACTCAAGTCGTCTGCTTTGCATTCTCAGTAATAGTCCTTGTAACACTGTCTGTAGCTGCGACCCGCGTCCGGCTTTCCGCCGGGCCGTGGTGCGAGAGACATCTGCGCGAGGTGGTGCTCCATCTCGTCCTCCCCGAAGTCACCATCCACAAAAGACTTGTCTTCTGACAAGTAAAGAACACTCTCCCGGTGTCCATGACCCGCTGTAAACAGATCCTTCAGCTCCGGGGTGCACAGCGCCGAACTCGTCAGCATCACCTTTAATACAGCAGGCATTTCTTCATTCTCGACAAATTCCTGCAGAAACTTCGCCACCTTTTTGAGGTCCCGAAACCACACATCTCTCTCGAACAGAGTAAGTGAGTCTATGATGCAATAGACATGTGTACCGGGCTCGCATTGGAATAGAAGCTCCTGTAGGGTGTGACAAAGGGTTTCCAAAATCTGGTCTTCAATATCTCTTACATAGCCTCGATCACAGATAAAATCCAGATTAGCGCAGCCTGTGCGTGAAAGATAGGCGAAAAGCTGCATGATGAGGGATCGAACAAGTCCCCTCGGTCCTGGATTCGGGTCACAGGAGTCGACATGAAGGCCACAAAAGAAGTGTAGGACCAAATCCTCACGTCGAATATTGGTCAGGCTTGAAACGAGTGTGGCGCAAAAGACAGACACGGGCGAAATACCTTCTGTGCCCGAGGCTGGAAGGTCAGCAAGTATAAGCACAAGATCCGGGTACTTGCTCCTCATCCAGCCCAAAAATCTCCCTTGCTGGAATATTGACTGCACCTGGCTTTGTGTCCTGGAGTCAAAGTCCCCACTGTATCTGGTAACAGTGCCCCAGTCGTTGTCTGGCTGGATGGCAAAGCCCTCAATATCTGGTCTTTCATCCTCGTGAAAGGGAGCATCCGCAATGGCTTCACAGAACTGCAATTCGTTGATGACTGCGCGGCGCCTGTGTCCGGAGATAGCATGCGCTTCGCGGCTGATATATTTCTGAAGTTCACTGTCCTCTGAGATCCCCATTTTTTCTTTTAGCAAGGATCAAGGCAGAGGAGATCGTCTGTGGGATAAGTAAACATACTCTTGTGTGCAACCAGAACATCAGTAATCTTGTTCATGAACCAACTACCCAAGTCCGATGGTGTGCCCTCCCTAGCGCTTGTTAAGTGGGCGTCGGCGATTACCTCTTTCTCGTTCTGCAAGGCTTCAAATAAGATCTTAAGACCGTCCAACTTCTCGCCGTGCCCCATGAGCAGAGCATTTTGTTCTTGTGTGGCGACGCTGATGCGGTGAATCTCTTCCGTCTGCAAATCAACCTTTCCGTCGAGGTGACTGACCCCACGAATCACACTAGCCGTTCCAACTTCTATAGATTTGGTCCTCATTTCTGTACTCTCTATAGATTGATAATGTGCGTTTTCTATGGCGTCTTTCAAACCCTGTGTCTTCTCGGACAGGAGTTGAAAGACTAAGTCAATATCATGGTATTTTGTTCTTCGGATGAAGCTTTTCTTCAAATCACGCCCTAGAATAGTAAATCAGTAAGTATTATGAGATCTGTGATCCTTTTCTTCGTGGTCCGGGAGCTTTCTCCTTTTGTTCTTTCCAAAGGGGGGGGGGTCCTTACAGGAATGCTCTTCCTTCGCAGTGAGAACAAGCATATCATTCACTGAGTCAACGATTGCCTTATGTAAGTCATCCAAAGCGACAGCCACACCAGGATGCGATCGAAAGCTGCCTTTGAGCGGATTAGCCGACATCATGGCTTTTTGGATCTCTTCGAAAGCCTGCAAGACCTTCTTTCGCTTTTCCAGGGATTTCTTCGCTAGCTGATTTAGCCTCGTCAGCCATCGCAACGCGTCAACGAGAATGGGAGCCAAGCTGCACACCTTCAGAATCACGGCGACACCTGCTTTTACGATTGCCAGACCATACTCATTTGGAATAATTTCGATCCATGGCGTCACTAATTCAGTTTTATCGGCCATCCCGTACCAAATTCGATGCCATCTGTCTTTGCCCTGATCCTCATAATCCTTTTCCGCCGCGAGCAGACTTTCTGTAAGGTCATCCCATCCCTTGCATGTCTTTAAACACGGTGTTTGGGAACCAAGAACTTCAGGCAAAGTTGTTTCCAAGGCAGCTAGTGATACATGCACTTTTCTTGAAGGCCAGGGTTATCAGTTTTTAAAACGTTGAATGACTTTTTAGGGAGGAGTCTCACTTTCGTGCCTTTGGTCCATTAGAAACAAACTGTCCCCTGTCCGCATCGAATAGCGGTGGTTCGCTGAGCCCTGGACGAAGCTGCCGAGCCTCGTCAGACTGTAGGAATTCGGCCGTGACAGCTCTCTCGTCTGTGCCAGGATTGATCCAATTCAGTGCCATCTTGAATGGCGTTGGCTGTGGTTGCGGCAGCCGACGTTGATGGTGGGAGAAGACGAAGTTACATTCGAGGTGTGGCTCACTCTGTCCTCAGATAGGATGCGTAGCTCGACACTGTCGTCGCTCAACATACCGGTGCATCTGCCTGGTGTCCCGCGCTCGCGTTCCCCCATCAGGAGGTCAGAAACAGATGATCCGGCCCCGGCAAAGAGGGGCGGGCAAGCCAGGCAGACAACCTTTATCACCAAACCCCTGGGGTGTATGATAAGTTTTCTTCCTAAAATCCGATACGGGCATTGTCGCTGCCCCATAGCTTTGCGCTACACAGTGTCGGAGATACTGTGCAGTCGATTGGTCAGCTGCAGCTCTGCATATTATTATTGCTCGGTAGCTTCCTGTCAGCTGACGGGCGCATCCATAATGCAAATCTATTGGCCATGCTGCGTCGGTACTCCCGCGCTTGTTGACAACAATTAGCTACATAATTGCATGCGTAGGCTGCCAGGGGGCGTCGGTATATTGAACGGGACAAGTTGAGTTGATCCAGATTTGAGGCGATCCCTCATGCCCACTCACAATGTTGGGCAAGCTTCCCTTCTAATCTTACCGCAACATAACCACAAATGTCCGAGCTCATCATGAGCTGCAAGGAGCCTGATACTGTCGTGATCCCTGAGCGTCCAGATGTTGCGGATTTCGACTCCACCTGCGAAGGAGGCAATCCCGAAAGGCAAAGCGGAATTGACCGCGTCGAAAACCATCGCACGCACTCAGTGTCGTCGTCAATGGAGACCATTGACGGCGCGAATGGCAATGATGCTGTTAAGCATGGTTCCGCGCGAGGTTCTCACGATGTATCAAGCGAATCGACTTCTCTTCAACAAGACGGAAATGCCGCCGAAGACGCCATGAGTTCAAAGTCGAGCCCTGAGGATGAGGATCTATTTACCTGGCTCAAAGAGCAGCCCAAAAAAGTCAATGTCAAATGGAGCGACTATGAGGCATTCAGGAATCGCTTTTCTTTCGAGGAGGGACTCGACGTCATAGAGGTTCTGGAGGGTGACCCGGACCAGTTGAGGATGGAGATTTCGCGCGAACGTGGAAAACGACATATGCAGCACAAGAAGCATTCCGCATCGCGGGGGAAGCATCAAGTGGAAAACGATGCAAAATTCATCCATCTAATCAAGATTCAGTCTGAAGTAATTCTATATGTTTTGGCTAGGCTGACGGGCGCAGACGATTGGAATGGTGTGTCGTCAACTTTTTTGCGGCCCTTTCAGACCTTTTACTATTCATTGCCGTATGCAAAACAGGCTCTAAAGATATTGGAGCGTCTTTTCAACGAGCAAGAGAGTCAAAGCGGAGGCGTGACAATTTACAGTGGCCCATTGGAACGATTGGAAGGAGTTCACTCTATCGAGACCGAGGATCCTGTGCAGAAGCTAAGCATGCCTTCTGACCTGGACATAGAGGACATTATTTATGGCCTTCTCGACTTCAACTCCGAGGCGAAAAATATTTTGACGGCCGTGGAGCATATGAAACTGTACACCGACTTCGTGGAAAAATACATCGTCCCCATGTGGGTTGAGGCCAGAGGATCTTCCAAGCACAAGGTACGATTCTCTGACTTGCCCATGTTTTATCGTCCAGGTGATATCTTGTACGAGCCCCTCAGAGCCGGAGATTTCAAGACCAAGGCCCGCAAAGCCGACTTCGACGCTGCCAGAAGCGGGGGACTGGCTGTCCACCAGAATTACTGGAAGCTTTGCTATGCCCATTTCGAAGCTTTTCCATCTCACAAGGGGCGCCAGGACAAGGAATACGAACATATTGGTACGGCGTTATTGAACCAAAGCTTCAGACTGAGCAGTTACCACGTTGATTTCGATGGCGATAATTACGGGCCAATGCCTTGCGAAACATTCATTTCCAATTACGAAGGGGAGAGAGACATACGAAGCTTAACTCTGTACCCGCTTCGGTTCTACGCCGACGCTGCCCAGACCTTCACCGACCTCACAGCCCGTGCCAAAAATTTTCTTTCTTATGTCCTGGAAAAGCACTTGTCCTACGATGGGTGGCCGTTGATCCATGAGACGTATGCTGGAAACTTGGGCAAGAAGCAGAAGAGGGATGGAGCAGAACATATTGAGGGCGAGATCATGATTGATTTCAAAGAGGGCTTTCAGTCTGACTCTGGCTTTGTCAAACCCAAGTTCGATATTCCGGCTGAGCTTGAAAGGTTAGGGTTCAGTGCAGCGTCTGTTAGTCCACCTGTGTCACTTGACGAGTTGGACATGATGACTCAGTGGTGGTCCGACACAACACGTTCAAAGAAAAAAGGTTTCTGTGAAGAATGGTATCTCGTCAGAGAACCCTTTTGTGTTTTACAGAGTTCTCACATAAACAAGGAAGACAAAGTGTTGAGAGCTTTTGGAGAAGAGCAGGTGGTCTCTGACTTTGGTAGGTGTTTCGAGACGCAACAGACATCCATGCTATCATATTGGAGCGCTTCATTTCTCACTGACTGCTGATATAGACCCCGAACATCTGTTTCTCTTCCCTCAGCGCCTAATTGCATATTCTTTGCGAGCACGCAGATTCTTCGTTGCGAACATCGACTCCATCAGTTTTATCACAGCACCGAAAAGCCCCTTTAGGGACCTCAAGATCGAAGTTGAGCACAAGAGAATCCTGAAGTCACTTGTGGGGCGTCATTTCGAGAAACAGGACATCCGCCGACAGAATAAAGATGCGATTCTTGACCAAGACTTCATTCGGGGCAAGGGCTCCGGTCTTATAATCTTGCTGCATGGCGTGCCAGGAGTAGGGAAGACAACTACTGCTGAGGCAGTTGCGTTGGAAAATCGCAAGCCACTGTTTGCGCTGACATCTGGAGATCTGGGATCCACATCGAAAGATGTTGAGACAGCACTCCGAGAAACGTTTCGCCTTGCTGCTCTGTGGAACTGTGTCTTGCTTCTGGATGAAGCTGATTTGTTCCTTGCGAAGCGGGACATCGGAGATTTAGTGCGAAACTCTCTCGTGTCCGGTAGGTTTCTGATCTCTTCAAAGTTCTACAGTTTCAGTTCTGATTGTGTGCACAGTTTTCCTTCGCGTGCTTGACTATTACGACGGAGTCTTGTTTTTGACGACAAACCGCGTGGGCATTGTCGACGAGGCCTTCCGGTCCAGGATCCACCTTTCACTCTACTATCCTGCTCTGAGGAAAAAGCAAGCTCTCGAGATATTCAAACTCAACATTCGGCGAATAAAGGAGATTGAGAAGTCTAAGGCAGTTATTCGCGGGAAAGGAGATGATAGCCAGCCGAGATTACCTCCCACCGAGATTGACGAAGACAGCATCCTCAACTTCGCCACGCGACACTGGGAAAATGCGAGGAACAATCCAAGCAGAAGAGTGGGTTCATTATGCTAAATGATAGGATAATGCTATGGATCACTAACTTTCTTTGTAGTGGAACGGCAGGCAGATCAGAAACAGCTTTCAAATCGCTTACTCTCTGGTCAACTTGAACCAAATTAGCGTACCGGAGTCCCATTACGACGATGATTACGACGACGAAGAAGTCGACTACGATGATGAGCCAGGTATCGATGACACACACTCCGGATTCAAGGACCCAGGAGTCACTGTGGCCTCTTCAATCTCATCCGGGCAAGAAAAGAAGCTCGGAAAGCTCGATAGCTCGCAGTTCGAGATCGTGGCGCGCTCCATCCAGCGCTTCGACAGCTACCTTTACAGAACACGTGGGTCAGATTCTGACTACGCGAAGACCAAAAATCTGCGCAGAGACGATTATGTGGAATCAGATGATGAGTATCGATCCCTGCAAGGGCGTGATCGATACTCTGATGCTAGGTTTCCTCGATCATCACCACATCGTGCGACGCATTTTCGGTCAAATGCACCTCCAGGTCACCTAGCACCACCCTCCGATCAGGGTGAAAGAGTTCACCGGGCTGCCCCAAGAGATCGAGAACAGAGATCATATGCTGATAGAAGGGCTCCGGTGCCAGACGATGTTGAAGATGAATATTTTGAGGAAATGCCGCGATCCAGAGCAGGACCCTCTCCTAGATCTTTCCAGCGAAGGAGACAGCATGATTATGATGATGAGTATGAGTACACTCACCGAAGGGATCGTTAGTAAATTGTCTACACAGTAATGCCACTCGCTATGCGTGATCCACATTCTCGACCCTTTTCCTTTGTCTTGACGTATGTGTACTCACATAATCTGGAGGAAGTATCCAGAGGTTAAAGAAAGACTTGGTCTTGTGGGGTCATTCAATAGACGTTGATATATTTGAGCTTCTATACAGCGATTGAGCAACATGGCATATTCCGTATAGTAATGATATCCCTGTCCAGCTTGAGATGGCTTATAAAGCTTTCCTTCAACCTGCATCTTTGCCCTCAGTCTGGAGGCATTACACGTTGGTCCTCTGTGGCCATTGGTCACTTAGGACTCAGAGATGTCAAGACACTAAAGTGGGCACTCAGTCTTGGGCCAGTTTACGCCATACCAGGCCCATTGGGTTGATGTCGGCAAACACAGCGTTGCCATAGGTCTCCAAGCTCATGCTCACATAAACCCATTTGATTAGCCAACACAGTATCCCGTCATTTGCTTCCCGGGACGTGAATGCCCATCGAAATACCCGAATCGATGGTCAATCCCGTTCCATTGATGTAACTGGCACTCGGGCTACTCAAGAACACAATATAATCCGCCACCTCTTCTACGGTGGCGACACGCCCGAGAGAGGAGATGGCTTTGATTAAATGGCCCAGCTGGGGCATGCGCTGCAGGCTGGCGTGGTTCATGGGCGTATCGACCCAGGAGGGGCAGACAGCATTGACTCGGATGCGAGAATTGATGCAGTCCATTGCTAATTTTTACGGCCCTCATTGTCAGCTACGGAGCTTACGTGGGCAACTTGGTGTTCGGCTAGCTTACCAGCGGACTTGGTGATGCCAATGACTGCGTGCTTTGATGTAGTATAGTTGAGCATTCCTGGGCCGGTAATGTACGAAGTGATGGACCCGAGAAGGACGATAGATCCTCGGCCTAGGCTGCGCGTCGTGTTACCATGACGGCTGCTGCTGACGTGCGTGAGCTCGTCCTGGGCAGCCATAGCTGCGGTAACCGCGCGAACGAAGTAAACTGCTCCCTTGATATTGATATCGACAGATTTGTCAAAGACGTCCAGCTTCAGATTTGGAGTGATGGCACCGGAAATATTGCCGATCTGCGAAGAGTCAACACGCCGTGCAGAAATTTCTAGATTAGGACACAGAAAGAAACTTGAGGCCTTTACTCCGGCGCTGTTCACAGCGTAGTCAATCCAACCGAATGCTTTAACAACAGCGTCGACCATGTGTTGTACAACATTCTCGTCGGCCACATCCACTTTGATGACGAGGCTCTGATAATTAGCGTTGGTGGCGTAATTCTTGCTCTCCGCAGCAGCCTCTTGAGCGCCTTGCTCGTTCAAGTCGGCGAAGGCCACGCCTTCAACACCGGCCTCAGCGAATGCAAAGGCCGCCTCCTTGCCGATTCCGGCTGCTGCCTGAAGATGGAGTCAGTCTGGTGCAGGGAACAGCGGGATCGCATGGTGGCTTACACCAGTAACAAGGGCATATCCGGTGTTGAGCTGTATTTTGGACGTCGTTCCGGGGAAAATAATGCGTAATTGTAAGAGAAAAACAACCTACGCTTTGTGAGAGGCGAGCATTAATTGTGCCTGCCAGTATCCTATATTTTTGAAGAACCAGAATGCCAAAAGCTCAACCAACACGTACCACAGGGATGTGCATCCTGGCGTCAAGACCACCAACATCACCAACGGCATCCTGAAACTGCATTCTTGGCCAATCAGCCTTCAAGCTCACGTTAGCAACAGTCTGTCGGTTGGCGAAGAAGTGTTGCATGGCTGCAATGGCGAGAATAGGGCGAGTTGCACAGAAGCACTTCGAGCTAAACCAAAGGTTCGTCTTGCGCAGAAAGATGAAAAGCCTCATGGCGGACGTGATCGTGGGAGAAATCATAATAGCCATGTGTCTGAGGCGGTATGCATGTGAGATTCCATCATTTGGCCGTATTATAGCTGGTGTACTGGCGCCCGAAGGAAGCATGAGGAACTTTAGAAGAGCAGCTTGTTTTGCAATCATATTCAAAAAAGATTCTACCACGTCTAATCTAGCCCATAGGTAGTACTTCATTCTTTCGCTTACTGTGTTGAAAACTGTCGATCCATAGTAAAAAAACAGGGTTCGGACATATGTGCAGGTGCTGAGCAGGGGTCGCAGGTGAGCTGTGCTATGAATTAATGAATAGTCACAGAAACGTTTTCATTGAAAACTCGGTCTTTCAGCTTGTTGGGGCATATTTGCATGCAATCAAAACATGCACTGAAGACATGCCATACATTCTTAATGCTGTTGACAGCCAACACGCGAAGGTCCGTGGGACATCGCAAAGCTGAAAAGCCTCAAATGACAGACAACTTGAGGAAACCATGTGCAAGTGTCCGAAGACAAGTGCTTCGTAGAGCTACTCGGTTAGCGAGTCGGTTACCGAAGGCATTTCTATTATCCCGTGGGATATCTATTTTGTATTAGGGAATTACACTTTAAAATGGATAGTCCATATAACAGACTAGAATTCCTCGAGTACGTAGCCTCCTAGAAGCTGAAAAAAGGGCATTACGAATTCTTATATTTCTGCAGCAACTGCATTCTGTTCGTCCGATGTTGTTTGGTCAAGACACACGTGAGTGTTGGACCACAGAATAGCGTTTCCCGGCAAGACGGAAACACGGGGTAAGCGACTCAGGAAGCTTTCCCCTTGCCAGCCTCAATTGTTTAGCTCATGAATTGGCCAGACTCGCGTGCCAAGTAATCGTTCCCGAAGGGGGTTTGGGTGCGTTTTGATAACATGTTATCTTGACCGATTTGAAACCTTCAAAGTGCCAGATTTCGTGTATGGCCTGATGCCTGACACCCGGGCACTGGCCATTAAGAATCCACATTTTCCAACTCGAATACCAGTTGGAAAAACATTGTTGTACGTAACTAAGCCCATCCTCAAATTCATTTTTTCTTTGTTCTTCCAAGAAGGCGCAAGCTATTTTTGTTCGGTGGCAAAAACGTTTGCAAGTCGGCCGAGAGCAAATCCGGACTTGACCCCGGCCTCCCGGAGCTTGAGGTGAGATCGGGCCTGCAGATCACCTGCGTACCCTGTTTTGAATACGAGTGAGCCCTACCTGTCCCCAGAAAAGATGTCATCCGGCATTCAACGTGGGCGAGATGTCACCACTGACGCGCAGATCAACGACAGCCCTACCTACGGGACCCAGATGAGCGTCAATTTTTAAATATCAACTTTTGAGCCCGGCGCTCAGTAGTCAAAGGGAGCGGACGACGGCAATGCCTTGACCACCAACGTTTCAGACATTCCCCTTCCTAGTCGGCCTTTGTGCCTTTTCCTTGCGCTCATCGTGCGTCTCATTCTTGTTGACCGAGTCTCATCGCTCGGGTCAATGTCCACTCGCTCCAAGGAATGGAAGTTAGGAACAGCGATGGCATGACAGTATGGGTACCCAACGAGGCCTTTGAGTTTCTCCAGAAGATATGGAAGCCGGAGTACCAGTGGGCGCCTGTCCCTGTGGACAAGTCACTTGCAAGAGCACCTGAGCAGATCGCCTTTATTCAGACCCAGACTCCTCATCCGGAATCGTCAAGGGAAACCCCATCTGAGCCACAGGAACCAAGCGTGCCTGCAGATGAGACAAAATCATCCACGAAGTCGTCAGTGCTGCAGGCATTCCGAGCCTTTGCCGGGAGGCGCAAAGCATCGACAACATCACCGGCAGCACAGAAGTCAGGGGCCCAAGAAGCCGCACAGTCAACCCCAACAAACCAACCAGCGCCGCAAATTACCAAGGAGACTGTTGACTCAAAGCCACCGGGCCCACCATCACTGCTGCAGACAGCCAAGGCACCTGCACTTGAGCCCAAAACGCCAACAGCACCGCCCGTTCCAGCAACGCCGAAGGTAGTACCCGGAACACCTCGCACGCCTAGGACCCCTCTTCCTCCTATAGAGACTTCCTTACTAGAGCGACGATCAAGAACCTTCCGCGAGAGCCCTGGATCCGCTGAACTTGAGACGGCCATAACCGCCATATCGAGCCCGGGAGATACCGAGTCGCTACAGACACCCTCAACAGCTACGGAGCTCGAAAGCCCACGGACGCCAAGGGACAGCCTCAAGCTGAGAAACAGTTACGTCGCGCTACCGTTGCCTTCGACGGAACAACGGTTGGAACCAAGCAAGCCTGCTCTCCAGCTGTCAAAACTCGAGTATCTTGGCAACGACATTTACCAGCCGCCGCAAGGCCCATGGCCGGCAGTAAGTGACTGGCGCGGCTACCAACAAGATAACCAGTGGCAAGGTTATCAATTCGATCAAGACTTGCATCCGGGTGGGTGGGAAGCCGTCGACAACCGGCGGGGGCTTCCCATGCCAGGCGACCTCCCCTCGCCGCCGGGCCGTTGGAAACTTGAGGACGGCAGGGGCAACTACAAGCCCAAAGCAGGCACACGTGCTGCGGCGTGGAAGACACTAGATGGGACCCGTCGGAACCTGGACACGAATGACAATTTTGTCACGAGGAAGCAGACCGATACCGCGTGGCATGGCAGTAAAAAGGGTTTTGCGCTTCGTATGGATATGCATCTTAATGTGGAGGTGCAGATGAAGGGGAGTGTCTCCGGGGACATTACCTTGTCTGCTGAGGCATTATACGTGAGTTATACTCCCCAAGTTTGTGGGCTCAAATGGCCGTACGCGACTGACACGATTCACCCAGGCGCTCTGATTCATTTGATGTATATGTTATACTAGTATTGCGCGGCTGGCGTTGATTTTTCCGAGGTGTTCTGATGGGCAAAGCGAGCATGGTCAAAAGGGAAAAGCGTTGCAGGAGGTTTTGCATTTCTAGAGAGCACTTACATTCATGATACCCCCTCGATAATGTACGAGTAGCGAATCAGTGTTGTATGAATATCAAGTTGTAGTAGAAACAATTCAATTCGAAATTGCTATTGGTATAATCTTATTGTCTTTGGACTTTCATGGTCGTGCCACGGAAACGTTGTCAAACAAAGCTTCCGTCGCGAATACCCTCACTCCATCCTGACCTTCAGTGTACGTCTCATCCGCGACAGAAATCTTCGGAGTATCCATGTCTCCTACAAAGACACTAATTGAGCTGCCCACTGCAGTCACACGGATATGGTACTGAACGTTCGCAGAGACCTCGACTTTGGCCGCACCAATTTCCGTCCAGCTACCATTGGCTTTGCCTAGGACAACTGTTCCGGCGGTGGATATCCCAGAGTAGTATCCTTCGTATGCATCCAAACCACTACCCGGTGAGGTCGTTCTGAACAGAATACCCGCGTTCCCATCGCCATCCACAATTGTGACGTCGGCGTCAAAAACCAAGTCGGTATAATTGGTGTTCAATAGAGCTTTTCCTCCACTCGATATCTCACCCTTGAGCTGGTCATCCACTACCGACCAGCTACCGTCATATGTTGTCCATCCGATGGTATTGCCGTCCTCAAAGTCATCCTTGACCAACATGACCACTTCTGCGATCGATCCGTCTTCATTGAAGTACATCCGGTCGTAGGCGACTTGCCTGTGATTTCCATTGTCATCGCCCAGCGGTCTTCGATGATATACAATGTACCAAATATCAGTGTCAGGAACATTGATCACTCCATTATGACCGCTGCCTGTAGCCACCGCCGGATCCTGCTGCAAAATCTTCGCTTTGCGCTCGAAGGGGCCTAATGGCGAGTCCGCCATCGCATACGACACAGCATAGTCCGGCCCTGTCCAACCGCCTTCGGACCACATCATGTAATACGTGCCATTACGCTTGAACATCTGTGCGCCCTCGACGTAGTTAGTGGGCGTTATTTCCTTGAACTGCGTGCCGTCCGGGAAAGTTCCGATTGAAATCATGTCCTCGTTCAGGAGGGCGACGTTAGCGTGCGAGTGACCGCCGTAGTATATGTACGCCTGGCCTTCGTCGTCAATGAACACGTCCTGGTCGATCGGCTGTGCGCCGTTGTGATATTCGCCGATCAGAGGTGAGCCAATGGCGTCAACATAGGGACCACTAGGCGAGTCGGACACTGCAACACCAATACCGCCTATGGTCGTGGTGTCACCCTCTTGTATGTCATTGGCACCGAAGTAAATGTAGTATTTCCCGTTGCGGCTGATGGGCGCTGGTGCCCACACAGCGCGAGTTGCCCAGGAGACATTCTCGGTGGTGAGGATATTGGGGTGTTTGGTCCAAGTGATCAGGTCTGGAGAAGAGAATGCGTCGAGGTATGTCTGCTCATCATAATCATATGAAGATGTTGGGTAGATCCAGTACAGGCCGTCGTAGATTTCCGTGTCTGGGTCTGCGTACCACCCATCGACAAACGGGTTGCCGGCCTCAGCTGTTGTGTAGTTAGGCACAACTGCTCGAAGCCCGGGAATTGACGCCGCCACAATGGCCAGTTGGACGTTCAGTCGCATCTTCGTACTATCCTCCGAGGGCTGTATTGCTCGTGGTCGCTCATGTGGCTATGTGAAGGAGGGAGTAATGGCTGAAGATATCTAGATCTTTAAGATGCAGCCTAATCCCAGTGGGCACCAGCGAAAAGTCAGCTTCTGAGAGGTGATCTCGGCAAATTAGCATCCTTCCGCTAATACACCCTTGATCATCCCCATTAAGTAGGATCCGTTTGGTGGTGACCGCGGGTGATCTGCATGCTGCGGGTCAAACTTAAAGTCAATGGGTAGAAAGGCGGGGCACGTAGGACCGCACGCTGGGCAAAATCAGCGCCGATCGTCAGCAGTAAAAGGGCCAGATGTTGTAGTCGAAGGCTCCATATACGGGCCAGCCCACGGTCCCTGCCAATGATGCACCAATTAATTCGGGTGCCTGGTGCCACTCAGGCATGCGGGGCCGCGCTGTCAGACTCTCAGGTGTAGCATCCAGATGTCATGGTTCTCCGCTGGCACACCTGCAGGACCTTACACAGTGAGCTGCTCGGACATGTTCGGCAGCGATCGCTGATCAGGTTCTTCATGGAAACACCGTGTGAATCTTCGTGGAACTGATGGACAAAATCGCATTGTCAATTGACGTGCTTTTGAAGGGCCTTGTGGATATGTCCAGCCTAATTTACGGCTTGGAAGTGCTGTTTGACTTCCACTCATTGTACTCCCGTTCGCTTTCTGCGATCACATCATGCCCAAGCAACTCATATTGAGCCGTGGGGTCTGCCCACCTCCATCGCGAGGGACGAATCCAGTCATGGGACTTGAGTTCCGCATCTCGCTCTTGCTGCTTCTCTCCATCATGTAGGTGAAACATATAACGGTTCGCCTCGGCGCCTTTGACATTAGTCGCTGTGCGGAGCTTTCGCAGCTTCTCGTATACCTGCAATAGCGAGCTCACCTGCCCATGTGCTGTTTCAGGGGACGTGTTGCAATCTTCGACCAGAGAGCCCAATAGATATCCAAGCACAGCCCCGTCCTCAATGGCCATTGCCGCTCCTTGGCCCTGATATGGTAGTGTAGGGTGACAAGCATCACCGAGAATCGTGACGTTGCCCTGGTCTTATTATTAGCACCCGAGCGACTTCACCTTTGCCTCTAGCCAGCTAACCTTGCGCCATGTTTCTAGTTCATGATGGAAAGAGAGCTTCCATTTCAGCACAGAGGGGATGAGGGAGATGATTTTTGTAAGACTGTTGTCCCAGCCTTTGAAAGTCTCTCGCATTTCGCCCACTTCACCTTCGACCTTGCTAGTACCTGGAGGAAGGTTGTCGGGCCTCAGGAGGACAAGGTTGAACTCGGAGCCTCCTCTAAGGGGATATAATACGCAATGTCTGTCCGGTCCCATCCATAGGGTGACAGAGTTTTGTGTACAAAGCTTGGTAACTTGAGGGTCTTTCAAGGCAAGCATGTTGGCTGTTTTCAACGTTGCTCGATACGCTAAATCCCCTGTCTCAAATGGCGGCGATGGCTGACCTAGTATCAGATCACGAGTAGTGGACCACAATCCTGTAATAGTCACCAACAGTCGTCAACAAGTCGGGAGGAAGAGTTGGGCATACCGTCAGCACCTACGACGACATTTCCGGAAATGATTTGGCCACCCTCGACCTCAACCGCTGTTTTGTCGAAATCGATATTGCTCACGGAAGAACCGAGACGTACTTGTGCACCGGAACTTGTGGCAGCTTCCAATAGAACTTGATGATAATCTGCTCGGTGGATAACCCTTTAGCAGACATTAGCTGGACCAAAGTCGAAGGCGCTTGGTGTAGTGTATCAAGCTCACATCCATGGCGCCCCATACTTCTGTTCGATGCTTTTACCAGCCCACGAGCGTAAGATGCGGGAGCCATCCTCGTATCTCACCAGATCAGTGTAATCTAAGACACAGCCATAGTCCTGGACCCTCTCAAGCAGACCGAACCACTTCAGCACACGAGAGGCATTTGGAGGCACTTGAATACCGGCGCCAACCTGATATGGTCAGTCCGAATTGCAGCCTTCATCATCGACTATGTGTGCATACCGGGACGATTTTCGGGGCTTTCTCCAGGACAATCACTTCCAGGCCGTAGCGGCGACATGCAATGGCGCAGGCGAGGCCTCCGAGGCCAGCACCGATGATGATCACCCTGAACATCTAGATGCGATGTCCTCATACGAGGCCAATTGGTATAGTGCACAGAAAAGGTGTCCCTACCTAGTGAGGAGAAGACGTTAGAACCATCGAGTGCCAGATGAGATTAGCTATACATGCATGATTGGCTTACAGCAAGGGCCAAGTCAAGGGCTGTATTGATATCTCGAACCAACCTGACAGACATATACGTGTATACAAGGACATAGCCGAAACCCAATTTCCTCGGGTTTCCCGTGCCCCAGATAAAGTTGCCGCGTGACAGAGCCGCAGCTGCGTCCCCGCACTGGGATTTGAGCTTTACATAGAGTTTCAATGTATCTTAGTCTTGACGTAGCTTTGGTGAAACATCAGAAGCACCCATCGGGTTGTTCCCTTGCCCCGCCCCGAATGTCGTACAACATGCTATGACCCCCGGATCTCCGAGGCCGTTTACGTTCCCCGGAAGCTCTTCGTCCACATCAAGCTGCCATGGATGCCTCACAATCCCATGCTCACGGGACGGCTCCAAAACGAGTGGTCAAAGCCTGCCAACACTGTCGCCGAAAGCGAGTAAGCCCCCCCCCCCCCCAGGCCCCAACAATCCACTACTCCGTCCAAGGCCATCTAACGTCGGCCACGTCCTGCACAGCTCAAGTGCACCACGTCCCAGTATCCATGCCCCAACTGCCAACTGTACGGCGCCGAATGCGTCTACCCGATAGGCCCATCCGCGCCACGGCGGAGGCGTACCGGTCATGCCGGCCGACAACGGTTCAGTCCGGCTCCGGCTCCGCCCCCGGATGCTCAGACACCAAGCTCCGTCTTGCACAGCGTCGAATCGGGGTTCTCAGTTGACCATGAGAACACGATAAGTCCACTGGACAGTGTTCTTCCTCGGGATATCTCGACCTCCAATGACTTGATGGACTTCTGGAACGAGACTCTGGATTTGTCGTGCGCCGTGGTGTTTGAGGGGTTGCAATCCTCCCCAGATTCAAGAAACAAAGATCGTACGTCGCAAGCCTCATTCTTACTAAGGGGAAATAGAGAGGCTGGTGGAAAGATTTCCGGGGTAGAATCTCTGGCTGGAACCGATAGTCGCGGAGAGTCCACCGACAGGATTCTGCCGGGGCTGTTCATCAGAAAAGACTCCGTAAACAGTAACTTTATTGGCCTCAACTCGACCGGAGCAACCCTCGCATTCTGTATCAGAGAGTCGCTCAAGAGCAGTCCTGGACTCCTAGGATCTGCCAGTCTGGACTTTCTGATTGAGGGCGGAGTTCTAGTTGATGAAGCCGGAATCCCCAGTGACCCGAATCTTGGTTTATGCGTACAAGATCTTCCAGAGAAATCTATTGCTGTGGCTGCAATTGAATGTAGGTTTTGCCCTGGTCCGTGCCAGAAGTAATCTTCACTCCCTGACAAAAAGATCACGAAACGCAGTCTTCTTCGAAAGAGTGCATCCAATCTATCCCGTTATCGACGAGCCATCGTTCAGATCCACTTGGTCACAAATGTACGAGGCGGAATCTACGAACCACGACTGCATTCTATTCTCACTTTTCTGTCTTGTCGTGGCTATTGGCGACGCAAATCGCAAATCGCCAAATGATGTTGCCCGCCAGCCAGAACAAATATCACACAGTCTCTATGAAAAAAGCTGGACCATGCTGCACGACTGCCTTGCTGTGCCTAACCTCGGCACTGTGCAGATTCTGCTTCTACATTGCATTTTTCATCTGCAATGCGGTAAGCCAGGCTTTGCTTGGGTGCTCTGTGGGCTCGCTACCCGTGTGGCGCAAGCTGTTGGACTACACCGCAGGAGTCCGGAGGATCTTGACCTGAGTGAGAGAGATGTATGGCTGAGGTCCAAACTTTGGTGGGTTGCTTATCGTTTGGACGGGTCAGTAATTCTGAAATCTTCCCGGCCCACCTACTCCCTAAGCAATGCTGACGACCACAGCAGATTCTTGTCCATGACCCAGGGCAGGCCAGCCTCAGTGACCCCGTTAAGTTCTGATATGGAATTGACGCCGGTGCCCTTGCGTGAGCGACAGCCGCCTACGATGGCCATAAGTTCATCAGCATCGGACGTCTACACCTGGAGCTCTAAGCTTTCTCAAATACAGCATCGGTTCTGCAACGTCACCAACCAGACAAGCACCACATCTTCATTGCTGAACGAACTTGGGAACATCGACACAGCCCTTCTATCATGGTGCCGCGATGTACCGATGGACTGCCGACCGGGAGAGGAGATTCTGACACCGGGGCATACAGGACACCTCGTTGCATCTCTGCATTTGGACTATTTTAACATGGTTCGCGCCGTTCACTGGGCGGCTTTAACTTGTGCTCAAGCGAAGAAAGACGTCCTTACGTCACATCCCAATCCTCGCATCCGAGGGAGTGAGGCTATTTGTCTGTCAGCAGCACGCTCTTTGGTAAAGACATTCAATGAGTATATCCCGATACCTCCTAAACTTGCAGAGTATGGTCACTAATCAGATCTAGTGCCGCCTATTGCACTGAAAAAAGCAGGTTTATTATTCTCTGGTAGGCTGCGTACAAAACCCACGAACATCAATTGGATGTCGCTGAAATATTGTTTGGGATAGTCCACAAACCGATTACCTCATGTCAGCGATGTCGGTCCTTTACTGCAATATTTTCAAATTTCCTCATCGCATGTCCGCCAGGGCTGATGTGGAACACATTCGCGCGGGAAAGATTCATTTCGAACGACACGCGCGCTCTTCCGATATCTCTCCATCTCTCGATAAGTTGATCCAAGCCATGCTCGCATCTGCTGAGGACTTGACTTCGGAACGACCTGCACCCGACACCTCGTTGAACACAATAACAGTAGCAGAACCTTCATAGCTTTTTTTCTCTCTTGTACTACACACCTTGGACGGACATCGGTACTATTCTGATCATCTCATCCAAAAGCTTCTTTACGCTTGCGCGAAAACCCCTGCAGCTTAGTCTTGATGCCTAAAGTTTCTGCTACTTGATGGATCTGGCTGATATCAAATGGTGCCACCTGATCTGGAACGATTGATCCTTCAAATGCGTTGCCGGCACCCGCAGCCAGTGACTCTAGACCATGTCCACTTGCGAATGACCAGAAGCGGACATACCTGTCAACGAAATCGAGAGACACCTCCTTACCCGCGGGGATGAAAACAGTCTCTCCGGAACGTACAAGATCACCAGTGGCTTGACGGTAAATCCGGGACCACATACCGATATGGGCAGTGATGGTTTGACCGGGCCCTCGCGTCTCATTTGTTAGCGGACCATGAGGCTCACAACTTTTGTCATGTCAAATAGCTTCAGGCCCGAAATTTCCGAAGAGCACAGACTGATATTGGCCAAGGCGTTGCCATGGGTATTGTGGGGTACAATGCGTCCGGTGCGACAAACCAGAGGATTACCCAATCACCCTGGAGTACTTCCCGGTGTTGTGACTATATCTCGTTCCGAAGCATGAAATGTCAAGCAGCACCTGTCTACCAGTCTGCCCAACTCGGCTTGGTCGGCCTTGTGAGCTAGACACGGGTCTAAGATAGTGCGGACGATACTTGACGTGATCGAACCAAAGGCAGCAGGTGAGGCTGGCTAGCTTTTTGATGCTCAAATTCTGAATATGATTAGGGAAGAGATATCCAAAATATTAACTTTGCCAAGATCTTTCAATCAATCACATCCCATTGACGGATGTTGCCTATCGGAAACAACAGCGTTAATGGTGGCCTCGTATTTCCAGGCCTCTGAAAAGCTCCTCCATAATTTGATCCAACAATTCTACCACAAAGGACTTCTCATAGAAGCTCTGATTGAAAGAGGCACCCAGTCGTAACTCATCTCGCCAGCTCCAGACATGGAATTGTACACATCTGTTAAGCATCTCCGTGCCAATCCACACATCAGCTACCTCAACTTTGGGGGCCAAGGGATCTGACAGGGATTGATAATCTCTTTTTAAGTAAGTCTCGAATTTTCCAAGCCCGCTCAAATCAGGCGTTTGTATCAGTGGATGGCCATCGGGGACTGGAGTGTTGAAAAGTACAGTCGTCCTCTGCAGATATGGCTCAGCCAGCTCCATCAAGCTGACTTGCTTCCCATCGGGACCCTTCCAAAAAGCGGTCAAATCCCTGTTGTAAACAGCGGTCATCTCGCGGGCGATCTCTTCAAAAGCCTTTGCCTCGCCATCTTCGCCCGGGACCACTCCTCCCACGCAAATGGGCAGCCCCGAGAAGTAGAGCCCAATCATGAGCTGGTCTTCGCTAGCGGCACCTGCTGATACTATAGACTGACGGAGGTCCACGGGGAAGAATGCAGCATATGATTCAGCGAGGGAGTGTTGAGGAAATCTCGCAGTGACGCGCACTATGGCGGCATGAACCGTGCCCGTAAAGCTGAGATTTTTGGCTCGACGGGCTTCCGTGATCTCCCCCGTCTCCGAGACGCTGAGTCGGGTTTCAACGCGTTGACTGGCGCCTGGAGGCACTGTGGCGGAGTTGGTCCGAGTAGGTAGGCCAATGCTCGGCACACCACGGAGAAACTCGCCGACTAGGGCGTCCGCGCCGGCTTCAAGGCGGAGAGTGTGTGCGCTGCTCTGATCTTGCAATGTAGTTGCTTCCGCACTCTGTTTATCAATCCAAATACGAGCCAAGTTCTCGATGCTGTGTGGCAGCGGCTGGTTGGTGGGCAAATTTGTCGTGGACACACCAAGCGAGACATTGCCTGGCTCTATCCGCAAGACCTCCGCCAGCTTGGCCAGAAAGACGTGGCCAAGTTTGGCCATCCCAATACCATCTAGGCGCCAGTGCGAGGAGCGGATGACGACCTGAGACGACTGAGGTAGCCAGTGACAGGTTGCTGTTGGCTTTGGTCGAAGACAACAAAACAGACTATCTGCATTCTTTTCATTGTCATGAACGAAAAAGGTGTCCTCGCTCCAGAGCGCAGCCTCACAAACAGGGAGAGTCAGAATCTCTCGCTTAAGGACATCACACTCCTCTTCGACCCCCACTTCTTGAGCAGGGCAGATTATGGAGCCAATAGCTGGATAATGGCGGCGAACTTCTTGCCAAGCCCTTTGAAGATAGGGCGAAAGGTTGATGGTATCCGACACTCGCAAGCTCAGAGCAAGATGGACAGCCCAGTGTTCCCGTTCAAGGGTCACTCCAAGGTCAGCAAGTTTCTTGAAAAAGACTTCCAAATTCCCCAGTGGTCGAGAGTGGGTAAAAGGCTGCATGACGAAGTTTTACGAAGAATTGTCGCAATTGACGTGGAGATGGTGGAGCTAACACAAAGGACAAGTGAAGGCTCCAAGCTGATGGCTATGAGTGCCTGAACGATTTCGCAGTCACGTCTGTTTTTGAACGGGTCCGTATTTAATATTTTGATCGAGGCCTGGTTTTACCAATCATCATACACTTGCTCAGCATACCCTTGAAGGTCGTTGCAGGGCAGAGCTGTGCTACACAGAAGCCCATCCTCAGGGAGGCTCTTTGCATACAAAGCCTTGCTGGTATTATACCGCTGTGTTCTTTGTTGCATGATACAAAGCTAACGAAATTGTGGCTGCAGTCGAATAAATACAATTGCACTTTGAATGTGCACCTCTGAAAGCTCCCTATGCTCACACCCCTTCTCCAATGCAGATAGAATCTGACTTGCCAAGTCTCGCATTCTAGCTTCGACTGATCCCGTGCGAAACGATACTCGCATATTCTGTGCGACTAATGCCGTGGTCAAAGGTAGCTGGCTCGGATGCGGCAAGGATACCGGATGACAACGTTATGTTGCATCGCGACACCAATAACTTCCATTTTGGGGCTCAATATTCACGTAGCGATACAGCCTGCTTTACCCACATCACAAGATTGCCATCGGTCTGGTTCTCGATTCGAGGGGCGCTCAATAAGGTGTTACACCATAACGCCACTGCTGTGGACAAGTAAGCAGGCTGCCAGGCTGCCATGCAATATGACAGCTTGAGAATACATGCAGGGTGAAAACACATCTGGTCCATTGCACACTGTGCCACCCTCCCCCCCCTTTTTTTTCTTACCACCCCCCAAAGCCAAGCCCTGCAGTACTTTAACAGATGACTTCGAAACGGAGAGGTCGGCTGAAGGAGTTTGCCAGAGTTCTTCGTAACCTCCGGGATCCTACCAAGGCAGTGTTGGAGGATTCAAATACCTTGTGCTAGAACTGACTGGACGATAGTATAGTCTCCAGTCTCAGTGAACACAACGAAAAACCAGGAGATTTTGCTGTTCAATACTTCAAGCTCAATGTTGTACACAGTATGTACCCGGTGCTGACCGGGTACTACAATAATGGTCCGCTCCCCGAATCAACTGAGAGTGGCACTACAGATGTACATGCGTGCTTCAAGAATATCACAAATTACAATACTTGAATAATCAGCCCCCTCAAAAGATCTCGGCGCTGATCTTTCTGGTAATACTATGTATGGCAATTATTGCCGGAGGATTTTCTCCATCGCTCAATCCATAGCACTACGGTCTGACGAAAGTCTACGGGAGGCGCACTGTCCAAACGCCTTTGTTGACGGGCAATCATCCTCAAGTTTTTGGGGGCTGGAGAGGTCTCCAAGCAAATTGATATCCTCCTTTGAGTGATCAAGCGACGGCGTATCAATAGCTGGTTGGTGACACTCACGAGCCCAGCACGTCAAAGAGTACAGAGCAGAGGCAGCAGCAGCACATGGCACGATGTCGAAAATACCCACCCCGCAACAAATAGCCTACATGAAGGCACACTCCGATGATACACTTGTCCCCAACATTATAGCATGTTGTTCGGTCTGCGGCATCGCGTCTATCATTTTCATTCTGATGCGTTTCTGGTCGCGAAAGCTCGTCCACGGCCGGGTAAAAGTCCAAATGAGCGACTGGTTACTGATCATAGCTTGGGTATTTTCTCCGCGTCCACGTTCTCACTTTGGAACTTACCTTTTTCTCCAGATATTTTACGCGGTATTCGATGTTTGCTTTGCCATGACAACCAAATACGGGGGCGGACGTCACATTATATATATCACAAATGCTCGCATGATGCAAATTGTAAGAATTCCCTCGAAGCCATCGCATTATGTATCACGTTCCTTCATGGCAGCTCCGAGCCCGTTGATTAATGCGTTACCACAGCTTAACATTGTAGACGAGAACACTTACTGTTCCGCTATGGCATTTATCAAGCTCAGCATCCTGAAGATGTACGGCGAGATCTTTGTATCTCGACGCTTTCGCACTTTCCTTTGGATTGTTGCGACATTCATGCTTCTCTGGACTATCACTTGTTCTATCACGACAATCTTCCAGTGCACACCGATTGAATATAATTGGGACACAACGATAACGAGTGGTCATTGTATCAATTACGGTGCTTTTGTGTTGGCTGCTGGTGCTCTCAACATAGTTACCGATTTCACGCTTCTCCTGATGCCGATACCTTTGATTTGGCGGCTGCACACATCCAAGCAGAAAAAATGGCAGATAATTTTAACTTTTGCTATGGGCAGTAGGTATGTCACACTTACTAATGCTCATTCAAGGTAGTCGAAGTCTGAGACCGTCCTGATCATTGCTAATGGAAGCGAATGTATCACAGTGCCTGTATTGTGAGCATTGTCAGGTTGGCTTACTCAGAGAAAGTTGGCACCACTGCCGATGGTAGTTGTAGGTTGCACAAGTCTCCTATGTTTTCCACTCATAAAAGGATAAAATTTGTGCAGAGGGCTGATATGAATTTTACTTCAGGGGACAATATTCCGGCCGGGCTAGCATCTGCTGCTGAACTCATGGTTGGCTTTTTAGCAGCTTCGATGCCAACATATCGTCCTCTTTACCGTCGTCTGCGGCACGGTGATTTTGAGGGCAGCAACGGTGCAAGCAACTCTGGTTACGAGTATCGGTTCGAGCATCCGAGAAATACAGTGAAAATCACCGGTGGGAATGGGGGTGCGCCGCTTTCAGGCACGGGGATCAACGTCACCAACCAGTTCGAGATGAACATCCATCCGAATCACCGTGATAAGTGGGTGCGGGCTCCTGATGAGACGGACGATGATCACAATCCCCTGACGCCTAAGCATGGCCAGGCCAATACTTCATACGGAATATCAGAAGGCATGTAAAGAGGTTGATACTTTAGATGTCATAAACTTTCACTGCTAGAAAGTTCACAGCTGGACAGTAGTTAGTCGGCATCACATGGTTGCAATTGGGAAGTCGATGAGGCAAATCAAATCCCGAGTCGGCAATGCAGATCCGCTTATTCTGCCTCATTGATCTGATCCTCGAATCACTGTTTATCAACATGTATGTCAGGCGAACGCGCGTATTCTTCACCCCTCAAGTAATAGATAGGTATTGTTGCAGGGGGTAGGCTACGTTAAGGTGCTTAAGTAATCATGGAGTAGCCCTGATCGGAATGGTTTTGAGAGGAAAGAGGCATTGCTTCCAAGAACCACAGTCTTTAAGGCATACAATCAATCAAATTGATTTAAGTTCTCAAGCCTGTTGCAAACGGCCTCGATATTTATCCTCTTATCGAAACACAGATACCTTTCTTCTCCTTACCTTGCCTCTGTTTCCATCGCCTTGTGACTCTTGAACCAACGCGTTTCCCCGTCCCCCCGTCCTCCAGAAGGCTGGCAGAGTGAGGCCCTCCACAAAGGTACTTCTATTCATGCGGTTGCCCCGCTCCCGTACTTTAACTTGATCACTCTTTGTTAATGATTCATCCAATTGTTTCATTGTGGGTATCTGTGCTGCTCGAGGATGAGATTTGGTCTACTCCGCTCGCGCAGCTTGCCCTCGATATTGAGTACCTATCTGATGAAATGAATTGAATGATCGATAGTGACATCAATTGATTCGATCTCATTATGCTGGTATGAGGCATAATGCTGCAGAAATCAGACATTTCGATGGCCTACACTTCGAAAAGCCTCATCAGGCCTCTCAGCTATAGAAGATCGGGTGAGGCGGTCTGGTTACTGTCCTGGGAGTGGCTGCTCACACTTATTTGAAGATGCTAGATATTTATGATCTTCATTAGCCTACTCATGTGTACTCCTTTAGAGCGCATTCAGCTTTAAATATCCTTCCTTTGCCGGAACTGAAGCATTGGTCCCCGCTGCTCGCTGACAAACCGACAGAACAGCTGAAACTCATCTTTCCTCCCCCGGCCCTCAAGACCAGTACCTGTACCTTCTCCGATAGGATTGCTGGCGTCCATCCTTACATCGAACTTCCAAAGCAAGCGGGCTATAATATACGAAACCTCCTGATAAGCCATGTATTTTCCGATACAGGCACTTCGCCCAGCTCCAAAGGGAGTGAAGCCCAGGGCCTGACCGACACCAGCTCTCAAATTTCCACCTTCTCCGCCGCCTCTCTTCTCAGCAGCAAGGCTTGTACTATCCAACCACCGCTCTGGGTTATAGACAAGGGGATCTGGGAAGATCTCTTCATTGCGGTGCATGCTATAGTGTGGGATTCCGAGGTCTGTGCCTCCCACGAAGAATTCGCCATCCACGACCATGCCACCAGGACCGACTCGACGTGGCAGGATGCTTGGCACCGGCGGACTGAGACGCATCGACTCGTCGATGCAGGCAAACAAATACGTAATCCTTTGGAGTTGCGCGCTGGCAAATTCAATTGGACATTTGTCAGGCTCCGTCGTTGAAAATGGGAACTTCTCCCGTAACTCGCTTGTGAGTCTCTCCAGGGCATGGGAATTGTGGACCAAGTAAAAGAGGGTTCCGGTGGTAGCAGTGATCATTCCGTCCGTGCCGCCACTATTTGAATCTATTTCAGCAGACATCTCTATAAAGACACCGTCCTTCTCTATTTAATAAGGAGAAAGGGGCAGTAGCAGGAAATGACTTACATGATGAAGAGACTGGCCTCCGATACGAGCTCGTCATCTGTAAACCCCCTGCGGGTTTTAGGATCTTTGGACTCCAGTAGAGCCTGCCAGACATCCGAGCGTACGACACCTTCCGCCCTTTCTTCAAGTCGCTTGTGTGCAAATGAGCGGCTGAGTGCCATTAAACTGCCAATTCCAACTATGAGTTCATTGAAGATTAGCCGGTGTAGATTGCAGAAGAATAGGGACTGCATGTGTCCGACTAGATGAATTCCAGCTACGCCGTTGGGAAGATCATGGACGTAGTGCCGATTCTTCTCATCCCGCTGAGTGTTGAAGTGTTGACTGAAAGTCACGTCACCCATGACATCGGCGATGCAGAACGCAACAAGCTCCCCCATGTTCTGACCAAGACTCCACTCCGAGTCTGGGTCTTCAAGTACATTTCCGTGTCTGGGGACTGTCTCATCAATCTTTTGGATCAAGTAGTCGACATGAGGTACTACGCGGTTCTCCAGACCCTTCACTGCTGTTGTTGTCAAAGCAGAAGCATTCACCCGTCGTCTGAATGCATGGGCTCTATGATCAACCGTGGTAAGTGACATCTCTGCACCAAAGAATCTTTTGAAAGAGCTATACGCATTTGACTTGAAGGTGTTGGCTTGAACATCATGCAAGTCCCGTGACGCAGTAGGGGAGTTTATCGAAAGTCGACTCGGTCCAAAGCGGACATATTTACCTTTTTACGAATAAGTATTTCATGTGTTTTGAAGATTCTGACGAAGCCGAAATTTCGCTATCAGCTTACCATATTTCTTATGTTGCTTGTGGAGTTCCAAATGGCGGCTGCCCTCCGCGATCCAGTATACTGTATACCAGTCTGTCAAGGCTGCCATAATTGGCCCTGGATACTTTGCAAGCGGGTGCAGAGTCACCCGGTACGATAAGACGAGCAATATCTGCGCGTGTATATCTCTCAGTTCTCTTGCTGGACACCAAGGTAGAACAGGGGCGAAAGGCCAGGGTGACTCACACATTCTACAAATAAAGATACGGCAAGAAGAATGAATTGGGGCACGCTTCGTTTTTGATGCAGATGCGAAGCTTGTGCTACGATAGAGGTGGTAATCAGAGTGGCTGTCGATAAGAGCGCGGCCGCAGAAGCAGTGTGAGGAAGCATCTTGGATCGTGATCTCGACTGAGAGGCCTTAACCAGCTTAATCGCGGTCAGTGGTCTCGTCTTAGGGGCATGTTACTCGATCAGAAATCAGAATGTCGATGTAGAAAGAGCAGCGCCACCGGCAGACGCAGAAGCAAAAGGTAATAAACTTTGGATTTTCCGCGTAGATACCAAGATTAGGTGTTCATCCCCCTTTCAGTTTCTAGGGCTGCTGCCTGTGGTCACGCAGTCCTTCGTCTACATTTGAGTACATTTGATTTAAGAATTCTTTAGGGCAGAAAGGGCAACCTACAATATTACCTCTTATGGTTCCAATTCTCTTACGTGGCGCCAGTTGGTGTAAGATCGACGTGTTCTCGAATGTACTGCAATGTAGCCTCGTTTATCAAAAGCACAGCTTCGAGCTGCTGGGTAATCAGCCGGTCTACTAGGCACACACCATGATATTTATTGTGTCAGCAGTGGCTCGGACTAGACCTGCATGAGTTCTACGGCACTTATGTGACTCTGCAGAACTGCAGTAACAGTGTTGGTGTTCCCAGATTATATTGCCCCTCCACAACATAAAGACCTCTCACCGACTACTTGGCGCCAATGATGAAAATTGATAGCTTATTGTGACACTTTCCTGCCCCAGTTGAGATCCGTCTCGTGATGCACTGGCGGAGCCTTGAATGCCCAAAGGAGTCAAAAGATGCTGCTTGCTTTGGTGCACGCGCGTCGATCCTTTTGTCGCCCTCGCCCCCACGAGCGGCCTCCTTCTTTGCTTCAGAGTGTAACATAGTCAACTTCCGAGCTTTCGGACACGGCGCTTTCACAGCTGACTTTGTGGCATGGACAAGGTCCTCCAGATGACATGTGTGTCCGTGGAACTTGAAAGGTGACTTGTACGGATTGATGCAAGAGCCTGCCTCGTGACAGGTAAGAACGATGAGGCCGCGTTGGCGGCAGTAGCACCTGATTACCATGGTCGTGCTAGTAAACTCAGTGTTGTGCCTGGTCTTGCTCGGGGTGACAATTGAAAAGGCAGAGCAGAAGGCGGAGCACCAAGCAGTCATTCCGAATCCACGCTGACCGCGAGCACATCAGCGTTTCCGGCTTTCTTACTTAATTAACAAACATGCTTCAAGCCATTGAATCCCCGATGTGTGCTGTTGCTGCATTGAAATCCTGTGCTCAGGAAGAAATTATACCATTGGCGCTTGAATGACGTCCCTACTGCAGAAGCACATATATTGTACAATGTCTGTCAATAGGGTGAACGATGAGCAGGTGAAGTCTTCCAGCGCGTGGCGAGTGTGATTGATTCTGTGGTTCTGACTTGTTGCATCTCTTAGGTCCTTTTTCAACCCAAACGCACAGTTGTCTATCATGTAAAGACGTTATTTCTATTCACCAAGTCAGACTTCAAAACTGTCATCTTTCCTCAAACTGTGTTTACACTTGCATTCGCCAGCTCGCAAGCCGCACGAACTACAATCCCGTTTCAACAGCTAGCTTTGCGACTGCCATTCGTGCTGCTCTGGATATGGCTTCATCTACTTGTTGAAAATATTTCCAATCAGCGCTTACCGGGCTCTGTCGTGGAGGACGGCATCAACAAGCCTTGGCGACCCATTCCGTCTGGTCGTCTGACGCCAAGCGAGGCGGAAAGTCTTCTGCGTGTATGTGTGTTGTTGGCAATGACTACGAGTATATTCCTTCAAGCATTTGAGGCTAGTACAACTCTCATGGCATTCATCTGGCTTTACAATGACCTCGGTGGTGATGGAGTAGGTCCCCTACAACTTAACGCTATCAATGCTGCTGGGCTTGGCTGTTTTGGCTGGGGAGGTGTCTCAGTCCTTTCTGGTCAGGGCAGCGGAAATGGGCATTTGGGCGGGTGTTTCAAACCGGTGCTCCGTCCGTGCTTGGGAATGTGGTTGTCACTGGTGTCTATTGTTATTACTACGACAGTCCATGCGCAGGACTTCCCGGATGTTGGAGGCGACCGCGCTAGAAGCCGTGGAACTATGCCATTGCTTTATGGGGAGACGTGTTCGCGATGGGCTCTTGCAGTCTCGGTCGTTGCTTGGTCCTTCGTATGCCCAGCCATTTGGCATGTGTCTTCCCACTGGTTGTGGTTGGCTTCAGTCACCCTCGGCTTCGTTATGTCTTCGTTGACAATACTTAGAAGGGGTGCCAGATCAGACATGATTGTATGGAAGCTATGGTGTCTATGGATCTCAGTGTTGTATTTGTTACCGCTATTCGGGGAAGTCGAGATTTGATGCGACGGACAATGGGACCAAGAACCCGTTTCAGTGGGACGTTCAATATGCTGCATGAGTAAACTTGTTAGACGCTAGTTGGGTTGCAGCATTCTGAGTTACCCTGTGACATTCTAGTCATCTGTGATGATCTCTGGCACCTAGCAGTGAAGGGCGGGACGGTGACTACCAGAACACATTTCCAGTGCCGGCGTCTTGCGAAAAGAGCTGTTCTATTTCATATGCAAAATATCGACAGATATCAATTATTCTGGAGGATACGGGAATACAATTGCTTTCGATTTCGCCACTCGGGAACCAGTTTCCTTTCCCAGCTCCTTGTCGTCATCTCTTATCAAGTACTTTGCATGGAAGCCTCTGGATGTCTGTTCGAATGCGAAGAGGAGCGATAACCGAAATCACTCGTCGATCTTCATCCGGCCCTCATTATCCTCATATACAAACGACTTTTGCCCAGATCTTGGAAATTGTACTTTCACAGCATACGCACACCGCACAGGACATGTACGTGCAAAACAAGTAGTGTGGTTCGACCCGACTACAAAAGAGCGACCACATCCACATTGGCCGAAGCAAACCTCGAGTACGGCGATCCTCACCCCACATCGCTCACAATCAGTCAGACTTGTCTAGCAGGGAGGCTCGCACGAGACGCAAATTTTCTAAGCGAGGGCTCGGATTGAAGAAAAGGCACTGGACCAAGTATATTCATGGTACCTGCTGTTGTGTTTGTGATCCCCCGCCCCCAGAGCGGAGGACCATAAGAACATGAGGATGCCTGCGGCACTAGATTTAATCACGAAAATCCGGACATTCTCAACGAAAAGGCTCTGTTCTAGTGGTGGAAAGTGTTGGTGGCGGAAATTGTTGGTTGGTGGTGCAATATGTTGATTGGTGTCGGAAAGTGTCGTCGGCTGTGAGATTCTCACCGCATTGTCAATCCCCGATTACCTTCACTGCCTCCAGCCATCAGCCCCAGAGGCTTAGTTCGGTTCGCCTCGAAGTGGTATCATCCTATCAATACGACCACTCAGTTTCTTTCTGTGCGCCATAGTTGAAACCGAAGTCGTTCTCGCCTGCACGTTGTGAGGTTGCCCACCACGATCATTCATTACCGGTAGTGCTTATCCCTTCGGCCCTGAATGGGCTTCATCCCGCCAACGTTACCACTTGCTAGCTGCGACCCCACCTAGATGTGCGCTAATGCAACAAGACTGCTGAGCCGCAGGTGTTCACTGTTCCGAGTGTGGATTACTGTGTACCTTTGTCTGCATGTTGTCGAAGAACGTACTCCGTAGGTACTGATAATCAACACAGTGGGTGGATGCAACGCGAGGGGTTGCTGCAGCACGGTCTAAAAATAGAATGACAAACAAAATTTATTATCACCCGTTGTTTGTTGACTGCACGAGATGTGGGCAACAGCCTCTGTACTACTTGCTCATCAGTTGGCAAATCGCTGCTGCATCCCGCACAGATACCAAGCATCCCAGGCCTCGCGGATACTTGAGGGCAAGTCTCTGGCCCCTCCCGTTTGCAAATACCGGCATCGAAACCGCTCCTTGTGCTTCAGGCCCTCACGACCTTGTCTTTAGCAAACACGCATTCGTACCATGACACCGCAGACCTGGCTCATCACTGGCTGCTCCAGCGGCTTCGGCGCCGAGTTTGTCCACCAGCTCCGAGCCCTCGGAGACAATGTCATCGCCACCGGACGTCACGCCGAGACAAAGCTCGAGCATCTGAAGGATACTGGAGCAAGCATTATCGACCTAGACGTGACAGCTCCTGAAGATGTCATCGCGGCTAAGGTTGAGGAGGCTTGGGGTCTTTACCCGGGCGGCATTGATGTTGTTGTCAACAACGCCGGCTATATTCTGAGTGCAGCGTTCGAGGAGCTCACGCATGTTGAAACCAACTCCCTACTTCGATCATTTACTTACCTTGTTAATAGGCAAAAGGACCTTGAAGATGTGTTCAAGACCAATTTCCACGGCCCACTGAATATCACGCGCGCTCTTCTACCAAAGCTGCGAGCCAAGGGGACGGGAACCTTACTTTTCATGGGCTCTCAGGCGGGATGGCAGTACGTCCTAGTGTAACCTCCGCCACAGAGCATGATGTGATATTCTGACAGACGTCTAGTACTGACCCTAGCGCGACCGGATATTGTGCTACTAAGTTTGCCCTCGAAGGTTTGATATTCCCTTTCCCGCTGCTTCTATCAAATAACGTGGCAACTCAAGCTAATACTTTTCTCTATAGGGGCTGTGGAGTGCCTTGCAAAGGAGCTTGCTATCTTTTCGCCTGGCATAAAAGTGCTGCTTGTCGAACCTGGCTATTTTCGAACTCGTGCCTTCAATAACATCAATCATGTGGCGCCGCGCGTGGATATTTATTCCCAGTTCAATGCCGGTGCGTACTTTGTTTTCTGTCTTTCCACTTGTCTCGCAGGTCTTTCTTGATGTCAAAGCAGACTCTCTGGGTTATCTTCCTCTTGGCCCTGCTGTTGGTTGACGGTAATTACAGGCGTTCAGGCATTTGAACAAAGCGTTATAGGAAATGAGCCAGGCGACTCTACAAAAGCCGTTGCTCGAATGATTGAGCTGACCAAGGGTACCGGGATGGCCGCTGGAAAAACGATTCCGCTTAGAATGCCGCTCGGAACCGATGGGTGGTCCAGGATCAAGGGCAAATGCGAGGAAACGCTCAAGATATGCGAGGAATGGGAGGACGTGGCTAAGAGTACTGATGTGCAACAGAGCTGAGTGTTCCAGTATAACAACGCAGCATTTTACGTCAGTTTCGGGTAATCAGCCAGCGTGGAAGCGCCCAATTCTATTAATACTATATACTCTAGAATAGCGGAAACGCAACACGTCCCGGATAATTTCAAGGTTGGGATACCGTGTCCTTTGCCATGATTAGGTCTTTGTCAGGCGCTGGAAGAAAGCGCCCAGCTCCGTCCGCACCGTTGGTGATGAATCGTAATTGTCTGCCGCAATGTCTTTCCGATGAGGGTCTCATGTGCAGACCTTTTAATTTAGACCCGCCCGGAGCAAACGGGCAACCTTGGATCGCTTAGAGAGCTGGATAGCCCATGATCTGGTTAAAACCATCGTAGATAGGTTTTCGAGCACACTCTCGCCCAGTTCATCTTGTTCAGGGTCGCCCAAAACCCATATGATGGTAGTCAGTCCGCCTCATTCCCGCGCACGACAGTGAGAAGAATCTGTGACAGTGCTAGGTGTGTGATTGCTGCGTTCACACTGCTGCACAGCATCCACTCTCCCCTTGAACAGAACACCACATCATAATGGTTCTCTGTCTTTGCGACTGTGGATTTGGTAGCGATGGCGGTACATAGGTAGATAGATTAGCCCGCCAGCTGGTTGCCAGCTAGCAATAGCCTAGCAGCTGCGTAGCCTAAATAAACCTTTTATACAGCCCGCCTACATATAGTTAAAAACATTATAAATAACAACTAACTATATTATTAAACTTAATTACTAGCAATTTCTATATATATATATAATAAAGCTTTATTAATACTAATTAATAATTACTTTAAGCAATCTCTAATAGTAAAACAAAAAAAAATAAATTATTATTACTATTATATAATATTACTTAACTTTTTATAAATTACTTATTACTATATAGTTTAATAATATTTATATTATAATTAAACCTTTTTTAACTATTTATAATATATACTTTTAAAAATAAGTAAAAATTTAATTACTAAATATTTTAAATTATTATTATTAAATTCCTTTTTTAAAAACTTTTAATAAAAACTTTTTAACTTTATTATACTAAATATAATTTTAAAAAGAAAAATTACTACCTAACTAATATACTTTATTATATATATATTTAAAAAATTATAAAAATATATTTTTTTATTTTTAAAAACAACTTTTATATATAAAACTACTTTTTAAACTTTTTATATAAACCTTTATATATACCTTTAAATAAAAACAATACTTTTAAATAACTTTATTATAAATTACTATTATAAATAATATTATTTATATATAAATTTACTATTAAATATACTTATAATTAGCTAAATAATAAAAAAAATAATTTATTAATAATATATTATAAAATTTACTTTTTACTTTTTACTATTATTATATTAAACAATATTATTTATTTTTACTTATATTTTATTATTTAATACTCTATTACCTTTATTTTTATTTTTAATTTTTTTCTTTTTCTTTTTAACCTTAAATAAGCTTTATAATATAAGTATTAGTATATTACTAATAATAATTACTTAAATAAAAATTTCTTTTTAAAAAACTATTAATACTATTAAAATTATAAATTTTCTTATTTTCCTTTATTATACTTATTTTTTTTAATTTTATTATAACTATTTATTTTTTTTTATAATTATTTTTTATATTTACTTTTATATTTAAAAAAGTAATTTTAATATAAAACTATATAATAATAAATTTTAAATAATTACTATTTATAAATAAATAATTTAAATATAATTAATTAAAAATTATAATAATATTAAAATAAAATCTTTTACTATTTATTAATAATTTTTATTTATAATAGCTTTAAATAATAATACTAATAAATATTTAAATAATACTTAATAAAAGTTTTAAAATTATTTTATTTAACTTTAAATAGCTTTTTAAATATTTATTACTAGCTAAATTAAAATTAACCCTTTATTTTAAAATAAAAGTTTTTTTAATAATAATATTATAAATATATAAATTAATATATATATTATAAATATAATAAATAATTTATATATTAAAAACTAAATTAACTATTTTTTTTATATTATTTTTAAAAAAACTTTAAAAAATAAAATACTATATAATTTAATAAACTTTATAAAAATTAAAAATAAAAGCTTAAATCTTTATTATAAAAGTATAATATTTACTTTAAACTCTTTAATAATAAAATAATAAATTAAATAAAAAAGCTTTTAACTTTTAAAAAGCTATTTAATTAAAATAAAAATAAGCTAATTATAATTAATATTTATAAAAAGTTTAAATTTTATTTACTATAACTATATTTATATATTTTAACTATATATAAAACTAGTATTAAATTAATAAATAAGCTATTTTTATAAAATTATATATTTAATAAGCTAAAACTTATTAATTTAAAATAAATAATTAAAATAATTAAGTATAATTAATTTTAATAATAATAATTAAATAATTAATAATAGTAATAATAATAATAATAATAATAATTAAATAGTAATTATTCTCTACTAGCTTTAAATACTTTAATACTTTAAACCTTATAATAGCTAATAAAAACTTTATACTATTAATAAACTATTTTTTATTTAATAGTAAACTTTAAAATTATAACTACTATTTATATTTAATATAATTCCTATAAAATACTACCCTTTTAACTAATTTTAAATAAGTGCTTTAACTTTAAATTAATTATAAAATTTATTAAAAGCTAAAATACTATAAAAAAATAAAATAATAAGCTTTATAATTTACTTAATAATAAATTAAATTTTTTTTTTAATTTTTATAAATATAATAAAATTATATTTATATAATTTTATACTTTAATTTTATAAATCCTTACTAGCTATACTAAAATATATTATACTTATTATATTAATAATAATAATATTTTTTTATAACTTATATAAAGCTTAAAACTTATTTTAAAATAAATACTAATTACTAATAATATTTTAATAATTAAATTAATATTACTTTTTAAAACTTATATAATAATAAAAATAATATTAAAAAAAACTTTTATAAAATTTTTTAAATAATACTTAATAAGCTATAATTTTACTAATAAGCTTTTAATTTTATATATATAAGTAATAAAATTTTTTATATAACTGTTTTTAAAATTTATAAAAGCATATTTAAGTTTAAATATATAATATATATATTTATTACCCTTTATAAAAAGCTATTTTAAAACCTTTACTTATTTTTAAAGCTTAACTTTAAATATAGCTTAATATAGCACTTTTTTTAAAATAATAATATTAATAAAAAAAATAAAAATTTTTATTTTAACTATTACTATATAAATAATAACTTATAAAGCTATAAGTTAAGCTTTGAAAGTAAATTTAACTATTTTAGCTAAAAAAGCTATTAAAATAATAGCCACTTTTATAACTTTAATTTATATTAAAATATATAAAAGAAAAAATACTTTATTTATAATAAAAAAGGCTATTAATTTATAAAGTACTTATTTAATAAGCATTATAAAGTATATAATTAATATATTACTTATTATAAATATAATAATTAATTAATTTTAAACTCTAATTATATAGTCTTTTTAGCTAAATATAAAGGCAATAAGCTTAATTATAAGCTATTATTAAATTTCTTTAATAATAATAATAAAGCTAATTATAATAATAATAATAATTATACTATTATTTACTATTTAATAAATATAGCTTTTCTTTATATATTATTATTTAAGCTAAAAGCTATTATTAATAATAATACTTTTATTTTTATAAATTAATTTATACTTAAAAAATAATACTTTTACTTTAAATTTTAAAGTATTATTTTTAATATTAGTACTATTAAATATTTTATAATAAGCTATAAATAATACCTTATTTTTTATTAAAAAAACCCTATAATATAAATAAATAAAGCTAAAGCTAGTAAAGTTTTAATTAAGTTTAATAAAAGATTATAATTATTATTATTTAATACCTTTATTTTAAATATTTTAATTAATTAAATTACCTTTTATATAATTAAAGCATTTACTTTTTTCTTTTTATATATTTAAAATATAAGTAAATTAAATATCTTTTTTTAAAATATTATAAATAAATTAGTAATATATAGTAAAGCTAGCTATAAAACAACTTTCCCTATAATTAAAAAATAAAGCTATAATAGCTTTATTATTACTTTAATTATTTATTAATTAACTATTTATTTTACTTACTTAAAAACGCTAAGTATAATTTTAATATAGCTATATTAAAAATAATTATTAAATTTTACTATTAATACTAATTTTACAGCTTAGCCTTTAAATAATTTAAATTTACTTTTAAAAATAACTATAACTTTAATTATAAACTACTTATTAATATAATATATATTATAAATAAGCTTATACTTTATATTATTAATTTAGCTATATCCTTTTAAGCTATTTAATTTTTAACTTTACTTTTAATAAAAAATATATAAAATACTTTATAGCTAATATAAATTAATATTTACTTTAGCTTATTAAATTAGCTAATTTATAATACTAAAACTAACTTTGCTTTTATTTAATTTTATAATAAAGTATAATTAATAAAGGTTATATATAAATAAATTCTTATAAAGGTTTATTAATTTATAAAAAAAATTAAATGCTATTATAGCTCTTTTTACTAAGCTTTTAAAATTCTTTATAGTAAGCTTTTTAAAATATTTATTAATAAAGCTATACTATAAATAGCTATTAAAATAATAAATAATATTATTAATTTAAATAACTTAATACTTATATTATTTATTTTTAACGTTTACCCTTATATAACCCTAAATTTACTTTTATTACTATTAATATTTAAATAAATAAAAGCTATTTAAAAAATAATATAAGTATTATAAGCTATTTACTTAATATTAAAAGTTTAGTAGTAAAGTATAAACCCGCAGCCTTTAAATAATATACTAGTAATTTTTAAGCAGCTTTATTATAAAAAAAAAGCAGTAAATATACTAAAAAATTTACT